GGTGAAAGATATAATGACCTTCTAAAATCACTTGCCATACTTACCCTGGTCCTTTATGTTGGGTTATTAGGTATTAGACATGGATATGATATTAGATAAAATAAGATTATACAAGTAATATTAATAAAATATTATTAAATAAGAATTATGAAATAAATTGAATTGAATAAATGACAGAACTAAATTTGCTTGCCGATCCTGAATTAATGATTTATGCAACACAACATGATATAATTTTTAATTTCACATTGTATTAATGCTTTAAATGCTATATTCATAGAGTCAAGTAGTTGTGACATATTTCCTATTGTATTGCAATTAAGATGTATGTTGTAGGCCTATATCAGTATGCCCTACACCAAAAGAAATAAAGCAATGTAAATACGTATATGTTACTATACTTATTGTATCTTAATTATCCCAACGGACGAAGTTCTGTAGGGATATAGTAAAGCCCTCCGTCCGTCCGTCTGTCCGTCAGTCACACTGGAGGCCAAGAGAACTTATCCTGGTATTCATGTTGGAACTTGAATTCGTCCGTCTGTCCGGAGGATAACTCGAATACTAGTCAACAGATTTTCTTCATATTTAATGGAAAGATGTATATTGGTGAATAGTTTTACGCAAATTTTTCTTCAAGATGGCCGCCAGTTTGAAAATGCCGGGAATTTTTCACAAAAATCTTACGTTTTTCATTTTAAACCAAAATAATAAATATTATTATTTGAAATTTTGGCAGTATATTAACATCTGTCTATTTCACATATATATCCCGAGTTTTTCACCCTGACCCCCAGGGGCCGTAAATGGGGGTTGAGAAAACAGGAATTTGCGTTAATTTTGAGATGTATAGCTTTATTATACTCAAATGAAAGGCAATTTAGAGTAGATTGTAAATATCGTAGCGTTTTTCTGATTGGGGCCTAAAAAATCAAAATGGCCGCCTAATGCGTGATTTCGCAATTATTTTCTGATCTCTTAAAAGTATGGCTATATTATACTCAAATTGAAGGTATTTCAGAGTAGATCACAATTATGGCATTGTTTTTCTGATTTGCGTCTTTGAAAATTCAAAATGGCTGACTAGAGCAGAAATTCGCCATTTCTTAGATTTACATGATGCTACAATGATTTAATATATTTATTGAAGGTAAGAGTAGATGGTAAATATTATTTTGTGACTGTACAGATTGATGATTTATATAGTGTTCGTTGGGATTTGCTACTCCGTGGAGTTGCCATTTTCTAGTTCCTTATTGAGTTCAGTACAGAGTGATCATGACAAATATATCACAAAAATGGACATACATCATGACATTAAATGTCATTTGAGCCATATAGTACTGTTCTTTTTCCTCCCAAACATTTACATAATGATCTAATTTGGTGGGTGTTTGGTGTACAGCTGGAAAATATTTGAAATACGATTTTGTTTCTATTATATGACTTCGAATTTAATGAGAAACAATTAAGAAAAATATTATGTAGTCTAGTATAAAAATTAATTTACAGCGCGCATAAGAAGCTAAGACGATTCTCTTGGATTTACATAAATCAGTCAAAATTGGAGCACAGTACGTGTTCGTGAGTTTAATGTCCATATAACATGTTTAGTACCATGGTACATGAAGTGTGAACTATTCCATATCATAAATGAGAATATTTTAACTGAAAGAGGAAAAAATTACACTCTTGTCTATTCTAAAAATGCGGAATTTATACATATAATCATCATTCCGATTGGAATGACGCGCTAAAAAAGATTAACAGGCCAGCGGAAATTGTGCCGTAAAATATGGCGCTGTTTTAAATGCGCCCACATTGCAAAGAAATGTACCAAATCCATCCACTTCATCCAATATCAATGAATTTTCTCTTAGCTGTTATTTGGAACATGTGTAGTGTGATCGGATGAAAACATATTTTCTACACAAAATGGGCATCTTGAATTTGAATTTCGAACATTCGTCTTTAAGAAATGAATACGATCCGTCTTTAGAATAGGTTAATTGTTCATAAATGTCCGTATCTTTAAACCCTAATACTATTTACAAAGTGTCTTATCGTAGATTGATTTTTCAATTTCATAATATGATATTTGGCGTACACATTATTCAATACGCCTTTACGAGACTTATGTCATTTCGATCGTTTTATTTGGAATTTCAATGGGCGAATTTCATGTTCAAGCTTGATGTCAACTGAAGTACATCCGTGAACTATTTAAGTCGTCAACTTGGATTTTGGGCTAAAATGACGCCATTTAAGAGTTTTCATTTTAGTAAAAACTGTAACAATTTTTCATGTTCAATTGAATCATTCTTGTTTTTTGTTTGCCTAAAATTCGATACATTGCTCACGCTGTGGTCGTCTTATATATATTTTGCATTAAATATTGATCCTTAAAATTAATTCCAGATTTCTATGAAGAAAATGCATGATTAAAGAAATAATTACGTCACATGTAATTTTTGTCTCAATATTAGCCCCGTTTTAGCAGTTTTCGTATTTTTAAACTGAAAAATGAATACTTAATCGTTATCGGATCAGATAAATATTTCGTATACATGAAATTAAATACCTTCCGCGAATAATGGGTGATACATATTTTTATATAACAATATTTATTTGGTGTGCGAAATGCCTAAACTTTAGAGATAGAAACTACAGATAGATCCGTGATTTGTGTCGTCAAACACGTTATTTGTGTAAAAAATGAGCCGTTTTAAGTTTGAGGTTTAGTAAAAACTGTAACGATCGTTGGATTTTGAGTGAATCTAAATAATTTTTTCACGAGCATGATTTTCGATACATTATCCAACTTTTGTACGATCTAAAATGAATCATAAAAATAAATTATTCTATGAATTAATCAGACAAAGTCGAAGTTCAAAAAAGTTAAAAGTAGCCCTTTTTCCAACGCATTTTATACCCATTTCCCGTGGTCTTGGGCAGTTGAAAAATACACCATTAGATAGAGGAGGTACTTATCATTATAGGCATACTATTTTTATTTTATTAAAGTAACATCTTGATTGCTACACAACTCGTTAAAGACCATGCCCAATCGGGCGTAAACAAGTAGTTCGAAAATGCCGAAATTATTACTACGCACTTTTTTTTAAAAACCGGTAAACAACAATGGGTTTATAACGTCGGCCGACAGACTGCATAGAAACTCAATATGCAAAATAACATCATTGAATTTTTTATTTAAAAGGTCAATCTGATCTTCTGCAACAGTTATTTTAATCAATAAAAACAAGTTGATTATTGATCGGTGAGATATTTTATATATTCACCATTTTTGAAGTACATTATTTTTTATAGACTTGATGTTATTATTGGATCCAAAATAAAGAAGTAAAGCGACATAAAAATGTTCTGAACACACACTTGCGTATAAAGTATGAAGTAGTATAAAACTGGCGAGAATACCCCACTAATTTTAGATATAGTATAACGAACGTCAATGAGTAATACAAATAGAGCGCTTATGTTATTGTGTAAGTTATATAAATTAAATACATTATTAATTTGAATATACTGGCATTTTATATAAACTATGACTTTTATTAATAAATTGCACTAATCTCACTTTTGTACTAGTATGATTAAAACAGGGTCATACGTTTAAATTGCATACCTTCAAGTCTTCAGTTTTCTGTTAATTACAATGATATATCGTAAAATATTTGTACAAGTATATATGGAATTTAAACATTTTAATTTACCCGAATTGCCTCGAGTGACTTCATGTATTAGATTGCAGATTATTCTAAATGTCAAAGTAAAAGAAATCAAACGACATTGCGAGTCAGTAATGTCAATCAAGGGTGGGTGTAATTTCATAATTTTGATGCAACCAAGTATATCAGGATACCCTTTGCATTCGTTCGACTTCACTTCTTAAAAGAGAGCTTCGTCTGTAGTTTAACTTTGCGCACAGGGTAATATGAGGAATGGTTGCTTTTTTGAAGCTGGCCTAACCTAAACATGTAAGTACAAGTGCCCAAGGGAGACCAAAAGTATTACAAATCACAGTGATGCAAAATATATATGAACGCAACCAGTAATATGGAAAACAAATCTATCATATCCCATTATGATCCAGCATTCAAAGTAAATATGTCTTACGCCCCCAACAAACATTTTGGTAACAATTATAACAGTCCAAACACACTCACCAAATTTTGAAAATATAAGGCCCAATTTTTGATAATGTGGCCTAAAAAGGACCAAAAGGTCCATTTCAATCGAGGACCTACAATTTTTGGGGGTCCAAAAACTTTTAGGGCCTACTCAAGGGGGGATGCCCCCACGTCATTCCATTGATCCCGAAATCATTACCATACATTTTGAAAAACAAAAAGATTTGTAATCAAGTTATTTAACCATATACCAAAATAAGATCTCAGTTTCATGTATAGTTTTAGGTTACGTATAATGTTGCTTCTTATGACCTAGATGTCGAGTCGATAGTGTGGCCAATATTAATGACGTTGCTACACGACGTAGAGCTTTTGGGATTTCGAATTAATACAACGTTAATTGATTCACTAATTGCGGTTATTACATAATATGCCTATTTAAATATAAATGATATAGAGATAATAATGACGGCTTCAAATCAATAATTGATATCACTGTGGTATACTTACCTTCTACTCAGACAAAAATATTGTTGATGTTTTTGTTCTATTTTACTTCTAATTTTCGTGTGTTGTGTGTTGTAATGTTGAATAAAGACCAATAATGCTGCTCTCAATTGGTACTCTGTTGGAAGTATTTTGATCACATTTCGGATGGATTGCTAGTATTCTAAGGGGATAAGTTTAGCCAACAGATTGTACCTTGGGTATTCATATAAATAAACCTGAAATGAAACTTAAATTAACATGAAACACAGAGACATAAATCGGTTGTGTCTCTCTATATCATAATATACATTCAGAGAAATATTGCACACTACAAATTTATCCAAATTAATTTGATATGTATTAAAGAAGGAACAAATAACATTTCAATCATATCCTGCAGAGCAGAATCCCTAACATGAACATTTGATAATTAGCGCATCAAATGATTAACGAATTCATGAATTAATTACACGATTTCCTGCTGTTATGCAAGGATACATCTCTGGTCAATTTGCAAAGAATAATCAATTTATAATTGAATAATCATATAATCGTATATGGGATTATACATTTAAATTATTCATTTATAATTTATTTCACAAATCACAGACTTCCTTTATAACGCCATGGTTCATATTTCTGATTCTTTTGGTCCGTATAAGGTCATTCTCATAGTCTCTAAACTTTCTCGTGTCATAGATGTCTCTTTGTGTCCAACACATACTTCCGTATAATGCATCATATTAACCTTCTAAAAGTTTATTTTATGCGTCGAATTATTTTTCAGATGGCAAAGTTAACCTACAAATTTGGCGTAGTCATACTACTTTTAATGACTAATGTTCATCTTGCTCAACTACAAACAACAGACGCCACGACAGAATCAAACACAGATGCTACAACTGATGTTACAACAGCCACTGTAACTGACGTTACAACAGACACTTCTGGAACTGACGCCGCAACAACCGCGAGTGGAACTGACACCACAACGGACAGTAGTGGAACTGATGCCACAACCGCCGCAAGTGGAACTGACGCCACAACAGCCGCGAGTGGAACTGATGCTACAACAGCCGCGAGTGGAACTGACGCCACAACTGCCGCGAGTGGAACTGACGCCACAACGGACAGTAGTGGAACTGACGCCACAACCGCCGTGAGTGGAACTGACGCCACAACAGCCGCGAGTGGAACTGACGCGACAACAGCCATGGGTGGTACAACCGATGCTTCACAAACAACTGATGACGCCACAACTGTGAGTTCAAATGAAACTAATGCTGGTACGACCATGAGTTCACAAACAACTGATGATGCTACGACTATGAGTTCAAATGCAACTTCAGCCATGAGTGGTACGACCGATGCTTCACAAACAACTGATGACGCCACAACTATGAATTCAAATGAAACTGCTGCCGTAACAACTCAGGCTTCACAAACAACTGATGACGCCACAACTATGAGTTCAAATGAAACTGCTGCCGTAACAACTCAAGCTTCACAAACAACTGATGATGCTGCGACTACTAGTTCACAGACAACTGAGGCTGTCACAGCAATGATGACCACGACATCTCGTGAGTAAAATCAATAATGATAATATAGACTAACATGATTGTAACATAATGTCAATCTCTTAGATGTATTTTTGTAACTCCAGGGTATGGTACAGTGAAACATATAGAGTTATATACATACATGTTTCTTTTATAGTTTTTCGATAGTATTGGGTGCTTCCACAATATTCATTTTATTGTGTCTATTTTTATCTGTTTAACTTTTGTGTGTTCTTTGTGTTGTCTTCTACAGTCTTACATTCCGAAGATACTGAGAACGTATACGGCCTCTATCCTGAACCATTCATACAAAGTTTTCACCCTAGTTCCTTTCATCTTAGTCATACACTTACAATGCTTCATTCTTTATTATAATGCATCCATCCATGAAACTAGGTGTTATTTTCTATTTGTTAAATGTGGGTTTCAAGGAGAATTAAACACAGGAATGAGGTAACACATTTTTATGTAAAATTTAAAATCTAGAAGAAAATGTGTTTACACCACTCCAAGTATGAGAATCTAAAACAGATCCTTGACGTTTTATCAATCAATTCCCTCTAATTAGGATCAGCAAAACTGATCACAAATTACATAATAGAAGAACGGGAAAAACAACGTTCAACACACTGAAGTTGATACATTTCTGGTCTAAATGCTCTTTAACTACGATCCCACATTGAGTCAACACTTTCATTTCATTTTCCATGTTTAACAGCTCATACTATGCATATGCAAGTATGCATCTCTACTCTGACATCTTTCCTTTCTTGGTGTGATTTCAGATGTCTTCTACCTTAACTCTTGCAATTTCAACTGTTGGATTAGAGGCTGTGTACGTTCCAAACCATTTCCAGTTGCTCTGAAAACTCGAAATAAAATTCCCGATTATAAGGCAAGAAGAAAAAAGGAAACAATTCCGAATGTAGAAGCAATCAGCAAAGATATATATAATATTTTCCTAGGTTTACTGATGTCAGTATTGTATATTGTGCATTTAAGAGTGAGCATACACTCAAATATACCTTACACCTTTCTTCAATTGAAAGTAGTATTGGCCCTGCTTTTTTTTGTTCCGTGCAGAGAAAGTTTGACCTCATCTCAGGCATCAGTACTTGACAGTACATATTATAATACCAAAGTAGCAAATGATACTACAGCGCCCTTACTTATTACAACCAATATCAATAACAATAGTAAAGCAACACAAACTACAATGTTTGTACGCACCACTGAATCAACAACAGTAGGGATAACTGACCTTTCCACTGAAGCATCAAATATTGACACTACTAGCCTTGCTACTCAAGAATCAACATTGGAGACAACTGTCCTTCCCACTGAACCATTAACAGTCGAAACAACTGTCATTACCACTGAACCATTAACAATGGAGACTACTATCCTTACTACTGAACCAACGACAATCCCGACAATTGCTCTAAACACTGAACAATCAACAGTAGAGACTACTGTTATTACCACTGAACTAACAACAGTGGAGACCTCTGTCCTTGCCAGCGAACCATCAACAGTGGAGAATACTGAACTAACCTCTGAACCATCGACAGAGGAGACAACTGTTCTATCCACTGAACCATTGACAGAGGAGACTTCTGTTCTAACCACTGAACCAACAACAGTGGAGACTTCTGTCCTTGCCACCGAACCATCAACAGTGGAGAATACTGAACTAACCTCTGAACCATCGACAGAGGAGACAACTGTTCTATCCACTGAACCATTGACAGAGGAGACTTCTGTTCTAACCACTGAACCAACAACAGTGGAGACTTCTGTCCTTGCCACCGAACCATCAACAGTGGAGAATACTGAACTAACCTCTGAACCATCGACAGAGGAGACAACTGTTCTATCCACTGAACCATTGACAGAGGAGACTTCTGTTCTAACCACTGAACTAACAACAGTGGAGACTTCTGTCCTTGCCACCGAACCATCAACAGTGGAGAATACTGAACTAACCTCTGAACCATCGACAGAGGAGACAACTGTTCTATCCACTGAACCATTGGCAGAGGAGACTTCTGTTCTTTCCACTGAACCAACAACAGTGGAGACTCCTATCTTTACCACTGAACAATCAAAAGTGGAGACGTCTGTACTAACCACTGAACCATTGACAGTGGGGGCAACTGTCTTTACCACTGAACAATCAACAGTCGGGACAACTTCTGTTACCGAACCATCAACGATGGCGACTTCTGCTCTTACCACTGAACCATCAACAGTGCAGACTACTGCTCTTGTCACTGAACCTTCAACAGTGGAGATAGCTGTCTATACCACTGGACCATCAACAGTGGAGACAAATGTCCTCACCACTGAACCAACAACAAAAGAGACAACAATCTTTACCACTGAACCCTCGACAATGGAAACAACTGCTATAACCACTGAACCATCATTAGTGGAAACTACTGCCCTAGCCACTGAACCATCAACAGTTGAGACAAATATTCTTACCACTGAAACAACAACAGAAGAGACTTCTGCCATTACCACTAAACCTTCAACAATGGAAACAACTGCTGTTACCACTGAAGCATCAACCCTCGATACCTTTGTCCTCATCACTAAACCATCAACAGTCGAGACAAATGCTCCTTCCACTGGCCAATTAACAGTACAGACAACTGTCCTTAACATTGAACCTACAGAAGAGACTACCACTGAAACATCCACAGTCCAGACAACTTCTCTAACCACTACATCAGCAACTGTGGAGACTACCGACCTTACAAGTGAACCATCAACAATGGAGACTAATGATCTTACCACTGACATATCAACAGTGGAGACAACTTTCTTTACCACTGAACCATCAACAGTCAACATAACTCTCCTTACCACTGAAACATCAACAGTGGAGACATTTGGCCTAACTACTGAACCATCAACAGTGGAGACAATTGTCCTTAGCAATAAACCATCAACAGTCGAGACAACTGATCTAACCATTGAACCTTCAACATTGGAGACTATTGCTCTTACCACTAAACCATCAACAATGGAGGAAACTGTATTAACCACTAAACCATCAGCAGGTGAGACAACTGTCCTTACCACTAAACAACTAACAGTCGAGACAACTGTCCTTACCACTGAACCATCAGCAGACGAGACAACTTCTCTAGTCACTGAACCATCAACAGTTTGGATTACTGATCTTACCAGTGAAGCATCGACAGTGGATACAATTATCATTACCTCTGAACAATCAACAGTAGAGACAACTATCCTTACCACTGAACCATCAACAATGGAGACTACTGTCTTTGCCACTCATTCATCAACAGTCGAGACAATTGCTCTTACCACTGAACCTTCAACAGTGGAAACTACTCTCCTTACAACTGAACAATCAACAGTTGAGTCAACTCTCCCTACCACTGAACCATCACCAGTGGAGACAATTTTTGTAAGTTCCACTGAACCAACAACTGCAGAGACAATTTTTCTCACAACTGAACCAACAATTGATATTACTGTTCTTACCACTGAACGATCACCAGTGGAGAAAACTTCTCTTAGCAATGAAATATTAACATTTGAGACTACTGCCCATACTGTTGAACCATCAACAGTGGTGACAACTGTCCTTACCAGTAAACGATCAACAGTGGAGACCACTGCTTCTACCACTGAACCATCAACAGTAGAGACAACTGTTCGTACCACTGAACCATCTTCAGTGGAGACTACTGCTCCAACCACTGAACGATCTTCATTCAAGAGAGCTTCTCTAACCACTGAGCCAGCAATATTGGAGACTACTTTCCTTACTAGTGAACCATCCACATTTGAGACTACTTTCCTTACCACTAAACCATTGAGAGTTGAGACTTATGCTCTTACCACTGAACCAGCAAAAGTAGAGACAACTGTCATAACCACTGAACAATCAACAGTGACTGCAACTGCCCTTACTACTGAATCACCAGAAGCCGGGACAACTTCCCTTGCCACTAAACCATGGACAGTAGAGTATACAGCTCTTTCAAATGAACCATCAACAGTTAACACTACTGTTCTTTCCACTGAACCACTAACAGTGGAGACTTCTGCTCTTACCACTGAACCATCACCAGTGGGGACAACTGTCCTTGCCAATGAACCATCAACAGAGGAGACAACTGCTCTAATCACTGAACAATCAACAGTGAAGTCTACTTTACTTACCAGTCAACCATCAACAGTGGAGACTATTGATCTTACAACTAAACGATCAATTGTCAAGACAACTGACCTTCCCAATGAACCGTCAGCTTCAAGAACTACCGCTCTTACCACCGAACAATCAACAGTGGGGACAACTGCCATTACCACTGAGACATCAACAGTTGAGACAACTGGCATTAACCTTGAATCATCTACAGTCGAGACTACTGTCTTTACCACTGGACCATCTACAGTCGAGACTATTGCCTTTACCGCCGAACCATCATCAGTGGAGACTACTGCTACTACCAATGAAACATCAATAGTGGAGACAACTGGCCTTACGACCGAACCATCTACATTCGGGACTAATGCTCTTACCACTGAACAATCAACAGTGGAAACGACTGCTCTCACCACTAAACGACCAACAGTGGTGACAGCTGTCCCTACCTCTGAACCATCAACAATAGAGTCAACTGCTATAACCACTGAACCATCACCAGTAAAGACAGCTGTCCTTACCACTGAACTATCAACAGTTGAGACTAATGCTCTTAACACTGAACCATCAACAGTGGCGACAGCTGTCCTTACCACTGAACTATCAACAGTTGAGACTACTGCTCTTAACACTGAACCATCAACAGTGGCGACAGCTGTCCTTACCACTGAACTATCAACAGTTGAGACTACTGCTCTTAACACTGAACCATCAACAGTGGAAACGACTGCTTTCACCACTGAACGATCAACAGTGGCGACAGCTGTCCTTACCACTAAACTATCAACAGTTGAGACTACTGCTCTTAGCACTGAACCATCAACAGTGGAAACGACTGCTTTCACCACTGAACGAGCAACAGTGGCGACAGCTGTCCTTACCACTGAACTATCAACAGTTGAGACTAATGCTCTTAACACTGAACGATCAACAGTGGTGACAGCTGTCCTTACCACTGAACTATCAACAGTTGAGACTACTGCTCTTACCACTGAATCATCAACAGTTGAGACTACTGCTCTTACCACTGAATCATCAACAGTTGAGACTACTGCATTTAGCACTGAACCATCAACAGTGGAAACGACTGCTTTCACCACTGAACGATCAACAGTTGTGACAGCTGTCCCTACCACTGAACCATCAACAGTAAAGTCAACTGCTATAACCACTGAACCATCAACAGTAGGGTCAACTGCTGTAACCACTGAACTATCAACAGTTGAGACTAATGCTCTTAACACTGAACCATCAACATTGGCGACAGCCGTCCTTACCACTGAACTATCAACAATTGAGGCTACTGCCCTTAGCACTGAACCATCAAAAGTGGGGAGAAATGCCCTTACCACTGAACAATCGTCACCTCATACACGTGTCAATGAGCCATCAACAGTGGGAACAACTGTCATAAACTATGAACAATCAACAGTGGGGACTACTGTCCTTACCACTGAACCAGCAACATTGGAGACAACTACCCTTACCAGTAAACTAGCAACAGTGGAAACTACTGTCCTTACAACTGGACCATCGACAGTGGAGACTACTGTCCTTACAACTGAGCCAGCAACAGTTGGGATAACTGTTCTTACCAATGAAAAATCATCAGTGGATGCGATTGTTAGTTCTACTGAACCAACAACCGTGGAGAGAATTTTTCTTACAACTGAACCAACAATGGGGATTACTGTCCTAAATACTGAATCATCGTCAGTGGAGACAACTTCTTTTACAAATGAACTATCAGAAGTTGAGACTAATGTCCTAACTATTGAGCCATCAACAGTCAAACTTACTGCTTTTACCAATGAACCACCAACAGTAGAGACAAATATCCTAACCACTGGTCCATCAACAGCCGACACGGCTGCTCTTACCAGTGAACTATCAACAGTGGAGAATACTGCTTCTACCACAGACCTACATACAGTAGATACAACTGTCCTTACCACTGAGCCATCTTCAGTAAAAACTACTGATCTTACCACTGAATGTTTTTCAACCAAGACAACGACTCAACAACTAGCCACTGAGCCATCACCATTAGAGACTAATTTCCTTACCACTGAACAATCTACAGTGCAAACTACTGGTCTTACCAGTGGACCAGCAACAGTATGGACAACTGTTATAACCACTGAAGAATCAATAGTTGATACAACTTTCCTTACCACTGAATCATCAACAGTCGAGAATACAACTCTTTCCACTGAACCATTAACACTGGGGACTGCTGATCTTACCACTGAACAGTCAACTGTCGAGACAACTGACCCTCCCAATGAACCATCAACTTTCAAGACTACCGCTCTCATTACTGAACAATCAACAGAAGAGACAACTGTCCTCTCTGCTGAATCATCTACAGTCAAGTCTTTTGTCCGTACTACTGAACCATCTGCAGTCGAGACTACTGATCCTACCACTGAACCATTAGAAGTCGAGATAGCTCTCCTTACCACTGAACCAACACCATTGGAGACTACTGATCTTACCATTGACTCATTTACAGTAGGCACTTTTGTCCCTACCGATGAACCATCAAGAGTCGAAAAAACTGCTCTAACCACTGAACAATCAACAGTGGAGACTAATGATTTAACCATCGGACCATCAACAGTGAAGCCTACTGCTCTTAGCACTGGACCATCAACAGTTGAGACAACTGCCCTTACCAGTGAGTCAGCAGAAGTCGAGACAACTGACATAAACACTGAACGATCTACTGTCGAGACTACTTCCCTTACCATTGAACCATCTACAGTCGAGACTACTGCTTTTAGCACTGTACCATCAACAGTCGAGACAACTGTCATTACCACCGAACCATCAAGAGTTGAGACTTCTGCTCCTACCACTGAAACATCAACCGTGGAGACAACTGTCCTTACCACTGAACAATCAACTGTCGAGTCAACTGCTATAACCACAGAACCATCAACAGTGGAGACTACCGCTCTTACCACTGAACCATCAACAGTGGAAACGACTGCTCTTGTCACTGAACGATCAACGATCGAGATAACTGACTTTAACACTGAAACCTCTACAGCCGAGACTACCCCTTTTACCACTGAACCATCAACAGTTGAGACAACAGTCCTTACGACTGAACCATCTACATTCGAGACTAGTGCTCTTACAACTGAACCATCTACAATCGAGACAACTGCTCTTAAAACGGAACCATCTACAGTGGCGACTACTGCTATCACCACTGAACATTCAACAAAGGAGACAACTGTCCTTAACACTAATCAACACCTACCAACAGTCGACACAACTATCCTTACCACTGAACCATCAACAATGGGGACTACGACCGAACCATCTACATTCGGGACTAATGCTCTTACCACTGAACAATCAACAGTGGAAACTAATGCTCTTAACACTGAACCATCAACAGTGGCAACGACTGCTCTCACCACTAAACGACCAACAGTGGTGACAGCTGTCCCTACCACTGAACCATCAACAGTAGAGTCAATTGCTATAACCACTGAACCATCACCAGTGGAGACTTATGCTCTTAACACTGAACCATCAACATTGGCGACAGCCGTCCTCACCACTGAACTATCAACAATTGAGACTACTGCTCTTAGAACTGAACCATCAACAGTGGAAACGACTGCTCTCACCACTAAACGACCAACAGTGGTGACAGCTGTCCCTACCACTGAACCATCAACAGTAGAGTCAATTGCTATAACCACTGAACCATCAACAATGGCGACAGCTGTCCTTACTACTGAAGTATCAACAATTGAGACTACTGCTCTTAGCACTGAACCATCAACAGTGGGGAGAAATGTCCTTACCACTGAACAAATAACACTTGATACAAGTGTCTCTGCCACTGAGCCATCAACAGTGGAAATAACTGTCATAAACTATGAACCATCAACAGTGAAGTCTACTTTCCTTACCACTGAACCATCAACAGGCGAAACAACTGCTCTTAAAAAAGTGGAGAATACTGTTCTTACCACTGAACCATCAACAATTGAGACAACTATACTTACCTCTGGACCATCAACAGTCGGGACAACTTCTATTACCACTGAACCATCAACAATAGAAACTACTGTCCTTACCACTGAACCATCAACAGTAGAGACAACCGTCGATACCACTGTTTCATCAGTGGAGACTACTGCTCTAACCACTGACCCATCAACAGTGGAGACTACTGCTCTTACCACTGAACAATCAACAGTGGATACTAATGTTCTGACCACTGGACCATTGGAAGTGGAGACAACTGTCCTTACCACTGAATCATCAACAGTGGAGACAACTGTCTTCACCACTGAACCATCAACAGTCAAGATAATTCTCCTTACCACTGAACCATCAACAGCGGAGACACCTGTCCTAACTACTGAACCATCAACAGTGGAGACAATTCTCCTTACCACTGACCCATCAACAGTGGAGACTACTGCTCTTACTACTGAACAATCAACAGTGGAGACTAATGCTCTTACCAGTGAACCAATAACAGTGGAGACAATTCTCCTTACCACTGAACCGTCAGCAGTTGTTTCAAGAGTCCTCACCACTGAACCAACAACAATGGAGACTACTGATAATACCACTGAAGCATCAACAGTGGAGACTAATAATCTAACAACAGAACAATCAACAGTAGAGACAACTGTTCCAACCAATGAACCATCAACAGTCAAGACAACTTTCCTTACCACTCTACCATCAACAGTTGACACAACTGTTTTTACCACTAAACCATCAGCAGGCGAGACCAGTGAACCATCGACAGTGGAGACAATTATCATTACCTCTGAACAATCAACAGTAGAGACAACTTTCCTTACCACTGAACCATTAACAGTCAAGGCAATCGTCCTCACCACTAAACCAACAACAATGAACACTACTGATCTTACCACTGAAACATCAACAGTGGAGACTGATAATCTTACTACTGAGCCATCAACAGTAGAGACAACTGTTCTAACCACTGAACCATCAACAGTCAAGACAACTGTCCTTACCGCTGAACCATCAACAGTGGTGCCTTTTACTCTTACCACTGAACCAATAACAGACCCTATAACTACTCTAAACACTGAACAATCAATAGTTGAGACTAGTATTCTTATCACTAAACACACAACAGTGGTAACTCCAGTTCTTACGTCTGAACCATCAACAATTGAGACTAATGTTCTTTCCACTGAACCAACAACAGTGGAGTCTTCTGCATTTTCCACTAAACCATCAACAGGCGGGAAAATTGCTCTTACCACTGAAACATCAACAGTGGTCTTTCGACTAAATCATCAACAGTAGAGACGTCTGTACTTACCCCTGAACCAGCGACAGAGGAGACAATTGCCCTTACTACTGAACAATCAACAGTGGAGTCTACTGTCCTAACTACTGAACCATCAACAGTGGAGACAATTCTCCTTACCACTGACCCATCAACAGTGGAGACTACTGCTCTTACCACTGAACAATCAACAGTGGAGACTAATGTTCTTACCAGTGAACCAATAACAGTGGAGACAATTCTCCTTACCACTGAACCGTCAGCAGTTGTTTCAAGAGTCCTCACCACTGAACCAACAACAATGGAGACTACTGATAATACCACTGAAGCATCAACAGTGGAGACAAATATTCTTACCACTGAACCAATAACAGTGGAGACAACTTTCCTTTCCACTGACCCATCTACAGTGGAGACCACTGCTTTTTCCACTAAACCATTAACAATTGAGCCAACTGTCCTTACCACTGAACCATCAAAAGTGGAGATTACTGCTTTCACCAATGAACCATCAACAGCAGAGGCAGTTGTTCTTACCGCTGAAGCATCAGTAGTGGAGATTACTGCTCTTACCACTGAACCAACAACAGTCGAGTCAACTGTTCTAACAACTGGACAATCAACTGTCGAGTCAACTGTCCTTACCACTGAACCATCAACACTGGAAAGTAACTTTCTTACCCCTGAACCATCACCAGTGGAGACTTCTGCTCATTCCACTGAACCATCACCAGTGGAGACAAATGTCCGTACAACTGAACAATCAACTGTCGAGTCAACTATCCTTACCACTAACTCATCAACAGGCGAGACAACTGCTCTTACCACTGGACCATCAACAGTGGAGACTACAGTCCTTTCCACTGAAAGAACAAAAGGGGAGAATGCTGTTCTTTCCACTGAATCATCAACAGTGGTGATTACCGTCCTTACCACTGAGCCATCAACAGTTGAGACAACTGTCCTTACCACTGAACTATCAGTAGTTGAGACAACTACCCTTACCACTGAACCATTCACAGTTGATACAACTGTCCTTACCACTGATTTATCAACAGTGGGGACTACTGCCCTTACCACTGGACCATCCATAGTCGAGACAACTGCCTTAACTACTGAACAATCAACAGTGAAGACTGCTGCTCTTACCACTGAACAATCGACAGTGGATACTAATGTTCTTACCACTGAGCATATAACAGCGGAGACAACTGTCCTTTCCACTGACCCATCTACAGAGAAGACTACTGCTCTTCCCACTAAACCATCAACGTTTGAGACTACTCCTCTTTCCACTCAACCATCAACAGTCGAGACAATTGCTCTTACCACTGAACCTTCAACAGTGGAAACTACTCTCCTTACCAATGAACCATCAACAGTTAAACCTACTGTCCTTACCACTATCCCTTCCACGGTCGGGACAACTGTCATTACCACTGAATCATCAACAATCGAGAGAACTGCTCTTACCACTGCACCATCAATAGTCGAGACTACTGCTCTTGCCATTGAACTGTCTACAGTCGATACTATTGATCTAACCACTGAACCATCAACAGTTAAAAGTACTGTTCTTACCACCGACGCATCAACAATAGAGATTGCTTCTCTTACCACTGAATCAATAACAGTGGAGACTGCTACCCTTATCGCTGAACCAATAACAGTGGAAACAACTGTCTCTACAACTGAACCATCAACAGTCGAGACTACTATCCTTACCAGTAAATCACCGCCTCATGCTCTTACCACTGAACCATCAATATTGAAAAATACTGTCCTTCCCACAGTCGAGATAACTTCTGAACCATCAACAGTCGAGACTATTGCTCCTACCACTGAACCACTAACAGTGGAGACTATTGCTCTCACTCCTGAACCATCAACAGTGGAGACAGTTGACCTTTCCATTGACTCATCTACAGCGGAAACTACTGCTCTTCCCAGTGAACCATCAACAGTGGATAGTAGTATCTTTACCACTCATCCATCAACAGTCGAGTCAATTGCTCTTACCACTGAACCTTCAACAGTGGACACTACTCTCCTTGCCACTGAACCATCCATAGTCGAGACAACTGCAATTCCTCCTAACCTGTCCACAGTCGGGACAACTCTCATTACCGCTGAATCATTACCAGTCGAGACAAATGCCCTTACCATTGGACTATCTACAGTCGAGAACACTGATCTAATCATGGAACCATCAACAGTTGTAACTACTGCTCTAACCACTGAACCATCTTCCGTGGAAACTATTGTCCTTACCTCTGAACCATCAACAGACGTGACTACTTCTCTTACAACTGGACCAATAACAGTGGAGACTGCTGCTCTTACCACTGGACTAATAACAGTGGAGACAACTGTTGTTGCAACTGAACTATCAACAGGCGTGACTTCTTCTCTTACAACTGAACCAATAACACTGGATATCCCTCCTCTTACCACCGAACCATCAACAGTGAGGACTCATGTCCTTACCACTGAACCATCAACCGTCAAGACAACTGTTCTAACCACTGAACCATTAAGAGTCGAGACAACTGTCCTGACCTTTGAATTATCTACAGCAGAGAACACTGATCTAATCATGGAACCATCAACAGTTGAAACTACTGCTCTTACCACTGAACCATCTACAGCCGAACCTACTGTTCTTACCAGTAAACCATCAACAGACGTGACTACTTCTCTTACAACTGAACCAATAACAGTGGAGACTGCTGCTCTAACCACTGAACCAATAACAGTGGAAACAACTGTTGTTGCAACTGAACCATCAACAGACGTGACTACTTCTCTTACAACTGAATCAATAACAGTGGATCCTCCTCCTCCTCTTAACACCGAACCATCAACAATGGGCCGTTTCCTTACCACTGAACCATCAACCGTCGAGACAACTGTTGTAACCACTGAACCATTAAGAGTCGAGACAACTGTCCTTACCTTTGAATTAACTACAGTCGAGAACACTGATCTAATCATGGAACCATCAACAGTTGAAACTAATGCTCTAACCACTGGACCATCTACAGTGGAACCTACCGTTCTTACCAATGAACCATCAACAGACGTGACTACTTTTCTTACTACTGAACCAATAACAGTGGAGACTGCTGCTCTTACCACTGAACCAATAACAGCGGAAACAACTTTTGTTGCAACTGAACCATCAACAGTGGATACTCCTACTCTTACCACCAAACCATCAACAGTGGGGACCATTGTCCTTACCACTGAACCATCAACAGTCGAGACAACTGTTCTAACCACTGAACCATCGACACTCGAAACAACTGCCCTTACCACCGAACAATTAACATTGGAGACTAGTGTCCTTATCACTGAACCATCAACAGTGGATACTCCTACTCTTACCACCAAACCATCAACAGTGGGGACTCTTGTCCTTACCACTGAACCATCAACAGTCGAGACAACTGTTCTAACCACTGAACCATCGACACTCGAAACAACTGCCCTTACCACCAAACAATTAGCATTGGAGACTAGTGCCCTTACCACTGAACCATCAACAGTGGAGACAATTGTTCGTAGTACTAAACCGGTAACAGTAGAGATTACTGTTCCCACTGCTGAACGATCAACAGTTGAGACTGCTTTTACCACTGATCCTTCAACAGATGAGACAACTGTCGTCCCTACTGACCCAATAACAGTGGAGACAACTATACTTACCACTGACAGAGTTGAGACAGCTGCTTCGAATACTGTTAAATCAATACTTGAGAATGAAAATCTTTCAACATCTGGCTGGCTCAGTACAGATGCTACTGGACATTCCTTTGCTTCCACAGCTTTCAAAAATCGTACATGTGAGTTTTTATTTAGCTTTCAACGATTCAATTTGCAGAACTTTATTTTCATTTAATACACATGTAAAACATTGTGTTGTGTTGCTTTCCACTGCTATATTTTTTGTTTTGTTGCATTTAGGCCAATATTCAAGTTTAGTCCAGTATCCAAAAATAGTTTCCTATTGTATGCAATTTTAATTGTGCCAGTCAAGTTGCATTGATATTCACCTATATGTCAGTGTTACGACCCTGGAGTTAGTACTTGTAGAGGCATTATCTTGTGCTTGTAATTCTAAGCTTAATTTGTTCTATTGCAATCTTATCTAATCCTCTAAATTCTAGTGTGAAATAGTATAACCTGTTCTTTTGTACTCTTTTACTGAATTGTAATTATTTTCTTATTTGCAAAGCTTTCAATTCTACTGCATTATCTACGGATGTAACTACTGAGACAACAGCAGCCCAAACATCTATCACTAACACTGAATCAGCAACATTTCAGTCAAGTACCACTGATACTACAACAATACTATCCAATAGTAATATCACTGATGCCACAACAGTGCAGTCAAATAGCAATACAGCTGATTCCACAACAGTGCAGTCAAGCAGCAATACAACTAGTGCTACAACAATGCAGTCAAGTAGTTATACCACTGATGCCACAACAGTGCAGTCAAGTAGTTATACTACTGATGTTACAACAGTCCAGTCGAGCAGCAATACCACTGAGGCCACAACAGTGCAGTCAAATAACAATACAACTGATGCCACAACAGTTCAGTCAAATAGTAACACCGCTGATTCCACAACAGCACAGTCAAATACCAATACCACTGATGTTACAACAGTACAGTCAAATAGCAATACTACTGATGCCACAACAGCACAGTCAAATAGGAATACCACTGATGACACAACAATGCAGTCAAATAACAATACAACTGATGCCACAACAGTTCAGTCAAATAACAATACAACTGATGCCACAACAGTTCAGTCAAATAGCAATACAACTGATGCCACAACAATGCAGTCAAATAACAATACAACTGATGCCACAACAGTTCAGTCAAATAGTAACACCGCTGATTCCACAACAGCACAGTCAAGTACCGATACCACTGATGTTACAACAATACAGTCAAATAGCAATACTACTGATGCCACAACAGCACAGTCAAATAGCAATACCACTGATGCTACAGCGGCACAATCAAATACCAATACTACTGATGCTTCAACAGCACAATCAAATACCAATACTACTGATGCAACAACAGCACAATCAAATAGCAATACTACTGATGCAACAACAGTACAGTCAAATAGCAATACTACTGATGCAACAACAGCACAGTCAAATAGCAATACGACTGATGCAACAACAGTACAGTCAAATAGCAATACTACTGATGCAACAACAGCACAGTCAAATAGCAATACGACTGATGCAACAACAGTACAGTCGAATAGCAATTCCACTGATGCTACAACAGCACAGTCAAATACCAATACTACTGATGCAACAACAGCACTGTCAAGTAGCAATACTACTGATGCAACAACAGTGCAGTCAAATAGCAATATTACTGATGCTACAACTGCACAGTCAAATACCAATGCTACTGATGCAACAACAACACAGTCAAATAGCAATACAACTGATGCCACAACAGCAAAGTCAAATAGCAATACTACTGATGCCACAACAGCACAATCAAATAGCAATACCACTGATGTTACAACAGCACATTCAAATAGCAATACCACTGATGCTACAACAGCACAGTCAAATAGCAATACTACTGATGTTACAACAGCACAGGCAAATAGCAATAGTACTGGTGCAACAACTGCACAGTCAAATAGCAACACTACTGATGTTACAACTGCACAGTCAAATAGCAATACTACTGATGCCACAACAGCACAGTCAAATAGCAATACTACTGATGTTACAACAGCACAGTCAAATAGCAATATGACTGATGCAACAACAGCACAGTCAAATAGCAATACTACTGATGCCACAACAGCACAATCAAATAGCAATACCACTGATGTTACAACAGCACAGTCAAATAACAATATGACTGATGTTATAACTACTGCTATTCTGTTTGAAAGCACAACCACTGAACCAGTCAAAGGTGAAAAAATTGTTGTAACAGCTGCACAAATCTCTAGACATATATTCGTAATACCATAACAGTAATAACTGTTTCACCAGCAACACTGGAGTCAAATAGTTCTACTGTTTCACCAACAACACTGGCGTCAAATAATGTTTTTGATTAATTCATCAACAACAGTACTGTTTCACCAATAACACTGGCATCAAATAGTTCTACTGTTTCACCAACAACACTGGAGTCAAATAATGTTAGTGTTTCACTAATAACACTATACTAGTAGTCAAATAGTTTCACTCTTGTTAAATGTAATGTTAGTTCAATGATCACTCTTCCTTAGTGTAACATTAGTTTGACAATCATTCTCTATGTCTTAATTATGTTGATGCATGATCACATGCAGAACAGTAAGTGCATGCTAACAGAATTACTGTATTCCTCTGTTTTGTCCTTCCACATTCTCTTCTTTACTTTAGGTATTGTATGGACACAAATTTATGTAATTTCTGTGTATTTTTATGTCATCACCAGAATTTATTGTCATAGTATCCAACTTTTTGTGGAGGCGATTGATGTTTTGCATTCAGCGTCTGTAACAGGCTTCTGTAACAAATGACAGGTGGTGACATTTAGCATGTTAATACCTTGTTATTATTAAGATCATATTTTCATATTATATCATTTTTTAAATTTAACTTAAATTAAAATGTATACAGACAATTCAGACATTTGCATGTTTTGGATAATCAGTATTACTATTGATTGGGAGAAATTAACTTATCCTGAATTTAATGTATTTGTAGAGGATTACTGCATCGGCCATGCATGTTTGAACAATGCAACATGCATTAGTGATGTCAGCTCATCCAGCAACTACACATGTGTGTGTATGTCTGGATACACAGATCCAATGTGCTCAACAGGTAAGAAAATCTTAAAAACACATAATATGACCAAAACATAATGTACCAAAAGGCATACTAAGAGAAGCAATGTCCATTTTAGATTTCCATACAGGAAAGTGCCATCATATAGACATGTATTAAGAAAACCCACATTTTACATAAATCAAGAACTTTAATAAATTGTATGTTTTTGACTTAAAAATGGGATTGTATGAACTTGACAAAATCTGCCAGTTGTATATAATATATTATGATATAATGAACAGTTATATGTAATACCATTATATCATGAACATAAAATATCAATTTGATGATTCTAGTGCAAACTACAGAAGGTATGGAGGTGTCTGAATTAATACAAAAACTAACTTTAGTCATTAGAAAATAGAAATGTTATTCATCATTATGTAACACTGTGGACATTTTAGAAACAGGCCGGAATAGGTATATCTCTCAATTCCATTTTAATACATTGTAATAGAATAGCCTAGTGAATGTATTTTGCAAAACATTGCATGAGTAATATTATAATTCATTTAATGGTTTTAAGGATATTGCTTTCCAAGTCATATTGCTTATTTACATGAATATGCACATATTAGTAATCCCGCGCATCATTTTAATCGCACTTTTTCAAAGTGTTATATTGTCATTTGCTGATTTGTCTGTCTGTGCAGGCAGGGAGATGCCTCAAACATATTGCTTAAAGAACTTCTCATATTTAAATGCACTTTAAATTTATTATTATCGTAGAACATAATCTATTTTCATTTTTGGCGATATGATTTTAATTTAATTTGCCACCATTTTTATTGCTTTTCTAGAGGAGTTTTTAATTAAATAAGAACATATTTGATAGAATTACTATCAGAGAGTGATTTTATTAAAAAAATGTAAGCAGATGTTTTCTGATATTAATGAACAGACTTAATAATAATGACAATGTTATTTGCATAAAAGTTAGTGTATGCTGTTTATGTCATATAACTGAGCATTTACATTCCTGAACTCTCATACGTTGTAGAAATTGATGAGTGTGCCACTATGCAGCCATGTGCTAACAACGCAACATGTACAGATATGGTAAACGACTACTTCTGTAACTGCACAGCCCTCCCACAATTCTATGGGAAAAACTGCTCCCTAGAAATAATTGGCGCTGATGAGTGTGCCCCCCAGCCCTGCCAGAATGGGGCCAGTTGTACAGATGGTAATTTTGCTTACACCTGTGACTGTTTACCAGGATTCACTGGCATTAACTGTGAAACAAGTGAGTATATAAGAACATGTATGATGCTCTTGATAAACTGATTATAATGCATGGGGAATTTGTTAAATCTTGTTTATTTCTGTGGAAATTGTCATTCGCAAGAACTTGTATATGCATCATATATGCATCAATGTATCTGATTATCGAACTATGGGCAGAATCATTAAACATATTCTATATTGTCAGCTTGAATGCTAATAAGAGAACTATTAAATAGATTTTATTTTGTATATTATTTATTTATCTTATATATTTTTAAATGTTTTAGATGTTGATGAATGCGCATCCAATCCATGCGTGCGTGGTAACTGCTCAGATGGAGTGAATATGTTCTCATGTATGTGCCCATCTGGATATACTGGACCAACCTGTGACATCAGTAAGGGATTTACTACTATACTCAAATTTACCTAGACCATACATACTCATTCCTCACCATATACTTTAAATTCAACCCCATATACTTTAAATTCAACCCCATATACTTTAAATTCAACCCCATATACTTTAAATTCAACCCCAACATTTTCTGGCTTGAGATATGGTACATTAAACAATATTGTCTAATACTATGATTCAATGGAGATACAAATGGATATTTATATGGAACAGATTAATTGTTTAGCCAATTAGAATGTCGGGCTTCTCAGATACCAACAACGTGATGGTTACAGAAAATAAAAACTAAGTTAAATTAAATCTATTTAATGTATAATGTTGCCTGATTTTAAATGTATTTATTCAGACATTATGATTTTATTATTGAGACACTATTGTTATATTATTGTATGTTATGTAATGTGATTGCAGACATTGATGACTGTGCTAGCAACCCCTGTATGAATGGGGCCACATGTATGGACATGGTAGATGCCTTTATGTGCATGTGTGCACCAGGCTACACTGGAATGAACTGCTCAACAAGTAAGACATACTGTTTTTGAGTTCCTTTTCCTTAACTTTTTTTGTATAATTTAATAAGTAGCCCATCATTTATTTCTTAACTGTGATTTTAATAGGACACATGACAAGCTATTGCAATCATTCATTTGAATGACACATACTGCACATATTGATGAGTGATATTTCATAATTACACATATTGATGAGTGATATTTCATAATTACACAAAACACATATTGATGAGTGATATTTCATAATTACACATATGGATGAGTGATATTTCATAATTACACAAAACACATAATGATGAATGATATTTCATAATTACACATATGGATGAGTGATATTTCATAATTACACATATTGATGAGTGATATTTCATAACTACAAAAAACACATAATGAAGTGATTTTACATAATTACACACATTGATGAGTGATATTTCATGATTACACATATTGATAAGTGATATTTCATAATTACACATATTGATGAGTATTATTTCATAATTACAGATATTGATGAGTGTGCAAGTGTAACCTGCCAGAATGGAGGTAACTGCACAGATGGCATTAACATGTTCACATGTAACTGCCCTACACATGTCTCTGGAACAACTTGTGAAATATGTAAGTATCCATTTTCTGAGTTATTATGCCCAAGTCTCAATAAATTGTTAATACGTATATACAATATTAATGAGTTTATCAATGCAATATTGATTATATTGATAGAATGATTACATCAGTCATAATTGTACACATTAAAGAACTGATGTGTTTACAACTAAAGCAAGTGTATATGTACCTGTTTATGCACTGGAATACATGCACACATGTATATACAGGTTAAGAAACATACAATTAAGTAATTGTATTGAAATGATGCACAGAAATTACTTTCAAATTCAACAGAATAAAATAAGATTTCATTTCATAGTAGAACGTGATATAGAGATAATGTATAATTATGTTATTAAGGAATAAATTGAAGATGAATTGAAAAAATAAATTATATTAAAAGATTAAAAACAATATATAATATAATATGCATTTCTTTTAGTGGAACCTTTCTACACTGTATGGGGAGCTTATTCTAACTGTAGTCTCGAGTGTGGAACAGGGTCAGTACGAACCCGATCACGCAACTGTACCAACATTCAGGGAACTATACTCGATTCTGGAAATTGTAAGGGAGTAGGACTTGGTGAACCAACAAGCACCCAGGCATGTAGTGTCCCAGAATGCATCTGTAAGTACCTCTCTCATTTCCTCCACTGTATTCCATAAAATATATTTTTAAGTACAGTGCTTGAAACTAAAAATAAAATATGTATTGATTATTTATTACCTGTCATCTTGAAATAAAATCATTGATGAATTATGTTTATAAATAAAGAATATTTTTATCTTGTATTATTTATTAATGTTACAATGAAAACAGATTGTACAGATTTTGGTGGCTCGCAATGGCTTTATCTACAACATTTTTAAACGCAAATATTATTAAATATTTAATCAATAAGATGAAATATGTATGAATAAGTGTTAATTTCTACCATGGATATATTTTAGCTGCTTATAATCCTTGCACGGATCCAACCTCCGCCTACCCCTGTGGAATGCATAACTGCAGTGTCATTGACAATTCTGGCAACTACCAGTGCATCTGCCAACCTGGCTACACCAATGAAGCTAATGCCAAAGTCTGTGTTGGTAAGTAACTTCATCTGCTCTTATATAGGTTCATAAAATCCCTTCACATATCCAAGCATAAAATGGTTTAATACTTGATAAATCATAATAATTTGTTGTCGCATCTTATGACATCATAAGTTCTTTACCACATTGTCAACTTCTGTTTTTGTAAAATGTAAATGTTAAACTATAAAATAACTGAGATCTCTTTTTTTTACAGATGAAAATGAATGTAGTTGGGGTTTGAATGATTGCTTGATGCCCGGAGGCAATGGCTTCATGACAGGAGTCAGCGGTTGTGTCAATTCTGCGGGAAGCTATGAGTGTACATGTGCTCCAGGCTACACGTCAAACGGACAAAGGTAAGTCCAAATATAATTTACAATTTTAGAGTAAAAGTGCCACAGTTTGAAAATTGGGATAATAATTCTTTGCTAGTGCGATTTACCAGTTTGTATACACTGTAACATTAAAAAAAATTAGAACATTTGTTTCTTGTCACTATAGGAGCTGTGTAGATGTTGATGAGTGTTCATTACCATCAATGAATGACTGTGATACATCTGGAAGAGCTACATGTATGAATATGCCTGGATCATACTCTTGTGCATGTAGTGCAGGCTTCACTGGAGCGGGAACAACTGGAACATGTATAGGTACATAAGCTATAATGTCAATTTCTTTTGTAGCAACCTGTTCTATTTTGTGTCATTTCACAGATTTTCAACAAACGTTCTCAACAAATTGTAGAAGAATACTGATATATGACATACTCAAATGTCTGATGGCTATCATATTTCCATATGAGCAACAGTCAATGGTAGCAAAACAATTAGAAACTCTTGACTGACCAAAATGTGATGTGCTGCATGCATTGTGCTTTCTCCACTTCAATTAAATCGTCATTTACATGCATATGCATTTTTCAGAGGATCGTCTAAAGGACTTCAGTGGTCATAGTAGACTGTCTTACACAGATGCCAGCACCCCCCTCATCTCTGACCTGTTCTGCCCCATGTATGGTTTCGCTGTTGGTAATGCAATCTACCCCTGTCTTTATGTAAGTAACTCTTAAACATTTGTGTGTTGATCAGAGATACTTGAATTAATTTACAAATGCATGACTAAACTATATTTCAAAATATATAGCAAAACATGTGAAGTTAATTACTCACTTAAATAATTGAATTTTGATTAATAATACATGTATGACACATAATCCTAAATTATCACTTACAATTTTATTGTTTCAGTTCACACAACATGGTGTCATTGCTTTCACTACAAGCACAGCATCATCTGACCCACGTCGTGAGTTCAGAAGTGCTTCCAGTGTCCCATTGAGCAGTTACCTGTTCCCAACAGGGTACAGTGAGGAAGCCCTTGTAGCCCCTTACTGGACTAAAACCATCCTTCTTGATGCTAATGTGAGTGTTTGAAATTCATTCAAATCCATTTATTTTCTACAATATTATTCCAAAATCAGAAAATCAATTCTATAGCTGACAGATGTAAAATGAATTGAATAAACCATCAAGATATGTTTAATGAAAATCTAGTTGCTATTGTAACAATAAAATATGAATACATTTTAAATGAAACTCACTCAAGTGTTTAATTTGCATATACAGAATGGCAGAGGTGTCTACCACCATGTTATGAACAGTACTGAGTTGACTATGATGGCAACCATGAACAGCAATGCCTTGGCTAGTACATCACTAAGTGGTTTCATGCCCAATTTTGGACTTGTTATCACATGGAACAAACTTCAATACAGTTCCCAGGAGCCTAACCAGGTAAGGCTGGCCAAGAATCCTGGATATTTCAGTGATAGTGTTTCAGTAGTGTGATTTTTTGCTTTAACATTTTGATCCAGCTCAAGATGACAATATTATTTATTCAACTACCTTTTCAATTTTTATTTCTTCCCAGGATGGACCATATTGAAATAATTTCATGATTTAAAGATTTAAGAATAAATACTGTACATAGCAAAAATGTTAATCAGTTAGGTTATTTATTTTGCTTTATCCATATTTTTATTATTATTACATTTTAGACTGTTACTTTCCAAACTTCAATTACCACAGATGGCATAAACACAATTTCCAAAACAGTATACGCTGACCGTGGAATGAACTGGAACCTTGTTCTCAACAAGGCAACTACACCCAACGCTCTTATCCGAGTTGGATACACAAGGGTGGATGCTCAGGGTAACCATTTTGGTAATGAATGGGAGTTCTCATATGCCGGAGTAGAGAATAAGACCATGATTGAACAAATTGATGCCCAAGATCTGAGTGGAGTTAGTAGTATGTCCACGCAAGGAAATGGCCAAAGTGTATCTTTTCTGTCAATGAATGATCCAACCACATTCATAAACCCTGCACTTTCCTGCAATCAATGGTTGATGGATGACGGCATGTTCTTTGGACAATGTAAGTATACCTCAGACCAACAGGGACTGCTAGGATAAATATTTTGAAAGGGATACACTACAACCAATAGTAATCACATTTAAGAAATATAAAATTAATTTGTTGTCTTTTTCTATTTGTTTGTATGTAACTTTCTTCATTCAGGAAAAAGATTATTAACAAATAATGAAATGTGAAATCACAAATACTTAAATTCCTCAACAGAAACTCATCCATGATATTGATTAAAACTTCTTAATTCAGTTTATCTTAAGAAATTAGGAAAAAAATTCAAACTAAGGATCATTATTAAATGTCCATTGTATCATATTTCTGACATTAGAGACACAATAGACCTCTGTATTGTTAGACAAACAAAAACTTAACAATGTCTATTCACATTTCTTCCAACAAACAGCCTTTGCCGCAGTGTGCCCAGATGCTTATTCTCAAATCACATCCTCCTGGAGGCTATTCAAGACAGGTATGATGGGTAGCCGTGAAGTTGAATGCTATCGTCAACAATTCCCTATGGAGATGGACAACAATCAGGTTATTACACCAAGCTGTTGTTACTATAGCAACAACACTGTAACCAATGGTGATTTATCAATGGTGAGAGTTTCCAGTGTCAATAAAATGAACCTCCTACAAAGGTATGCAAATGGTACAATGGAGGCCATGGCAGATATGACGGCATATGAACAGTGCTGCATGCAGTCTGATCTACATTGCTTGGCTTTTCTGGAACATCGACCTATGTCCAACTCTGACAACTTCGAGGCACCTGGAGTTGGTAAGCTTTAATTCTTGTTCGAATATTATGTAAAGTCTTGTGGTCAGAAAGAACTATTGCAAAAAGAAATATTGCAGACTCAATAATCTACACTTATTGAATAATCAGTACTTAAATTAAGTTCATATTTTATTAGATAGTACCATACATGTGTAGCCCCACTCGGCCCACCTAAATTGTATCTATAAATCTTTCTTCTTGCCTACCTTAACAAAACTATTTTTACCCATAGCTGGTACCTCTGGTGACCCTCACGTAACTACACTAGATGGCGCCACGTATACATTCAATGGATTTGGTGAATACACATTACTGAAGTCTGCTACTGACTATTTCACACTCCAAGCCAGAACTATGCATGCCGTGACAACGCGAAATATCTCTTTGGCAACAGTGTTTAGCTCAATAGTTGGCCAACAGATTAACCCAGGATCAACCAACAGTGACACTGTGGAGCTAAGGATGAATGCCAATGGAGATGGGATAGGTAAATTAAAGTCACTGACAGTTTGATCACATGTTGAAATATACAAATGAAAATTGATCCTTCAAATGATATTGTCTCATTGGATTAAACCAATCTTCAATCCCTCTTAGTAAGTAATCTATATGTATCTCAAATTCCAGATGTATACGTCAATCAGGTTCTAGATTCCTCATCTGATTACACTGGAGATGGCACCACCTTCCACAAGGTTGTTGTTAAGGACACACCTGGGGTCACTGGCTCTATGTCGATGATCTTCAACACTAATGTGGAGGTCCGTGTAGCTGCTGCTCTTAACATGACAACTGTAACAGTCGCAGCTCCTGCATCATGGAAGGGAAATTTTGCAGGTATTATAAATCTTAAGATTTTCTTAACTTCTTTGATGTGTAATTGAAATTCTTGTATAATCATATTTTGAAATTCAAAGAAATTGACTGTATTATCTGTTTGTGCATTTTTATTTGACTAATGGTAATAACAAAACAAGAATTTAAAGAAAAGAAATTAAAGATCATTGAAATGTATAGGCTCGATTTAAAAAGATGTACAAGCAAAATGGCAATAGCAATTTTATATAAACTTTGTATTCCTATTTAAAGTTAAGCCAAGAGTTTTTTGTGTTTCACATATTACATGTAAGTGATTTTTAACCTCCATCAAATCAACTTTTTAAAAAGTAATGTAAATAACAGAGTGATTACCAAACAATTATCATTTATAGGTTTGATGGGCAACTTCAATGATGACATGAATGATGACATCGCCTACCCCAATAGTACATCAATCTCAGTCAACTCCACTGAGGAGGATATCTTCTATGTTGCCAAGGAATGGGCTATTGATCCAGCAGACTCTCTCTTCCAATATGAGAATAATGATACTGCAGAGACCTATGGAAATGCTTCATATGTGCCACTGTGAGTACTTTTGAATTTTGTGTATATATAATATGAAATATGCGTCTATAATGTTTTCTAGTAGAGCACTCTGTCTATGAATTCATTTGTTTGTCCATGAATGATGTAATTAATGTGAAAATCAAGTTTATTTAAGAAAATGGTAATATTATACTGTGACATATTTTTGATACATAAAATAACTCAGGGCTTGGTGTATGTTTTATGTCATCTTATCTGTTTGTGTTTATTTTGGATCCATCATGAGATTATATAAAATAATACTATGCACAGCTTATGCACAGCCAAACACCACCAGATTTATTGTAATTCTGTGCTACAATAATTGTAATTTGAATTGAATGCAGTCATTGAGTTGAGCTATTTTTCTCTCCAGGTTTTACAACATCGACACCATGTTCACTGATAATGCTACAAAGAATGCTGCAATTGCTACTTGTGGTGGAATGGAAAACCTAAACCGTGAATGTATGTTTGATATTGCTCTGACTGGTAACCAGGATGTAGGTTCAGCTACTGCAGCGGCTGGAGCAGCTCTTACATCTGAGAAGGCAACTCTTGGTATGTGAACCGCTTTCAAATTATGTCAGACATGACTAATTTTATGACATGACTATTTATAGTGTACAATGCCAATATGTAAATAAAAAAGCATGTTCCATGAAAGAATGGGATTTCAAGAGAAGGGTATGCAACTCTGTGTAATAAACATGAGAACTCCAAAATGAACAGTGCCATGCACTTTTTTGATAATATTTCAAAGAGTTTTAGAAAAATGTATGTTTTAGTATTCTCTTGAAGAAGAATCAATTTTGAATATGATCAAAGCTTAAACATGTTTAATCTCATTAAAAGTAATCATATCAAATTATCTTAAGAAAAAGAGGTGTCAAAATGTTCTCTTTGAATGTTGCATTGTGGGTAATTATTTAAGAACACATTCTAATAAAAATATAATTTGTGGGGGAATGTTCACCTTCATTATTGCCATAATTATGATGAATATCCATTTTATATTAAATTATCAATATGTATTCAGATAATCATGTTTTTATTTTTGAGTTATTTCTTAAATCATTCATGAAAAGTACAAATTAAGATTTTTCTTGGAATGTGTACAGGAAACATTTTTCTCTAATTTTGAAAACCCAAGGCAATACTTATGAATGAACTATGGGAAGTTGCATACCCAATAAAGATACAATGGAAATTGAAATGAAATATATAATTGACTATGCTTTGCTATTCTAAAGGTAACTTCCCACCAGTGATCCAGGATGCTAACACCACTGTACTAAATGTTGTTGGTGGAGCAGACCTCGACCCAACCCTGACTATTGTTGCAGTGGACCCTAATGCTGGTGACACTGTCACATACTCGCTTGGAGCTGGAGCACCAATGGGTGAGTGCATACTGTACATGATTTGTCTGGTTAATTAGTTTTACTATACTAAATGCAGCTGAATGAAAAAGCCAAATTATGCCAAAAAAGCCCATTTTTTAGGCCCTACAAAATTTCCGGATCCGCCACTGATTTTGTCCAAGATTCTTAACCATAGATGTTGAGTACATACATTTCAAATTTTACTTCGAGGCATTCAATTTTAGGATTAATTTCAAAACTGAGAACCATTAGGTTACTCAATTCAGCAGATACTTTTTTTTATAAAATATAATCACATATTTCTTGATCCACAAAGTCATTTGCATTATAAATATTGTTTCAAGGTGTGAGCATAAACTCTGCCTCTGGGGTCCTCACCTGGACATCTGTACCCTCCAACTTGACCACAAATGATTCAGTGACAATCATTGCTACTGATGGCACGGCAACATCCTCCGTCACACCACCTATCAACCTCTGTCTTTGCCAGGTATGGTATATTAAGTATAACATTGAAATACTGCAATTTCTGTGATATATTTTTATAAAAACATGATTTAGATATGGTATTTTAACATCATATGCCCTTTGAATATACAAAAGCATTAACAAAGCTTTGGTTAAGTTTAGTACTTCATTAAATATAGATGCCTGTGAAATCATATGTTCAAGCCCCTTACTATATACATGTACTGTACTGTACTGTAATGTACTGTATTAACTCTATTTATTGCCTTTCACTTCAGAATGGTGGCACATGTGTGTATGCAACTGGCACTACTGGACTCACTATGGCTACATGTACATGCCCAAGTGGGTTGGAAGGAGACTACTGTGAAACAGATATCGATGGTTGTTCAGATAACCCATGTTTCACAAATGTTGCATGTTTGGATGTTGCTGCCCCAGGCACTGGATTTACATGTGGACCTTGTCCAATCGGATTGGTTGGGGATGGATCAATCTGTACTGGTAAGGAATAAGGAGATTCACATTGACCATTTTCATGTTATGTTTTGAGCAGTTTTTTTCTAGTAGACTTAGATATAACAAATTGTAGAGAAGAATATCCGAAAACATCACTTTATTTTTTAAAATAGAGTATTCATTTGCATACTTATTGAACATCCCTCACATGTAACTGCATTTTTGATTTAAAGAAATGATTATGTTTTTGTTCCCCAACAGATGAGAATGAGTGTTTGGCAGCAGTATCCCCATGTTCTCAGACATGTGTCAACTTGGCTGGCAGCTTCCAGTGTCAATGTGACGACGGTTACATCCTCAGTCCTGATCTCACTACATGTCTTGATAATGACGAGTGTCGCCAGGGAACAGATAATTGTTCCCCAAATGCCGCTTGTGCCAACACAGTGGGCTCATTTACATGCACATGCAACCCAGGATACTCTGGAACTGGAGATGTATGCGCTGATGTTGATGAGTGTCTGGTGAGCAATGTATGTGGAAACAACGCCATATGCACAAACAGTATAGGGAGCTATATGTGCACATGCCAGCTTGGTTACTCCATGGATCCAATCAGTGGTCTCTGTGTTGAGATTGATGAATGTCAAGGTGATCATGCTTGCTCTCAAGTCTGTGTTGATGGCGTCGCTATTTACACATGTGCTTGTAATACTGGATTCACTCTTGACCCAACTGATGCTATTACATGTATTCCTGATAACGTTTGTGATAGCTCTCAGAATGCCACATGTTTGGACACTGGGGACATTGCATCCAGCTGTGCTGTTGTAAATGGAGAGGTGACGTGCATCTGCCCCCCAAAGTATGTCCTGAATGGAAACAACCAGTGTGTGGGTAAGATATTTTTGTTTAGTATATGATTTTTGAGGTACATGTATGTGTGCAGTTCAATTTAAATAGTTAACCATAGTTCAAGGCGGGATGGTTTGTCACTTCCTGAATTCATATGATACAGAGTAAAATTAGTAAACATTGTACTTCATGAAAAGTGTAGAATAAATAAAGCAACTACAATATTTACATTACTTTCCAGACATTAATGAGTGTTCAACAGCCAGTGGAAACCAATGTAACCTAGTTACCAGTACCTGTAACAACACAATAGGCAACTACCAGTGTGACTGCAAGCCTGGCTTCCAACTGGGTATAGATGGCAGGAGCTGTATTGATATTGATGAGTGTGCTACCAATACTGATAACTGTGACAACAGTAATGGAGTATGTACAAACCTTGAGGGAAGCTTCAGTTGTGGATGTACGAGTGGATATACTCTCAATGCTAATGGCACCACATGTGATGGTATGTTCATTTTCACATATATGATAATTTACTTGCTTTCTCATTCTTTGGCCAATTTATCTGATTTGCATAAATAGATATATTCTTACTTACAGGTTAGACATATATCATCAACAATATGAAACAGTAAAAAATTAAATATGCTTTCACTCTAAAGTAGCCAACATCTTAATAAGTCATATGGTTTTGTTTGTTGGACACTAAATTTAATACATTTTCATCATTTGCAGATGTTGATGAGTGTGCTAGCCCTATCACCAATGACTGTGACGCCAACTATGGTAATTGTACCAACAGTCCAGGCACATATCAATGTACTTGTAATACAGGATTCACTGGCAATGGAATCGTTTGTGCAGGTAAGCAGTTTGGGCAAGAGTGCTTCATTGAATAATCAGTCTGAGCAAGATTTGAATCATTTTCAATATGCTAATTATCCCATCAAACGAAGGATTGTGTAAAAATGGCAGCCATGGCTGTTCGATGGGAATTGCTATGCTTTGTCACTGCTGTTATCTAGTTATACTATATATGGCTTTAACTTTGCTTAATAAGGGTTTGACAAGTAATATTTTATGTAAATTCTCAATATTGCTATAGTTTCTTTGTTAAAACAATGAAACACAAATACAGAATTGATAATGCATAAATAGCCCATTGACTACTAAAACATATTTGGGCATAGCTTTCCTGTAAAGTAAGATGAAATAAATATCTCTTTTCATTTCCATACAAGAGAGGTGTATGAAAACATAATTTCATGTTTTATTTTCTATTGTAGATGAGAATGAGTGTTCTCTACCCAACCAAGGAGGTTGTGTCCAGGGTTGTGCCAATAGTATTGGCAGCTTCACCTGTTTCTGTGGCAACGGTTACACCCTGAACGCTGATGGTATGACTTGTGACGATAGTAACGAGTGTCTCAGAGAAGCTGATCATGGTTGCTATAGCAATGCCTATTGTACCAATTCTATTGGTTCATACACTTGCTCATGTCCTGCTGGATTCACCTTGGACACTGACTTTAGGACATGCATAGGTAAAAAAAAAATTCTATATGTGTACTGAGGTTCACATAACACAAGTTACATAAGTTGAAAGTTTGTTTTTTGTTGAACCAATCAATACTGGGCATTGCATCAAGAAGAATGAATAGTCTCACCATTACAAGGCCATGCTCAAATGCTTGTAAAAAATCAAAGGAAATTTTCAAATATACCTAGCCTATGTTGCATGTACCAAAGTATAAGGTTAATACACCTTCTGAATGTTCCTTACATGTGTTTTTCAGCTATCAACCAATGTGCATCCAACAATGGCTGTTCCCACACTTGTGCCTACCTTAATAACACAGACACTTGCCAGTGCCCCAAGGGACTTGAACTGGACAACACAGGCCTCAATTGCACAGGTATGTAGTACTTAATGTTGTGCATCTTATGTTATGTTGGATATGTAATTCATAGAACCGTATATGTATCATGAAATTGATATGTTTAATGGTGCATCTTCTGGAGGTCATTTCCAAAATAATGTAAACAATGAATTTCATGAATCATAAATTCACTTTCCAGAAATTGCCTTTTCTGGTAACCATACACCTGAGAACATGTATAAAATTATTTATTGTGACATATTTATGTTACAGATATTGATGAGTGTGCAAGTAACGCAACCAATCCCTGTTCTGCAAGCGACAATGTCATGTGCGTCAATACGTATGGATCCGTCAGCTGTGCCTGCAGCAACTCCACCTATTATCGACAAGTGGAAGCAAGGAAATGTATTGGTAAGTCTCATTTATATTAAGCCATCTTTTCTTCTTAAAGTTGATAGTTTATTAAACCCATGTGCTATACTAAATAAATACTATATAGTGTCCTACGTAAAGCCATTCTCTGCATCAGATGTTTCCTTTTATAAATCTATAAATTAATACCAAAGTTAGTCATTGACTGCATATTGTAATGGAGTTGTGACTTCATATTTCTATGCAGTTGTGAATACATATTTAAATACAGTTGTGACTATACATCTAAATGGATTTGTGACAACATATTTGAATGCAGTTTAACTACATACATGTACTTAGATGCTTTTATCATACATGTGAAATACGACATAATAATCCTCTCTCTTACTATGTGCAGATATTGATGAGTGTGGTGAAGGAACTGCTTCATGCCCCTCTAACTCACTATGTGTCAATGAGATGAATGGATATAGCTGCAACTGTGTCGCTGGATACACCATGACCAACGGTGTCTGTGTCGGTAAGAACATTAGATTGTTTCTGGGAGTCAGTAAATTAAATTGGCCAATGTGACTTAAACTTCAATGGTAGTACCAGTTTGGGTAGATGATACTAGCAATGTCAACAATGCATGAATTATTACAGTGGTGTTACATGCATCCACTGTGTCACATGTACCTGTATACAGTAAAACCTGTCTAACACCTTTGGTACCTCTAAAAAGTGTTCCACTTGGGAGGTGTTCCACTTATAGAGGTTCATTTAACATAAAGTAATTGGTCTTGAGACTCTGAAAAGTGTTCCACTAACAGAGGTGTTCCATTTCTGGGGGTGTTCCACTTAAAAGGTCATACATGTATGTTTACATGGTCCTACATGTTACATACTTTTGCAGATGATGATGAGTGTACAGCAAATACAGACAACTGCCATCCTACACTGGCTGAATGCACCAACACAGCTGGAGGTTACACCTGCGCTTGCATGACTGGCTACATGGGAGATGGTGTGACATGTATGGATATCAATGAATGTATTACCAACGATGGCGGTTGTGATGTCGCTAGAGGACGAGGAACATGTGTCAATTTTGATGGTGGCCACAACTGTACTTGTATTTCGGGATATGTAATTGATAATGTGGGACGTCTCTGTGAAGGTAAGGATATCATGATGTTTATCATTGTTTTTGTTATCCTGTTGAAATCTCTTATGGCTATATATTAAATTGGTGCTTTCATAATGTAAACATTCTTGAATTAATCATTGAACCAGATGTTGCACTATGTACACGTACCACATGACGATTTGACACTAATGATTTTTAATCAACATACAGCTAGCTACAAGAATTTTCTTTCAATACTTGCAGACATCAACGAATGTAACCCAGCAAACCCAATGAATGACTGCGTTCAGGATTGTGTCAACATAAATGGCGGTTACAGCTGTTCATGCCAAGTTGGTTTCCGATTGGCTGCCGACCAGAAGAACTGCACCGTTGAAGCAGAATGTCCTGCCAACAACACATGTAGCGACCTCTGTGCAATGGTGGCTGGCGTGGAGACCTGTCTTTGCCAGAACTCCTTCTACAAGTTGGACACTGACAACAAGACGTGTATTGATGTGAATGAATGCACCACAAATAACCCCTGCACTGGAAACAACACCCAATGTAACAACACCGTTGGAGGATACATCTGCGGATGTGTGAATCAATACTATTTGGCTTCTGATGGTCTCAGATGTGAAGATCGTAATGGCAACTGGGGGCCATGGGGAGGATGGGGCAACTGCACAGCAACTTGTGGAGGAGGATCATACAACCGTACACGTCAATGTAACAGCCCTAGCCAGGAAGGTTCAGGTTTACCATGCCCAGGAGCTGACACTGAAACTGCCATGTGTAATACAGAGTATTGCCCTAAATCAGAAGTTGAATCAAGCTATGGTGTGATTCTCACTATAAATGGTCTGACACCAACTCAGATTACGGCCATCCAGTCTGATATCATCACTGCTATCGTAGGTGGAATCAACAATTGGTGCAGTACCTCGGCAAACTTTGGTCAATGTTGCCCCAACTCTGGCACAAGGAACTCTTCAAGTGTACTAGCTTTCACCTCTTCTAACTTTGTACAGGTTGGAGAAGGTTATCCTCGATACAACTCCATGAATAAGTCACAAGTTCTCATTGTTGCTAAGTCCGATCTGAACAATGCTCTGTGCGCTGATGGAAGTATATCTACGAGGAAGAGAAGAGGTGGGTTATATTCATTAATTTTATAAGTTTTGAGTAATAAATATGTTATATTGTTAGTACCTCAGTGTAAATACTCGCATCTGATTGGTCAATTGGCGGTCAACATTTTTGCCTGTACCCCACCTGTGCATCATGGGATATCATATTATTGACTGCGTATGTTACTGTACTACACTTGTGAATTATGGGGAATATTACGTCATAATGTTTACAGAAAAAACATGGACATTTTGTAACGTTGATGAAAGTGATATTTTGACTTTGCTAGACGACAATTATAGCAAAAATACAAATAGAAACGTAAAATTAACATTAATTTACCAGTGAGTACGCAGTGATGTACCGAAAACAGAGAGTTTAGTTTATAAAAAATATTGCTGGCGTGGTTCGGAGAAAAGATTGTGAAATGAAGCCATGATTGATGACTGTTGTCTATATGTGTATTATTAGGTTTTTCGGGCTAACAAAACAATTGTAGACCTCTCCATTCGGTCAACCGTCAAAATCATATACCTCGACTGTAAACCTTGAAACTACTGTTGACCTCGACCTTCGGTCTCTGTCAACAGTAGTTTCTCGGTTTACAGTCTCGGTATACAATTTTGCCGGTTGACCTCTGGAGAGGTCAACAATTGTATACTGTATACACCATTTGATTTCTCTCTGTAGCCTAGTGTTAAAAATCCCTTATTGTGCCCTCAAGATAAACTTTCATTCGGGACTCTCATTGTGAGAATCCAAGAAGTTCCAAATTGTTAATAGTGTGCAAGATAGCCACAGTTTCATTTTGCACATCTGTGATATTCAGCTACATCTGTTCTATTTCAGCTGTGACTCTGAACAATGCTACAGAGTTTGCCCTCCCTGCCACTGTTCTTGAGACGATTGTGACAGACAGCACTGTACAAAACAGCATTGTATCAACAATCGCCATCACATATCCCTCCGCCAATATTACCATAATAACCATAGTGGCTAGTGCTGATCCTGATGACATCACAACAACAGTAAGATATTCTATTCTTCATAATATAATTGATTTAACATAAAAGCTGTATGACTTTTCCTATTGCATTATAGAGGATTATATGCAATTATGATTTCCTTTGAAAGTTTCACTATGTAAAAGAATATGAATACGTCTTATCTGTAACCTGTATTCAATCATTCACTGATTTAGTATGTAAAGGTTCTCCAAGAAAAATGTCACGATTTTAATATACAAATGTTTTACTGTATGTCATACATTTTCACATAGATTTATGCACTTAAATCCTCTACTTCTAGGTTGCCACGACAACTGTAGGTGCTGCTTGTCTTGCTACTGGGACATGTGCTGCAGCTGCATTGGAAGGATGGGTCATAGCTGTCGCAGTGGTTGGAGCACTGCTTGGAGTCATTCTCATTGTTGTCATAGTGATTGTTGTTGTCAAGAAGTAAGTCAGATCACAAATCTTGTTTATGATTTATTTATTCTTTGAGCGCTTTCATACATAAATAAATCAGAAGTAAAGTAACCTAGCAAAATATCATCAGAGTACAGTTTTTTTTATTAGAGCTTTAACAAATAGATGCTATTGTGTTATGCCTGATTCAAATGGAGTTACATCACATAAGATGGAGCTATATATTTTAAATCAATTGCAATAAGTCGCAAGTTATGCGTTATATGTGAATTAATGTTTGGCACCAACATATTTATCATATGAGTGTTAGCCCATGTGCTTATGATGAGTCTTGTTTATCTATGCAGGCCTGGAAAAGTTTCCTCTTCAACTGAATCTGTAGCTTAGAGTAAATACTTGCACATAATTTAAATACCTGCACTCAATGTAAATACTTGCAAATCAAAGTTGCTAGCTCAAATGTTGTAGTTTCTGACAATACTTCATAAATGAGAGAAATTATCCAATACAGTTTAAAACAGAGACCAGTACAGAAGATTTGAGAATTAAAGTGCTTTGCTTTATTCCATTAAACATGTACATGTAGTTTGAAATTGATCACATCATGTAAATTGTGTATCAAATCCATCCCTACTGTAGGAGAAAACACCATAGACAGAAATTACCAACAGTTTACATAAAACATTATTCATACCAGTGGTGGTGGGATGAGGTATGTACATTCACAAAATAAGAATTCTCAAATCTCTTTTGCTGTCTCTTGTTCTAGCTCCAGTGTTTTAAGACAAATAATAAACAAATAAATAAATTGATACACAAACTCAGAGCTAGACATCGAGCTAAGATAGCACTTATACTATGGAACTAGTAACACAACATATAAAGCACCACTGGTTCTTGTAGCACCGCACAATGTGCAGCACTGGAACTTGTAACACAATATTATGAGTCATACTGGAATGTGTATCAACGTTTTGAGTCACACTGGAATATGTAACACAACATTATGAGTCATACTGGAATATGTAACACAACATTATGAGTCACACTGGAATATGTAACACAATATTATGAGTCATACTGGAATATGTAACACAACATTATGAGTCACACTGGAATTTGTAACACAATATTATGAGTCATACTGGAATGTGTATCAACGTTTTGAGTCATACTGGAATGTGTAACACAACATTATTGGTCACACTGGAATGTGTAACACAACATTATGAGTAGCACTGAAACTTGAAACACAAGATTATGAGTCACAATGGAAATTGTGACAAAACATTTTGTATTGCACTTGAACATGTAACACAACATTATGAGTAGCACTGAAACTTGAAGCATAACATTATGAGTCACAATGGAATATGTAACTCAACATTATAAGCACTGGAAATTGTGACACAACATGTAGCTGTCATACTTGTAAAGCTCTAGTTCTCTTTGATATTAACATATGCAGAATTCATTATTCTTACAATTTTATGAAAAATTAATTAATTTTTTCCTGTAGGATCAGAACAAATTGTGTAAAGTTATCTACAAAGCAGGAGTCTAAACTATAATATCATACCTGAGCTATATTTTAAACATGTATTTTGCAATTGCAGACGCCCGACAAAGGTTAACCAGGACTCAAGAGAGAATGTGAGAGATGCAGAAGCAAATAGATCATCCTAATTCATCCTCAAGGTTCAATCCAAGGATGGACTCTACAGATCAAAAGCAACTGTGGATGTCCTTGAAAACTTACCTTAACTTTCAAGTTGCCAATTGTTAAACTGCAAAATGCAATAATCATTAAGTGTTTTAAGTTCTCTGTTAAAAAAATTTCAGAAAAAATTGTTATCAGGTGTTAAGGTATATATTTTGGTGTTAAGCCAAAGATTGCAGTTTTTCAAGATTTATGTACTCATAACAGCATTATAGTTATATTATTATATAGGAAATAGAGTTCCAGATTTATGTGTCAAATGTTATGTCGATTTCACTTATGAGTGCAATTAGGACTTTATTTCCTTGTGAGGACTGTAATTACTGTTCTAATCCGTCCAGAATGAATATTGTATACTGTAGTTGATCAAGTTAATGAAGGCCTCTTTCATATTGCCACATATTAGTTAGAAAATACAAATTGGAGGAAACTTGAAATGAGGAATGAATATTCGAGATAAAGTTAATCAGTGGAATAAAGAAACTGATAACTGCATCTACAAAGAAAACTGTGATATCAAAAACTGTATATTAATGTTTTTACACATGAGCACAATCATATTTTGCATAATATGATGAAATATCTATTCATAATGCAATGTATTAAATCTATTTTTGAATGTTAGGATATTTTTGTACAAGGAAAAAACATAGAAAAATGTTGAAACATGGAACACTTTTTAAATTTCTTTATATACATAACTAATACATATACATAATACATTCCATTGATTTTTCTTGCATAATTTATTAAGGCATAATAATTCTTGTAAAATTCCTTTTTTGTAAATGATTTACAGAATTTTGTTCAGATTTTAGTAAAAGTTTTCCATGTTTTGTTAAAAAAAATTTAAATAGATGTTGTGCTGTATTATTATACATGTATGTCTGCGTGAGAAAAACGTGTACACTTTGTTTGTAAAATGAGATAACTTATATTTTTAAATTTTGATGCAAAAAATTAAAAACTAAAACAAATTCAAATTGCCTAAATGGTGCACAATAACTTATAACTTAATTGTTATCTCATTTTATCAAATCAATCCTCAAACTTTTAAAGAAGTGTCATGTGATATGAGTCCATCATGTATGCAAAGTATTATACAGAGGACAATTTCTTTGAGGTGGGGAAAGTGTAACAAAAACCTCTCAAAGACCGACCAATGAGCTAGAGAGTGTACTAACGTTTAGTGTTCTGTCATGGTATCCTGATGTATCAATTTGGGAAGCCCCTACTTGCGATAGCATTTAATATCGATAACAAGCAAACTGTTGGTATTCATTGTACAGTACCATGGTCTCTGAAAAAACTAGTTTGTTTCAACATCATCATTGACTAGTTTTTTAAGAAAGAATATTTGTTTGTGATTGCCAATGCATATATATGTATATATCGATATAGAGTGGCTGCAAATGTAGGGCTGCACCCGAGTTGTATAGATGATCAGGTAGAGACATCTTTTGACTGCAGTTGAAACTAGAACATTAGGTTTGTCTTTCTAGAAAAACTTACCAATGATTTTACTCTCAACTGTGGGCACATTATAAATGAATTGTTTAGGAGTATCATCATCATTAAACACAGAGGCTTATATAAAGGTTTAATATACCTGGATAGATGTCGCCTGTGAAATCAGTTGAGAATGACATTGAGCATGGCAAGTACTTAACTCGCTCAAAGGTCGGTGTGACGCATGGTTTGTCGGCTGGACAGGGGTCACCCAGCAGCTTTGGCAACTTGTTGACCCATTTGATGGTCTTCAGGAGTGCATCAAGCTGTTTTTATGAAAGCTTAAAAATGATTTGCATACCTTGGTAAAAACTTCCATTTTGATTACTTTTATTTCTGCAGAAAATATTGTTAGAGAGTTCTTACATGTTGATGGTTCTTATGTATAGTTTTTAGGTGAAACGCAAGAAGATTTAATTTAAATGGAGTTTTTAAATGCATTTGGTTTAAGACAAACTTTTGTCCTTTTGAGATGAAAAAATAATGTGATTTGTATTTGATCACTGTTTGCTTGAAGCTGCTTGGGAACTAGTGGGAGTTTGTATTGTAAATAATCTATCACAATTTTAAATGTTGCATAATAGATTTGGTTACCATGGTAACTTTATTGTATCCAAATATACATGTATTCTGAATGAAATGCAATATATATGTTTGTACATAGTTAATGTATTATTCTAAATTAAAGTTGATGAAAATGACTATGTCTAACAGTGGCTGGTTAAACAGAGTTGTTTTCATATACTTTAATTTAATGAAATTGTAGTAAAAGCTCATGTTAAGGTTACCACTTAAAATGTATTTATTTAAAAAATAAGTCTAAAATGAATATCATATGTGGCGTGTGGTGGTCATATGTAGCACTTATGTGTTGACTAAATACATTTGGTGGAATATGTTTTAACATGTGCATTTACATTATATGTCACTTTATCAATTCAAGTACAATGGCATCAGCATAATAAGTATGAAATATGATAAACAATTCGAGTAATTCTAGAAAATGCTTGAACAGACACATTTTCCAAACATTCAGATTGTATTGAAATATGCAAGATGTTGATTGGGAAATTTTGTTATAAGGTCAAGGATTTTTTTAGTTTAATGAGATATCAGATTTCAGATTTGTTATCTGATGTATCAAAGTATGACAGATGTACCCTACAAGGGTTGAGGGGGCACGGTATGGTAGCGCCCCCTATAGGGCAGCTCCACCACTTATATAGCAACCCATAGACCTTTGGATGGTCCCAGACAGCGAATGAGGGCAAGCAGTTGGTTGGATACAAATTGTCTTTCATAAAACTCCAGGTCTGATAAAACACATACTAGTTGGAATAGACATTCTGGATTTTAAAATATATAAGAACTTAAAACTTGAAAATTTGTATATGGATAAAATCATTTATCTGATGAAATGTATTTGTTTCTTTTAATTTCATGTTTGTAAATGTTACATTTCAAATGTTTACCCTGTATTATGTTACTAAATTATAAAAATTATCTTAATGACAAATAAAGTATGAATCACCTGGAAACTACTTGGGTTTTGTTGCGGTTGACTATAAGAGACGTATGAGAGAATATCATTAAAACTAAGTATGGTGTGAAAAACATGGATATGACCTCAAATATTGTGGGTTTAGATGAGTATTCCAAATGTTTTAAAGTTGGATTATGTCAGAAGTTATTAACAAATGTATTATTGCCAAAATCTTTAGTTGAGACAGAGACATATAAAACAGAGATCTGTAAATCCCTCTGTGTCTATGAGGAATCATGATGTTTAACTCTTAATGAAAGGATTCCTGTAAACAACCTCCAAGTCTTGATGACTTGACTGCTTCACAAGCATCCTTTACATTGAAACTCTGCTGGGGAGGGTATCCTCACTTGTTAGCTCCCATACATTACATTTTAGGAAAGTATTGTGATTTATTTTAACTAATCTGTTGCCTGGGGGTCAATACTAGAAGCTTTTGTAAATTCAAGTCCTAAATCAATTGTAACCATGGAAATCAAATATAGACTTAGGAATTTTTAATTTTAAGAAAGCTTTTGGTACAGCCCTCCTGTATGAAGTTGCCAAGTTATGCCTTATACAAAACATTATGTCTTTGAGTCTCTGTTACATTGTTAAGTTGCTATGATTTTACATCACCTTGATAGACCACCTCCAACCATTGCTATAGCTGAGATATGGCAAGTGTGTCAATATCAGAACTGCACCATCAAATGTTGGGATGAACAAAACATCAGTTCTTTGTTGTATACTTTATTTCTATACAATGCATTCTCAAGTAAATCTCAAGTAAATAGATTCTGAAATGACTATTACACTAAAAGAAACAAAGTCCATTACCGCACCGGGTTAAATAAATAAAGTACATTTATAATGCAAGGAATGACCAATCTAGAACTATCAAGGAATTTCTATCTATATTACACATAGTTATAAACAATACTTATTTCGTATAAAATAATATTATCAAATATCTGTTAGATCCAATTGTTGTCTAACTTAGGAGCAAGTTAATCACTGATTCTCTGAACATTTCCAACGAGGAACTTTAATATCAATCTCTGTATAAAATACCCTGATAAAGATCTGATTTATTTAAATTAATATCAACATTAAGGTGAGAAACAATTCATATATTTTGTACTTGTTGTAATGTCACATGATGATTTCATTAAATTAAAAAAAAAACATTTCCAAAAATTATAGTATTTCATCTTTTTGCACTTTGTGGTAATAATCCATATGTTGTTATACTTTGTTGTAATATCCCATAACTCCTAAGTTAGATGTCCGTCAATCGACCTTCTTCGTCTTGTCTTGACCAAATGATAAAATACAAATCAGTTTGATTGTCATCAGCACCAATCCTGGGAGATTTGGCCCCTAAAAAAGTTACAGAAACACTTCTTTTATTATTTATATCATATTTTAATTTTATTCTGAATGATGTTAATTAATTACTCACATACTTACCATACCTATATGACTGATTTTGAATCGACCTGACATCTTTATGAAATATACATGTTTGAGTGATTTCTGTTGTGTACAGTCGCACAGTTAGAAAATTCATGTAGTTGACAAAAGTGGGGACATATTTTTATATTCCCATCCCTTGAGACCTCAAATTAATAAATAATAATTAAATTCTAAGTTACAGTATATCAGTTTATAGTATGGGAGAAAATCAAATCTTAATACCTATGTATTGTTTACCGTAGCTGCATCACACCTAAACATAACAAAGAATGTGTAATTTACAATACTACTTACCCACACAAATGGGTCTGCAAGCAAGAGTCCAAACACCAGCCAAGATATAGAACAGACAATAGCACCAGAGACCATGATCAAAGGAAGACCATTGCCATTCCTGTTTTTCACATTGTCCACCTGTAAATACAAACAGAATTATTGCCACAATTGTTATTACCATATTAAGTTAACATCAGTTTTTATATGTTTATAGGGGTTTGAGTTTGTGACATAAGTAATTTATGTTTTTTCTAAATCGATCAAATTGATTTGTCAGAGAGACAATTTGAGAAAGCATAATGGACCAAATTTGAGAAAATATATTTTTAGCTGCCCTTTGCCATTTCTTAGAATATGAGCAGGTAATGTGACAATTTAAGATCGTTTGTAAGAACACTTTCTAAGTATTTATGATTGGATTATCAGTAATTGTTGACTTCATTTGTTCTGATAAAATGCATATTTACAAATTACCCAAATGCGAGTAAGTAGTTACCAGTTTCACCACCAGGTGGCTGATTCGGGTCAATTAACATGGCAGGTATATAAGAAAGTTTCCTTAAACTTGAATATTATCAATTTAAGTGGCTCAGTTTTCATATAACCCTTATGTGTCTGATACTTATACTAATGAAAATACGTCCAGTAAAGCAAAATATTATCTGTCCACTAAAAGAAAAGATATTTCATTTTTTGTGGTTTTATAGCATGGGGTCTATGGAGAATCTCCCCGAGCTAGAAATCACATTTTCAAAGAAAATTAATTTTTCAAAGTTGATAAACACTTTTTAAAACCACATTTTTAGATATAATTTTACATGTAGATTTCAAATGTGATATTACTTTGACTGAATTTTGAATTGTTAATGACGTAAATCAAGATCATTTCTACTCGCATCTGGGTTATTGGTAGGTTATATCTATATCTAATCCCTCCCAGTGGATAACACATATATTCTTGATGTGACAGTACTTACTATTTCAAATACAGGGAGGACCATCATAATGGTTGTTAGGACACTACCAGCCAGGCCAATGTTTTCTGCTATCTGGTTTGGCTCCACTACAACATTGAACTGGTAGTAATATAGCACCATTAGGTAGCCTAAACTGGCTCCAGTAAGAGCCAAGGGTTCTGTCTGAAAAACAAAAAGATCATTCATTACAAGTATCTAAACTTCTCAAAAGTATGGTCTCCACCTGTGCAAAATGCCAGATTTTGGAAATTGAAAATATGAATCCAGTTTATGCAATACAAGTTGATATAAATAAAGTTCTACACCGAGACTACAAGACTACAATATGTCACCACTTCTGGTGGTAACATAATAGTGTCCCCAATTGTATGTCACAAAGTGACTTGTAGTCGGATAATGTAAGGTAATTCATATACCTGAGTATAAGTCCAAAAAACTACATAAAAACTACATATTAATATATTACATACCAGTGGCTTTGTGACTAGAAGAGAGACTATGACATAGATAATTTGGAGGACTGTTCCAACAGCATTAAGGAAAATGAGAGTTCCATTATCAACCAACAGTCCATAGTGCCACATTTTAATACAGCTGAAAAATAACAAATGAACATTTCAATATAGCTGAGATATCATGATGAACATTTTAAAAAGTACAGTAAGTACAGTGGGTACTGCTCTCACATTTTGTTGCTCAAAAAGATTAAGATGACATTGTATGAAAGCTTTAACATAACTATATAATGGTCAAAATGAAAAGTAAATGAGAATGAGATGTGTGAAAGCTTTGTTATAAAAATGTAATATGATACAAAAAATATATAATTTCTCAAACATTAAAGTATATTTTGCTCTATAATTCACAAGATGAACAATATTTGTGATCTTCTACTCAAAACCATCGAATAGCAGCCATTTTGGCTTTTATGAGGCATAGATAAAAAATGGAGAGGTTAAGCTAACGATGTTTTTCACAACGTAACCGTGAACGCAAAGTACAAAAATTAACAAAGGAATGTATCGAGCGCTCATAGTTTTATGCGCGCTTAGTCTACTTAAGATACTCTTTCAGCTTCAGAGTTTCGGGTTTAGAACGGGAGATTTGAATATTTGACGTTGGGTCAACGGGAACCATTTTACCCTTGTCTATTGAACACTATGCTGTCAATTTTGATTTCGATGCACAGTTGAATTCTTGCTGAACACGATGATGTATGTCATGCATGATTTAGCGCCAAAAATCTTACGAAACGAGCTCGTTTAAAATATGTATTAGAAAACCAGCTATAAAACCGCATCAATGACATACTATAGAATCATTACACGCTATGGTGTAGTCTAAACAAACACTGGATTTGAACGGCTATTTATATGAGAAGGCTACATGAATTTGTATATGGTCGAGTGATACGTACAGGTTCAGTTTCGATTATATATGCAAAGCTTAACCTCTCCAATATCTGCATAATAAACCTATACTTTAGAGAGGTCTCAAAATTTATGGAAATTCCAGTCTTTAGACAGCCATTTTTGATTTTACAAGGAACGAATCAAAAACAATACAGGACTTTAAAGAACATGCTCCAGTTGCCACTATTGCGCTGTAAGCAAACATGCACACATCATCCAAAAAGTATGTTGTTCAAAGTGCTGTAGCATTGTGACCATCAGTCTGATGGTCATGAAATATAATAGGGTGATAGGAAATTGAATGATGTACAAATAAGTCAAATATATATCAGGGAGTAATTTCTTAAAATGGCAATGATATAAGAAAAAATGTGGGGTTTCCAATTTTTGACCACCCTGTAGATTTATTTGATAAAGATACATACAATCAAAAAATTGTGGGTGGCTGGTTAGGAAGGTAGTTGGGTGGAAGGATGGACGAACAGACAGAGGGATCCCTGGACAAACTTATTCATTGGGATAATGAACATTTAAAAATAGTAATTATCAATAACTTTAGCTGAAATACTAAAATTTCAATCTAAAATTGAACCATTATTTTAGCATGCACAATTCATCTATTTCTTTGTTTTGTGTGTACACTGTATAGATAACCTTATTGGTATAATATTAGGTAAATCATGGACATTAAACAAAGGATCAGATTGCTGTAGTCTAGATATGATGAGATACTTTTACAATCTTAATAAGTTATATTTATTTAAGTTGTGTGATGCTGATAGGCTCAAACTTATTGGGCTCAAGACAATCAGGTGTTCATTATACTTGTATATGTACCGAGGAACTCTTAAGTGATAGTAGATATGACATGGGATTTCTAGATATTTTACTCGGCGTTATTTTTATCATTTAAACCTCAGACTTCCAGTGGCCAAAATTGAGGGGGGAGGTTATTGTATTATTCTAGCACTATACCTGACTGCACTAAGGAGGAAGAATATGAAAGGATTGTTCTCTGTATCTCCAGTTTTGTACATCCTGTAACACCCTGGGCTGGAACACAATTAGTAAATTAATATATCACATCATAACACTGTATATATTGGGAGAATGGCACAATTTACATTAAAGGAACCATAGTTAGGTTACTGTACTACCATGGGCAGAAGGCCAGAGTTGGAAGACCAATGAGGGCATGTGGACCACTAGACCATTGTAGTACATCAACAGAATGATCATCTTTCAAAAATTTTAATGTATTTCATTATAGGTTTGGGTACATTTAGTATTAATACCAGAGAAAATACATGTACATTGGCAGAAAATTTTACATTAATTTTTTTTAGCCATGATCTTATTCATTGATACTTTTTAGAATGATTGAGTTTAAAGGAGCACTTACATTCCTGTTGCAAACATTCCAAGTGTAGCCAAATTGGTAAAATACTCCACAAAAGTTAGAACATCCATTTTAAAAGTTATCCTATAGTTTTACTCAGCTAAAAATAAATTCTCACTCTCGTCACTAGTTTACCTCTATAAGTGAGGTAGGTTAACATGTATAATTATTAACTTACAAAGGCCAAGTAAAAATAACATTTGTTTATCATGTTAACAACATGCACTTTGATAATCATGACTGAAAATGTAATCGACCCATAAATGTCTAAAAATGTGCCAATTCATTATGACTGTTAATTCTTTATGTGAATAGGCCATACATTTACAAAACTTTAAACATTCAATGACACATTTGAAAGGTAAATATATGATTATAAACTGAATAAATGGGGATTTGTTTTACCTGGCCTTAAATCTCAAAGGCACACAACGGCATTAGCATATTCTGTTGGCAGGGTCAAAGTGTACGAGATAAGCCAAGCACTATTGACCATTTTAACAATAAAACCAATACAATTCCAAAGGAACTCCTCAATGCCATAATCCTTATATAATTTTTAAACCAAACTTTAAGTTCAGTGAAAGTAAGTTGCATAATAGTGATATACTTTTGATCATTTCATCCATGATTTAATATGTAAATATTCAAACTAGGAAATAGTAACTACACATTATTTACAATTCCCAATTGTCTGTTGTATAGGGTGAAGTTTAGATTGCTGATTGAATATGAAGTTTTTCATGAATTAACACAGAGAAATGTCCAAATTCAATAAAACTTCAGCCCATTAACTTTGTGAAAATTGAGGCAACAGACCTTTCCTATAAACCCTGCCACCTTTTGGTACATCAAAGAAGCTATGATATATTGGCTAGACTGATGATGTCATTGGTTGTAGGTTGCAATTTGTCCAAGCAAAAATAGGATTAACTTCGATCTACTGCATTAATTAGCTAATTTGAAAAGTAAAACCTATGACATCATCAATATCCCAATATTTCATAGATTCTTCGGTGTACAAAAAAGTGGCAAGGTTTATTGGAAAGGTCTATCACATGGGAACAACTCAGAACTCTTTGGACTAGAAAACTGTTACAGCATGGTGTCCTATGAGCTAGAAATATTGTAAAATAAATTTGTTGCCATCCCGTGTTGTCTCTTTAAATGGGTCACTTTTTGGGGCCATGACTCCTTCCCTTTGTCCACTGTTCACTAACCTTGAAAAAGTAACTAACACAGGGATTTAGAAAAAAATCATACATTTTATTACACCTTTGAAATCATGCGCTGTATACAAAATATATAGCTAAAACTATCATTATATCATATTGTTATTTTCTTAATGAATCAGAATTTAGAAATCTACTTGCATTATTTACATTCAAATTTACAGGAATAAAAATTATATACATCATTTTTTCTGTTTCATGCTTATATTTACAAGGAATGTATGATAAAAATCTAACAAGCAGATTAGAAAACTATAAGATATACTTTTAAAATGCATTCATGGTCATTCAGACAAATCAAGCATGCAATTTTAAAATGGATAAAACATAATAAAGATAAGTTGTGTTTAACATAGTGTTATATACAATGATATAAAATTAAATATGTTTTAGAATCTGGACACACAAAAGCAAAATGCTAGAATATCATCTTGGTAATACCATCTCAAATCTTATGTAAAGTAATGAAGTATTTACTGTATATTAATATCATTTTGTATGTTTAAAATGGTGTCATGACAATGCAATATCATAGAGGTTGTAAATCATAAACAGTATTTCCCTGATATATCCATGTGTGATAAATTCTAAAAACGCATTGCTTTTACCATATGAACAAATACAATATATTAAATTCAAAAGGAGGATTCTTTTTGCAAATAAAATAGCTAATGTTGCTTCAATATTGACATCAAGTTATTGCTAGAAAACAGATCTAAACAGTTGCCATGGTAATGTTAGATAAGTAGAATACATATACACTTTGTGAAGTAAGAATATGATATACCCAAAAGTTTTTGTATACTCGCACCATACTGCAGAATATGTCCTAACATAATATTGTACAAAATATACATTCACATGCACGATGGAATGTTCAATATCAATTCTTTCAGATCAAGAAAATGAAATCCAGGTAATGTGTAAATAATAAAATTGCATTTAGTTGCTCCATGTCCAATATCATGTCTCCACTGGGCATTGGAAAATATTACTATCCTATTACTATTACTGTAGTAAAGTAAAGTAAATATCTATATTTGTCTATGTGGAATGTTTTGATTTATCCTTGATTAATATCTGGTTGCTAGGAAACTGAATACAATTGTTGCCATAGAGATGCAGATGTGAGAAGCTCCATTGCCATATCCAGAGAATCCCTCTGGTGGACAATTTGCTCCTTGGCACTCGGATGTTTCTGAAATAAACAATAATAACCATATTATTTTTATATCAATATTTCATTTTGACACCGATTACTTGTACTTTATCACAAATAATATATTTTGATCAAACTGGAAATGATGCATAAATGCGTCTTTCAATATTTCAATGCACTTTAAATGTATATACTTTTGTTGATATCAGGTGTGCAAAGATATTCATGATAATCTGTGCATCATAGCACCACTATTATACATATTCATGCATAGATCAGGATTCAGAATTCAGGAAAGATCAGATCCTGTTCTGTTGAAGTCCCACATCAAACACAAAAGCAATCTAAAACTAAAATCCATTAATGATACATACACCATTAGTACATCTATAAGCTATTGCACACAAAGGTAAAGTGAAGATTTCTCATCAAGCAACTAACAGTGCAATACATGGTAAAATCATATCAAGATAAGTGGTTTAAAAGTTAGGTGAACAAAAACAGGCAATCCAAAAAACATAAACCAAGCAGAGGAACAGAAGACACACTTCTAGTTGTGTTATGACCATGACCAGAGGTGAGAAAATCCAATGAGTCTAATATCTGCATGTTTGTGGATCCAGTTGATGAATTAAAATCTATTTGTTTGAGTTGAGTAAAAATTTAGAAATAAATAAATGAAATAAAAGATTGATAACATAAAAATTCTAACTATATGAATTGCATTGAATAATTACATTTGTTTTAAACTGATTAAATTCATTTGCATTAAATTAAATATTGTATTTCATTATTGTATGTTTGAATAAAATAGCATATGAAATAAACTTGATTCAATACAAAGTGGACTCTTATGCGTTTTTGCTACTTTTTGAATGTCCTTTGCAACATGGGTACCTGTTACACTGCTGGGTTGAGTCTAACGAAGCATTTTTGTAACGAAGGTTAGCGAAAAAATTGTGTCCACACTGGCTTTATCCAACCCTAACGAAGCAATTATTTGGTGTTACACTGCACTTAAAATGCTTCGTTGCGCGTGCGCATTACTCATCTGCCCCACCCACTTATTACGATTAATATTTTTATTCTTTTGATATAAACCATTGATCAAACTCAAAAATCTAATTATTAATGTTTATTTTAACAATTCAGCACAGAAAAAGACTAGTTCAAATTTCTCGGGAAAATAAAACCAGATGAATGTGATCATTTCGTACACATGTCCATACATTTTTCCTATCATTTCGATTTTTGTTTCAGCTGTCAATACGATTACAAGTATTGTTTTCATTTTCTATCATTTCCTTTGGAAAACATATGGAATAAAAATAGGCCTATGTTAATTACTAGGAAGAATTGGATTTGGGGTTTATACAGAAGACTAGTATGTAATATCGTATAAAATTAAAAACGTTCAATTTCCAAATGGACTTCTCAGTTATATTTCAAATAGTGTAGCCATTACTAAAATATCTCGGTGTTTGAGTGAATTTGACATAAATTAGTATGTTAATTATTCAGCCGTCCGTTGAATTCGAAAATGGCGCAAATAGGAAGAAACTTAAATATCAGTTGTAAGCATCGTCTTACGACACATCAATAGTATTTGGGGCTGGCCTAAAACATGCAGCCTCTCTGTGGCAAATATCTGTCGACAAGAAACAATTTTGGCCACCGTTCCTTGTCCGCAGGTTTTACCGTCAATCAGTGACGCAAATAGGTAATTATTTTAATCAAAACGTAGCATTATAATAGTACGTACTTAAAAATATGTTCTTTCCTCGCGATTCCTCTCATTTAATACAAAATGATGAATGTACTCTTTATTACGCGCATGCGCAAACCACCAACTAAGCATTTTCTAACGAAGCTACCTGTTACACTGGCCAAAAAAGCTTCGTTGGGACCTAACCTTCGTTGAATTTTCTACTCAATTGCTTCGTTATCAACTAAGCTTTTCTAACGAAGGCGGATGTGTTACACTGGCCCAAAATTGCTTCGTTACGAAGCTTTTTGTCAAATTGCTTCGTAACGAAGCATTTCAACTGGCCTGTGTAACAGGGGTCATTATCATTTTGCTGACATGAATCACATATACATCAACACAAAAATCAGATATGTTAACCCATCTCACCCCTGTATAGCTATAATGATGCAAATATTGCTTTCTATAGTATAAACAAGGTAAAAATCCCAAACCCTCAAATACATACACATACATACATCTAATAGCAAATAAATACATGTATCCAAAATTGAAAGAATTTCCCACCATAAATTAAGGTGAAATATTACATTTGTATATCAAAGACTAGACACTGATATTATACAACTTTCATTATTGTTTAGAAATTTTGAAATGGTTTATTTCTTCTTCATTGAATACATGTATATGATCAAGCAATTAACTAAATGGTTGGTAAATTCTCCAACACCTGTTGTGATGATGTAAGATAAGGTGATAAGGTTATACATGACAGTCTACATGTTAAACAGTCTACATGTTAAACAATCCACAAGATCTGATTGTCACCTTGTTGGCTATAATCATTACAAATGATAAACCAGGCTTATGGTGATAATAGTTCCTAGGGCACCCAAAAGGTGGCTCTGTCTGTTGGCAGCCCCAGTTACAGCAGCCTCATCTGGGCAGTTGGCTCCTTGGCACTCAGATGTTTCTGTGCAGAGATATTGGTCAGTTACTCTCAAATGGATGAGTATTTAATAATTTGCTTTTCTTCACTTTAACATGAAGGTTATTTACTAAATGCAAATACAAGCTACAATTTTATTATGCCCATTGCAAACAAAATCAATCCCTTTGCAAATTTGGTCATTTAAAATTGATTGGAAAATAAACCAGAACAACGGCAACGCCAAAGCGTAGCGAATCCCATCGAACAGAAATGGCTGGCATTTTTACAAACGAAATATATAGCAAATATCATAATAAAAACACACCAGAAAGGCCACCATTTTCAAAATGGTTGCTCACTAGCCAAGTTGCCATCAGAAGAAATAATATGCTTTTAAGTAGCCACATATAAAATTTTTGAAAGATCGCACACATGTACTTGTAAAATAACACACATAAAAATGGTGGCCATTTTTCAAAATGGCCGACTACTCCCCAAAGTTTTATTAGACAATGTGCCATGCTTAGAGTATTCACATATCAAATATGAACAAAATCGCTCCACTACTTTTCGAGTTATAGTAAAATACGTTAAAATGGCGGCCATTTTTCAAAATTGTCACCTTCTACCAAAAGTGTCATAGGACAGTGTGCCATGCTTATAGTATTCACATACCAAATATGAACAAAATCGCTCCACTACTTTTCGAGTTATAGTAAAATATGTTAAAATGGCGACCATTTTGAAAAATGGCCGCCTTCTACCAAAAGTGTCTTTAGACAGTGTGCAATGTTTATAGTATTCACATACCAAATATGAACAAAATCGCTCCACTACTTTTCGAGTTACAGCAAAAATCGTAAAATAACGAGTAAAGGCTGCCATTTTTCAAGATGGCTGCCATGTGCTTTTTTAATATCTACATTTGTAGCTTTATTAATGTCCTTTATAATTTTTTTACACTAAAAACATATTGCTATTACAGTTTTACATATTGTACCTAAATTACTGTAAAATCGGCACTAAAATGGCCGCCATTTTGAAATGAGCGGCCATTTTGAAAATCGGCTTTCGAGCAGAACTTCTACCCCCATAGGGTATATGTGTACAAAATATGAACATAATCGGGCCAACGGTATTTGAGTTATTGCCCGGACGGACATACGTACGTACGGACAGACGGACGGACGGAGGCGTTCCCTATATCCCTCCGAACTTCGTTCGATGGGATAATTATTGGGCAATTTAGCAACATAAAACATGGAATGTTTACCTGTAGCATAAAGGGTATAGAATTTTATGAAGGAAAGTAACATCCATTGTCTTTCTTGATCATATCATTCATCAATAGAAACCTTAAATAAGTAAATAAATATAAAATAAATTATTGATTTCTAAAAATTCTTACCGAATAATTTAATGAAAGCACTGTCTGTGCCTAATACGTTACTCCCTTCGCATTCATACCGCCCATAGTCATTGGCCTGTACATTAATTATTGTCAGCGTGAACCACAGTTCGCTGATATCTAATGATGAGCCATGACTTGTCAAGATTTGAATATCGTGCTTTTCATCGTCATTTATTTCCCTCTTTCCATCTCCAATAATCTGATACCATTTCAACTCAGGATCAGGGTAACCTAAAATACATGTTCACGTTTTGTTAAATGTGCGGGAAAATTCAAATATATTACATGTTGTTTCTGGAGGAAATCAAAGAGAAACAAGAAAAACAGCAACTCCCTGTAGGAGCTAATCCCACTAAACAAAACATATTTTTATCAAATCTCTCATTATTGAACATTATATATGACCGACACAACCAGATATTATGCCACCCATAACAATGATGCCAAATTAGAAATTCCATCTCGAATTTTGGAAATTGCATGGCACCATTTTAAATTCAGCAGGGATTTTGAAAACTTCTTGAACAGAGACATTTATTCATAAGTATCAGCACACGAATTCTGAACCAGATCTGACAGCTGGCATTTGAGTTATCAAAAATCATTTTATCAAAAAATCATTATCTTCCCATAAAATCCACATTCCCTTTTCACACCGGAATAGCCGGACTATGGTGAAGTCAGATACCGTGATTAGACAGTTGAAGCAACGGTTATGTCCGCCATTTGTGACAACAGTATCTGACTTTACCATTGTCAGGCTATTCCGGGGTGCTTTTGACCAGTCCCTAGCTCATACTTTGAAAATAAGATTCTGAACTTGTTCAAACATCCTTACCTGCAATTCTACATTCTATTGTCAAATCAAACTGTCGATTCTGTGCCTGACCATAGGAGTCCTGGACATAATTTGCTTCTGGTCGGAAAAACACGAGCATTGTTGCATCATGGGTAACTGGAGGTCGGACATTATTGTCACAAACACAGCGATAAACACCCCTGTCTCTCTTTTGGATACTGGTGAGTTTAAGAATGGTGCCCTATAAATGATAAAAGTACATAGTTTTTAGCAAACTACTTTTTTCTTTTTATTAAGATTTATTTACAAAATATTACATCTACAAAATAATGCAGAAAAATATCTCATACTTGGGCATGTGGCCCTTTCAAAATATGTTGTCACTATGTTGTCAATGTACAAAGACCTTACCCGATATGAGAATTTTCCAATGGGTAGAGCTTTTCCATTGCCTCTGACCCATGTAATGTTGGGGTAGGGATATCCTGTGGCATTACACTTCAGATCGGTTGAGCCCCCCTCCATTACACTGACAGTGGATGTCGTTTGTGAGTAAATCATAACTGGTGGCACTGGAACACATTCATAAGTATTCATAATATTTTTGTATAAAACCTAGCTTTGACTTTGACTGAAAAGGAGTATCAGAGATTGCAACTAAATTTCGAACAATTGGCTCAACTGCAAAATCATTTTAATTGGTATCATTCTGTAAATCATGCAGTTTTTGGAGGTTAAGCTCTATTGCAGAGGAAAACATAGATTGTAACTAATTTGTATGCACTTTTCTATACATAGGATTTGAATGTATTTTAAATTTAGCCATATTTTAGGTAATGAAACAGCCCTTTACCAACAACTCACTAAATACAAAATTATGTGTAAAACATATGACAGCGTAATCGATGTGAATAACTCACCAAGAACTGTAAGACTGCCATCTTTTTGTGGATGTTTTGTAGCACCCTTTACATAGATTCTGCATCTAAATGTTCCTGAAATGAAGACAAAAGTAATACTGTACGCCCGGTATTATTCGCGAGCTTTAATTTCGCGAATTTTGCGAAAACACGGTTTCGCGGCTATTAAATTTCGAGAATACTGTATTTTATCGTATTCGGGGATTCCCCAGTATATGATGTCCAATCAAATTGCAGGCTACGATCACGTGAACAATCGTGCGCACGTGCGCTTTCATTGCCGCGCATGCGCATAGTAAAGTCATGGAGTTGCACAGTACTATTGAAGTACTATAACTCGATCCAAACTAGTAGATAAAACGAAATGCATCAGAGCCCCGGGTAAAAACAAATTCCCGGGGATTTAATTTGCAATTTCGCGACGATAATTTTTCGCGATTTTAACACCCTCGCGAAAAGCGCGAAAGTTAATCGCACGCGAATAATACCGGGCGTACAGTATCTAAAATTACACAAAGATCTATATTGTTCTATCCATGAAAAGCATTCTGATCACTGCTGAATTAAGCATCATTTATGAAGAGTAAAATGTATATAACAAGGCATTAACATGAAAAAAGCCACTACCTGCCATTTGTTACAGATCCCAAACTTCGAACACCTTCCACAAAAAAAGTTAGAGACTACAATAATTTTGTAAATACAGTATACAGTCTCCCCTTTCTCTCTATACCTTATACATAACTGGATCAAATGCCCACCACTAACATTTTTCTATCACAAAACCAGGATGAACAACACAGTATCCTGCAAAATGACCTTAAACCAAATAAGAACACATACCTGAATCTCTCTGTTGTAGCCTTCTGATGATCAACATATACACAATGGTTCTTTGATCTGGTAGAGGAGCCTTGATACATTGGTATTTGGGGTAGCCATCAACAACTTTATTGTAGTCTACAATGATCTGATCATCACTGGATATAGTGGTCTGGGTGTCTAAATGTGTCCAATACACCTGGAAATATCAAAACATGTAAATGATTATAACTTAACTCCAAGGCTCATATGTAACTGGACTTAACAAAACAGACTTTTAAGAAAAAAGGATCATAATGTACATGTGTAGTACAGTAGTAGTATTTAATTTAATGGACATTATCATAAAACTAAAACAAATTTGCAATTTGAGCTGATTTGTAACTAAGGTAGGTTTCACTAATTCAACTGCCAGCTGACAGATTAACCTACTATTTTAGGACCAGCACATTTAAATATTAATAGTACTTATTATTCATATTTAAATGAGTTGGCCATAAAATGTAGGTAAATCAGTAAATCAGTGTGTTTTCACCAGGGTTCGTACACCTTTTTCAAAATGAATTTCCCTGACATTTCCAGGCAAAAAAGGAAATTTCCAGATTTAGTTTTCCTTGCACGGCCTCTAAAAAGTCTCTAACTGTTACGCGGTAAACACGATACAAATATATGTCATATTCCGCAATGAATATGGCATCATCACTTGCGGTGTATGCCAGATTCACCTGCGGAATATGGCATACACACTAACCAATGAGAACGTGATACAGAAATACGCAATTGTCAATTACATCGATTCAACGAATGTGCTAAAGTCTCTAAATTATTATTATGAATACTGAATCAACATCTTAGTGCATTGAATATATCAGCTAATACAATTGAATAACAAAAATACATATATACTGTATGGCATATTTCGCAGTTGAGTATGCCATATTTCGCAGGAGAGTATGACATATTCCACAGTGAGTATGTGGTATTCACTGAAATCAATGTATTGCATATTCACTGCGAAATATGCCATACTCACCTGCGGAACATGCCATATACCACAGGTGAGTATGGCATATTCAACAGTATCACAAATACCGCACAACCATGAATATATGCCATATTCCGCGTAACACTAACAACTTTATTATTTAAAAGACAATACTTATTATGAAACATTTTGGGTTTGTCTTTTAGTACCATTTCTCATGACTAAACAAGTGTCAAAGGGGTGCATCTTTTGGGGTTTGCATCACTACGAGTGAAGGAAAACCAAAAGGGGGGTATGGGGGTACACCCCCGGAAATTTTTCAAAATTGACAATTGTATATGATGCATTCTAAGCATTTCAAACTATAATTTGTTAATGTTTTGTAATGAATCCAAATAAAAACTGAAACTTCAACATGTTGATCTAAAGAAAAATTTCAACTCCCTTGAGGGGCAATTCCCACCTAATGAAACATATTTTATCAAATACTATCATTGTAAACATTATATGAAAAATGGCAAGTGGCTTCTGGGGCAGAGGCTCTATATATAGTAACAAAAGCATTGGTATATAAAATTTTAACAAAATCTGTCAACTGATATTTGAGTTACCACCCTGATAGATAAATAGACTGAATACGATCGGACTATCGAACAGACAGCTCCTTAGTATAAATACAATTTCAAACTGTAAAGAGTTCCCAGATTTTTTTTGTTTTTCACCTCCCGCCCTCCTCAGATTAACCCCTCAACAAACCATGAAACATATACCAGTAATTAACTTTGAATGGCCTAAGACTAACTTACTACTTGGAAAGCATAATTGTATTGAACCATCTACCATGATGTATGGTATACATATTCTTTATTTGGTTTCAGTATAATGTTCACACTGTTCTTACAAATAGCAAAACCAGATTTAATGTCATTCAATCAACCCTAATGAAAAGATTTACAATTAGTGGAAACAACTTAACATTTGATTTTGGATTTCATTGATATCCTGTCATAGCCTTAAAATGTATTTTAAAACATTATTTTTTCAACAATCATACAAAATTCCCTGACATTTCCCTGACACATCTACTGTTTCAAAATTCCCTGACATTTTTGGCCCTTTTTGACTCAATTTTAAAATTCCCTGACATTTCCAGCACCTGGAAAAATAAATCATTTTCCCTGACATTTCCAGGTGTGTACGAACCCTGTTCATGTTGCATGAACGTAGCCGCAGTATCTTATCATCAACCATCCACGAAATATTAAACTGATTATATGAGTAGAATTTAGAGCACACCACGACTATGATAACATATTGTAGGCCATACCTTATTTAGCTGCTGCCTAGTGACTGTACAGTTGAGATAAGCTGTTTGGCCTATCCTCTTAACCTCCGGCAAGATCTGTTGTGTAATTTGTGGATTTTGACAATGAACTGGAAGAAAAATGATAACTTTGAGTACAAAATAATTTCAATATACACCAGCACATACATGATATATCATTATCAATGCCATAAGACACAGGACATGGGACAGTAGTACATCATAACATGCTGACTTCTAGTCAGTCTGTTGGATACATACTAGATATTCTCCTATCAATATTCATTTATCAATTACACTCTCTACAAATTCTTGGGACTAAGCTTTACTATACAGTTCTACATACAAGTGCATGTAACTTGCTATATTTGCACATAGCCATCTTTAGATTGGTGGCTATGCAAAACCTGATATTCAAAGTCCTTTATAAAGGTCTTTTGTAAAAATGTAAGAAATCTTGGTAACACTTACGCTACTTCAATCGATGCATTACATTCTAAAGTATCGTTTTTCTAACCATATTGGGCTATCCGGAGTGAAAGAGGAAATATATTGACGAAAAATGTTGAATAGTTGATAATTTTCTAGATGGCTTTTCGGAAAGTTGGGTAATGTGCATGCGCCTCAATGCCAAGGGATTTCAGCTTCCAGTTACACGCATGCGCATTGGCAAGACATCCTGGTTAGAAAACATGGAAAATAACAAGTTCCAATTACATTTTTCGTCAATTACAATTCTCTTGACTCCGGATCACATGATATGGTCAGGAAAACGATACTTTAGAATTTTATGCATCGATTGAAGCATGGGCTTTCAACTAGAAGGGTAGGCAACTTCCCATATTTCATACATAAACATTGCCATGGGTTTTCAAAATTGGAGAATGTATACATTCCAAGAAAATCTTATTTTGTACTTTTTATTGATGATTAAAAGAAATAACTCAAAAATAAAAACATGATCTTCTACATACATCTTGATAATTTAATAAAAATTGGAATTCATCATAATTATGACAATACAGAAAGTGAACATTCTCCCACAAATTTTGTTTTTATTGGAATGTGTTCTTGAATAATTACCCACAATGCAATACTCAAAGAGAACATCTTGATAACTCTTATTCTTATTGGTCTCTTTTGTTTACTTTTATATGATATTGAATATATTTTATGCTTAAATCATATTATAAATTGATTTTTATTCAAAATAATACTAAAACATATACATTTATCTAATACTTTTTGAAATATTGCCATAAAAAGGAAGCATGTCATTGCTCATTTTGAAGGTCTCATGTTATTACATAGAGTTGCATACCCTTCTAGTTGAAAGCCCATGATTGAAGTAGGGTGTTTCCAAGATTTTTTACATTTTTACAAAAGACCTTTTTAAGGACTGGGCCATATCAAGTTTTGCATAGCAATCAATCTAAAGATGGCTTTGTGCAAATATAGTAACATGTAACAAACCTGAAACAGGAAGTAACATTCCTTTTGATTTTTCAAAAGAAATGCAAGAACTAAAAGTGTTTTTCAGTTTCTGAGGATGAATGTCATTCAGTAAATAATAATTAAGACAGTCGTGTTCGAGCTGTACATGAAATACTGCAAGTACAAAGTGTATGGAGTACAGAAAAGTAATATGAACCAAAATTCTACATATTTCAAAACAACCAAAATTCCGCCATATTGGATTTTTCAAAATATGACTCACCTGTGCAAAGGTAAACGCTGAATATCAGCCCTAATAACGCTCCCCTCATTGTAATTGTGTCACCTAGACAAGCTAGGATACATCTACGAAATCCTTGTGAGCTTCTACTAGTGTATTTTTACAAGGAACGTAGATATAAACACTTTTAGAACACCTGTAATTTAGTAGGTCAAAACTTTGAAGTCACGTGATCAGAGCGATGAATTATGGGTTAAACAATCTACCCAATAGAGTGACATACATTTGGCGGTTTTTTTAATGTTAATATTATTGCGTGAAACATGATGACACTCTTGATCAATAATTTTTTTTTCACTTTTCAAGATTTTATGACTTTGGTAGAGCCAATAGTAATAGACATGTAATGTGGCAATCAAAGTTCCTAGTGATACAGGAGACCTGTATACCATATGTGCTTGTTTTTGTAATATTTAAAGAAATGGTTCATAACTTAGTATCATTGGAAATATTATTCAAAAACGTTTTCGGGACATACACTCCCCTCCATAAGTTTGGCAACCTTTTTCTCACATTGAACTACGTGTTAAAGCCTCTTTACGTTTGAATTTTTATTTACTTAACCGGCGATGAAATAACTTATGATATTGATGGAAACATAACTTTGACTTTATTTCCAATACCTCCAAATTTTCTCAATTTTTTCCTCAATTACAATAGGTCGAAAATTGATGATAAATTTGATGAATTTTTGGAAATCGTCATTCCCATGTAATCCAATGGGAAATGGAGGGTTCGGGGCAAATCAGAAATTAGGATATCTTTTCGGTAAAAGATTCAGCAAAAAATATTTTTATATAGAAAATTGAATTGTCTAACTTTTTTGAACACTAAGTGTTTAGTTTATTTGATGAATATTAAAGTTACAGCGCTTCAAAGTCATTTTTGAAAATGATTTTTCGCCTCCTGTGTTATTTCAATGGGAGAGGTTTTTTGAAAAACAATTTTGACTTAAAAGCCCTATAACTTTGTAGAACCTGAAGAAACATATCAATTTTTTGTTAAATAAAGTTCGCAAATTCAAGTGCCTGCCTAACTCGTATTTTTTGCAAGGACTCGTATGGATGGATATTCTATCATATGACTTGCGGCAAAGCTACCATTTCTCATTGGTTAACATGGGAATGTCGATTTTCAAAAATTTATCAAATTTATCATCAACTTTCGACCTATTGTAATTGAGGAAAAAAATTGAGAAAATTTGGAGGTATCGGAATTAAAGTCAAATTACGTTTTCATCAATAATACAAGTATTTTCATCGCAGGTTAAGTAAATAAAAATTCAAAGGTAAAGAGGCTTTAATACGTAGTTCAATGGGGGAAAAAAGGTTGCCAAACTTATGGAGGGGAGTGTAATATAATAGTCTAAAGTTTGTGTCAAAAGTTTGTTTGAATAAGGTCAAAACTAGGCCAGTTTCAGTGGCGTTGCGAGAGTATTTTGTGAGTGCGCTGTGCTTTGAGTGGGTTTCGGGAAGAAAATTTGAACATGAGATTGCATTTGAAGCGTTCTGGGGCGTTTTGGAATACGAAATTCCGACTATTATAAACTAATAAAATGTAATCATTGGCCGTTTTAATGCATTTTTAAAGTGTGGGGGAAATCAATATTTTGAGAGTACGCATAATGGCGTTTTATGCGTATATGACGCTACGCCATCGAGTTTGACATCTTGTCAGTACAAAAACTTGCAAGGATCTGAAAATTGTCGAACGAGTGAGTTGTACGCATTGTACTTCATGCTCGTGCATTTACATGCATACCCGATCCCGACCCGATCTTCAGAACCAAAAACCATAAATATGTGAATATAGCCCTTGTATTATGAATGGGTGTCCTAAAAAAAGTATTGTTTAAAGGTTTATCACACTCACTCAATAGAATGGAACGATGCATGATGTAGTTTGAAAAGGTGTATTTCTTTTCTATTTATGCGAAGTCGGATTACTGGTTGTGACTATCAGCGTGTACATCGTCTTTGAGTGCACTGTAAAATATTCACACTCACTTTTTTAGATACCTTTTGTTTTCTATTTTAGTTGTCACATGGTATAACATTTACAGAGTACAGGTAATTCCAAAATCAAGTTTCTGGGTATACACAGGTACAGTATAGCAGAGCAGATACTTTCTCAATCCCTCTATGATTGATTTTATTGTGATAAGGACTGATGATGTTGGTACAGCTTAGTATTTAAATCGATGAATGCATGATATTGTCAATATAATTGAAAATTCATGATATTGTCTTCTTGTCAATGTAATTCGATACATGATATTGTCAATATGACAAAAAAATAAGCAAAAACACTCAACCTTTAGTACAGGGTGTTCAAAAAGTAATAGGACTGGTGCTGGCATTTTGTTTCATGTTTTTAGACAAACCAGAGGTGCTCCAGGGATAACAACTTATTTACATGATACAGCCATTTGCAACATTATGGCCGATTGTGGTAACAACATGCACAACCTTGCACTGCTTACTGGACTCATCATGTCCGTCATTGCTCATTCGGTTAACCCTATATCAGTTGCAAATGAGCACGCTTTGGGCAAACGTAAACATAGTGAAGTTGATGCTAAAGATATGAACATGGTTGACGAATCTAAGAAAAACACACTGCACTTGATTACTAGGACAGTTTCTAATTCTGTTATCGTGACATCAACACCGAAATACCGAGAAATTGTGAATTTGGTCAAACCATCAACATCAACTATAGCCTTACCAAAAGCTTACGGACCACTGGGAATTGACAATAAAGCGTATCGTTATAAACCTGCATTGATACAAAGAAATGACGATCGTACAACTAAGGAGCAATACAGCGAGCATGGTCCAGACAACACAGATAGCTATGAAATAGATGATACCGATGAGGATGATACAGCCGAGGAAGAGGAAATCACAACCAAAACTGCACAAATTCCTCAACAGAGCACTCGCAAAGATCGCACGAAGGAGAAAATGACACGAGTGTACGACACAATCCCTTTTGCTCAAGTGCATAGTTCTACTACGAAACCCATTGACAATCGCGTGAACATCAACGGACAATCTCTGGATAGACCAAGCGACAATGAAGATGGAGTGCAAACATCAGGTAAATCAGTTTTTAGTTAACAGTGCAACAGTTAATGGAGGGGGGCTGTTCAACGATCATCGACCAGTGTCAAAATATATTTAAGTTTTGATATTTCATCAAGACTAATATATGTTTTCATTATCTACAAAGAAACTCCCTTGATGAATATTATTTCAGCTGATATTCTTCTTGAAACGTGGTGGATCTGAAAAAATCTAGCTCTAACTTGGACTCCCTTTATAGAAGCTTTGAACTGAATTCACACTTCTTAATGCTGAAATTGATCGTTTATCCATACATTTTAAGAAAATAGGTATGTCAAAGAAGGTGTTAAGCCAAATATTGACCTGATCGCTCAGAAAAAAGAAAAAAAATCGAATCTTCTCTCTACAGTCCTTGTTACCCCTTGAAGAGCAACATTAATGTTCACTGTGATAATACATACAATATTTTTCGGATTATTTAGTTTTTTAGTGCCAGTGGCCTCTTGTTATTTAAATGAAAATCTTTTCAAAAGTAATATGGCAGATCAGAGAAGCATCAAAAATCAAAATATAAGAGGCCACGCATTTTATTAGCCAAACCAGAAGCAATCCAAAATGTACAAATGCCATTCGTGTAGGATCAATGTATTTCCCACATATTGTTGCACAGTGGCCTTTTGATTACTTATTTTGGGGTTTACTGATGCAATAAAACAGTGAAATGGATTGTATGTCATCAGTGTTCCAAATGGAGTCTAATGCCCAAATCGGCGATTGGCAAGCTCCTCTGTCAACATAAATGATTATTGAAAAATAAAAATATCGATAACTGACAGCGGAAAATAATAAAAGTAGTGATATAATGTTTAAAAAAATAATCATGTATTAACTATAACTATTATACTCTATCATTCCAGTAGATAAGGATGGATGTGACCGAAAGCTTAACATATGCCCTCCTGATATGGAATGCATCAACACGCATGGTAGTTACAAATGCATCAATAGGCGTATTACACCACCACCTCGCTTCGCTCACCACAACGAAAAAACAGGTAGGTTTTCTAGGTCAAGTATAGATTAATTTGGAAGGGCTCTAGAAACCAACTTTTAATTTTCACAAACGATGACTCGGAAACCATGGAAACTTAACACCATAACCAGACATCGTACATTGTTATTGGTACATTGCTCTAACAGCCAGTGTTCGTATTTTTATTCATTACCAGTTATCGTTTTGGTTTGATTTTATAATCATTTGTGGCCCATTTTCATCATGCTCACCCAGTACTGTTGTTATGTACTGCAGTCGTGTACAACTGTTTGTTAATGGTCAGATTAGGGGCACTTATTATTATTAGGGGTACACCAAAGAACTGCACCCCTCTGTTCTCCCTTCCCGGATCTCCCTTACACTGCGTCAATAGATTCGAGAGAGGCGACGAGAGAACAGTGTCACAATTCAAAACATACCAATGTTGTCTATTTATCAATTCCATTTCCAATTCAGATGGTGCGCCTGTTGCTCACAGAATACTGTCAGGGCATGAACTGATGATAGGAATACTCATATGGCTGATCGCATTAACACTGCTAGTAATCGCCCTCCTAACGTGTATGATCGCCGTCCGATACAACTATGCAAATTCCAAGGAGATGTACAAGTACCATAAATTCGTGTATGACAAGAACGCGCCGATTCACATAGAACGGGACAGATATTGCAGTACCCCCGATTACACTATGCTGGGAAAATCAAGGAGGCCTAGTGTCTATAGAAAACCACATCATAAAAGATCTAGCAAGGACTTCCATTCTCCTGACACAGAAACATCGAAGTTATCAAGATCACATCACAGAACGCCATCCTACTCAGAATCCCGATCGCCCAAAAACAGTCAACTTCAAGTGTATTCTCCTACCTCTTTACCAAAGATTTCAATCCAACCAGATGGCGTATTCACCACTCCTCAAACTCCTAATAGATTATCTGTGGATCGTCCTACCCCTTATATGTCAAAATGGATGTCACATTGTGAACCGAGTACGTCTTTAATCGAGCCTGGACGTAATGACGAACCAGTTGACTTGTACTAGAAAGAGAATATGTAGTTACACTGCACAACTTTAATACACCGTTTCATTATGGACTGTGTTATGGTTGTTCACCCATAGAACTGGTTGTAATCTTGCCCCGACAAACCATGGTAATTCAAGAGGGTCTTACCACATGCTTCCACCACACAGTATCAGGACTACAGTAAGGGGCCATATCAGGGTAGTGTTACAGTGTATCATATGAAGAAACCTTTTGTAGCTATGATACCATGTGTTTGCAAAAAGTATGATCATGTTTTGTCATGGCAGGGTGTCGAGAGTTCCTGCGTATAGACCATGATTGAAGGGCTGTTGGTATTTACCTTTATAGACTGTTATTGGATGTATACCGGCAGTTGGTTCAATAAGGGATACATAGGGACATGTTGTGTCCATAATAGACTAACTGATGTTACTCAATAAGAGTATATATGTACAATTGTATCATTTAAAGTACAACATACTGTACTTAGTTTTTGACAAGAACATTGTCATTGTATACTTAAGTTAAAAGCTACAATACCTGACCAGATGTCTGGTAAAGAAACATGAATGATTATACATAGTAATAACAACAAATATTTATATTTTTTGAATATATATTTTAATTTGAATTGTACAAATAACAATCCTTTCAACTTTTTTCTGTATGACATTTACAGTTGTTAGGCCAAGTAGAGTTGGCTAATTAAGGTAGGTAACGTAGAAAGAGTAACCAGTCTGATAGACTTGGAGCGTTAATACCTCAGCTTGCATACAAACATCATATGCACAACTAGTCTTGCATTGAGCCCCAACATCCCCACTCTCTTTTGTTTAGGTTTGAGACAGAATGGGGAAGGGGAGTACAGAGGCCTGATGTGAGACTTTGCAAAATTCTTTGGATGTGACCTACCTAAATATTTCAATGAGATCCAACTTGATTGACACTTGTTGAGTTTACATGTATAATCACTACTGTAGAATAACATATTTATATTGTAAAAATTTGTTGATTAATGTAGTGAAAAATTCATCCATGGTTGAAACCAAAACTTTAACAGTCCCATCATTTTTTGCATTTTGGAATGACCTTCACTGTGCACATTATCATAAGATATCAGTGTTGATGCTTAACATTGCCCAAAATGGACAGACATGGAGTTGCAATACAATATTATTACATATATGTGAAGCAGCATTTACAGCAGAATAGTTTAAATAAATACAAATAAATATGTTAATGTATATAAATGAATAGGGGATTACTTCGATTTCTGTCATTAATGGCACTGTATTTGATTGTATTAATTTTGAATTTTGTTAGATAATTATCCCAATTAAACTGCCAACCGTAATAATTTCATTTTATAGCTGTTTTTAACAGATCAATTTAGTTTAGCCCAAGCTCTACCCTAAAATTCTCTGTTAAAAGGAAATGATGATTGAAACTGTAAAATGAAAATAGATGGGTAGACTATGAAAGTAATTTATACAGGTTTTTGGGCATATTACATATGCTTTGGGTTAAAAAATGCTACAGGATGTTAAGAATATTTCATTACTGCTTTCTTAAATAATACATTGAGATATCAATTTGGAATGCTTATCTACATGTGAATATTGATTTGGGAATGATACACAAGATGAAATGCATACAATTATTAATGAATTGTGACAATACTGCTTACACATAGGCCTTTATAGTGAACATTTATCTGATTAGACAATACTCTTCACGTTGTTGCTATGTCAACCAGTCCAAGTTACCATAGCAACATGACCATGGCCAGTTGTATTACTCATTGTATATGTCTATTGTCTACACAGAGCCCTTACTATTTATTGTACATATTCATGACTATCTAGATGCCATCCTATCATACAATATACAAGGTGTCCATAAAAGCTCTACTATTACAAAACAAAGCCTGTGTAAAGATTCTTTATGGACACCCTGTATACCTACAGCCCATAAGATCAATAGCGTTGTACATATTGCATGCAATCTATGTGTGCCAAGTATGATTTCCCTTGAAATAAGGAAATAAATGCATTTTTGTTAACACCTTGAGTGGGTCATTTTAAATATATCTGACAACACTGAACTAAAAGTATGGGACACTAACAGTGTTAACATTTTAACTAACTGCTTATTAGTAATATTTACAAAATGCACCACATTAAATAAACTGCACTCGCTAACTGTAAGTCATCATAGGCCCACAAATTCCAAGCCATTACTGTTTGCAAAGGTTTGACTTTGCTACTATGAGAGTAACCTTCAGCTTAATGTACTAGGCTCTGACCCGCATCGGCCCATTGTTGCAATATTTAACATTGAAATTTTATAGCATAACCTTCAAAACTCATCAGTCTATAAGATGTGAACAGCAGTTGTTATTGTGAACCTTTATTGAAAAACTTCACCTTCATATTGTTAAGAAAATTCTTATTCTCCAAAATGTTTGTTAATGAAGAAAACTCTAAACATGCAAATTTTGTCAGGTTTACAGTCTGTCAAAACCATTGGTAAATGGTGTACAAAGTGTATGTATGCGCAATGCACAATTATTACACCAGTATTATGATTAGTAATTGATACCACTTCACACATTTAATTCATCACGATCAAGTTGTCGGTTTCAAAACCACTTAAACAATTGATTGCACTTTCTACTTTACAATTACAATCTAAAATTTGTAACTTGTCACATGTACAATATAATTCATCATATGTACAAAAGAATTTATCACATATGTGCACCAGAACTTATCACATGTACAATAGAATTTATCACATGTACAATAGGCTAATCACATGAACAATATAATTCATCAAATGTGTAATCAAATTTATCACATGTACAATAGACAAATCACAAGTACAATAAAATTCATCACAAGTACAACAGAATGTGTCAAATGTACAAGAGAATATATGTATCTCTCTTTTCAACCAATAGACTTTCAAATACTTAACAGATCATAATCTCTCATATAATAATACTTATCAACAACATTCCTTTCTCACTTTATATTTATCACCAGGTGATATTCAACTGCACAATCTTCCATCTTTCTTAAAATATCACTATTTCAAGAAATTGGGGCTTGCTTTTGCAAAATATGGGCATGGGTGTTAACAATTTACATCCTCTTAACAAATCCTTTCAATAAACTTTCTCAGGCTCTAACTTGCTTTATACTGCACAATCTATTTCCCTATCCAACAAACCATCTCTTCACATGACATCATTTGTTGCATTTTTATTTTGTTAGTTTTCAGTTCTTGTAAGCATCAGTTTTCCTGTATTTCCTCTTGTCATCATCTCAAGTAAATTATGTCATGACATCGCAATTGTTTTTTCTCATTGGGTATCTGTTTCTATACAAAGAAATAACAAACTCACCCAGCTGAGTACCAGAGCATAACTGGCTAAACAGTGATGTGTATCTCAAATCTTTCAAAATACTGAACTGATTTACGAAATTCAATTTTCTTTCAGTTTATAGTCTGTTCAGCAAAGTCACCTGGCTTTTTATGTATTTCAATATTGCTCTAAAATTACAAAAATACATTACAAAAGGTAAGAAAACTTTATAGTCCTATTGAAGGCAAGAGTCATTTGACCAGAAGGATTTAGGGATGACCTTTGGGAGAGGCATTGATAAACAGACAACTAATTTGTAAGAGCCTTTCCCAATATTTTAGTTCTAAGACTATGTTAACCACAACATCACATTTATAATGTTAACACCATACTGTTCCTTGAAGGACTCAAGAATGACTGGTGATTTTAAAATAAAATAAATAAAAATACAGTGTGATCAGTCCCTATGGGCTGGGTGAGGGTGATATTGACTTGGCAGAATTGGTTGACACTGTCGGACAGTCACTAACTGAGCTGGGAGTAGGGTTGGCCTTTCGTACCATTGTTGGGTTGTACTCAGGATGTCGTTTGGCATGTTTCGTTAGATGGTCGCTACGCATAAAGCGCTTCTCACATATAAGGCAAATGAAGTTTTTCTCTCCTGGAATGTGAGAAAAGAACATTTGAAAAAACATGCTCATCCAAAAAACACATACAAATTGAAAAGTGCAAGGCATTTCTTACATTGCTTTAACAATTATTAAATCAGAGCAACTGCTTTACAAGGTGAAATGAGTGTAAGAAGATGATTTCAGATACTTATAAACTTTATAAGACACTAAACAACACAACTAAAACAATACATCAACTATTAACTTGAATCCCATTATTGATATTGAATACAGATACTAGACTTCAGTGATTCCGTGTCGCTGCAGAAAAACCGCAGATTTGGTTTTTGAACATTTCTGCAGAATTTTTTTGGCACAGAATCCATGAAAAACGTGATTTTCCCAGTCAACCATTTCATCTCATATTTGTCACTCACTTTGACACCTTAGACAGTCATTCGTCACCAGAAACTGGTGTTATGAGGATTTCAAAGGGGAAATGTGAATTTGAATTCCCTGCAATTTCGTGATAGTTCAAATGAAGCCATTGTTGGCAGAATTTATCGCAGAATTTGCATTTTTCATGCAGAATTTGCATTTTTCTTATGCAGAAAACTAGGATGTATGGAAACTATCATTTTGGATTTGGTTACACAAATTTGTTTTATATGAAACATCTCCCGTGGGAGAAATAAGGAGATGCAAAGGGGCAAATACTTTACCTGTATGTGTTCTGTAGTGTCTCGCAAGTTCATCTGATCTGGCAAACCTCTTTCCACAGCCTGACCACATGCAAGGAAATGGTCTCTCTCCTGGAACATAAATGTAATCTATCAATCAAATGGCTGCAGTTTTACCTACATGGTACCTCAGAAAAGTTGGCACAAGCTATTTTTCCATGGAAGAAATTTTTAGTCACCCTGTATTTTCACATTTCACATTTTTTAATTGGCACATGTTGAATACATGAATCTAACAATGATTATGACTAAAAAATTAACATTTATAAGTCCAAGAAAAACATTTTGCTTTACAATATGAGAAATGATACAATTTCTTTAAGTCAACTATACAGTCAATAGCCTGGATTCCCATCTACTTGCCACTTGCCCTCTGACTACTACAGTATTACAGACTATTTTATAGTTTTCATGCTCATAAGATTTAAACAATCATTCCATTCCATTCCAAATGAAGCATGCAGTTTTTCTGACTGAGTAGTTAAATTGAAAAATGCAAAATCAAGGAATTATCTCTAAATTAAAGAGTGTAGATAAAATTAAGCTAACAGTACAAGGGTATAAAATCAGTTATTACATGGTAAAGTGAAGTAGAAAAATAAGGCTCCGAAGCATGTACTGTATTTGTACAAATAACACAGCTAACCCAGTATAGAAAAAAGAGAACATTATCTTTACTTCATTCAACATGTATTTCCCTTTCATTTCTTTGTGATGACTTTTTTTCATCACACTCCAGAAGTGTGCCTAAGTGTGTACATGAACAAAGAAATATATCATTTAACCAAACAAGTCAGGCAGGCAAATAGTCTTAGCAGGGCAGCTCAGTCACCAAGCTGTTTTCAAACATTTATTGGTCCACATAATTTTGACCAGCTGTCTTTGTATACACAAAGATAAAACAACAGAAAGAGACAAAGAAATAACCTTGGAATTGATAAGCTATTTGAGCTTCCCTATGATGAATACATCAAAACTGTCTGGTGGGATTTAAAAAGAGAGTGTCATAAATAAAAGTGACATAAACGCTGCAATTTAAACAATGTAGTACTAAATGGTCATCACCAAAGCTTTATATGTTTGTTAGTAATTAAAACGAACACAAGGACAAAGAAAAGTTATCACATGAAAATTACCAAAGCTAGATAAGTGCACTTATATCTATAAAAACTTGATGTGAGGACAAAGGAAGTTCAGAGAACTGACAGGTGTACTTCCCAACTTGGCAAGCCTTACCAGCCAACCGACAGATGGTTTTCATTGAAACACTTTTTTTAACCAAAATTTTTCATGTTAAGGAAATAACTCAGATGGCCTTGGTAGGAGTAAAACGTACATCCTTTAATAACACAAAGAGGAAGTTTTAAATCTAGAATAATCAAAGAGATTCAAATGGATTCAAATGGATTCAAGTGTGTATAGGTTGATTCTAAATCTGGTGTCCTAATTTGACTAGCACTTATTGAATCTACTTTTAATCATAATCTAATTTACTATAAATCATCTCAATGGTGACACACCTGCAGTGTCATAAACTCAGTTGAAATGAGTAGTTTCCAATATAGGGCAGGGGAGGGGTCAAAAAGTAAAATATTTTTAATCAAAACTCAGTGATTTTTCCAGCATTAAAGACCAACTGAGTGCTGCACCCTTTTGGTAATTATGCAAATTACAGGCCACCCTGAAACAATTGTTCGCACACACCAACTCACACGGGGTACCATCTTATATATTTTATTTTTTTAAATTATATAATTCAACTGATCTGCTCCGGTTACGTTCCCAGCTCCGGTTACGTTCCTAAGTAATATTTTTAAAACTTTTTTTTTAATTAAACAAATCAGAGTCGTGTGAATCAGAAATAGCAGAATTATTCAAAAGTATAAGGACTATTCTATACTTTTTTCAAAAGTCTATACATAAATGTTGTGAAAAGTTATAATCGAAAAACCATCTTTCGGAGTAAAGTCCGTCTGCGCCGATTTCAATAACTTCGTACTTGATCAGAACTGGGTTCCAACAGAATTCCTACAAACTCATGAATGAAATAGTTATTGCATGGAATACTTACTTTTGTCGAAATCAAAATAGAACTCTAGTTAAAAAATATATTGTGCTAAATTATTGCCATTTCTTAGTAAAATGTCGTTCTCCGGTACGTTGCCAAAATTATTCGATGGTACCCTGTGACTCAAACAGGTGAAATATTGGGATATTTTGACCTAAACAATAAAAAAAATTGGATTTTTGCATCATGTTATGATCACAGCAATGAAATATACAGTATATATAAAATACTTGTCTCGGATTCATATATCCCTCAGTAAAATAATTGTTGAAATAAACTAATATTGAGTTGAATAAACATGAAATTCAAAAGAGCTTGGCACACTTATGGCTCGCTTAGAATTTGCATACAGCTGCTAGTCAATACAGTTAACTTGTCATGATGGGGTTTTATTCAGAAGTTTTTCTCATGAAGTCTTCAATAGTTTCACCTGCAGTTCTGCCTATTTTATTTCACTATAAAATATTCAAAAGGTACTTTCTAAACCTAATTGAGCCATTTTCACATTTGTACAAATGCATGACTTTTATTCTATTTCTAAATTTCTTATTTCCATTGTGATCTTTAAGGTTGTCTCCTTTGGTAATACATCTTCTATTGAAACTAATCCCCAAAATTATATGAAGAGAATATTACCAGGCTACCTAGACTTATAGGATTTTATTAATCAACAATGCCATCCATAAGAAGCTATTCTCCCTTGGGGTTTGTTTAAACTGTATCAGATTTTGATATTTAGGCTATGTTCATTAGATATCAACAATTGTGTATTGTAGACAACATATATCATCATTGTTTATAGTTCTATTGAGATTGCAACCTTTATTTGAGTAAAATCACTCCTATGTATCTGGGAATAAATTGTTTTAACAATAACATTGGAGTCGGAAACTCAAACAAATGTATATATAATTCACATTATATAAACATTTTGCTTTCTCTAACAAATTATAATGAAAATCTTGTAACACAACAGCTAGTCTTAACATGGACTTTCTCGAATACCTATTTGATTGGGGATATGCTCTACTCATTTGTATGCTTTTCATCATACCAATAAGGTTTGATTAGGCATACCTCATCTTCTTATGAACTTGCTAGTCCATGCTTTGAGTGGGACTACCCTTACTCACTTCGAGAGCCATGTTAGATTTTGAAACTTATGGCTCTCAAACGGAGAAGTGAACAGCTGATCAATAGTGACCTTTGAAATTGAATTAAGTCGATCCGCGGCTTACTTTTGGTCTCTAACTGTGTCTTACATCAGTATCATCAATCCGTGTAAGTATTGGAGCGCTGGAGTACTTCTTTTTCGATCAAGACTTGTAAATTGTTCATCGAGTTAAAGTTTTACAGACCTATTTCCAATATGGCGGTTTGCTAGGTGCGAGATACGCAACGAACGAAATGAATTTTGAGAATTAGTTAGGTTCGGACAACCTCCGGAGATTTACGAAAATGTCCGAGCAGAAACCGCCATATTGGAAATAGGTCTGTAAAACTTTAACTCGATGATCAATTTACAAGTCTTGATCGAAAAAGAAGTACTCCAGCGCTACAATACTTACACGGATTGATGATACTGATGTAGGACACAGTTAGAGACCAAAAGTAAGTCGCGGATCGACTTAATTCGATTTCAAAGGTCACGATCATAGAGCTGTCCAAATGCTCCGTGGGAAAGCTATTATATCAAAATCCAAATAGCTTTCGCAGGAAGTAAGACTACCCCACCCAAGGCCTTATCTAACTGAGATATCAACTGCCCAAGCCCGATCAACTGTCCCAACGACAAATCCTTCTTTTGCTTTGTTTACTACTTTGAAAGCAATGGTGAGGGTGCAATGCAAGTATGAGAAAAATTACACAACCCTTGTTACAGTTGGGATTCCCTTATTTCACCACATTGGGTAATTCTTAAATTGCAATGTCATCAGTTTAGGAATGAATAGATCTACATACCAGTGTGAGTTCTGTGGTGAGCTTTCAAATGTGAGCTTTTCCCATATATTTTCCCGCATCCAGCGTATGTACATTGGTGAATCTTTCTGTTTGGGGACTTTCTACCACGTTTTGTTGGTTCATGGTCTTCTGTGTCAGAATCCATGTGTTGGGTGGGCGTGGCACTTGGTGAAGATGGCTTTCCTTTGGAACTCATGTGTGGTCTTCTAAGGGCGTGATTGTGATCGTGGAGGACACCCGATCGTATAGAATTCACTGAGGTATCAGGAGATCTAGTATCAGAAGTAGAAAATGTATCTCCGGGTACAATTTGGCGAATTTTGTTCAAGTCAGTCAAAATTCTAGCAACCATAAACAAAGAGTTCAGATCAGCTGACGATTGTAAACACTGTGGTTTATCGTCGATTTCACACTTTACATCAGTTGAATTCCCACTGAATTGTCCAGATATCGCGAGGAGACCCTCTGCTGCAATGTTTCTATCTAAGTCACGAACGGCAGCATCCCTTAAATGCATTTTATTTAACAAAATTCAACATTCAACAAGTGTCCATTTTTCAGTTGCAACACACCCACTTCTTCGGTCTTTGTTCGTACAAAGAACCCGTACTTTCATCCGATTTTTCTCCCTTTGAAAATAGATCGATTTCAACAATTCTTACACAAAATATGTGTGAATATGCTATGTGTATGATTTTGATGTTGGAAATGTCTTACTTGCTGATAATCTCCTATAATCCGCGTAATTACAGAGCATTGAATCTTCTACGTCTTTAAAACGTGCTGTGGGCGTGCCCGTGTAGATTTCTTGACGTCAGATCAACACAGTTGCTCATTGGTCAATATTAATTTTTCCCGCCGACTATCGCCATCTATAAATGAGGCAACACGGATAAATAAGTTGTATGATAACACAGCCCCGGGTATGAAGCATCTATGATGGAGCAAGCAATGTTTGGTCGATCTAGGATAGATGAACTTCAGTTTCAACATCCAAATGGACATTGGCATTTGAGTCTTGATGTATTTAGCGTTCTGTTGATGAAGGAAATGAACAAGAATGAGCCTGAAAAGGCTTCTCAGCACTGGACTTCAAATGATTTTAGTCCATGTTCTCTACATGCGGCAGGTGTTGATTGCCTTTTGATTGGGAACTTTTTCAACGTACGTTTCCCTTTCAAGCACTTTCTTTCAACTAGAAGTGGGAGTAAATCTTCTTGTTCTCATCAGATGGCCTGAAATTGTCGGATAAAACAGAGAGGGGCTTTGAGTCAATTACCCAAATGCGAGTAGGTAGTAACCAGTTTCACCACCAGGTGGCTGATTCGGGTCAATTAACATGGCAGGTATATAAGAAAGTTCCCTTAAACTTGAATATTATCAATTTAAGTGGCTCGATTTTCATATAACCCTTATGTGTCTGATACTTATACTAATGAAAATATGTCCAGTAAAGCAAAATATTATCTGTCCACTAAAAGCAAAGATATTTCATTTTTTGTGATTTTATAGCATGGGGTCTATGGGGAATCTCCCCGAGCTAGAAGTCACATTTTCAAAGAAAATTGTTTTTTCAAAGTTGATAAACACTTTTTAAAACCACATTTCTAGATGTAATTTTACATGTAAATTTCAAATATGATATTACTTTGACTGAATTTTGAATTTTTAATGACGTAAATCAAGATTATTTCTACTCGCATCTGGGTTATTAACTGATGTGGAACAACGGACAAATCATTTTGCAAGTTGCAAATATTGGTACAAAAACATCTGTTTTTTGAATAAAAAGACATATAATCATAGTGCAACAAGAAAGTAACAAGAAACAATGTAATTGTTGCCGATATTTTTATTCTTCCAATCATCTGTAAGCATCACTGTCATATTTCTGTTTTCAAAACAGAAATATCTTTTAGAAAAGAACTGATGATACGAGGCTCTTTCACAGATGTCATATGATAGTGTTTAACAATTTTCCTGATTCACTCTAATCGTGGGCTTCAACCCCCCCCCCCCCAATTTTCATAATACGTGCCGGGCCAAGGGGTGTCAGAGCCCTCGAGCTCCCCATTTGAAATCGTGCGTCAATTAAATATTAAATATGATAATTGGAAAGCTTGTTAAAAACCAGAGGTTTATCAACTTTTGTCATTAGTATGTCGAATCAACCATTTAGTACATAAATGGATAAATAGATGGCAACATGTGTGTCTATAGGACTAGATAGACAGAGCAATAACAATATTGGAAATAATGATAAAAGTCACTTCATTTCTTGATTTAGTTAAATATATCTTAATGGATCATGTAAAACTGCATTGACGTACGCACGGGTAGGGATCGAAAGATCTGTCCGCTATGGCGGAAGATGGTATTTTTCAGAAGACTTCACAATTTATAACTGGTTTCGTTATACCAAAAATTCAACTACTCCGTGCCGAATGTGTATATCATTTTCGAGGAACCTTCAATTCTACTTGAAATCCAATAAAAATTAATTAACCTGCCACCTAGAGGAAGCATTACTTCAAAATTCTAAACCGGCAGCTCAATCTCATCCCCTGGATCCCATCAACGTTTTACGAATATAGAAAGGATGAAGGACAGGGATGCAGGGATGACCACACTGGCAAATACAAAATATTGATTACCAGACAATAAAGAAGCTCAGTTGATCTTGCAAATGCAGTCCCTCAGGGCCCCCTCAGGCCAACCAGCACAACAGACCTCTCCACCAAACAACCGGACAGGCAACCAACCTGCTCACCAAGAAAATACCCCTGATCATGATAATAAAATAATTTGATAACATGGTCACCCTGTGACGCAAACTCTGAGGGATCTTATTCGGCGGAATGGTCAATGAATAGCATTAAAGGATTAGGGAGTTTCAATTGCTGAATTAAATGTTTACTATATTTTAAGATCTTCTTGTATTTCTACCAGATATTACATGGTACAGACTGCGCAAAATTCAAATACTATCAATCAATCTTTAAAAATTGTACTTTAAAAATTTTGAAATGTCATAATAAGTTTATGTTTCCACAATGGAGGGTAGAGTATACCAGCGTTCGAAGAGAAACGACAGCAAATGTCGAACAAATTATACCATGTTCGTAAAGATGGAGTTACCTGTATGAATCTCTGAAATGGCAATTTAGCCAATGGAAATGATTCAAAAATGTTTGCTAAACCATAACCATGACGTGAATCAGGTGAATGCAAAACATGTAGGACGATTTTAAGATCCGCTTCAGAATATTTTTCGAGCCAAATACACATGGCTCAAGGTTAAGGATATACATGATTATCAAGGCAAAGACAACGAATTAACAAAGGATAGGGATTTAATACAGGATATCTAGTACTTTCTGTGTTGTTTTGATGGTTCTAAAATATTAAGAATGGTAAGTTATCTTTTCATGTCTAATATTTCAAAGTACAGGTAACGTGTCTTTACGTTCTTGATTGAGCGTTCTGGAATATTTCAATGTAATATTTAAATCGTACGACAACATTAATTACCAATGTCTTCATCTAGATTGACATGTCAACTTCGTGATTAGACTCAAAATGTAGTATTGTTTTTAACCGACATCAATCAACCTGGAAATGACACAATGATCACAATTAAATTTCATGCTCTATTTTCCGCCTCAGATTACCTTCCTCACTCAATTTACTGGTAGAGAAATATAAGGTTGGGATTGTTACAACACTACGAATAGTGACGTTTTCGACCTAATGATGATTCAATCAATCAATCAATTATTAAAATAATAAATTCCTCAAACAATCAGTTAATCAATCCAATCAATTAAATCAGAGAATCAATCAATGAAAATTGATCAATTAATAAACTATGACTTTTCAATTACATAATAAGTTCAAATACTATATTAATTAATCAATTAATAAATCAATGAAATGATATAGATATGAACGTAACCACGAACGAAATGATTGTAGCTTGGGGTAGAATGGCAATATATGAGCGAAATTAAACATAAAGATTAACTTGAGAACCTCAGACCAAGGGCGTTACAATACCCGGGAATTTATCGGTTCGTCCAGTACTTGTTTGTGATAGCGCCCTCTGTAGGTCACTGTGCTTATAGCCTACAGTAATACGGGGTAGGATATCGGGAATTCGGTCAGTTTCTATCCGTCGATTTCGCTATGAATTGAAGCAAGTGTGACCACTTTATCCACTTAAACAATTTGATAATTGATTAAATCTTTAAACAAAATCGATAAACACGTTATACACGTCCTATCTCCTTAGAAATTAGCATGTATTTATGGATTGTGTTTTCGAACAAGGCTCGACCCACGCCAATAGGGAAATCCTTATGCTAATTAGTATGACGTCATATTTTCCTGGGGAATCCTAGATTTCAAAGCCTCAGTCTGTTATTGTGTCATGTAAACGCTCTTGGGACGCTCTTTTGCAGACAGAAAATTGACAGATTAGCTTTTAACTTTCAGCTTTGATGTTTAAATATTCTGTATTTCTACCGGACTTCTTGCTGAATATCATATAATGTTATAACTTGATTTGGACCATTGCCTGATTGATCATTCTGAAATTTTGATTGTGATTCATGATTGATTGGCAAGAAAAATAATTCCTATTGTTTTCCAGCGAAGTCAAAATGTTACAGCATGAGTTATAATGTCGAGTTTGCATCATGTTAAATTCTGCTAGTGATTAGAAGTCCATGCACAAGCATACACATAAGAGACAAACACACCCAGGCTCCAGGCCGTGGATGGAAATATAAAACTATTTAAGGCACAAACTGGTATTAATAGACCGATATGTAGTGTCTGCCATGTATTGAAGGTAAACCAATCTGCATTATTAATGTTTAGTCTATCAATACATGGATTGTGCAATAGAAAAGCAATGGCACAATCAAAAATGTTCATATCAATCGTGAATATCTCTCGGTTCAAAGCTTATTTCCAACAGAATCGTGTCAAAATATGTGTCTGAGTAACAGTTATACATTATAAGATCGCAAACTCTTACCAATTATCAGCCGAATGGCTCATTTTCAACGAAATGTCCTTAAGACAACAGCCCTGGGTCGCGCCTGAGACCAAAAACTACTTCAAATAGCCCTCCCCGATATATATACGATGAGCAAAACAAATCTCAAGTAGGTTATATTGACCCTAATTATATTGGATAATCACATTTATGCGTGCGCGCGCAGCTCATCCAATGAACGAAACGCCACTTCCCGCTGAAATCACCGGGTATTGATCTTTCCCTTGCTCAGACTAAGATGTTGTATGTAGTTGCATCATGCAGAATATCTCAAACAATACAACAAATTATTTCAGTTTAGTACGCCTATTGCATGTAATAAGATTATGTTTACTTTTACATGATCCGCATTATACCTTATGATTTAAAGTGGCGGCAAAGAATAGGGTGTAAAATATTGGCATTAGTTTTCTTACAAATCATGCCAATGTTTATTTGCAATCCTAAATTCTTTTCTGAAAAATTAATTGAGATATCTCATCAAATTGAAGTTATTGAAAATATCTAATGTCCAAATTCATCGAGGAGGGGATATCCACTGTTAGTTTAAGTTATTGCCAAGTAACCTGACAATCAAAGCAATATACCCAAATTTAGACCCGTTTGAATTTGTAGAAAAGGGAATAGTATAATATACTATGATATTATATTATAATGTTGTAAGCAAAAGATACTAAATCAAATAAACTTAAAACTTAAATTGATTAAAGATAGTTACTCTTCTAGTCTTTGTTACTAGCCAAAATATTTCTAAAATTGCTAACTGGCTAGGGACGTGTGACCCATACATAAGTAAACCGTAATAATACCTCTCATCCTGAAACCCATCGAGTGAGCATAATCCTGTTTATAATTTTAACTCAAAATCACATTTTTGTCTGATAAGATAAATTTAATCCGGGCAGCTGGGGACGTTCCAAAAGTGCAATCAAAATGTACAATTATTTTTTTCTAATTTCAGATTAATGAATGGGCATTACTATTGACGATAGTCTGTGTCATACAGGTAAATATATGTTTGGTAATATCATGTGTATTTCTCACTACAACGGGCCACACTAAAGCGAAAGCAATACTTATAGTTGTTATCGACAAGAACGTTTTTGGAGCGCATTCAAGACACCCCACGACATTGACATGATGCCTGAACAAGTAAATCATAATGACCATGGGGCACCTGTCATTTCTTCGCCTCTAGTTTCCGATATACTCTGCAATTAGTGAACGTTTCGTTTTACACATGCTGTGTCAGATTTTATTATATGATGTGGTATATTTTCAAAGTTTTGACATTACTTTTCCAATTTATATTATTGGTAACTTATGGTGTATATAAGTCCAGTAGTCTTCAACAAGGTGATCGCCTGCAGTTATACAATCAAATTGAATTGAATTATTGTCTCTATCATATCCGAAGATACGTTTTTGTCATATTAACGCATAATGTGATCATCATTTCTTGAGTGTCATCATCATTGAGTTTCATCATCAATATCATCTAACAGTATTGTCTCATTTCTTTATATATGCAGTCTCTTTGGATGACATTCATAATGTAAATACATAAGCCAAGAACAATAGTTATGAAGCATGAGTAAAGGGCTGTGTATGATATGAAAGCAACTTATCGAAATCGTATCAAATACCTGACATGCTATTTTACAGGTTTTGTTTCTCTGTTGCAGGCGTTATTGGCAGAACCAGCGACTAATTTTGCCATAGGTGCGTATCTTTAATTCACTCAGTTGCCAAATATTGCTCCGATTTATGCGAACGTTTGCCTGCCTTTGTGAACAGTGATTTGGTCCTAATCAGTTACAGTAAAACCTGTGTAAAGGGAACACCTTTGGAACCTCTGAAACTGTTCCATTTTGGAGGTGTTACACTTACAGAGGTTCATTGAACATTAACGTCATGGGACTTTGTAAAGTGTTCCACTTACGGAGGTGTTACATTTACAGAAGTGTTTCTCCTTTACATGCTTTACTATCAGCAGTTGAACTTTCGATTGAATTATCCTAATTACACATCATTTCCTCATTAGTTATTTAAGGGTCAGTAGAAGGGGCCCACAATTCCTGGAAGACCATGGTTTCTCCACCGATGGTACCGAGGCCAAACATATTCAGAACTTGTTCAGGGGGTGTATATATAAAATGTTTATTTATGATTAACAAGAAGTCCTAATCCTTTATCAATATTGATATATTCCTCAACGAGCTTTATTAAATAAAAAGTATGTGTGAATTAAAAAAAACATATGATGAAAACAGACATTTAAAAATTATTAACTCAACAATAATACTTCAGAAGAAATATTTTCTTGTTGATTTATTCATAAGTCATCCATTTATATCATTTAGCCTCCGATATTGAAGAGTGGCTCGAAAAACAAATCTACTTCTATAATTGTTATTATACAACATTATAAAACTAAGTATGTACAGAGACTAGAAATAATTCATAACAATGAATGAATGCGGCTTCTTTTTATAAAAATGATTTCGGGAAACAGAACTTTTTCTACTACTCCCTGTCTTCACATCGTGAAACCAATTCTCGAATCAACTGTCTGTCATCTGATAATGCGAATCCAACAAAGTGTAGCATTCACAACAAATGAGTAGATATCTCCAGAAGTCAAGTAAGGCCATCAAAATTCAGGGAAACATGAACTATCTGGAATCGTAAAATTTCACCCCTTTGAAGGTCTTTCAACAGAGCTTATTACACTCTTGTTTTTGGCCTTAATATGATAACCTGGTTAGATACGGAATAAGGTGTTTTCCTCCGTCCATCAATACAAGATTTATTTTTGAAAATAGAAAAAATATTTCCTCAGATGATGTTACTAAAAGGTTCAGATACCTGATTCGAATCCTGGGTTTGGGTATGTTAATATCATTGTTTATGTGGATTCATATACTTAGTTTGTCGGCTTCATATAACTGCCCTTCATTTCATATACTGCCTTTGCTGGGTTCATATACCTCCTTTTGCTAGGATCATATACATGTATGTATTTGGTTTTGCTGGGTCCATACTAATAGTATTAGTTAAGATTTTTGTCGAGAACCTTCTAAATATATAAATGGGTAAGTTTATCTGAATTCTAAGCATACTGCACTGAAAAGAGCAAGATTCAAATCACAAATGTTCATAAACAGTAAACACCCAACATCAAAATAACTGAATGTTGCATATATTTCTTGCTGTGAGTTTAATAAACAATCTCAAATTGATACTCTTGAAAACCTAATCATATCTGTAACGCATAAGAAGGGTCTTCGGGTAAAAATTCAGTACCTGCAAAATCATGTTTCATACCCACCATGGGCTCTACCACATAGAGCCCATGTACCCACGTAATATGAAAACAAACATCATGATAAAACTGACAAGCAAATGCGACATCTGGTAGAATCTTAAAATCGAGGACTTGGAAAGGATTCAAATCATGAACGTAAGCAAGAACAATAATTACACGTTCCCAGAAAGCTCTTTAGGTTTTGGAACCCGAACAACTGTGAACCTAAACAAATAATTGAGATTTATAGTTTATCTCTAAAAGCTTCAAAATGACTGATAAATGGATGTTATCGTAGGAGGACTTGAAACAGACAACGCAACTGTTGGCGTGGCATGTGGAACTAACTGGAGGAAATTATCAGAACAATCTACTCTTATCTTCCGTTATTTCATTCGCTGTTTCCCACTAGTTATATTACTGAATCAACCAGTTGTAAAAGTCGGAGCGTCTTGTTTAGGATCGGATGAGAAGATACACCCTTCCCTATAAGTTTGGAAAACCTGTCTATGTTTACATCTTTATCTGAAATACTTGTATCATTACTAAACTCATCAGTTACATGAGAGAAGTTTTAGGGGAAAAACAACCACCCTATATGGGAAACGAGATTTTCAAAAAGTCATTATGTTAATCATTAATTTCAGCATCATATTTTTATATAAAACTTAAAAATAAAATGGCGAAAAGTACTTTAATAGTATGTTATGAGATCAATAAATCCTGAAATCGATTATAGCGGGAAAGAGCACTGTTCAGTACTTGAAAAGTGAAACGAAACATGGTTGAACTGTAAGTCAGGTTTTTCACATGTATAGAGAGGATGTACATTCCTGGGTACTATTCTAATCTAGTTATTTTTGAATCCTTGTTTTGTCTGAGGATTATCCAATCTTCTCCCATCACATATCACATGAAGTAAACAGTTAAACTAAGTGTTAATTTCTTTGTTTATCCATAGTGATTACATGGGCGTAGCTAGGCATGAAATGAAGTCTTACAATTGTGTTTTATAGTCCCCGATAACACAAATTCGCCTACCAATCTATATTTGCCACACCAATTTATATTTGCCTCACCAATTTATATTTGCCTCACCAATCTATATTTGCCTCACCAATTTATATTTGCCTCACCCATTTATATTTGCCTCACCAATTTATATTTGCCTCACCAATTTATATTTCCCATACCAATTTATATTTGCCTCACCAATCTATATTTGCCTCACCAATCTATATTTGCCACACCAATTTATATTTGCCTCACCAATCTATATTTGCCTCACCTATGTTTATACCGTGGCTACGCCTCTGGATTATATGTCTGTTTGTGTTTATTCTAAGTCTATTTGTTTGTTTGTTTGCGTGTTTGTTTGCTTGCTTGTAGTTATTTGATTTGTTGTTTCATCAATTTCAATGCTGCAGAGTAATCATTAGACAGTGCTTTCGTTCCTGTTATCGTTCTGTTTATACAAAGAGGTCCAAAAAATTACTTCCATAATTCATTCCTATTTCACAGCACTTTTTAAATGCCGTTATTTATACAATTGTGAATTTATCTCGTAGATGACGATGACGCCTGCGTGGGTACGATATGTGGCCCGGGGCGAGAATGCTTCCTAATGGAGGATGGGCAGCCATCGTGTAGATGCCGGGGGACATGTCCGAGTCATTTGAACACAGTTTGTGGGAGTGACGGAGAGTCTTACGACAACCACTGTGAGCTCCACAAAGCAGCTTGCGCCACTGGTACACACATACATGTAAAGCACGATGGCTTGTGCAAAAGTAGGTCAATTACCTCTAGAAAAATATATGACAAAGCACAAAGGGAAACATAAATCTAAAAAACATTATGCCCATGGGTGATGTACCTGTAAGTACTATTTATAGAACATTTGAAATGCATAAAGTGACGCATGTCGTAAATTATTTCACCCCTCAAAATACATGTTGTTAGAAACATGCAATAATTAACATAAAGGTATTTCCGCTATTCAATATATTGGACTTCTAACTGATGGAAATATGAACCAAATGAATTCCAACATTCTTACTGTGTACACTTCCCTCAATAAGTTTGGCAACTTTATTCGAAGTGAGGAATATATAAACCATTCACTTCTTCGTGATATCGTTCATTCAAAATATAATTGTCAGATTGTCTCCTCAAACCCATTTTTCAGAAAAAGAAACAGTGACTGAAGTACTGAAAACCCCACTCGCTTGTTTCCAAATGGAGCGAGATCAGCTGAGATTCCTAATGGTACAATGGCTGAAACGACGTGCTATGACAGAACAGGGTGGTAAGTGATGAGTAACTATCATGTATGTGATCGTATCAATGTCTTATTGAGTGACATTGGAATTCTACGTTTCCACTATGAATTGTAGCAGTCTACTCAGACGGTTTGATAAGTACTTTCTGACCATTTTTACATCATTTTTAGAAAAATACATTTTCTCAATTTCAAGTAAATTGAAATACAAAATATGACCAGCGGAGAGTTCAATTGATATAATTTGTGTTATGAGGACTTTCCAGGGAGAAAAGCATATTATTAGAATACAAAAGTTGTATTTATGATCAGAAAATACTCTTGGTCAAAGAAATGATTCTTTCAACCACTTGCCAATTGTCATACCATACCTGATTCTTTAGAAGGCAAATAATGACATCGGGCATATATGCGAACAACTTTTTGTAAGTATATATTTTCATAGTAGAGTTTTTGCTTTACAGAAAAGGACTACATAAAAGTTGTGGAAGAGCAATTCCATATTTGTGATGTGTCCAAAAATAAAGCCATTGACGCAGTGGAGTTTCTTGAATGTATAGATTATGACGAAAATGAAGCAAGCAAATATTCAACAAGCATGTCCCAAGAATCTGGCTCTCGACTTGGCATAGACAGAATACTCAAGTGAGTATCTATTGACAGAGTGACCCAAAACAGGTTGGGCCCAAATAATACCGATTAACTTCTTTACAATAAAGGACATTGGCATTTTAAAGCGCTTACTCCGTCTATTACCATAATATCATCATAAACAATTTAATTAATGTTGAATACATATAAATGAATATTGTGGAAAGTGTATTTCAAAATGATATCGCTTTTAAGAGCGTTGAAGTCCACATTTATGCATAGCATTCATTAATCTCCAGTCACAGTTACATGAGATTTTCTGAAGTAATCATGCATGACTGATAATGTTACAGGGGTCTGTGTGTGGACTCACTTATTGGAATGGTGGATGAGAACGAAGACTGGCTTTTGGACTGGGACGAGTTCCAGAAGGGAATGGAACCTCATTACAAACCAGTTCAGAAAAGTAAATACTTTGTATATTATCAAAACATTCAACGGTATAGGAACTTTTTCAATATTCCAATCAATAGCATTTCCAATAAAAAAGATTATTTGCCATTATTTGGGGAGTAATTCGACAATTTCTGGTATAACATTTGAAAAATTTGTGAACGTTATGTCTACAGATTGCTCATTAGAGGAAGATGTGTTTCAAGACGGATCGGAGGCGAAACTTGGCTGTAACATATGTGTGTGTGCGTGTGGGAGCTGGGTATGTACCAACGCTGAGAATTGCCCTGAGCTGGATGATCCACATATTTTACAAGCGTGTAAGTGTCGCATCCATATAAACAACAATGTAGTACAGTTTATACATTTCTATTTGTTTATTTTATTAAAAACATATAAAAATAATTTGAATTACCCTAGCACACAACGACCTTGAAGAATTAGGAACACTCATAAATCATTTATAAAGGTGATTCTTAACGTTAGCAAGTGTGCAAGCTTTATATTTTATTTTACATCTAAAAAGTATTTCCCTTCAATTCAGATGAGGTAAGCAGAGGTGGCTTACCATCCAATGAAGAACGGTTGTCTCTTCTTAAAGGATTCAAGTTCATGAAGGAGTTAGATTCAAATGATAGCGCTGATATTGATCTTGATAACCTACCAGATGACTTCGACTGGAGTAAATTGGGCTTACAAAATGATGCAAAAGCAGAAGAAGGAGATAAATCTACTGCTCCAGAAAATACAAACACAGATAACATCGACACAGATGATGAAAATGACATTACTAAACCTGTTGATTTCGAAGAGGGAAATGTCCCAATGGGCACAAGTGAAGTTGAAGCTACTGATCGATTAAAAGACCATACAAGAGAAAATGAAAACTAATCCAAATATTTTAAAAAATCAAGTTTCTCTGCCAAGTTGGACTTTGGTGCAAATTTGACAGAGACATATAGTTGTACAACCTAGAATGAGGATATATTAAGAAATTCTGCTATTCAAATTATACATTTATTACTAATTTATTATCCTCACAACAGGAGATTAATTGTAATTGTAATTATCTGCATAATGTTTACATTTAAAACATATAAAAAATATAATAACGATTTTATACTAATATTATGATGTTCTCTCGAATGAAATGGGGTTGAATGCATCAAGACTATGCAATCCATTCGAGATTCGATCAAGTCACAATTGATTTTATTTTATTTATGTTATTAAAGTGTCATGAGTTATAAAACATATAAAATACAATTAAAACACCCCAGGCCGACAACGACCTATAGGACACTATAAATACATGTAAATCATTTATATGGAAAATTTTCACGAAGTTTCAGCATTTGGCCACAGGCCTTTGCAACATATAGGTAAATACTAATATTGCTCATTAAGTTAAAAAATTTCAAATCTCTGTCCATATGTAGAAATCCAGGCAATTGATATACAATTTTTCTGAACAAGTCTGACCTTAAGTCGTTATAAAACATTTTATGAGTACCTGACGGTACTCAACCGCCATATTTAGTCACACAATGTCCCCGAATTTGACAAACTCAAATGTATCATGAATGGCTGACAGTGTTATGTCTTACATCAATGGTACTTTAGTTTCCATCTCATGCGCTTTTTCCTCTTCATTTTCATCGTCTATCTCAACATCATCATCATACAAAATCGTCACTGTCCTTGTTTTGTACCAGATGAACGCGTAGCAAAAACACGTCAGGAACTTGAGTCCCAGGGTTAGCAAGTGAAGATTGTCTCTCATGGGGTCAGTTGCGTATAGCCAACAGGCTCCCTTTTTACCACTCTGGCAGCTATTCTTTTGTACCAAACAGACGCCGTCCAATAAATTGCCGTACACCACAGGGGATGGTAGACCTGCAATAGAACATGGAAGTTTGTATAACATTTACAATGGAGATTCCATCAAGTTTTTTGTATGTACAGCTGGCGTTTTGACTCTAAAATGCAATGGAATAATTCTCTTTACTGTGAAGTCTTTTTGAATTTTTCGTGGGTCGCATCTTTTAACAATTTGACCGGCTTAGTGCTTAATTGAACGGATAATTTGAATCCTATATAATAAATCGCAAAGTCTTTGATGCAACGTACGTACAACTACTCTCTATTGAACAATATCTCTACCAGCCAATAAAACATTGAAAGTAATTCCAATATGTTAAAAGTTTGATTTTCATAGATTATTGTGTTATCAATGTAAGTATTTTAACAAAAATGAACAAAGATGCCATCTATTAAAAATCAGACCATACTTACTGAATAGCGAGATGATACAGGTACTTAGGCCAAACGCCAACGCCCTATCGTCCTTGTTCACGCATCTGAAAAAAGACACAGATATTTTAACGATTGAATACAATTTGACGTGTCATAGACTTTGAATGCTTCGTATTGGTATATTTGTACAGTCAGATCTTTGCTGAAGTATAAACATGTTTTGCCCAATTTGGAATTCATATATTGAAGTACATAGTGCGTTTGTGTCAGCCTTGTGCATCTGTACTTCCGCGAAATCTTCTGAATACGTGCTCTTTCCGTATGATGAGAAAGATGGCCACTATATATCGTATGTATCAACATGAAATCTACCCAAGTTTCTTTGGTGACATGCATAACAATCGGATTTGACCGGTCTTCGTTTCGAAAATAAATCATCACTTATCTCTTAAAAATGTTAATTAGTTATTGATGGCGAGGTAAGCCGGTTACGGTAGCCATTCCGAAGAAACATAGGCCCAAAACCGAACAAGAACGAACAAAGGCTTTCTAACTCCTTGGTCTGAATTTCTAGCCTACCTTAAATTGATTCTAACCAGAGGGACTCTAGGAAGCATCGAGACAAATGTCAATACAAACGAGATGACAGCATAGGGTATCATTAAACTACAATAGCCGGGACATAGACCGGGACTAACATTGCCACCTCCCGAGCAGCCACAACCACTAAACGTCTGGAAGGTAAAGCAGTTCGTAAAATATGCAGTAGAAAGAATTCTGAGTGACCTTTTTGAATACAAGTGTATACAGTTGTCTTTTATCGAATCTTTAATTTCTTGCACAGTTTCAATTTCATAGGTACTTTGAATTTTCCGTCTGCTCTGTCGTCAAATCATTTAAAAACTCATATACAAACAGTTGTTTTGTTATCATTTACCAAACAGGCGATTCAATTCATCATTATTCTCAAAATTATTCCAAATCTAGTAGGATAATAAATCACACTGATAATGTATGTAAAGGCAATCAAGAAATGACTCAAATAATGGCAAAGACAATATGAATTTGCGGTTTGAAAACATATCATACATCATCGTATGGACAAAAGAAAATCCAAGAAGATCCTATCAAAACAAAACAAAATATTTTAAAAATAGAAGTTTTTCTGGGTCAGGCTATATCAGCTTTCCATCAAGAGAAACTTTTTAAATTCTGGAAAGGTAAAATTTAAATTTGAATCGGATTATTTTCAACATAGTTAGAATTGAACTATTTTCAGCATAGTTAGCACTGCCATAGTGCCATACATAAGCCACAACATATGAATAAAATGTATTTAGTACCTCATTGACAAAGGACGTGCAGCCCGCATGGCACGTGGAATAGTAATTTAGACCATCTTCACCACAGACGGGTTCATAGTTCACACCTTCACAGGCACAGTCGCCAATACAGCTGCTATTACCACTGTAACACGTACATTTTAGGTAAAAAGCGTTTTCCTAGGAGAGAATGGTACTTCGTGTATAGGGGGCTGGTAAAAAGCTTTCAAAATGCGCAAAACACCCTAGGTGAATATTTCTGATACATCTACCATCTGTCTAGTAATTCGTTTCAATCTCACATAATACGCAAAGGGAAAATAATTACATTGCTTTAGATATAGCTCGATATTACTACACAGAATACTAGAATCTCAATTACCTTTGATTTACTCCCACTACGGAAGTCTGTGGACATCTAAAAGCGAGAAGGCTTCCAAAGCAAACTGTTACGGCGAGTGAAGTAATGCAGATGAACGCTGAGATTCGCTGAGTGGACGTCTTTAGCCTAGACGCCAACCAACCACTTGCAAAGGTACCAAGCGAGACAGCGAATGCGCCCATAGTTCCTAATCAGATAAAACATGTTCAAGATAATGTTACATGTGTAAACGCTTCTGAGGTAACATTCGCGAATTCAACTGCCAGCTGACGGATAAACCTACTAAATCTTTGGTCAACTCATTTAAATATGAATAATACCTGCCACTATTCCATTCATATTTGAATGAGTTGGCAATAACAAAGTAGGTTAAACCCTAGGAGCAGTTGTACGTGTGCAAACCATACCGAGCTTAACAAGGAGTATGTAACTAGCGCATGGTGAGACACTCACATAGATCGTTATATAGAATAATGTCAGAAGTCGGAGACTTTGTATCTCAAGATCATTTATCGAAAATAGACAGTTATGGCTGTGCCGAGTTTTCTCCATGAAAAGGGATATAATACCTGCAATAATGCTAGCCATAGATGTGGACACTCTGAAGTGAGCCTCTAAAAATTTCGGTACGAATGCGACCCAGCCAACAATGACAAAGACGTCCAGACATACTGAGATGACCAAAGCAATATATACTGAATTGGTCAACAACCTTCCAATCGCTTTGGGTAGATCTGAAAAGAAGACAAAGCGTGTCATTATAAGTCATCGGGAGTTGTTCATGAAAGAATGGTAGCGCAACCAACCGATTTACGTATATCCTCTTAAGTGCTACTATTTTTATATATGCTTAAACTACAGAGTATGGGTTTGTGTAAAAAAACGGGTGACCGGGTACCTGGTCGACCGGGTATCTAACGTTCCTAGCAGGGTTACCAACTTTCAAAGTTCCACATTTCCCCCGATATATAGTAGCGAATTGACTTGACAGAATTAGCCTACCGAGTGCACTGCTGTTCGATATTTTTACCATATATACGAGACAGACAGTGACGTCCATGTCACGATGCTCATAAGTAGCATATAAGTTCCTAGAAGACGTTGCACATTTTCGTTCTTTACACATCGAGGCAACGTCAACATGAGACGTTGTTGTAACGTCTCCGTAAAGTTCGTTAGTGTGGAAAACATAACAAACAGGAACGTTTGATTTTTTACTACATTGGTCCATATGTGACGTAACTCAAATTTTAATATCAAAATATTTGTTGGTGGAAAAAAACTTTGTGTTCTCACTAAGTCGGTTCATTTCCGACGTATTGTTAACGTTAAAATTGAATGTTGTTGAAACGTTTTTTCGATTTGGAATAACCTCAAAACGTGACGTTAATAATGACGTTCATGGACCGTATTGATCTGACGTTATTTAAATATTCAGCAAAACGTCGATGGATGGTTGAATTTCAACATTGTGGAAATGGCTTCAAAATATTTGTGAGTTAAGGAAACGTTACAAAGACGTCAATATGTTCTCACTAAATCGGTTCATTACCGACGTTATTTTAACGTTAAAAGTTAACGTTGTCAAAACGTTCTTACGATGTGAAATAACCTCAAAACGTGACGTCGAAAATAACGTACATGTATCGTCCAGATCCAACGTTATTAATAAAAAAATTCCTAACCCTGGAACGTTAAGTACCCGGTCATCCGGTTACCCGGTCACCCGGTTACCCGGTCACCCGGTTTTTTACACAAACCCTCGGAGTATGTCTCGTCATATATGAGGTTAAGGTATACCAGGGTATGCCTATCACAACCAAGTGAATGGGACACATTGCATGTACATGGCTCTTACCCTTCAATTCGAACACAGCTTGTTTAGTAACTGGTTTCTTATCGTCGAGGTGATTTTTCTCTTTGTTAGCCTTTTTCCTATCGCTAGGTGTCTTGAATGTTTTAGGGAAGAACAACATGGGTATGCCATTCAGTGTTGTTAAGACTGCTATGACTGGGAAACCAAGCCACCAGGCGCCTATCCAGCGAGGATCTTGAGGTGTCATATCTGTCGCTGGAAAGAACAAAGGGTAGGGATGCCTGATTTTTATTTCAACAAGACACATATTAATAAATATCACACTTGAAAATCAAAATGGCCGCCTTGCTAATTACACAACATGTCCAAAATCTAATTAGATCTTGGTACTAGTCTGCTCTTACATCTTTAAAATGCCATCGTGCCCCATTGATGTCCGACTTTGCATACAATAGCTCAAATATAGCCATTTTATTACTTGTGGAGACACGCAGTGCAATCAATACTGTTTGCTACTCACGCTGTAAGTCCTCTGGATAAGAAGTAGCCCATGCTCCAATGAAATAACCAAGGACGGGGGACAGGGATCTTAATGCGAAAAACAACCCTGCAATCAAAGAAACATTATTAAAGCAATAGGGAGTTTGCAAACCAAGTTTTTGTATTAAAAATATGCAAAAGTTGGCACGCATCTTATGTATTTTTAAAAGGCGATTACTTTATCGATTCAAGATAAGCTTATGCGTAGCTGAGTAACTCACCCAAGAAAAATGATAAATCTTTCCTGCTGGCGTTGTCATCAATGTAAGTCATGCCAAGGGTCCAGAACGGGGCAACCCCCATACCAAAGAACAGTTGGGCAACAACAAAAAATCCAAAAGCTACTGTATTGGCCCGTTGTGCATCTTTCTGTTCGTTACCACAGTTTGCACTCGCACCATCAGTAAAGTTCGCAACACGGTTTCTATTAGGCATACACAATTCTTCTTCAGGAGTGTTCGTTGCAATAAACTGGTATGTCCTATTTGAATGTGACCCGACTATTGCATTGAATTCCCCAGTGGGCTGGACCTCGACCTGAAGGTCATCTTTCAATGGGAAGCTGCGATTACGTTGTATTAAGTAAGGCATTGTCCAGAATACCATGGAGATAACCATCAACATGGACGCCACGAAAAAAATTCGAGGTTTATGGGCGTGCCTTCCGAAGTGACTGACAAGAATACAGCTAGGAAGAAGAGCGACATTGTCAATAGTAAGCAAGATGCCCGATGTTGAACTGGAAAAGGAGAATCTTTTTTCGATCGTGCTGAGATTTGCGTACAAATACGTACCAAATAGTCCGTAGCAAACTCCAAATAAACACAAGGAAATAACAAAAATTCTAATGTCAGCAAATTTTTGTAAACATTTAGGTTGCCATGACCCTATGCCACAGCCTGTGTCACTGTACTCATCATTTTTTGATTTATTAGTCTCGGTCACGTGATGGTCAGTTTGTTCTTCTTCTGCACTATTTTTACTCAATGACAAGTTTTGATCCTCCATTGCAAATGTTGCAGTTCCTGTGAGAGTTGTCGAGAAAAATGTTTTTAACTCCTGGTCCGTTTTGGCTTATCCTGTAAATAATAATGCTAATTCGCTCGACTAATTCGTCAGTTTGTTTCTTTGATGGATCATCTGTATTTATGATGCTTGCCAAATCTGCTTATCACATAAGGTAGTTATAAGCTTACACCACTAAAAATAACGAGAGCACTAATATATGTATACTCTTTTATATGAAAATGTTTAATATCACGTTCGTTTATTTGTATTTGATTTTCAGTGTGATATCACGAAAATACATAAAGCTGAACACTCGACATTTCTCATGTGCTACAATAAGTAGTTATAAGTTGCCAATGACCCAAATTGCACTGTCATTCATAAAAACCGATCACGAATGTTATATCAATAAGAAAATGTCACGTGTATACACATGTGTACTTTGAAAAACAGTATACCGTTGACTATTAAGGTAAATGTGTAAGTTTGGAATTGTATGCAATCCTCATTGGAGAAATGTTATTTTCAAATATGAATTTCTCATTTCTGACATAGTCTACATTCTTTCAATTTTTCACAAAGCGTGTACCAATATACCTGGAAAAGAGTGAAAATAATACTATCTTTTTAAAATGTATGAAAAATTTGTTAAAGTAGGTCACTGAATTTTCACGTTTATATACATTTTATAAAAAAATATTCTCCACTTCTTTCGGGGTACATTAATGCACTCTTTGTGCAAAACTGAGAGATGTTAGATAATGTGAGAACAGAGTTCGTATTTAAAGAGTAACATGTGACTCCATAAGGATTGCATTAAAATGGTATAAATTACACACTTACCTTAATGGGGTTTATTGTAAATGTTGGATATGTTTCATGTATCCCCAAAGCAATCACATTATATCGCGATACAATCGTAATGTTTTGCGTATGAGAGTGTATGAGAAACAATATATACGTATAGTGCGTAAGTGGCAGAAGTCGGGGGCTTTAAGTAGGGCCAGCAAAGACAGTATGTTAATTTAGATGCCCATTCGGCCACATGTTCCATACAGGAGTTATGTGCATGTGCAACAAATATCTATTCAGTAACCTTAACTTCCTACAGCACATAATTTGACGATTTTCAGCCACAATTTCAGTGTTGAAATACCTATTTCAGTATGCTTAAAGTGTTTAAGAAGTCATGTAGAAATTATGAATGAAATAGGAATTTTTGGTCAACAAGTGAAATGAAGAAACCAAACGTATAATTCTTATCCAGTTATTTTGTCCCCATTGCGCATTCAAGCAGATGTTTATCATATTTTCAACTTTTTCAATATCGCTGTTTAATGATATACGATCTACGTTTTGCCTGATAAAAATACAAATAGTAAACTACCCACCTATCTTTCCCGGCTACCTTTTTAGTGCTTTACAACGTAGAAGCATTGACGCCCTGGTCTGGAAACGTGATCCTATTTTATCACATGTACGGGTATGTCTTTCGTTTTTGTTGTTTTGCATTGCTCTCGACAAATTAAATAGGGCACAAGTACAAAGGTATTCATACTAATATGACAATTGCTTAGTAAACAACTGGTGTCATAAAATTATTGAAATTATTCAAACTGCTGAACTTTGTTCTTTCTCATTATTTGAACTTCTTTATAAATGAACAACTACTACTTATAGTAATATAAACATGGACATTGGTACAGGTAATCCAACGAATGTAGAACCGACAGATCCCTCTCACATTTCCAAAGCTTCCAAATTGTGGACAAATGGTTCTTGATCGAAGTGCAACGAGACCCTTGCAGATGAAGGACGGGTGCAAAATAACATGGGTGCAAAGCATGGGTTCAAGGGGAGCAGTTTCCAGTAAAGGAGCAGGTCATTTTACAAGAAATTTCAGTATTTTCACACAAATTATTTTTTAACTGACAAGTTGCTTATTCGCAGAGAAAATGAATCAGTACGTGCAATGACAGTGTCAATCCAGCACTGAATCGTGCTTCCGCACGAAATTAGTCTATGATCTAATTCGAAGTTACTAAAAAGGTGCGAAACTTCTACACTCGGAATGATCGTTTTTCCATTATAACCTTTTAACGTGTTATAAGGAAGGCTTCTATAATTATTTTCCTGGATCATCTAAATACAGCATAAAATATATCTTACTTCAAACAGGTTGGCCTTTTTTGTTTAATTTTTTAAATAATAAAAAATAACTATTATCAATGTGGCGGAGCAAACAAGGCGGCGGAGCAAAATGATTTTATCGATTTTCTTTGATTTCTAACCCTTTCTTGCCCAAGGGGCATAAATAATCATTGAAACAATCAATCTTGATTCATTCATAAATGACATACATACTTGTAGAGGCCAATTAAAATATTTTTAATATTCTGATAAAATCATTTTGTTCCTTACCTAAACAGCTGTAAGCAGAGGGAATTCGATCGAAAGCATTTTCTTTACAAAATACAAAAGCGCTTTTTGCTATAGATTTTCTTTAATTTTTCAAAAAATGCTCCTCTGCCACCCCAGTTTTTACTTTATTTGACCTATTTTCTGACAAAAGTTGATACGCACGATTCCTTAGATAATTTTGAGCAAGCTTCCCAATGGGATATTGCAGACGTCGAAATAGGTGTGCCAAAGACTCCATACCGTCTAAGAACCGTTTGAGGTCTATTTACAAACGGGTTTAAACTGATTAAGAACGTATTAAAGACTGCTTATTAACGAGTTAGCCAAAATATAGGTATCACACCAAACAAGTTGCCACTGCGTTTTTCAAAACTGGTTTTAAACTGTGTGCGAACGGAATGAACGTAGCTGTAACTTTCTAAGGACTATTTAAGAACTGCATGACGGGAAGGTGATTTTAGAATTCTGAAATGATTCACAATTCGATGGCGACCATACCGTTCTGTAATCAGGTCATGATGACCTTCTAGACTAAAGGACGCGTTATACGACGTTGTTCACCGATGTGGTGCGACCTGAACGATCTGTGAATGAGATGGACGTATTGAAGACTGTTTATGAAGGAAGTAGCTAATTATTTTAGACATATTTCCCGACCACAGCCAGATAAAGCCCGTTTTACGACGTTTTCGGAGGACTGGCAAGAACGGGTAAGAACTAGTTTGGTGTGATAGGGGGGTTACCGCCCTACTATCACACCAAACTAGTTCTCACTACGTTCTCGAAAACGGGCTTCAACTGTGTACGAACGGACTGGACCTACTAAGAACCGTTTGGGATCTATTTACAAACTTCATCGAACGTACTCGAACGGGTAGGTCCTCTAGAACTTAGACAATGCTCAAAATGTTCTCGTGGTCGTCACGTTCTACAATTAGAACGAGTGACAACGTACTAACGACGAGCTGGACGTACTACGAACGGAACCGTCGTACATCAATCCTACTAGGGACGTTTTAACAACGAGTTGAACTGTCTGAGGACGTGTTGAGAACGAGGTAGAACTAATTGCAAACGGGTTTAAACTGATTAAGAACGTATTTAACACTGCTTATGAACGAGTTAGCAAAAATATAGCTATCACACCAAACAAGTTGCCACTGCGTTCTTCAAAACTGGTTTTAAACTGTGTGCGAACGGAATGAACGTAGCTGCAACTTTCTAAGGTCTATTTACGAACTTTATGAACGTTCTCAGACGGGAATGTGATTTTAGAATTTTGAATCGATTCAAAATTCGATGGCGACCATACCGTTCTGTAATCAGGTCATGTTGACCTTCTAGACTAAGGGACGCGTTCTACGACGTTTCACACCGACGTGGTGCGACCTGAACGAACTGCGAACGAGATGGACGTATTGAAGACGGTTTAAGAACGAAGAAGCTAATTATTTCAGACATATTTCCCGACCACAGCCAGATTGGGCCCGTTTTACGACGTTTTCGTAGGACTGGCAAGAACGGGTAAGAACTAGTTTGGTGTGATAGGGGGGTAAGTAGCGCTTATTTTGCATGCGCGCCATACACATTGCCCTACTATCACACCAAACTAGTTCTCACTACGTTCTCGAAAACGGGCTTAAACTGTGCACGAACGGATTTGACGTACTAAGAACCCACTAAGAACCGTTTGGGATCTGTTTAAAAACTTCATGAAACTACTAGAACGAGTAGGTCCTCCAGAACTTTGAGCATGCTCAAAATGTTCTGGTGATCGTCAAAACGTTGCCGAATCGGTTTTGAACTGTGTACGAACTGAATGAACGTAACTGCAACGTCTACGGTCTGTTTACGAACTTCATGGACTTTCCCGGACGGGGAATGTGATTTAGAATTTTGAATCGATTCAAAATTCGATGGCGACCATACCGTTCTGAAATCAGGTCATGATGACCTTCTAGACTAAGGGACGCGTTATACGACGTTGCACACTGATGTGGTGCGACCTGAACGAACTGCGAATGAGATGGACGTATTGAAGACTTATTTCCCGACCACAGCCAGATTGAGACCGTTTTACAACGTTTTCGTAGGACTGGCAAGAACGGGTAAGAACTAGTTTGGTGTAATAGGGGGGTTACCTGTATTGATCAATGGACTTTGCGTTCACGGTTATGTTGTGAAAAATATTGCAGGCTTAATGTCTCCAATATCATCTTCAAATCGTCACTTCAGCTTCATAGAAATATTGTCCTGATATGCGAATATAATAGAATATAAATACAATAGAACTTAATCAATGTATACAAAATATATCTATTCATCAGATTAAAATACATACTTAATGTTACTTCTTAAAGGGATCGGAAGTACATGTAGAAGGGAGAGGGATGGGATTACAACTGATAGGTCCAATATCTTACTTGTAGACTGCATCTGGCTTATAGCTCCTTGATCTAGGTAATAGGCCCTTTTCCTCACTTACAGGCCCTTTATCCGCCTTACATGTTCTATATCTTGCTTAAAGGCCCTTTTTGCAGCATATAGGCTGATAGGGGCAAACTTACAATGATTGATATTTTCAAATATAGTTAAACTCTGTTATTCTACCAAAGCCAACGCCATATGTGTTAATATCAACCACATTTATTGTGAGCTATTTTAATGTTAACGCAACTGGTTATCATGACCATGCGTTACACTCTGAAAACATTGCTTATTAATTCTTAAAAACAGCTTTAATGAATGCATCTTATTATGTCCTTATCATTTGTATCCTCCAACACACTGATCAAATTAACGTTGTTGATATGTTGTTGGTGGAAAATATGTTGAAAGATTTGGCAGAAAGTTCCCTTTGGGGTTACCTTTTAAATGACAGACAACGAACACATCAGACGAAATATTGTTATTTTTGTGGGGAATTTAGATTTTGCTGTCCAGTATTTTGTATCCTCTAAACAGTAAAGATTCAGCTATGCACCACTACGAAATGAAACTAATCCAATGTAGTATTTAAATGGTTGTTATATAAATTCTCAATTGTATCTAGTTTCTAAGTAAAGTGAATGTGTTGAGCATGTGTTGGAGGTTACAAATCATATGGACATAATAAAACTTGTTCTTTTGAAATATCAAGCAAATCCCTTTTGAGAGCTGGTTACAAACATACTTTATGAACAACTTGGAAATCATTGAAACACATGATGCATTATTTGTTATGTTGTCTGAGTTTATATTAGCAAACTATGCTTTATGTTTAAAAAATCATTGTTAAAGCTGTTTTTAAGAATTAATAAGCAATATTTTCAGTATATATTGCATGGTCATGTTAGCCAGTTGTGTTGACATTAAAATAGCACAAATTAAATGTCATTGATATCAACACACACGGCGCAGGCTTTGGTAGAATAACAGAATTTTACTATATATGAAAATATCAATTAAATTTGGCCATAGGTATATTTCATTTTACATCTGGACAACGGTGACACCATTTTTGACTGGTTTTGACATTTCACCTAATAAAGCATTAACCTCATTCACTGCAGTACTGGCCTTGACTTTTGACTTTAGTCCTTTTTTAGTGGCCTCCACACTTGCATGATCATCTAGTTCAATGTCTGAAAGTACCACATCTTTCACAGGTGCAGCGGTCGACTCAGAGACCTCAGATCCATTCAGTTTATTGTTTGTATCTGTTTGACCTGACTCAAGATATTTCTTTTCAGAGGAGAGTTTTGTATGAGTGGTTTTATTTCTTAAAAGTCGATATCGCTCTATTTTATCAGACTTTGAGGCTTGATTGTGATCCTCATTATTGTGTGCATGATGTCTCAGGATTGTGATTTCAGGATTGTTAATCATTGTATAAGCAATTTGCCAACGTCGTCTTATTCTTACAGATCTTAGCTGCGCTTCTGTCTTGGCTGAAATAAACAATCCTTGTACTTTTTATGCAACATGTTATCGTCCAGATTAAATCCAACAGGTCCAAAGATACACCCTCTAGAAGTGTACCGATTATTTTCAGAGGTATCTGTATAAAGTATACTCATTAATTTCAGTGTTACAAAAAGACTGGGGATAAGCTACATGTATTGAAAAACCTTGGCAAAGCATTCTTGTTAAATATCACATAGGTGATAATGTGTAATGATCACTTGTAAAAAATTATTTTAAATCTGGACTGATTCATTGTAGGGATGTAGGCATACCATCTGTGTATCTGACTCCCACACATTCGCTCTCATCATCTTCTACGCTGGTTCTCCTTAAGGTGGCATCCATGAGCAGTTGACAAAATACACGCAGAACAGGATGGTTGTGAGTGTAGTCCATGTGGATCATACCAATGTAAGCCATGTAGCCTAAAAGTGGAAGAGAAAATGTCAATCTTACATGTATGTACTCGGGTGTTTTTGTTTTTCTTTGTATATTCATTACTTTTTTGGTATCTTAGCCTCTTAGGGATTTTGACAGACTTGAAGTGAAAATATCAGTTCCTTTCTAGTATAATCAAATCATATTTTGTCATGTTTTTTATAGCTCACTAGTTAAAATTAAAAAGACATTGTAAAAATACTTATAGAGTGCAAAATGTGGGAGATGCTGTTACTGAACAAAAAAGGAGTGTATTAATTTCCACTTGGGGAAAAATTGTGTTTTGAAGTATCCCTTCCAGGTTATATGATTTGCACCAGTATATAATTTAATTTTTCATCTAAATATAAAATGTCTACAAAACAAATTAGTGCATGCTCATAGGCTAATGGATGTTAACAAAAGTGGTTGGTGTTAAACACCATGCTATAGGCTTTGGTTTACTACTTTAATCATAATAACCTACCTTTATCATATGTTTCAAAGTCTGGCATGAGAGCACACCTATCGACCCTTCCCAGCATAAGGAGGCCAAAAAGGATACCCTTGCCTATCCTAACCAGGGCAGAGAACAAGCCAAGGGGAAGGTTGAACAGAAATAAGTAGTAGGAGAATATGTGATACCATTTCCTTAAATAGTCAATATAAATATAAAGTTTAATCCATGGATCGATTTTTGGTTGATGTGGTCTCCAGGGTATTAAAGTGAAATCCTAATATCTTTTCAAATATGAGAGGTCAGCCCGATAAAACACTTGTCTTGTCTTGCAAACCAATCATTATACTTTAAATCTTAGTCAATAACAAGCTATCTGGTAGTACCTCTCATACACTTGATTGACTAAATAGTTGTGAATACTAAGAAAATGGTGAAAGCACGCGATTAAATAGCATAATTAAAGTACTATTACAATATATTATAACCTGTTTCTAACTGCAAGAGGTTTGTGTTCATCTTCTTCTTCTAACTTCGGCTGCAGGAAGAAAAAATGAACCATAAGGATCTGGCCATAGTATAATATCGTACTCAAGATAAAAGGTCCGCTGAAAATAAAATCATTCAAATATAATGTTATAATAATATTTCATGTAATAAAAATAAAATTGCAATTTTATCTAAACATTAAGATATAACATATACAAAGTCTGACTTACATGAGTATTTGGAAGAGTCCCTGCAAAGGTCCGTAGATTTTATGAATAGCAGGTATAATGAACAGCCCAGCAACAATCACTATGAACAGCCACAGTATGATATGCTGGAGAAAAAATCCTGCAAACCAAATGATGTGTAAATAAGACAAGTGAGCCTTGCCCAAGTCTGTATTATATTTTATCTATCTTGATTTTAAATTGTGAAAAAAAATAAATAAAAAGACACAGCCTTGGACAAGGCTAAAGAAATGAGTTGGGGTAAATTTTTGAAATCATCACAAAAATGCAATGTTTGTTACTCAAAGCATTCCTTGTTATGTCTCTTTTCTAAAAAGGCAAATGGGTCTGACTTTATTACATGGAAATGGTTTGCTTTTGTTTGCTATTATAGGTTATAGGGCAAGAATTCTGAAGAAGGGGACATTCCCTCAATTAAAGTTGGTAACTTCTTATATCTTCCATATTCCATATTAGATAAAATATTTCAAACTATTTCTCTGTTGAGACACATTTATTATGTTTATTGAAATTATTGCGTCTGTCATTTTACACTTGCTATTCTTTGCTGTCAATACTAGAAAAACAGCAACTCCACGGAGTAGCAAATCCCACCAAACAAAACATATATAGATTATTAGTGGCCATCTTGAAAATTCCTTCTTGAGCAGAGCTTGTTTGTCCATAAGCATCAACATATAAAATGTAAACCATATCCATAAATTAAAATTTGAGTAATCAAAGATTTCATTCTTTTTTAATAAAAATGGCGGCCAATTCTGCAATCATTTTGAAAATCTTTCTCGAACAGAGCTATAGTGTCCCTAGGTATCAGCATATAAAATTTGAATTAAGAAAAATGGCAACTATTTTGAAATTCAGCTGCCATTTTGAAAATTCTTCCTCGAACAGAGCTACTGTGTCCCTACTGTGTTCGCTGGTATTAGAGTTATCAAAATTTTATGGTTTTTTTACAAAAAATGGCCACCATTTTTAAATTAAGTGGCCATCTTGAAAATTCATTTTTGAACAAAGCAACTGTGTCCCTAGCCATCATCATATAAAATTTGAACCAAATCCGTTCACTGGTATTTGAGTTATCAAAGATTATGTTTTTTAACGAAAAATTGCCGTCATTTTGAAATAAAGCGGCCATCTTGAAAATTCTTTGTCGAACATAGCAACTGTGTCCCTAGGCATCATCATATAAAATTTGAACCAAATCCGTTCACTGGTATATGAGTTATCAAAGATTACTTTTTAACGAAAATTGGCCGCCATCTTGAAATTGAGCCGCCATCTTAAAAATTATTTCTTGAACAGAGCAACTGTGTCCCTAGGCATAATCATATAAAATTTCAACCAAATCTGTTCACTGGTATTTGAGTTATCAAAGATTACGTTTTTTAACGAAAAATTGCCGCCATTTTGAAATTCAGCGGCCATCTTGAAAAATTTTTGTCGAACATAGCTACTTTGTCCCTAAGCATCATCATATAAAATTTGAACCAAATCTGTTCACTGGTATTTGAGTTATCAAAGATTACATATTTTTACGAAAAATGGCCGCCATTTTGAAATTAAGCGGCCATCTTGAAAATCTCTTTTTGTGTAAAACTCCTTTGTCCCTAGGCATCAGCATATAAAATTTGAACCAAATCCGCGAACTAGTATTTAAGTTATTAAAGATTACATTTTTTACGAAAAATGGCGGCCATTTTGAATTCAGTGGCCATATTGAAAATTTCTTCTCGAGCAGAGGTCCTACACCCATAAGGCATTAGCCTATAAAATTTGAATCAAATCCGTGAAACGGTATTTGAGTTATCGCCCGGACAAACGGACGGACGGACGGATGTAGGGACGGATGAACGGACGGCTTTCCTATATCCCTCTCGAACTTCGTTCGGTGGGATAATAAGGTTTGTATTTTTAGTATTACAATCTGGTATTAATTTTATACATTTAGTATTATAAGGCAAATAAACTCAATAAAACATAATTACCCCACACCATGTAGGCTATCTGATACCCAGCATACTTTATACCATTTGCCTAAAAAATAAAATCAATTCAGATCACCAATTTGCTTTTGACTTTACATTATTTCAATTTTGTTCAAGGACTTTTATGAGACACTGACCCTGTCATGACATATTATTATGAGTTATAACTTTAAAACTCTATAAATGTTAAAATAGACTTACATTGTAATTATCGTATTGCTTCATCAAGCTTTGGACCTGTGACTGAGCTTGGGAACCATCGATTTGTAATAATAAGGAGTGGTTTATTTACAAATCACAGCTATATCAAATGAATTAAATTTATAACTCACAGCTATTTCAGATGATGTAGGTGTAAACTCTATCAGCAAGTGGCTTCTGGATGTCCCCTGGTATAGATTCATCATGTTTTCCCTGAAACAAAATGTACATGATGTACAAACACACATGTACATGATATACAAGTACACATGTACATGATGTACAAACATAGATGAGATTGTATTCCTCAAGTTGACAAACTATGTTGAATAAATCTTTCCATAAATGCTGATATGGTCTTTTTTATTTAACTAAAGCTTGCTTGAATCATTGAATGATGTGTGCTTACCTGTAACACAAGAGAATGTGTGAAAGACTGAGCATTGTCAGCAGTACAATGGAGATGGTCACTGCATACCATGAAACTGAAATGGCAATATCAAACATTGCATTAACATAGCAGAGCAATACATGCAGAATGCACAATACTGACTTGGCACTATATTTTATTTATATTGACTGAGATAAGAGGGAAAACCAAAGTTGTACAAGAAAATATATATGAGGCCCGATCAGTAAGTAAGTAACCAACTGTTTTCATTTTTTCATACTTAATTCGATCACATTAAAATTGTCACATATGGTGTAGAAAATATTGAACAAAACCAAAGCCAATAGGTAAGCGTCAATGTCATTGTTATGGTGGGTGCTATGGTATAAACTGAACAAAATTGCTTACTTCTCATGGTGTTATAGACTTGCTCAAAAATAACAGCTTCTGTGATATTCTCTACATCAATCTTAGAACTGTTGGCGATCACCTCAAATATAGCATCAGTGAAATACTGGAGACCATTGATAAGTGATCCTACTACCCACACATACACAATGCCAATCTACAATTTAAAGTACTTTCATTGCTTTTCTTTAATCAACTTACTTTCATTTTAACTTCATAATACAATTGTATTTAAATGCAGATGTTAAAAATGTGAATGTTAATTTATGGGACTTCTAGTACGATTCAGACTGGAATCTAAAGGCCCACAATTTTCAATAAATAGCCTGAATACAAATAATAATATTTTGAGCTAATAATATGATCTCTAGTTGTTTTTTAATCACTGTTGATCCACTCAAACAGATGTTTTATACAAGGTACAATTCTGGATCCAAATGTTTTAGCATGCTCGTATTTTTAGATGTTTTTTCTGTTTAAAAAAATCAAGTCATAATAGAAGTTTAAATCCTCTTTCACCCAAGTTTTGTCTCAAATATTTTTCATTGGCCTACCGAATCCTTACTTCTGCCATGTTAAGCAAATATTATTGATGCTTGTGAGTTACATGTATTCAACCTTTCAAAGACCTAGTATTCACCTCTTACCTGGTATATAACTGAGGCAATCACAATCACAGTTGACATCATACGTGTGGAAAAGAGAAATACTGGACTTGGGATGTAGAGGGATTTCAGTTTTGCTTTAAATCCTGGCTCTAACTCAGGCCTGAAAATTAATCCAATTGAGTCTTCAGGATATTCACTTTAACATGCAATCTTTGAACTAAAGTAAGTTAAGTGGGTTGTCCTCCTTTGGCAATTTATTGGTCTAATAAGAAGTACCCATCAAAAATGCATGTCGTTAAATATTGTATATTTTACACTTTAGTTTATTAAGTTAACTGCTGGGATGAAATAAATTTTTAATCAATACTATAAACCTCTATATCCTCCATAAATAGTCTTACTACAAAGGGCAGCTTGCGATGAATTATTTAACTCTCCTCTGTCACCCAAAAATATTCTGATTTCCTTCTTGCAGCCTTTGTGAAACATTTTTAGAGAGCTCTGGTCAAAATTGAGAAATCATTGGATCAAATTAGAAAATATTGAGTTAAAGCCAAAATCAAATGTTTATGCCCAATTGGCTTGTTTTACACATTCAATTACAATATCCTTCATTGGATTGTGTTGAGAACCTTGAGGAAAATGACTTAGAATATGTAGCACTTACTTAACCTCAGGTTTGACTAGTAATAATTTAACATGCATTCTCTGGTGGGGATAAACTACTGTATCTGCTATAAGATCAGGTTTGTTTGGCATGACATCTTCCATCTTGACAGCCTCGATCATTCTCTTGATATAGCAGCAAATCAGAAGGAAGAGGCACAGCAGTTCAGGCCATCGCACAAACACCAGCATATAGGGCATAACCTAAAGTATAAACAGCCAAATACAGTAAACTTCTTTTTTTTATGAATTGTGGTTCTACATATACTTAGCATATAGTTATGGGATACTTAGACCATAGTGTTGACAGTTGGCATATATTAAAAACATGAATGAAAGGAACCAACAACACCAATAGCGAAAGAAATTTGAGAATTAAATCTATAGAATTGTTTCCTTACATTTGGTCTAGGATTTGGGCACTCCATTGTATGCAGCATCTTGACAAGAAACCTGAAAAATAAAGACAGACTTGGTTGTCATAAAAATGATAAGGTTCATAAATTCAAATGACTTGAAAACAATGTTTCATGTTCTATGGGTTAAGGTACCTTTAAGAAGGGTCTTCACGTACAGTTCACAGTTTTACAACTATTCTGATTAATTGTATCATTAGCATGGATAGTTGGAAGTTCCCCAAAATACTATAGATATTTACATTTAAATACAATAGTATTATGGAGAGCTCCCCACTACCCATGTATTATAGTTAGTAGCAACGTCTTGCATAAAATATGTACATAGTATATACATTATATGTACATACCACATCAAGGCATAAAGTGCACCCAGGAAGGAGCCCACAAATTTGGCTTCAGTGGCAAAACAGGCAAACAAAGGATAGAAAGTTAATGACATTTCCAACATCACAACCATGGTGACTAGAACTACAACATAACAACAAAGCAGGGTTAGTGGTTAATATAAACAGGACAGGCAGAATTGAAGAAAATCTCTCAACTTTTATGTTAGGATGTTAACCTAGGCTATTTGTGTTTTAAAGCATATTCATATTATTAGATGAAACATTCAGAAATGTGAGGTTGAGTAGCATCCACTTCATAAAATTAGTTCATGACACATCGTTTGTGGCAACAATGAGAGAAAGATACTGAATTTTCTTGTAATGACACCTTGGGAAAATTAAGTCATAATACTTTTGATATGAAAATTATGTAGTAATGTCTATGGGATTTATTTTGTAGGCACTTCAACATAATGCATTTTTGGAAAAGCATTAATCCTATAATATGTTAAGTTTGCTTTGGAATGTTACTCTGTGGTTATAAAGATGAACAAATATTTCAGATGTACATGTATTTGTATGTTTATGAACAGTGATTTCTAAGAAATTATTTGATTTACTAACAATAAAAAGTGGAATTCAATTTCCCTTGAAATAAATGCCAATGTGCCTAATTCTGAAGGTACAGTACATGTACTTTTGAAATAATGGCAATATAGTACAGCAAATGGGTATCAATACAAGGAAACCAATAGGTTGACAAAATCTAGAATTGCATGGGAATCCAATAGACTAAAAATGATATAAAGCTTTTATTACAAAATGTCAAATCAACCGTACTGTAGTCTATAGGTCCATAGTTCTTTCCAAAGAAATCTCCACCATACAGTATTGTGATGAGAGTGTTGGTGGTTGCACCAAATGCTAGTGTATATTCCCAGCGATGTTTGAAGCCATCTAATAGGTTAAGAGGACTGAAAGTAAACAATTATTTTATTTTCTGAATGAAGTTCGTAAGTGGCAATGGCGTTGGTCCCCAAGGGAAAAATAATGAAAATTCAACTCTTTGAAGACATTTAATGTGTAGCCTATCATCTATTTGTGACAAATAAAAATATAAAATTAAAAATATGTTTCTATAATATGATTTCTTTAATATAGAAAATAAAAAAATCAACATACTCCAAAATTTATACGGCCACGATGATGTCGCAAATAAAACTCTCTCTCATGTGAATCAATTGCAACTGGGTTATGAGGATATACTATAAGTTATACAACTGTATGAGATGTACAGTACTTACATTGCCAAACCTGGTCTCCCTCCACAGCAATCATTTTTCCATTTCCTTTGTTCACAAAACATCAGTATAGCAATTATGGCTGCCTGAAATGTAAATACATATATTACATATACTGTATTTGTCTTAAATTTGGCGAGCGTTTTAATTTGGCGAATTAGCAAATCAAAAAATCACCAAATCAAATAGTCCCCAAAATCCCCAGGAATTTGACTTGTTTTTCGTTAGGTGAACTTCTTGTTATAAGATGGGCAGGGCCGTTTATATTATTTAGTTTAGAGCATTTAAAATTGTACATCAACAACAATTAAACTGGATCAGGCAGGAGAGTATATGATAGATATAGATATGAGATTTACCCCCTCGAAAAACCGCCAACTTAAATAGATGCCAATATGTCTTATCTCCCAAAATCGCCAAATCAAGTAGAGTAAAACCTGTATAAGAGTCATGACTTCTAGTATATGGTAGTTATCAGAATAAAATGTTAGACTGGCCTGTGTTAGAAGATGGATGGATGTAATGGATAATTCAAAAACATCCATGCTTGCCTGCTATTAATTCAAGGTGCAACAAAATCCCTTGAAGTGAACACTCTTAGGACCAAGCATATAGATTGGGAGGTGGATTTAACACAGGAGTCACTGGGAGAAATAAGTATAAGCATGTGACAAAGTCATAAAAGTCTTAAGCTTTCATAGGGACTTCAAGTTCAAGTGGTTTTATTGTATTTACATTGTATTTATAAAACGAGAGATGCCACTTATCCTGTGATATATGTCTTTGTTTATCACTCAGGGTTCAAACTCACAGTTGCTTGACTGCCAATGGCAATCCTCACTCTTGTTATTAATTATTTTTGAAAAGTGATCTGCCTATTTGGCAATGGACCGAATGTCAATATCATAAATTGGGCAATCATCTTTTCATCCTTAGTTGTGAAACCTGATTGAATGAGATATCTGTATTAAAGTATTTGCTAAACCCCCATACAGTGTCTGTTAATCCTAAAGACAATTGTATAACATATTGTTAAATTTAGACATGGGCTGTGGATATATACAATATATATATATATATGTAATTTTGAAAATCTCCATACAGGCTGGGTTCACATAACTTCTAAGATGCAATAGAATGTTATATCTTACATAGATTTATATTAAAATGAACTGGGATGAAACATATTTACTTCATTGATTTTGACGTCAGGAATATTCATCTATTCTATGATAGGAAGTATTCTGAAATGGTAATTTATAATCAAGTGTGTCAAAATCAGGAATGAATAGATGTCACAATAGTAGCTTTACTGGATAATTGCTATTTTAATAATATTTTTGTGCAAAAGTAAATAACAACTTACTGCAGGAAGCAATGTAAAGTGAATAAACTTTTGTGTCTTTATACTATGTTGGCATGGCCCTACTGTCTTGTTGGTGATGTTATGTGCATTTTGCGGAATTGTTACTTGCTGAAAAAGGCCATCAGGAAATACCTCAGGAAGCATTGTTGTGGCCAGTTGATCCATCATTATATCCATCTGAAAGCATATTAAAGTTCATTTTGATCATCGAATATTTACACAACAGTATAACGAGACATCGGAGCAACTTACCCAGGTACAATACACATTATCATCATTTTGACAACGTTTCACCCTTTAAGAAGCCTTTGACATATAATTTACATTTAAGTAATACAGTTATAGAGGAATGTTATCTATTCTCTTTAAGTGACTTATAAAACACATGTAAATGTCCCTGTCTCTGCATGAGAAGAATTTCTTCATTTACATTGTTACACATGAGTATTACAATTGCAAATGTACATGTGCAGACTAATGTGGAGCTTTCTCCTTTTTAAAAAGTCCTTGTCTTTGTAACTAAAAAATGATTTCTGATCTTGAAATAATTTAATTGTTACCTGGTATGCTCAGCGCCAAATTTAAAGGATGTATGTGAATATAATAAAAAATTCCACTAAGATGCATCCTTTTGGCGCTGATGCGATCTGTACTATACCTTATTATAACTAGACTACAGCTACATGTATGTACCTGTCATATAAGTGTGTTAGAATGTTTCTCGACTGTTATCATTTACTGAATATCCAAACTGTCACAAATCATATTTTAACAGATTCCTAATTCACCACAACATTTCAATGATGATTCAATGTATAGAGATAGATGTACAACTCCAACTGATTTCCATCAAAACGATGAACCAAAACATTTTTCTCTGGTTCAGTCCAAAACCATTTTATTTCTTATATATGTAAATTGACGTTTAATGCAAACCTCGTACTGTCAACAATATGAGTAGTATTATAAATACACTGAATGCAATTTGTACTTATCAGTTGGACTTTGAGCTAACTTGACTCAGTTCAATATCAATCAAGTGGGAGAATATTATTTGCAGTTGCACAAAGTAAACAAACTCAAAGAGATTAACTATATACGTGTATATTTCAAAGTACATGAGTTAAATCCAATTGATAAATACCGTCGCATATGATAATATTGTACCTAAGACGTGTAAACTATAGTTAACTATAGAAATGTAAACTAGAAACTTTCAAAATGTTCTCTTTTAAAAGTGGGTCAAAGTTAGACTCGAAGTGAATCAATTAATAGTAGCGCCGAATGCAGTTTTGGTCACAGATGTTTAACAATGATTCTATGACAATGCTTCAAATGAAACCTCCACAGATGTTTATAACAATAAGTTATCATGATAGATTTCAAATATGATGATGATTTAGTTCCGAAGAGAGTAGTTACTTCCTACAATCTTTATATGTCAATAATTATGTTGGGGTGTGTCGTGGATTTAAACACACGTACACTTCCGGCTGTTTGGTACCTCATAACTTCTGACAGATTTTAACTGACAAAAGACGTAATGCTGCAGATATGAGTACAGTTGTATCGATATTTGGTAGGTAATTTCCCACTTTAATGAAAACAGAAAACAAAAATAGAATCTGTTGTGTCTTTTTAAAAACATTCAAAGTAATAAATATTTACTTCGGTCCAAAGCCTTCTCTATATTCCGGCTTTGAGGAGGAAGATTGAGCTGCCTTAGTATTATAAATATTGTAAATCATTGTGTCACACGCACAGTAAATATGGCATAATAATATGAAATATACCTTTATGTATAGATTTGAAGAACATCAGCTCACATCCCCGTCTGAATCTATTGTTATATTTGATTTCTTTAAGCGAGAATAATTTCAAATGTTATTCACGTCCAGAACCGGAAGCCATTTTTAGCTACAGCGAGAAAATTTCACCATGTGTCAAATACTCCGAAATGAAATTTTGAAATATCTAAATCTAGACAAGCAACGCTTCATCCTAAATATGATTAATATTCTTAAAAATATTTATAAAATTTATTAAAAATGAGTTCTAGGTGCGTGTAGGTGCGTGTAGCACAGTACATACGAAATCAATGAAGTTTCGTCTAGCTGTAAGCTAGAGACTCGAGTAAATAAATATCAGCTCCGTACTGGATTTGCTGAAGTGAGTCTTTCCCATATAAAATACGAAGTGTCTGGAGTACCTTAAAATTTAAGGCTCTTTAGCCAAGATGCTAAAGAGCCTTAAAATTTAAGGCTATTTAGCTGTGAACATAGTGTTTTGGCTAGAGAGCCTTTGTGTTTATTATCCGTGTTTATATTGTTCTTTATTGAAGTTTTCGTCATCTAAACAATAAAACTACACTCTCGAAAGTTTTTCAACCCAGAATGCCACTTAAAAATTTCACACATCTATATCACTATAGAGTTGCAAAAAATTAGTCCTATCACGGTAAAACACTCTGGTATAGTGGTTAGGGCGCTCGCTTTCCACTTCTGCAGCGTGGGTTCGATTCCCCGACGGAGCACTTTTTACTTTGAATAACAAGCCGGAAGTTTGTTCTCTGAGGTCCGGAAATTATGTACACAATTTTTTCTAGAATTCTTGGGCTTGCTCTATCGCTCAATCATCAATGTTTAATGAAATTAATCACTTGTATTGGCTTTGCTATAGTCACGAGAATACAGGGAATCCCATTTTAAGATGGCAAAAAGTATGATGAAGACCTGGGGATGAAAAAGGATCTTGTTTCTTCTAGATCAGCACATCTTGACGAAGTTTATCGTGAATGCAGGGACATCAGCCCAGGGACATCACAGAATACACTTCCAAATCTATTGCCCATTAGATTTCAATGCTGATTTTAGAATTTTTCACGTGACGAGATATTTTTGCATAATATTTTCCTCACAAGTGAGAATTTTTAAAAGCACATGAGAGAGCACAAAGAAAATTTACAGTACAAGAGGTGAACTGTCGAGGAAACATCGGCTTATGCAACACAACAACAACATTTTTATCCTAGCCTCCAATCCATCAATAAATGTCTATACATCAAAATCTTTACTAAACGGACGTTGCGATTTATAGTGGATAAAATGGAAAAAATAACATTTTTCTGGCTATACGTGATTGCCTGGTTTTACACCTTCTCTGGTGAACCAGAGACATATATTTTCGATATATGCATGAACATCAAACAAACAAACATTTACTTTTCAAAATCGATGTTTGAACCTTTAAAAAGCCAAATTTAGACTAACATACTGAGTATTGAAAACATTCTTTTATTTCTCTCGGTAGACCGGAAGTAAATTTATGAGTCGAGCAAAAAGTGATAATGTTTTTTTATGAAGTGGGGAAGTCAAAACAGTACTAATAGAAGTCATAGTAAGCATTAGAAGATCATTTAAAACCATGTAAATCAAATCGACGGCAAAGTTAGTTGAAATGACTGAAATCTTTATATGTTATCTTCTTCATCTTCGCGGACCTCAGAGAAGAGACTTCCGGTTTAATAATCAGTGATTTTATCGATTAAAAAAATTTCCTTTTTGAATTTGTCCGATATCTGCTAATATGGTATGTATATTTGTGTTGATTGTTAAATTACAAAAAAGGTTGGGTATAGAATATGTCAAAGTCGTTTGATCTTGTCCCAGAAGCAATATTTTGTCATTTCTGTTGCCTGGAATTCCTCTAAGGCTCTCTAGCAGAATTGGCTATCAAAATGCTAAAGAACCTTAAAATTTAAGGCTCTTTAGCCAAAATGCTAAAGAACCTTAAAATTTAAGGCTCTTTAGCATTTTGGTAACCCATTTGACTAGAGAGCCTCAAATTTTAAGGCTCTCCAGGCGCAGCCTAAAAAATAAGAGAATTTTCAAGAGGCCATACATCTGTACATTTATCCCGTTCCCGGACTATAGTCCTGCACTGAGCGCATTCATTTGCCTGTACGATTACAACTTGGGAGAATTATCTACGCCCCTTACACTTAAGATACCTACCTCAATGCATTATAGAACTCAAGATGTAACTTCTAATATATTGGAACCGCCGATTGTCTGGGTATATCGGCAGAACGGGAACATTTTCTCTTTGTCATCGAGAGAGATTCCATCACTTTTCAAAATGGCCGTTGGATTTAAAAGGGGAATCCCCCGTTTGGCTGTCCCGGATGTAGCCCGGAAGTACCAATATGGAGGAATTTGACGGTTGAAATAAGTTAAATGTTACACGCAAATATTGCGATCAAAAACGAAAATGTATTCGTTCTGCCGATAAACCCAGACAATTGTGGATTCAACTACATGAAAAGAATGCTAAATTACCAAGGAATCTATTGAAGTAGGTATCTGAAGTGTAAGATGAGTAAAAAATTCTCCCATGTTGTAATCGCACAGGCAAAAGATTGAGATGTTCACAGGACCATAGTCCGGGAACGGGATAACTGTACATCAGTGGATGAGATTATACAAATTACAAAATGTAAAATGTACAAATTTTAGGGGATATGTATCTAGACAACATTGGAAACTAGGAAACTATGGGCTTTCAGACGACCATGGTTAGGAAATGGTGATAGAAAATCCACCTGTCATCTATTTATGTTCCAAACTGTATGTCATGTGTAATGTGTAGACCAATGAGAGAGTTTTATAATGAAAGTGGGGGGGGTTCGAGGTGAAGAGGGGAGGGGTTCTCATGACAGAAACGGTTTCAACAAACCAATCAAATTACGGAATAAAGTGCATCATCAAACAGCTACAGGGCTCTCGCCAGGCTTTTAGACTGTGGCGCAGCACCACACTCTATTTAGCTCCCTCCACAGCCTATTGGCAAATCATGACTTTTTCCACAGTCTAAACTTGACTGAATATACAAATAGCATGTAAAATGGATAAATCGTAACATAAATATGATTTATCATGATTGAACGGTTATTCTGAAGATGGTAGCACCACACCCTAAATATTTCCTGGTGAGAGCCCTGAGCTAGTATAATGAACGAGCCCCACGAACCCCCCTGCCTACTCCCATTGTTCATTGATCTACAAACGCAATGCTGGATCTAGCTCATACGTCCATACATGTAATTTTCATATTTTTAAGTTGAACAGTAAAATGCAAGCATTTCTAGGTCAGTCCTCCATTTTGGGTATGAGTGTGATATGGTTCGAGATTAAGGCAGCATTGAGAATAATTGACTTTTATTTCATGAAAATATGCAATATCTCATCAAGTGGCCAATCTGTATTCATTTTAATTCATGAAATATAAACACAACCGTGTTTTAAATATTATTTAGATTTATTATACTCTGGATCAAATTTCTACACTAGTTCACACTAGTGGTCCAGATGGAATCACTTCTAGGCAAGAAATTGGCTAGAGACTTGAGTAACTCAATAGCACAGTTGCTTAATCAGCTAATGTCTGAGTGAACACCTCCCTAGCCACACATTTCCAGGATGGGTACAAGAACGAGTACCACAAATGGTTCGTCAGGCAGCAACTGTACATTGATGCTAAAGTTGCCTACTTTGAGCACCTCATGAAATGAAAATAGATCACTAAGTGACTCTGGAATGGATTATTTGTAACTGTACAAAGTTAAAAAAGTTATATGCTTTCAATACTCAAAATGTCGTCCAAAGTGATGTCAGAACTTAGCCCTGCAGCCATGACAATGGTTACCATAGTAACCATAAATGTCAATACTAAATTGATTGTCAAGAAATTTGCTATAGAATAAGAGCAGATATATGTTCCTTAAGTTGTGAAATTTTCATGAAGAAAAAAGCAAGCAACCAAAGTCATATCAAAATAAGCAATACAGTAAAACCTGTCTAATCCAAACACCCATGGGACCAGCCAAAAGTGTTCAAATTGGCAGGTGTTCAAATTTCGAGGATTTTGTTGGTCGGGGGGGGGAGATTTTCATTGTTCAGTCCACTATATTGAACACTTAATACTAAGTCAGAAAACAATACATGTTGTTGATGAGTTAATTCTACAATCGGCCTATAGCCTATATGCTATGTTTTATTTATATTTTGAACAATTTCATCATTTTAGTAAAAATAACTCTTATATTTTGGCAAAAACTTTGTAATACACAGTATATGATAATCTCGTACAAAATCTTATGTTTATCAAATGGCTCCAGGCCCATAGCCAGGATTTGCCAAGGGGTGGTTCATTTTTCAAAAATTTCCAGGGGGGGTTCACATTTGACAATTTTGGCCCAAATATGGCTAAAATCACTTGAGAAGTGCTCAAGATGATGAAAAACTGCATGATTTTGAAAGAATTTTTGGCCAGGGGGGGGGGGGTTCGTCCGAACCCTGCGAACCCCCCCTGGCTACGGGCCTGGGCTCATCCCATATTTCGGTTATAGCACTGCTTTACTTTTGCTTGAAAAAGTCCTTCATTGTTGTTTGTTTCTTGGCACTTTTAGCATTAGCAATATTTGAGTAGATATCCTCTTCAAGTAAAAAGAATTTTTCATGAGTGTTCATTCGAGATGATGTATAATCCTTCAAAATAACAAGGGCATTCAGGATGTCAGACATATGCCTTTTTAGGAGACATTTTAGTGATAGGATATTACGAAGTTGAATTATTTCTCGTGATTGTCTGCAAATGTCGTCTGTGTTGTCTTTGTGATTATAAAACATTTACTGATTGAATCTTAGCTATCATAACAGACCCATGGGATATAAAACAGTTAAGACCTGTTCATAATCCAAATCAAAAACATCCAGTTAATTTACAATAAGGATAAACCAATTATCTCCCAGATTCTCACCTTTCTCTTAATCCAAATCAAAAACATCCAGGTAATTTCCAATAATAATAAATCAATTATCTTCTTGATCCACACCTTTCTCTTAATCCAAACAGAAAACATTCAGTTCTTTTCTAATAGGATAAACCAATTTACTCCTGTATTCACACCTTTCCAAAACATCCTGTTGTTGACAATATTGGTTCTTTGATTACATTGTATATGTAAAGATAAATAACAACATTGACTCAATATGTGGCTTTAATTGAAATGTCCAGACAGTTGATTTCTGATAAAAATGTTCAGATTAGACAGGTCAATTTTTCAAATCTGGTTGTTCACTGTTCAAATTAGGAGGTGTTCAGATTTCAAGGTTTTTTTAACATGGGAGTCAATGGGAGGAAAAAATGGGACCAAAAAAAGCGTTCAAATTGGAAGGTGTTCGGATTAGCCAGGTGTTAGGATTAGCCAGGTGTTCGGATTAGCCAGGTGTTCGGATTAGCCAGGTGTTCAGATATACAGGTTCTACTGTACTTACATATACAGCTGAGTCTATATATAGTCTATAGATATTTTAGGAGGTGCTGTAATGGCATGTATCATGTAAAGTACATGTAATTTTTATTGTAGATGTTTTGTTATAATGACCTTATTCATATTTCTATATTGTACGAGTTGCTGTACTGGCCTTAGTCATAGTACATGTAATCTATATTGTAGGGGGTGCTGTACTGACGCTATTCATATGTACATGTAATCTATATTGTAGGGGGTGCTGTACTGGCCTTATTCATATGTACATGCCAATCTATATTATAGGGGGTGCTGTACTGACTTTATTCATATGCACATGCAATCTATCTTGTAGGGGGTACTGTACTGACCTTATTCATATGCACATGCAATCTATATTGTAGGGGGTGCTGTACTGGCATTGCTGCTTGCTGGCTACCTTGGGCAGAAATTCCTTCCACCTCCTAAACCTAAAGTTGTTGGGATAGACCTAGGTAAATTGATATTGCATATATATTTTATTTGTTTTATTGTTGATTGACTAAATTTGCCTGGTTTAAATATGCAAAATGAGAACAATAAATGATCTACAGGCAATATGAAGTGTTGACTGTTAATGGATACATTTATTATTGAGTGAAATATTTTTCCTTATGATCAAATTATGGTCTTTAAGTGGCATAAGTTTTTTCAATATCAATGAGGGGTGGTCTTAATGATATTTTAAAAAAATGTTCATGGTTTAGTATTATACATGGACATTATGAAATATTTCAGGGACCACCTATTCCTGTATTGGGGTCTACCATGCAGTTACTGGAAATGTCAGTGTCATCAAAGACTCTGAGGGTCACTCCTGTATTCCAAGTACAGTCACATTTAGGTAAGCTGGTCGATGCAATAAATACAAAGGCCCTATATGGCCTATAATGTGTACTCTAACAAGAGTTTGTCCTTGTCTACAGGTAGTGTGACTAACCATTATTAATTGTAAATAAATTAATGTGTCTGTGATATTGTTATGATTCAACTTACATACATATGTTGATTTAAATGGATAACAAAACATGACTGATTTAAAGAACCATTGATGACTTCCCTTCCCCCAATATTCCCTGGTGCAATACTTTATTGAAAGCATAAGCATGTATATCTCCAGAAACAATGTAACTCTGGTTGGTTACGATGCTGCCAGGTATGCTCATCATGACCCAAGGAACACACTGTTTGATGCAAAGAGATTCATTGGCAAGCAGTTCACCAGAGAGGAACTGAAAAAGGAAGCACATAGATATGAATTCAAGGTAATCAAATACAATCGTGCAATGTTCAATGTTTTTGTGTCTAAATTCCAATGGACTAGAAATGTTCCCCGAGACATTGTTGTATCATTTCAACAACTTTACTACATATTAACTAAATTCTCAGGAATGTATGTTGAAAATTTTAAAGTGTTACATCGAAATTTGAACAGTTTTAACAAAATTATTAAAAGATTTAGGACACCCTGTAAAACAAATACCCAAGCTATGTCAATTCTTTTCTCAGATAATAAAGTTAGCTCCTTGAACATTGATGCCTACATATTACACTCATTATCGTTTCTACTTTAAAATGATTTTCCATTTTAACTACCATGTGACTTGAAACCATTATAAGTAGCAAGTTCTAGCCTGAACATAGAGAATTTGAGTGTCAACATAATGGAAATATTTTACTTCAATTTGAGGAAAACTGTAGTTAACACTGAGCACTGTACATTGAATTCAAACAAATAAATAAACAAAAGATTAATAAAAGTCAATTAAAAAAGCTGAACATTGGTTTAAATTGATATTAATACATACTTTTAAGGTTGTGAGCACTAGAGATGGTATGGCGATATTCTTTATTGGAGATGATAAAAACATTACAAAAATCACTCCCGATTTTGTGGGGTCGAGGATTCTAACAACTTTGAAGCAAACAGCGGAGAGAAATTTAACTGGGCCTGTTAAGAAATGTGTGATGTCTGTTCCCGCTGAGTTTGACGAGCGCCAGAGAAATCATACAAAGATGGCTGCAGCAATGGCAGGTAGGTGTCTCTGACAAAGAAAAACCTTACTATTTAGTATTCATGTGTTGTGATAAATATTATCCTTGGCTTATTGGTCCTGATTTTTCCAAAGAGCGGGTGGTAGATAAGAGGGTGTTGGATAAACTAAAATGATATTCATGAGTACATGTATTTGTTAGCACTGACATGCGCATGCTACAATTTATTCAGCAAAAACTAAATATACATGTATCAGTTTCTGTAATATCGTATAGTATTTTGGTCTTTTTCCCCAATATGACATTTGAAGACACTTGAAATAAAATGTATATTTTTATTATTATTCTATGACAGGTATTGAGGTGCTGCGTATAATCAATGAGCCCACAGCAGCTGCCTTAGCCTATGGTCTACACAAGAAAGATGGGGTCCAGAATGTCCTTGTGGTTGACCTGGGTGGTGGAACACTAGATGTCTCCCTGTTAAACATACAGGGAGGAATGTTCTCAACTCAAGCTATGGCAGGTAAAGTCTTGTTTCAAAAAATATTATTTTCAATTGTAAATTAAATCTCAAAAGTACATCTGACAGAAATCTTCAAATTGTATGGCAGTTAAGGCAAATGCACTCAAGTTTACCATCATTTTGCTTGCATGATTCAATACACTTTTAAGGCTTGAAATAGATACAACAATTTGGGGATTGAAAAACATGAAATAGTTGAAATAGTTATCATATTAGGGAGGAAATTTCGAACAATGATTTGTTGCTATGACAACAAATATGTATTGCATACATTGTTTACTTACAGGGAACAATCACTTAGGAGGCCAGGACTTCAATGAGAGAACAGTGCAGTATTTACTTAAAGAGATCTCACATAAGTATGGGCGTAACTTGGAAGACATTGAAGATATATTCAGACTACATGAACAAGTTGAGCAAGCAAAACTCATCTTGACAAGCTCCAAATCTGCAGTTATAAACTTACAGCTACATTCTTTCTTAGATTCTAATAATAATGCTATCCCAAGTTTCGTTCGGACGTTACAAAGGGATGAATTTGAAGATATCAATCATAATTTATTTAAGAAAATATTAGAGCCAATTCAGAAAGTCCTTGAGGTAGTAGAGGCATCACCGAGTGAAATAGATGAGATTGTTTTAGTCGGAGGGAGTACGAGGATCCCGAAGGTACGTCAAATGATGCGTGAATTTTTTAACAAGGAGCCGAATGTGTCAATAGATCCAGATTTAGCTGTGACATATGGTGTATCAATCCAAGCTGGGATACTTGGTGGGATGTGGCCACTCACTGTCAGTGCAATAGAGCTACCAAGCAGAGCTAGGAAAATACATCTGTAATAATCAAGCTTGCTTGAATGGAAGCAATCCTGTGAACATCTTTGAATGAACAAATCCTTCATTACGTTCATATGTGAATTCAAATAGTTTGAACCAGAACCACCAAGTTACACTGTATACATTAACTACCAATATAATGCCATTCGATGAATTGTGTAAAAAGTAAATGAAATGTAAAACTATTAAAGGTGAAAGTAAATACTTAATTACTGCTAATGTGGCTGATGTATTGTTTCAAAGCCAATGCAGTATATCATTTTCATTTTCCCTAACTTTTCCCTGGGCATGGCAATCATGTATATGTATTAGCCGTTGGTAGCGGATAACTTCTAGCAGGTGTTTTATAATTGTGATTTGATTCATATTTCATTGGCTGGTACAGCAATGTTGTTACCTACTGTGTGAATGTGAAGGAATGAAGGATATAGTTAGAATTGAAATCAGTGTTCCCCAAAAAAAGATTTTCAACTGGGTGCAATTTTCTGTCTGAAAAAATTGGCGCTCCCTACGCCCGCGATAGTGTTTACTTCACTCATTTTGCAAACCAGAAGTTTGAGTGCAGTGTGATCTTGCTTTGATAAAGACATCAAGGGGCAAACATTTACTTAAGTGAATGTTATTTTATACTTGAAGCAAGTATTTTAGTTCATTTTCATTCATTTGTGATTCATATATATTTTGAAGCAAACTAAATCCAATTTCTGCTTTGTCTTACAGTCCTAGACTCAGAAGCATTGTTGCTATTGAAATCTATACTCAGTGCCCAATTTGATTCAATTGGACAGTTTTCTGACTTGGCTGTTATTACATTTACATGTCAGAATGTATGTTCATACCACTTATATAGTATAGCAGTTTGTACAAGCTTTTTTAATGCAGTAGTACATTGTACAGTAGTTCATAATTATTCCTAAAATTACTACTTTACGGGGTGTGATGGAATAACTTTTTAAATGAGACTTTTGGAATATGGATCTCTACTTCAAGGGAAACATTAAGAGTGCCCAAAATCAAGGCCTTATTTTTATTTAGAGCCTAGAGATATTTACAAGAACATCTGATATTAGAGCATTTGTTCTTTATCTGAAAAACTATTTACCCTAGTGGGCTAGAAAATCTGAATGTTTATGGAGATATTATAGCCCATGGATTTTTAGTGTGACTCATTGAGATTTGATAGTATATAGTGGAATTCATAATTGAGAAATGAATGTTATATTTACATTTCTGTCAAATGGAGCACATTTTACTCTGCTATTGAATTCCATATTTATTTGATGTAACAGTATTATGAATGTTATGTGATGAATAGAGTGAAGTGAATGGGGGATGTGGTAACAACATGTTACTCTACTTTTGGTATAGGTGGCAGGAACATCTATATATTATTTAAAAGAGTAGTTATTTCATATTCCTATAGTCTTCATGCACATCGAATGTCTCAATATGAACATGTTCAAAAAGCCATGAATTTCCAAAAAATGAAAAAACAGATTTTGAAATGTGATCTCTCTTACTTTCATGCTGTATAACATGTGACCATTACAAAGACATTCCCCTAGAATTGAAAAAATTAACCTTTACAGGACACATTTCATGATGTACCCTAGTCTACAGTGTCTGTGTTTTAGTAGGCCAACATATAAGCGTAAATGTGTATCATTGTTAATGTACATGCACAGTGCTGTGTAATTTTGTCTTGAACTTGTCTTCAGATACTAGAGAAATACTGTTGACTACAAATGTACAAACTTGTTCATTATTTATTTGTTAAAACACGATAATAAAATTACTTTGTATAATATATAGTACTTTTCTTTTTTAATTTCTTGACAAGGAGAAATGTTTATTCTCTTCTGAAAATCTAATTAAAAGTAACAATTAAAAATTCAACTTGGTGCAAGTGAATTCTTAACTGAATGAAGATTTAATTCAGCACAATAATCATTACTGGAATACCACAAATATAAAATTACCGTATCTTAGTTAAATAAATTGGTGTAAGATTAAAAATTTCCTATGTGACATGTCCTAAATTGACCAAATTTTACCGCTTATAGGTGCACTGGGCATTTATTTGCATATGCATTTATTTAAAATCACTTTGAATGCCCATGGGCAATGAAGAGTGAAGCATTGTTTTATTCAAGCTTATGGGCAATTGTTGATCTTGTGTATTATTCAAGACAGAGCCTCATGATCATATTTATATAGCAATACTATGGACATAGATCTAAAATCCTTTACATATCAACATTTAGTTGCATTTACATAATATGATCTTGATTATACAATTCTCTATGTTTGACTATTTTATTGATGTTCTCAATCTCATTATACACATTTGAAAACTTCCAATCATAGCAGAAATTGCTTCTATTCATTCTTCAAATCATCCTCACACTGGGTACATGTATTTATTTAAAAGCAGTTTGAAGAGAATGTATTTGGGCCTTTTCTCTTTTTTATTAATGTATACCCATTTAAACACCAATGTGCATGTTAGCAAGAAGGGTAAGAAGATCTGGTACAATTTGGATAAACTAAGTTTTGATGAAAATAAGATGTAATCTGGGTTCTGCAGATGAAGAGGGGTTGTTGAATATTTTTCAATATATTGCAGAAACTAAAAGGTAATAAAGTTATAATTAATTGCATAGTACTATCATGTTCCTATTATTGGAAAGAACCAATGATATTGTCAAGGAGGATTGGCTCCCAGAATCGAAGTCGATATTTTCCAACAATGAAAATGCCGAAATGTCGTTATTTTCTGAAATTATAACCGATTATAAATTCAAAATAAACAGTTCAAAATATTCGAACCAATATCTCGATCATTTCTTGTGAGTTTTGGAATTTTTCGTTGGGAAATAAGACCAAAATTCACGATTCAAATGTTGAAGTGAACAAAATGGCGGTCGTTGGAATTCAAATTTTGTAGCACGACATACCCATATATGGGGCAGAATATCGATGTTGCACTCTGGGAGCCAATCCTCCTTGGATATTGTTTTACCCGTAAATTAAGATCTCAACCCAAGCACGACAAAGACGTAAATTTTTATCTCCCGGGAATATTTGTCGATTTTCGTGCGGTGTAATTCAACTTCCTTTTCCGGTTTGTCAGCCATCATGGTAAGAATCATACTATTTTTCCGACAAAATCGTACAATCTTAGATCTCACGAAGCACGTATTAGTAAATTCACTTCATTTATTTACACTATAAATAGTTTTGAATTACAAAATATAGTTATTTTGTGTTAAACTTGATGAAACTGTGCAAAATTTTTATCAATGTCAGGTGTATTCCGAATTTTTTTCAATTTTATTTTTTAATGATTTTCTCCCATTTTCATTGCAGGGTCGTGTACGTACCAAGACAGTCAAGAAGGCCGCTCGGGTCATCATTGAAAAATATTACACTCGTCTCACCAACGATTTCCATACCAACAAAAGGATATGTGAAGAAATCGCAATTATTCCCAGCAAAAAACTGAGGAATAAGATTGCTGGGTAAGTCCGTTTCACACAATTTTTGAAACTCCTCTGACTCTGTATTATGATTGTGAATTTCTAGTCCATTTCACTTTATCTCTGTCAATCTGATCTCAAAAGTGAGAAATTTATGAAAATGAAGCTGACTGTCACTTATCAATGAACATGGTCCTGCAAGCATCCCTATACGTCGTTGTCGGTATGATGTATGTCGCACACATAATTGACAAATGTAATATTCTTCAAAAATTTGCCGTTCTTTTTATGTACTTGAAGCCGATCGTATGAGTAAATAAGTGTATCGGCAGAACAAGGACATTTTCATTTTTTATGAGAAAGATTAAACCTTTTCAAGATGGCAATAGGATTTAGAAGGTACATTCCTGAAATAACATGAATAACACCTAGGTTTTGCAGCACTGATCATTAGATGGACAAACTAAAAATGCTATCAAAATGAAAATGTTCTTGTTCTGCAAATAAACTCATATGATCCAACTAAAAAGCAATCATAAATGACGCAGGGTTGTTATCAGAAATTTACTCTAAACATAGTCAAGTGAACACAACATAATGTAGTTATTTTACCTTTCTTTTTGATGATTTGGATGTTTATTATTTTAGATTTTTTTCAACATTAGGTCGAAAAGATTTCTTCAGATAGATTGCGGGAAACACCTGGTTTGTCTGGTCAACCAGTCACACAAATGATGAATTAGGATTTGTGCTTTAACTTTAGAGTGTTTAGTCTTACCTAAGACACGTCAATCGCTTGATAATTGATTTGTTTATTCCGGTAGTCTAAATGTAAAAGTAAACATGCGTCAAAACAAAATCATCCTTATTTTTTGTATGGGGATTCGATAGGCTTACTGTGCAATTCTTCCCCTGTATTACTCAATTTTCTAATTTTGGGGCAATGACTTTTCAGAAAGTTCCCATCTGAAAGTCACAGGGTGGCTATATCGAATCTCTGTGTAATAAATATTAATAATGATTAATGACTTCGAATAACTTGACAAATACTGTTTAGACTGACTTTTTTCAAAATCATGTACAAGTTTTCAGAAGTTCAAATCTGACTCTAGAATTAAGATTTTACCTTCAATGACCTATTTAAGGTCAAAAGTTTAGATTTGAGATTTTACCTTAAATGACCTTCTCAGGGTCAAAAACTTGTTCCAAATTGACCATTTTTTCAAAATCATCTACAGAGTTTTCAGAAATTCAATTTTAATAATATTGTGAGCAACTAGGTGGTGACATTTTGTCATGTTAATGCCTTGTTTGATACATAAACTTACATTTAGACTACCGGAATAACCCGGAAGTAACCTTCAGTGACCTCAGGGTGCCATATTGGAAATGTGTTCAAATTCATATACATTATCAGTTATCAACTGTTTGCCGTGTCTAAGGTAAGATTTAATACTTTCTATTTGATGATTAAAGTATATTCTATGATGTGTGGGACATAGGTTAGACAGACAGGCCAGGAAAGCGTTTCCCGCAATCCAGCCTATCAGAGTCTTAGTCTCAATGTAAAAAAAATCTAAAATAAAAAATATCCAAATCATCAAAAAGAAACTTGTCTACTCTAAACACACTGGGGGGTTTCGTGATGCAACAACACCGTGTTGTTGCATCAAGATGGCCAGACTTCCGGTGATAGATTTTCGTACGATATTTTGTTTCCCAATTTAAACCCATTTCTAGGACGAGTTGCTCAATAATCATACACGTGCAGTTAGCTCATGATCTATATTTTAAAAAACTCTCATTAGTATGCATGTAGCATCATCAAGAAGCGAGAAATTCGAGGTTTTAATTCCTCACTATTGATGCAACAACACCACTCTGTTTATTATCAATGATGCAACAACACCAATGTGCTGATGCAAAAACGCCAATATAATGTATCATTGAATATCAAGCGAAACTGTTTCACGTTCTGTTTATCTCGTAGGTGTTGGTCGGGACATGAATAAAACGCGTGAGTGCTTGGTTCATGAATGAAACGTATTTTGTTTGGTTCCTTAATGTATTTGTCTTTATCAAAGTTAAAAGGATATACAAGGTAAACTAAATACATAGGCTAAGTATTGAATCCCCGGGAGCCAACCTCATTGATATTGTATCTGAAAAATAAAGATTATTCATTTTCTAAATTAAATCCCCTTGATTTACCGTATCGTATGGAACTTGTTTACAAAGAACTAATAGACTCCAGATCTGGACTTTTTTAAGCCGAGTCATCCAGAAAAAGATGGATGGATGGATGAAATAGGAAGGAGGAAGATAGGATAGAATAGCAAGGAAGGATAAGATAGGAAGGAAAGGATAGGAAGGATAGATAGATAGGAAGGAAAGGATATGAAGGATAGATAGGAAGGAACGGATAGGGATAAAAGGGATAGGATAGGAAGGATAGGATAGAATAAGAAGGAACGATAGGATAGAATAGTAGGATAGGATAGGAAGGATGGATGGAAGGATGGATGGAAGGATGGATGGGGTTTTCAACATTTTCTTCGCTACTCTTGACTTTCTATCAGGATACCATCAGATCGATTTTTCTCGAAATTTCAAAACGCCATAACTTCCGAACCGGAATTCTGATCGAAATTTGGTTTGCAGATTCTGATTCCTGAGAAAATCCTATTCTTCATTCATAACTCAAGAATTTTTTATTTTGACCTACTTTTTGGGCACCATATCTCAAAAGTGGGTTAAAATACTTTCTGACGGCAAAAGGCTAACAATATTAGACATTAGTACACTCTTGGCTACATGTATACACAATTTCGAAGTGTAGTGTCAGAATCACAAAAATAAGGAAAACTTTGAATTTGACCTAGATTTTGACCTAGACATTTTTGTGTCCAAATTTTGAAGCTAGATTGCTTTTGAGGTATTTTTCATTTAAAGGCTTTCATTAAATTAAGCTGTTCTCGGTCGTATATATGTCGTATTTTACACTTCAAAAAAAAATTTCCCATTGACTTAACATGGGGCACCAAATTTAGCTATTTTGAGTTTTCAAAACGCCATAACTTCCGATGAGTGTTGGTTTAATGATATTGCAGTTATACAATGCTATTATATAGAGGTTATTTACTGAGAGGGATTCAATATTGGTTTTATTCCGGGACACATTATGATATTTCCCGAGGGTCCAGGGGGAATCTGGGATTACTGTAACCCTATCAATTAACCTTTTCGGGACCTAAATCCTATTACCTACCTTTTTACTCAATCGGGGAGAACGAATCCAAAGAGAACAATACTTCTACATGTGCGCTGTGCAAGATTTCCAATAGTGTTTACCTAGAATGAAAGATGTCTGTCCACCATTTTGAATGATACTAACTGGTATCAGGGTCATCAAGCTATGGAACAGGGGTTTATGATAATAGATTGGGTTACTATAGCTTGCAATGTTAAAGGCGATTGAACTATGTTATAAAACAACTTCCAGTAGATTATGATATTTAAAAGTATAAATTTTTGAAAATACATATAAAGAATCTTCGCCCGCAGGACGTGTATTTTGAATGCCTGAGAAGAACGCAAATGGGTACTGGCCCGGTGTTGCAACAGTAGCATTTGAAAATCTGTTCCTCTCGAGATTTATGGTCTTCTGAAATTATACTATTAATTGGTGTTGTTGCATCATTGCTCAAATCTAGAGGAGTGTTGTTGCATCTTCGGTTTGGTGTTGTTGCATCAATAGTGAGGAACTAAAACCGTGAACTTCTTGCTTCTTGATGATGCTACATGTATACTAATGACAGTTTCTTTAAATATAGATCGTGCGCTAACTTCACGTGTATGGTTATTGAGAAACTCGTCCTAGAAATGGGTTTAAATTGGGGAAACAACATATCGTACAAAAATCTATCACCGGAAGTCAGGCCATCTTGATGCAACAACACGGTGTTGTTGCATCACGATACTCCCCAGTGAAACAGGAAATGAAGTGACATCACCAGAAAGAAATAGAAAGTCAAAAAAAGTATTTTAACAGTTCTTTCTATTACATAATATGATTCATGTTGACAAACAAAGCTAATATGGTTACATGTATGACTGGTTATTAGATCCTTGAAGCTAAGTGACAATCACATTTATTATAAACAAAATATTAATGCAGCTTTGTGTGTTATAATGTGAACAGTTTGTGGGCAGACTTCCCACTCTATTTTGTGTATGCGTTTCCAGGCAAGCCATTTGACCGATTGAATTCAAACTTCAAGGATGTTTCTTTGTATGAAAATTTTTTTTTCTAGGTAAATGTTTAGTTGGACATTTTGGATTTTCCATCCTAAAATCCTGTCTGTTGAGTCTTGTCTTCTTGACACAATCTTGTGTCACATCTGCTATTATGCTTATTCTATGACAAATGAAATAACAGAATTTTCCCATCTTCAGATTCGTCACACATCTGATGAAGCGTATCCAGCGAGGCCCAGTGAGAGGCATCTCCATTAAGCTTCAAGAAGAGGAGAGAGAAAGGAGGGACAACTATGTACCAGAGGTAAGTCAGAATGTCACCTGTTTTGAAGAATCATTTAATTATGGTATAATTCCACCAATCCACCTCCGTGCCCAATATAACAAAACTTGAAAATGTTCATTAGTCACATTTACCCTTTCCCCTATAAAAATTATAACTTTGTTATTTCAAATCTGTTCACAATTGGACACCACCCCTGACATTAACAGTAAATGTTCATCTCTCCCTCTTTCTGACCCTTTTGTTAAAGAGGGTGATTAGAATAAACCCAGGAGGTCAGCTAGACAGAATGAAATAAATAATGATAAAATAAAAATGCATGAGTTTGTGTGTCTGGCCAAAGGGGATTGGTTCAGGATTCCAATTGTATGTAGTTTTCCAAATTTTTTATGAAGATTTGAGATGTCTGCCAAATCAGTTTCAGTCCTTCTTATTGGAAAACATGTACTATGAAGATCAAAAGTTTTATTTCAAGAGAAGCATAAAGCTGCTTTTAAGAATGTATGTGAATCTAATATCTATGGTTTTGTTATTTCAGATCTCTGCCATTGAGCAAGATATTCTTGAAGTTGATCCAGATACCAAGGAGATGTTGAAACTTCTGGTGAGTTGCAAAGACCACTATCTCCACTGTAGTATATCTTTAAGCCTCTTGTGTCAATTCTATTTTAGCCCATATTCCATGTTGTCAAACATGGTAAATGGTCAATATAGTAACTAATTATAACTGGGCAACTCTTTGTTAATTATTTTTGTATTTGTAATATCATTGAGAATTGTATTAATATGACACACATTACCAGTAGTACAGAATAGTGTTTTTAAATTTTGGCTTATTTTGCTGGAATCCTTTTCTGGATCAAAAATATGTCATTATGTGCATGAGCAGATTAATCACAACCATTGGTGATATTTTATGCTATTTTGGTTACATGTTTCATTAAATTTTATTTTTATTATTCCAGGACTTCATGAACATCCCCAACCTCCAGGTTACACAGCCCATCACATCATCCTTCAGAGGGCCCAGAGTATGAACATTAAGAGACAGTCTGTAATATACTTGTAATTTAAGGAAGTCGCTAATAAAGTCCATGGAGTAACAAGAATCTTGTATTCTGTGAATGTTTAAATACAAGGAAATTTGTGATGACCAGGAAGTATGCTATGTACTCCAGCATCCCTGAGTTTCTAGCTAATAGGTCCATGGGATTTTCATTTGAAAGAGGTGTACATTGAAAAGAAGCAAAACTTACCTCTAAAGCATTTTGGACCAACTAAGAGTTCAAATTTTAGTCCATCTTCTTTAAGCAGATCACTTTCAATATATTGCCTGTAAGTCCAAAAGTATCCATTAGTCTACATAGAACATGCATGCCTAAATGCTGTTTTTAACATCTCAGTCTGGGTGTTGGAGATATATAAATGTGATTACATGAAGTTAGAAAATTATATGGTTCAAATGTGAGAAAAAGATTATACTCTCATTGGCTCACACTGTGAGCCTATGGGATTGACCAGGCGTCCGTCCGTTGGTCCGTCCGTCCGTCCGTCAACATTGGCCGCACAAATTAAAACTGCTATTCGGATTGAGTCATATCCACATTCATTTTATGCATATCCATAATGCCTATTTGACCTATCATCGCCATTTCCCAAGTTCCCCCGGTTTCCAAGAAATTGCGGATTTTGACGTCAAAAAGTCAAATTTTCTGTAAATACTAGACACTTTGTTGAAGTAGAACTTTCAAATAACTTTTAGTAGTTGGTGTTTATGCAACTTATGTCCGCTGAAGATTTCAAAGCTCTTGGAATTACGGTTTTTTGGTGTTTACTCTATAAAATATGAACAAAAGTAGGACTTAGTCATTTTCAGGAAACTTTCTCATGTATAAAGTCAATTACAGGTTTTGTGATTGACAAGATTCTTAAAGTTTGCCTTATACTTGATCATTTCCTGCAATAAATTACATCATTAATAGATTTAAGCATTCCCTACACATTTCTCAATATATGTCGGCATCAAATTTTGACCGTTTTTGAGATATTTGACGTCAAAAAACAATATAATTTGAAAAAATAGTAGTACATAAAATATACACAAATATTTTCGGTAGCAACCTGTCTCTGAACCTATGTAGTGAAAATAAACAGTATCCCATTCAACGTTGATAAAATCAACTCTTATGTTTCCATTCACTCCTGGTGAGAAGCGTTTTACGTCAAACGAACATATATTCCAAACGCATTCAATACCAAAGCTCACTGGTCAAACAAGGGGTAAAGAAGAATCACATCTACCTTATGTTTAACAACATTTGTACTGGGGATATTTGATTGGAACAACATTTGAATTTACTTATGGAATTTGAAGTAAATACTAAGTTCCTTACATCTCATAAATCCTAATGAATCGTCAACGTACAGTCGATGCGTCAACGTATTGATCTGATTTTTAAAAATATACACAATGAACCAACCAAGGAGTCTTGCGAGAGCAGATTCAGCTATCCAAAATGCCAGACTCTGGTCTATCATTCTAAATACTGAGGGTGACCAATACATTTTGATTTCATCGTGCGTTTTCGGTAAAATATTTCAACTATATTTGCAGCATCAAACATATACAAGTCACGGCAAAGCTCTAAATAAATAAATAAAAGATTGACATTTTCAGATGTCTTCCCCATAAGGTTTCTTCGTTCCTCTTATAAACAGCAATTTTACATGAAATACAGATGCCATTTTAGTAAAAAAAAAATAGTATAAATATATTTCAGTATCATTTGTTGAAATCAAACGTATATACATTGTACGAGTCACGGCAAAGTGCTACAAATAATAGAGTGGGCTATTCAGGTGCCTTCCACATTAGCTCCATGGGTATGTTCAGTTTAGACCACTTCCTTCCTATTATAGAAAGTACTTCTACATGAAACACATGCCACTTTAATAGTAGAAAAGTAGCAGTTAAGATAGACAATACTTTTTCAAATTAAAATTCAATCCATGGCGTATGTATTAACAGTCATTATCAAGAAAAATAGGGAGATTACGTTAGCACTATTTTTTCATGCATCCTAAATGCATGAAATGCAAGCAACTAAACCTCTCTAATTATTGCGACTCAGACAGTACCACTAGTTTTAACATGTCCACTGTGAAATTTCATCTCGTAGTGTCAATTTGTAAATCAAAGTTATTTTTGACAATAGTCAGGAATGTCAAATACACTCATATCTCTTATGCCTTCTCGAAAGCTGGAAAACCGCAGAGACGATGAAAGACCTGTTTTGCCCCAATCAGCATTTGCTTCACCTTGAAGTGCTATTGTTACTGGGATACAATCAGGGGTGAATGTTTCTTCAAATGTAAAATTGTATGTGTCACTTTGCATCTCTCCCCTCCATGAATTCACCTAAAATGATAAAAAATTTATTATTTATTACTGCATCAGTGCATATCGCGCAGTAGATATAAAAACCAGTGCATCAGAACGGGGTGGGCGGGGGTGGGCAGATTTTTTAAGGTCATGATGTCATGGATGTGTATGAATATGAATCACAGTGAAATAACAAGTTATTTTTGACAGAAACATTTTATGGATTAAAGACAATATGGATTATTCAGATTATGTGGTACGTTTGCTTGTAAAATAAATGCAAATAAATTAAACAATAGTGTACATTAATTTTTCTCAGTTATTTGATGTTTGATACTTCATTGCTAAATAACAAAAAAGCATTATCATTAGCATATGTTTGCATTACTTAGCATTATTGTAAAACAGTCATTAGTCACTGCTATCATGTATGATGAAATATAGAGCATTAAAGAATATACACATCATCAAGTTAGATAATAAAAATGATAAGATATAAAATATAATTAGTCATTACTATCATATATGATGAAATATAGAATATTGAAGAACATATTATGAGGAATCCCTTTAAGTTGTTATGATAGCTGATTATATCTCATTAGTGGGCTACACCATCTTAAATTCCATTGTAGAACATGCTTCAACTTGTTATTTCATTATGATTCATATTCATACACATCCATGACATCATGACATCATCTCCCAGATGATGTCATGGTCATGTGACCTTAAGAAATCTGCCCACCCCCGCCCACCCCGTTCTGATGCACTGGTTTTTATATCTACTTCGCGCATTGTGGTATATTTTCATAATAGGCTACTAGTAAGTAGGTATTATATTACTTACAATGAAATCTCTCCCGAGAGTTTCCTGTCCCAAAAACTTTGAACCCTCGGGGACACATCCATCAAAGGGAGGAAAGGCCTGCTCCTGTACCTGACACGTTCTCGCTGCTTTATTTATATTGTATTGCTTCTTTGCCACGTTGTCCTGTATGAACTTCATATTTGGCAGCTCCTTTCCATTTATGATTAAAATCCCCTCATATGCGTTTCTTTTATTGCGACGATCAAACCACCAGTGGCCACTTAAATATTGCCCCATACCTTGACCACTAATACTGAGCCCTTGAGTCAGTCGAACATCGCTCTACAGAATAAAAAGGAAAATGTAAATGTAGGGTCGGGATAGCTCAAAAACCATGCAAGAATATATTGTTCTCCCCAACCTGTACACGTTGTTATAGCCTCACCTTTTTGTGACTTGCTTTCAGAGTCTCCGTGTTTTGGAGCTTATGTACAACACCTTTGTGTTACTTTTGAATGATGTAGTCGTCCCCGGGATGTCCTCTTGAGATTCACGTAAGCTTAATCCAATACTATAAATGTGATGTCATGCTATTTACGCCAAAGAAATGACAACTTTGAATCAAATTGAGTTTTTATTATAACGTTGTCAATATATTCTGGTTGTTCACGCTTCTAAATTTGGGGTAATCTCAACATTCTACATTTAAAACATAGATGGAACATAGAAGAAACATTACAAACCTGATAGAGCTCCGGTGGACAGCATTTTGGAGGAATCGTGATTTGATTATTCAATGGATTTGCTGCCACAACTCCGAGGAGCGTAAACAAGCCAAGTATACATGACTTATACATCACGATGATTAAGTTCTGAAAATACCAAAATCTACAATAATGCAACATCACATGTAGTTTTATAGCACTGCATGATTAGCCTGGTGCATTATGTGGGAAGGAGTGGTAAAAGCTACCCTCTTTCCCCCCTTTCCGGGCTCCCTATCATCTCTTCTCTTCTTCGTTCTTATAGTATTCCGATAATTTGATTTTGCTTCTTTTAAAAGAGCTTTGTTTAATGTGAAACTAACATTCCTATACGTGTACATGATGCAAATGATGTAGGGGCTCTGCTGGGAGGCTCTGACACTCAAAACAACATCTACAGTTTTATAAGCATATAATATACTAAATAGATTTACCTTTTCGGCAGTAGTTTACGCTTTACTGTAAATGTAACTGTAAGTCTTCACCTTTGTTCTTTTCTGATGATCTGTTCGTCAATTTTTGTGCTTGTTATTGTTATTGTCGGAGATGTCTTATTTATTGCAGACTTATCAGCCATGAGTGAGTGAATCACCGACTCCGATAAGATGTCCATCAATTATTGATCAAGGCTCACAGAAGACTACGTGGAAATCACAAAGACCACAGACGTCATCAAGCTCGCAAGGTTGTCCATTTGCATCTGTGTATTTCGAATGCAACCTTCAGTCAGTGGGTCAAAAAACAACTTAGCCTACTAAGAGACGTATAAAACATATTTTATATGTCTCTGGCCTACTTTTTTTGCCATTTTAAATATATGAAGTGCGCTCATAAATAATTGCTCCTCGGGGGTTTCTGTGATGTGATCATTAATGAATCAAAAGGTACTTTCGGGAAAATAGCTAGGTACCTAATATAAACAGATAACAGCTGAGCCATCATACCATGTCACTTTGACCTTAGATTACATGAAGACTTCGTGGAGTTAATCACTCCTGCCATGTGATCATGAATCAAAATAACTACGTATACGTTTACCTTCAAATAAATAGCTAATAGATAACAGCCATCATACCACTGTAGTAGTTTTTCTTTTTGCTTTGTAAATTATTAAGTCATCCTTTAATTGGCAAGGCTAACATATATGTATCTAATATGCATTCAACACTTTCTCTGCATATTGGATGGAGGGGGGGGGGAGGTGCTGAATCGGAGATATTTTTAACACATTTTTGTTTTGCTTATTTTTTAACTGCGTGGATAAGATGCACAATAGGGTGTCATCCAATTTAATTTGTATTTCTTACTTTTACTTTTGGAAATAAGTAATTAAGAAATAAATAAATAAAATGTCACTTTGACCGTACATTACTTGAAGACTTCTGGGCCCCCGTTCTGGGAATAACTAGTAATGACTTCGGCCGCTCTAAAAGACTTTCAGATGAGTTTCGGACAAACAACAAGAGGCCTAGATAGATAAGTTGACCTTACATTACTGAAAGTTACAATATTGATTTGAATACATTGATTTAATTATTTGTTGTTTTATGGACTCAAAGAGTGAGCTTCTCATTGTCACCCAACAAATTGCGAAAAGACTTTTGCTAAAGTATGAAAACACATTTGTTTCTTCTGCCATCGACTTTTTATAATATATCTTGTTTTGTCATCATCTCATCCCACACAGTTCGAGTAGAGATAAAAAGCCACTCGTATGTCCGTTCGTCTGTCTGACTGTCTGTCCGTCCGTCTGTCCGGGCGATAGCTCAAATACTGGTTGACAAATATCTTGTTCACCATACTAGTAGGCCTATGGTTTGAATCGTTTTATGTCCACTTTAGGCTACTCCTGGAATAAAAGAACACTACAAAAGACGATTTCATATGTTAACTAGTTCTCTGTGTTAAGACTAAGAAAGAAAGAAATTAGCCAAGATGGCTAATAAAATAAAGAATTATTAGCCAAAATATTCATTGAAGTCCACTTTGCCGGATCGATGTGAGCCGCGAACGAACGACGAGGTCCCCAGATGGAGGTCTGGGGGGGGGGGGGGTTCTCCCCTAGAAAAGTTTGATTTTTACATTCAAAATGATTTCCAGAAACAAAGTCTTTCAACATTAAAGAGAGAATCAGATATAGCAAGCAGGTTTAACAAATATTGTCTCAATTTTAGAATATCTTTGGCTCATGTCATTCCCTGTCATGTCTATTTTCTAAATATCACAAAAGTGCATGATTTATTCCAGGAAAACTTAAAGATTTTTACAATATTTTTCTATAATTCTATAAGAATGGTTACCATTCTTATTATATATTTGGGAGAATTTAAACCGTTTTCATCCATTTTTTTGCACTTTGAATCATTAATAACTTTACCAATTTAAATTATATTGTGGATCTTTTGGGATTGTAATGACATTGTAAGGAATAGATTGGTAGGTCAATTGTACACGTTGCTTGTAATTTTGTCACCCCCTATAGATCTGATTCTGCCTTTAAATCATACACTCCCCTCCATAAGTTTGGCAACCTTAGCTCCCCCATTGAACTACGTGTTAAAGCCTCTTTACCTTTGAATTTTTATTTACTAAACCTGCGATGAAAATACGTATACTATTGATGGAAACGTAATTTGACTTTATTTTCAATACCTCCAAATTTTCTCAATTTTTTTCCTCAATTACAATCAATAAGTCGAAAATTGATGATAGTTTTGATGATTTTTTAAAACTCGACATTCTCATGTTAACCAATGGGAAATGGTAGGTTTGCCGCAAATCATATGACAGAACATCCATCCATCCGAGTCCTTGCAAAAATACAAGTTAGGCAGGCAACTGAATTTGCTATCTTTATTTAACAAAAATTGATATGTTTCTTCAGGTTCAACAAAGTTATAGTGCTTTAAAGTCAAAATTGTTTTTCAAAAAACCTCTCCCATTGAAATAACACAGGAGGCGAAAAATTATTTTCAAAAATGACTTTGAATCGCTGTAACTTTAGTATTCATAAAATAAACTAAACAGTTAGTGGCCAAAAAAGTTGGACAATTCAATTTTCTATATAAAAATATTTTTTACTGAATCTTTTACTGAAAAGATAACCTGATTTCTGATTTGCCCCGAACCCTCCATTTCCCATTGGATTACATGGAATGACGATTTTCAAAAATTCCTCAAAATTATCAATTTTCGACCTATTGTAATTGAGGAAAAAATTGAGAAAATTTGGAGGTATTCGAAATAAAGTCAATTACAAGTTACGTTTCCATCAATATTATAAGTTATTTCATCGCCGGTTAAGTAAAGAAAAATTAAAATGTAAAGAGGCTTTAACACGTAGTTCAATGGAGGAGCTAAAGGTTGCCAAACTTATGGAGGGGAGTGTAGCTAACTCTGAGGCAATTTTTATTTCATTTCTAATTTCATTACATTTTCACCGTGATAATTTCACGCCCGGTCTCGGAAAAAATGGATTGAGGGGAGGGGGAAGGCGATTTCTGCAAGAAAATTCAACAAGTCTGGAATATTTATTTTTTCAAGAGAAACTTTACAATTGCAAAGGAATTGCTGAGTGAATAGGCGCATAGTATGGCCGGTAAAATATGTTAGGTCTACTAGGATTTTTGAAGGCCCATGAAAACGTATATGACGCCTACAATATCACTATATTAAGAGATGTTCCTTAAATATTTTTTTGTCAGAGTTTTACTCCAGTTTTCAATTTATGTAATCATGGTCTTAATTCTAATCACAAGGCAGATGCCCATCAGAAAGTTATATGTTTATAATTTATAAGAAAAAGTGACCCTTGAACAATTCTGTCCGGGCTACTATTATCTGCAAAAATGAAATTGGTTGTTTTAGAAATCACAAACTGTCAGGCTGTGAAATAAACAAGATAAAAGTTGACGAGTCTATCAAAACTTTTAAAGTTCGCGGAATTTTTAGTCAATAGGTGGCGTTAAAGGCCAGTGTCAAGGTCGAAAGTAATAATGAAGAAAAATGAAAATATTTAGAGTATATTTTTATAAATATCTTGTATTATATACCATTTAAGTGAGTAAAACAGTTTTATATCTTAGCGTTTGCCTGCATTAGTTTCTGTGAGACTATAATTCGAACAGAGAATACGAATAAAACAGCATAAACACAAGTAGAAATATGACTCAATTTCCTGTATTTTTCAGTCACCTTTCTTTTATGTTTGATTGGCATTTGCCAGCCTCACCCTTTTACAAAACTTTGTTCATACTAAGTAGTACTATTACAGGTCATACATAGTGTTAGACATTCTGTACATTTGGGAGGCATGTTTGTGTTATCCTTATTGATGTTTTTACTCTTTCACAGACTGACTCGTCTGATTTATCAGTTCAGTCAGCATTTGAGAGAGGTACATAAACCTACATGTAAGTGCCTACAATGTTATGATTTATTTTCAGCTCTAGCAGGGTTAGATTGTTTATGAAAATAACAATGGCACGGAATAGTAAGGAATTTGAGGACTTCTTCAAAGAAGCCCAGGACATAGAATCTAACAAAGATCAAGATGGGGATGTTACAGAAGATGAACAAAGTAAAACACCTGATGGTGAGACTTTTAAATCATTTCAATTTTTAAGGAATTCTTGGAGACAGAAATGACAAAATGTTGCTTCTCAATCTGGAACGAGATCAAACGACCCTACCTATTTTGTAATTTAACAATCAACACAAATGTACAGTCAAAACAGAAATGTTTGTGACTACTTTGAATTTAAAAAATAAGCAATCAAATGACCATATTGAAACAGTTTATGTAAAAATAGAAACATTTATATTTATCCTAACTTTTTTATATTTTAGTTTGTTTTGTAGTTCAGCTATCATATCTGTGTCCTTTTATATTTTGATACTTCTCTGCCATGTTATTTTTGGAAAAATTAACATGGCTGAAACTCCCTAAATTACAAAAGGCCACAGCTTTGCTGCACATGATACATTACTATCTGAAATATACAAAAGTTAGGATCAATATAAATGTTTCTATTTTTACATAAACTGTTTCAATATGGTCATTTGATTGCTTATTTTTTAAATTCAAAGTAGTCACTAACATTTCTGTTTTGACTATACATACCATTTAAGCAGATATCGGACAAATTCATCAAAAATATTTTTTGATCGATAAAATCATTGATTACTAAACCAGAAATGTGTTCTGTGACGTCTGCGAAGGAGACGAAAAAGAAGACGCATTCAGATTTCAGTTATTTCAATTTTACCGTGGATTCGATTTTAAATGCTTCTAAATGATCTTCGAATGCTTATTATGAATTCTAATAGTGTTTTGATTTCCCCGTTTCATAAAACGAACATCCATTTCCTTCAAGTCGTATTTTCAAGATGGAATCTATTTTCAAGATGGCCGAATGTTTTAGAAGTGGGATTTCCATAGGGTCAAGATTGCAGTTAAAAATTCCATTGAGGACCATTATAACGTTTCATGTCATAATATATTCATGGGCACAGATCTAGCTCAGCGAAACAGTGCCTAGTGTTCATTGGAGTCTTGTCTAGCTTGCCGTTACAAAATAATGATACGATGACCACACCGTTTTTGAGATAACTGAATCTGGAGAGAGCTACCACGGTAAAGCTACCTGTTTCAGAAAATTATTCTGCTCTACATAGTCTCGAAAATCACTCCGCCATCTCTAAAAATTCTGTTTCTAACCAAACTTGTAAATATTTCCTGATAGATTAGTACCTACCCTATCGAGAATAAACATTGATTCATTTATCAAACACTAGATGGCGCTGCCACGGGCGGGAAAAGGAGAGAAGGTATTTTTATACAGGAAACCAAATAACCAACGGTAACCGCTAGTATCCCTACTCCGAATTATATTCATAGTAACATATGGGTTTGGTTCAGCAGAGTCAGATGTTAACCAATTGATGGAAGAAATGCAAAAAATTGAAAAAATGAAAACAATTACAATTATGTACATGTATCATGACAGATATTACACTTATATCCTCCAATATCACTGGGGGGTATCGTGATGCAACAACACCGTGTTGTTGCATCAAGATGGCTAGACTTCCGGTGATAGCTTTTCGTACGATATTTTGTTTTCCCAATTTAAACCCATTTCTAGGACGAGTTGCTCAATAATCATACACATGCAGTTAGCTCATGATCTATATTTAAAAAAACTCTCATTAGTATGCATGTACCATCATCAAGAAGCGAGAAATTCGCGGTTTTAATTCCTCACTATTGATGCAACAACACCACTCTGTTTATTATCGATGATGCAACAACACCAATGTGCTGATGCAAAAACGCCAATATAATGTATCATTGAATATCTAGAGAAACTGTTTTATGTTCTGTTTATAGGTGTTGGTCGGGAAATGAATAAAACGCGTGAGAGCGTGGTTCATGAATGAAACGTATTTTGTTTGGTTCCTTAATGTATTTGTCTTTATCAAAGTTAAAAGGATATACAAGGTAAACTAAATACATAGGCTAAGTATTGAATCCCCGGGAGCCAACCTCATTGATATTGTATCTGAAAAATAAAGATTATTCATTTTCTAAATTAAATCCCCTTGATTTACCGTATAGTATGGAAATTCTTAACAAAGTACTAATATAACTAGACTTTGGAAATTGAACAAGTTCAATTTCAGACTCCAGATCTAGACTTTTTTAAGCCGAGTCATCCAGAAAAAGATGGATGGATGGATGAAATAGAAACACGGGATGTCATCGCCTGATTTGGTCAATGTTAGGGAGCAGGTCGTTTTTACAATAAATTTCAATATTTTCACACAAAATATTTTTTTACTGAAAAACTGCTCATTCGCAGAGAAAATGTACTAGCACATGCAATGACAATGTCAATCACGCTTCTGTACGAAATTCGGCGGAAGTCTTTTATAATCTAATACGAAGTTACTAAAAAAGGCGCGAACGCCCTACACTCAAAATGATCGTTTTTCCATTATAACTTTTTAACGTAATTTAACGAAGGCTTCTAATTATTATCCAAGATAGTCTAAATACCGATTAAAATATTTCTTACTTCAAACAGATACGCCGTCTTTTATTCAATTTTTTAAAAAATAATAAAAAATAACTCTTGTCAATGTTAGGGAGCAGTCAATGTTAGGGAGCAAAATGATTTTATCAGAATGTTAAAAATGTAGCAAATGGCCATTTAAAATATGTATGGCATTTATAAACTGAACAATTTTGTTTGTATGATTATTTGATACCCTTTGGGGAGGAAAGTGTTAAAATTGTAAGAAAATCATTGAAAAGGTTATTTTGCATTTTTTATTTTCAGCTAAATCCTGTTTACGTTCGTTTTAGAAATATTTAGATGCGAACCATTCCTTCTTTATTCGTTGACCTCTTACTGTAAATGAATGGATGTATCGTTATATACACTTTTTGATGATGTCATCAGTTCACAATCCTAAATTGTGGATGATAAATTATCTGAACTGATATATAGGCTTGAGAAATCTCCGACATCCTTCAGTTCTATGATTTGATATTTTCCTAGTATTAAAGTAAGAGAGTTAGTCTCGCACTTATCTTTACGACCGGGTATCACCTGATAGCTGGCACAAACGCTATGAAGGGCTCATTGCGCAGTTACATGTATGATAGTAGATTTTTACACGTATACTTCAATTTGTCAATACTCAGACAATGCAGTATATAACCGATCTCTGTTATATGTGTACCACTTGCTAATGATACTCTAAAGCCCGGTATACACCAATGGGACAAGTTGGGACCTCCATAGACTTAACATGGCGTGGGACCTAGTGGGACCTTTTGGGATTTTCCCCCATGAAGTCCGTGGGAATCAATGGGACTCCGTCGGATTTTGCCCCAACTTGCATATAATCTTGCCCCATCGAGTCCCATGAGGTCCCACGTTGGACTCGATGGGATTCGATGGGGCAGGATGGGGCAAAATCCCACGGAGTCCCATCTTGCCCCATCGAGAATGAACATGTTCATTCTTTCCATGGGGCATCGTGGGATTTCCGATCAGGTCACATGTTATGTGAAGCCCAACATACACCAATGGGGCAAGGTGGGATTTGATGGGACTCCATGGGGCTCGATGGGGCACGTTGGGACTTGATGGGGCAAAGTCATCAACCATGGGACTCCGTTGGACTCATTGGGGCAAGTTCGGATTCGATAGGGCAAGATCGGACTCGATGGGCAAGTGGGATTTTGCCCCATTGGTGTATACTGGGCTTAAGGCTTTATATTTTAAATGGCCATTTGCTACATTTTTAATATTCTGATAAAATCATTTTGCTCCCTAACATTGACTGCTCCCTAACATTGACAAGAGTTATTTTTTATTATTTTTTAAAAAATTGAATAAAAGACGGCGTATCTGTTTGAAGTAAGAAATATTTTAATCGGTATTTAGACTATCTTGGATAATAATTAGAAGCCTTCGTTAAATTACGTTAAAAAGTTATAATGGAAAAACGATCATTTTGAGTGTAGGGCGTTCGCGCCTTTTTTAGTAACTTCGTATTAGATTATAAAAGACTTCCGCCGAATTTCGTACAGAAGCGTGATTGACATTGTCATTGCATGTGCTAGTACATTTTCTCTGCGAATGAGCAGTTTTTCAGTAAAAAAATATCTTGTGTGAAAATATTGAAATTTATTGTAAAAACGACCTGCTCCCTAACATTGACCAAATCAGGCGATGACATCCCGTGAGAAAAGGAGGGATAGGACAGAATAGGATGTAACGATAGGAGAGAATAGAGAAGAAAGATAGGATAGCACAGCAAGGAAGGATAAGATAGGAAGGATAGGAAGGAAAGGATGGGAAGGATAGATAGATAGGAAGGAAAGGATATGAAGGATAGATAGGAAGGAACGGATAGGGATAAAAGGGATGGGATAGGAAGGATAGGATAGAATAAGAAGGAACGATAGGATAGAATAGTATGATAGGATAGGAAGGATGGATTGAAGGATGGATGGATTTTTCAACATTTTCTTCGCTACTCTTGACTTTCTATCAGGATACCATCAGATCGATTTTTATCGAAATTTCAAAACGCCATAACTTCCGAACCGGAAGTCGGATCGAAATTTGGTTTGCAGATTCTGATTCCTGAGAAAATTATATTCTTAAGTTATTCATAACTCAAACGTTAAATTTGGAGAATTTTTTATTTTGATCTACTTTTTGGACACCCATATCTCAAAAGTGGGTTAAAATACTTTCTGACGGCAAAAGGCTAACACTATTAGTACACTCTTGGCTACAAGTATACACAATATCGAAGAATATAATTGAAGTGTAGTGTCAGAATCACAAAAATAAGGAAAACTTTGAATTTGACCTAGACATTTTTGTGTCCAAATTTTGAAGCTAGATTGCTTTTGAGGTACCCTTCATTTAAAGGCTTTCATTAAATTAAGCTGTACTCGGTCGTATATATGTCGTATTTTACAATTCAAAAAAAAAATTTCCCATTGACTTTTATACATGGGGCATCTTTAGCGATTTTGAGTTTTCAAAACGCCATAACTTCCGATGAGTGTTGGTTTAATGATATTGCAGTTATACAATGCTATTATATAGAGGTTATTTACTGAGAGGGATTCAATATTGGTTTTATTCCGGGAGACATTATGATATTTCCCGAGGGACCAGGGGGAATCTGGGATTACTGTACCCCTATCAATTTACCTTTTCGGGACCTAAATCCTATTACCTACCCTTTTACTCAATCGGGGAGAACGAATCCAAAGAGAACAATACTTCTACATGTGCGCCGTGCAAAATTTCCAAAAGCTCGTCGTTTTACCGAGAACGAAAGATGTTTGTCCACCATTTTGAATGATACTAACTGGTATCAGGGTCATCAAGCTATGGAACAGGGGTTTATGAAAATAGATTCTGGGTTACTATAGCTTCCAATGTTAAAGGTGATTGAACTATGTTATAAAACAACTTCCAGCACATTATGATATTTATAAGTATAAATTTTTGAAAATACATATAAAGAATCTTTGCCCACAGGACGTGTATTTTGAATGCCTGAGAAGAACGCAAATGGGTACTGGCCCGGTGTTGCAATAGTAGCATTTAAAAATCTGTTCCTCCCGAGATTTATGGTCTTCTGAAATAATACTATTAATTGGTGTTGTTGCATCATTGCTCAAATCTAGAGGAGTGTTGTTGCATCTTCGGTTTGGTGTTGTTGCATCAATAGTGGGGAACTAAAACCGTGAACTTCTTGCTTCTTGATGATGCTACATGTATACTAATGAGAGTTTCTTTAAATATAGACCGTGCGCTAACTTCACGTGTATGGTTATTGAAAAGCTCGTCCTAGAAATGGGTTTAAATTGGGGAAACAACATATCGTACGAAAATCTATCACCGGAAGTCTGGCCATCTTGATGCAACACCACGGTGTTGTTGCATCACGATACTCCCCAGTGAATATAAGATTTTTCTTTCTTTTGATGGATAAAGCATGTATATTTTTAAATAGTGTGAATTCCCCTTATGATAACTTTATATGTTATAGAGGGTGAGGTTGAGTTGAACTGGCTACAAGATGCTGGCTATGGTCACCTGGTCAGTAAGTTTGAAGGTAAGAAACATCGATGATATAGTTATGAAGTAATCTCATGAGATTTAATATTTGTAAAAATATGTCATTTTATATACAAAAAATATTGTACAAATATTGAATTCTATGGAGTTGAATATCTGTATATATTTCTGAAGGTGTATTCACCGCAGCCTGGAGGATGAGTTGACTTTTTGAATACATTTGTTTTGATTCTTTATGCCGTGTTTGTCATACAGTTGTGAAGCTTTTCCTGGGAGGACTTCCTGATACAACTTCGCAGACATTTTAATTGAATATATAGTGATATTCAATAAAAATGACATCACTGCTGTTGAATACACTCTTCACGCATTTTCTAAGCAGGGAGACATGGAATATCTGTATATAGTCACATGGTATCTAATTGACCAATGAGAGAACAAGTATCACGGCATGGAAATAATAATTGCAATGTATACAGAATATCAGATCATTTTGAGTGATATCATTTTATCGACGATGATATATAATATCAACAAGAGTGAGCGAAGCAAATGAGCGTTTAATACTTACATGATATCACTAGAAATGATCTGGTGTTTGGTTTATTCCATGATTACAATCAAAAATTCAAAAAACTCAGATTCATTTATCATACGGATATGCAGCTGTCAGCTGATAATCGATATCAGCCTTATATGCAGCTGATAAATGGTATAAGACACATATGAGGCTAATAAACAATGTTCTAAACAAATTAACACTGATGTCAATAATATCAGAAATATTTACAGATGATACACAATAATTGTGATTTAATACATGTTTATATTAAACTGTTAATAAATACATAATAAAAGCTTGCATTATTGACGGATTTCCCTTTGTTGCGACTAAAGTTGCCATCTTCAATATAATGCCAAAAACATGTAAACATAACATATTTCGCTATTTCCATATGTCATTGTCTGTCACATACTGTTTAATCTCAAAATCAATTGTGTAATTTGATTGGTTAAAGCACTTTGCACATTTGGCTTAAAATTACCTTGAGTTACCTTTATTGTGATTAAGTAAATATTAATTGATCAAATTAGATTGATAATATCGAGAAATATTTTGTAAAGTCCAAGGATCATAATGATACTGCAAATACAATTATAAACTAATACGATTCCAAAAGAAAGTAGGATACAGAGAATACAATAAATATATGACAGGGATCAACAGAAAGATTGCATTGGCATTTGATAAAGAGATATATGTGAAGCAAAATAATTGCATGACATATTTACATTTTAGATGGCAAAGAACTAGAAGATGATATATTTACGGAAGCAACATCATCATTGACACGGACCCAAGCCGCTGCTGTGCGGAAGAGGGTTGATACACTCAATGCTACCATACGCAAGCGGCAGAAGCACAAAGAACATCAGAAAGTAGATGTACGGGATGTGTTCCCTCAACAGCCTGAGGTATTTCATGTTTAATGTTGAATGAATGATAAACTACTTCCACCTAGCAATATGCAATTGAATGCAGTTCTTCACCAGGGTTTCCTCCCCTGTGCTCAAATTTTTCATTTTATTTACCTACAGTTTTTCTGAAGGAATGTTAAGGTACATTTTGAGCTCAGACATAATTTGATAAATATTCCCAAAATGAAGGATCAAAATGTCAGATTTGAATTTAGTAATATTTTGAAGTGTCGTTTTTTGTATCAACTTAGGCTTTTATAATGGAAAATAATCATAAATTTCTATATAAATAAAAAATGCCTAAAATACAAATGTACAATAACAAAGTTCGTATTTCAGTCGCCAACTGGGTCCCCTGGTCCCATCAGCCCTAGATCAGGAAGACACGTTAGAAGAGGAAGTGGGAAAGGATCATCCAGTTCAAGCAGTTCACTTTTCAAAAACAAAGGAGTTTACTCAGTAACTGTGGATGGAATAGACTACAATAAAGTAGGAGGTGAGATAAGTGTCATGTCTCACATGAGGTGTTTTGGAGTAGTATAAAATTTTCCAGGAATATACCTGTGGAGGTATAGAGGACTTGAGCATAAGTCTACCTAAATTTTTCTTCATTTCAAAGATATCAAAAGACTTAGCATTCACTGTCTTTTTTTTATCTGAACTGCTCTACAGGTATTACAAAGTATCAATATTCTACAAGAAACTTTAACTTTCAACTGGTATTGAAAGGCAAATGGACAAAGTAATCCAAGTTTTCAATATATAACTATTCTTCAAGTATCGAGTGCTTAAGTATTCAGTCTACATATAACTGTTCAAAGTATTCCAAGTATTCAATATTATAACTACATGTATTCTTCAGGTATTGAGGGTCTAAGTATTCAAGCTACAAAAGAGGGATCAAGTGTTATCACTTTGACTGGTGCTACTAGTCCTCCCCTCTCACCAGTTCAGGACAGTGATGTACAACTCATGTTCCTATTGGACGATGAAACCCCAAAGGTACAATCACCATTTTATATAGTGTCTCTAGACACTAAAAAACAAAGTTATAAATAAATTTCATTTACTTTAAAAATGGTCAGTTTGTTAAATATTTTTTGGGGAATTTTCACATGTTGCTTGTTTCACATTTTGAATTGTTCATATTTTTAATGTTTCACATGTTGTTTCACATTTTTAATGTTTCACATGTTGTTTTACATTTCAGAAGCCTGTCCAAGAAAACACAGAGAACAGAGGGTCTCAAATAAAGGAGGTGCCAGCAGCTAGAACAGAAATGCCAGTAAGTTCAGAATGGGAGGACATTACAGGATCTGTGTTTAAAGACTTTTGATAAAGTGGAACTTCTTGTACTTAAACATCTAAGGGGTGAGACATCCAGGGGATGGAACATCTAAAGGGTGAACATCTAAGGGGTGAAATGTCCAAGGGATAAAATGTATAGAAACCGTACCTTGAATACCCATTGGACTACATTCTGACTATGACAGATGCTTTCACTGTTTTGATAGTGATGCAGTCATAATCATTGGAGTTGTAGTTTGAAACAGATGTCAATTTGTAAGTCTAGAATTGATATGTCATTTGTATGTAGTCCAGTGGCCAAGGTGCCCATATTCTATTTTTCATAGCACCTCCAGAGTTCAGTCACAATTTATATATCATTTTAAAACTTAATATCTCGGGTATCCAAAATGATGCATAATTAGGCGATACATGTGGGACTTATACCAGGACACCTGTGTTTCCATGACAACAGCAATGCTGTCACTATTGAGAATTAGGAAGTGGCTTTTGGGGATTATCTTTAAATGATCACACTTTAGCAACCAGGTTGTGACAACTTCATGTTATTGCCTTCTTTCAGCATTCTCTCTATTTTTTAGAATATTACTCTAGTCCAGGAGCCATTAGGACGAACCAGTATCAATGACTTGAGTCCACAAGATCAGTCCAGTTTAAAAACACTTTCACTTATTGAATTGACAGCCCTCTTTGACGTACATAATATAACATACAGTAAAAGAAAAGCAAAACGGAAATTCAAAGGTACAGTACAAAGTTTGTGTTTGATATACATTTATGAATAATTAGTATTAGTATTATAGGCACTGTTTAACTATTAAAAGAAAATAACTTGATGAAAAAGTATGAATGATACTGTACTTCTACTTAATTTGCCGCTAATTATTTTGGCGGTTTTGTTGCTTTGAACATTTAGCGGCTACTTAATTTGGCAAACTTGCAATATTACAATGTACCAATGGTACTAATTACCATGGTACTAAAATTACTGGGGAATTTGGTGGCTACTTAATTTGGTGGACTTTAACAATTTGGTGAATACGCCAAATCAAAACAGCCACCAAATTAAACATAAGTTCAGTAATTGTTATTATTTTATGTGACATTAGATGTTCAATATTTGCTCAATGTGATTTTGCTTTTATGTTAAAGAGGGGGGTCTTTTTGGAGTGCCCATATCAACCTTGACTGAACATGACATCAAACTCCAGCCAAACTGCACAGTCCCTTTATTCTTCAGACAGGTGAGTGAGTGTTTAAGTCACTGGACAAGATGTAAGCCTGCGTTTAGGAACAACAAATAATTGTTGTTAATATATGGTTGTAGCTTCTTAATACATGTATGTTTGTAAATCTTGAGCTGTGTAAGATATAGCAAAGTAACATGAACAGATAAGAGAAGATAAGCCGTAGTTCATAGTTGGCCTTGAAATTACCTTTTCTGCAAACCCTCTTCAGTTGGAGCATCTATTATCTAAATACTACACATCAATGTGATATTTATTGGCTTAATCATATTTTGTATTTTGAGGTAGAAAAACAAGTCATAACATTGCTTATTACATTTAGAGATTTATATTAAAAGAAACTATAATTCTTTTGTTTGAAGTGTGTACCAAAATTTTGGACCATTATTTTGGTTTTGCTTGTCATGTGATCAATAAATGTATTTTGACCAATCAGCGATGATGATATGGCATGCTGTATGTCAATCATAGATGCCCCAAGCCATGTACAATATACACATATATGTAGTTGTGCACAATATATACAACGTTAATTAGTCCTACACCAATTTTTTCAGATGATCAAATACCTTGAGAAAAATTGCTTACATGAGGAGGGAATTCTCCGAATACCTGGTTCAGCATCAAGAATAAAACAACTTCGTCAAAATTTTGAAGATTCGTTCTACTCTGGCCATTTTTCCTGGGATGACATTCGGCCAAATGACATAGCTGCGCTGTTAAAACAATTCCTTCGAGAATTACCTGTGCCTCTTCTAACCTTTGACCTTTTAGATGCTTTTGCACAAATTGAACGTAAGTAAATGTGCCCTATCATCAGTCTTATTATCAATTTGGGTGACCAGTGTGTTATACATCAATTTTATTAATAAGCTTTTAGAATGTTCAATGTCATAGTTGTAGTTGCCTTAAAATATTAATCTCATTTTTAATATTCATTATTACACCATTTAAGTTAACACTAAATATCCCCCATTTATTACTGCATTTAGTGAAAACAAAACATGCCCCTTGATGTATATGTATCTTTTAGAATATACAGGGTGGGCCAAAAAAAAAGTTCACCTTTTTTTATTTTAATCTCATTTTTTTATTTTTGATGCAATCCCTTAAGAAATTGATATGTTGAGATAACTGAGACATTTCTAAACAAGGTCGATATATAACATTAGGTGTGTCTTTGGCTGTTTTGTTTTTAAAGTAAATGTTCAATATGTCCTCCTTGTTCCTGCACAACCAGTTTTAGTCTATGACGCCATTTATTTATTGCCGCGTTAATTGATTGTTGTGATAATTGTATCCAACATAAAGTTATTCTTTGTTGGAGTTCTTGAACTGAATGGATGGGAACACTATGAACATGTTTTTCTAGTTCACCCCACACAAAATAATCCATAACATTGAGATCAGGGCTATTTGGGGGCCATAAGTCAGGGGGGATAAAATCAGGTGCATTGGCATGCAAGAACTCCATTGTCGCTTTAGATGTGTGCGAGGGAGCCCCATCTTGTTGGAATATGTAGTTTGGATTGATGCGATTCATATCCTTTAATAAGGACTTTTTTAGCACTCTGTCTATATAGTATGTAGAATTCATTTGTAATTATATCATAAGAGTAGGTATTACATAAAACCATCAAATTATTATCAATATTGTGAACGTAAAAATGAGGAAAATTGGATAAAACCATGGATTTTCAGTAACTTGTTGACCAACTCATCTATGGTAGTATCGGGTGTTTATAAGAGTACTTAATTGTTTAAAGAGGTGTTTATCATCAACTCTGACTATTAATTAACACTCTACTTTGTAATATTTTGCATTAACTGACATAAAAATTATATTTACCATGATAACTTCTTTTCAAATTTCCCTCCTTTTTTTGAAATCCGCCATTTTGTAAATGAAGTGAATTTCTGTTTTTTTTTTCATGACACACCATAAATATATTTTAGGTGTCATGACAACACTGTTACATAAATTTCACTCAAATCCTAACAACATGTACAGAAATGTCTGAGCTATATACATATCAATTTTTAGAGGCATTGCATCAAAAATAAGAAAATTAGATTAAAATGAAAAAGGGTGAACTTTTTTTTGGCCCACCCTGTAAGCTTTGTGTTTTACAGGCATTCCGGAACTTAAACAACAGCTCCAGGCTATGAATCTTTTAATACTAATGCTACCTCAGACTCACCGGGACACTTTGGAAGTAAGTTCAACATTACTTACATGTATATGCTGTATTATTCATAGTCTTTTGAAAGCAAAGTAATTAGTATGTTAATTAATTTTAGTTGTAAGGTGTACTTTTACAATATGCTAGTTTAGTCTGTCATTCAAAATTGATGCATGTCATTTTTCTGATATTGCTTTCTGATATTGCTATATAATAGTTAAGATTTCAAAAACGCATGATTTACTGATATTTGACAATAATGCTAATTAATATATAGTTAGCACTTGGTCATGTGCATTTTAGAGTGGATTAATGTTTTTCTTTCAGTTGCTGGTCAAATTCTTAAAAAAGATATCGGACTTACAAGAACAAAACAAAATGACACTTACAAATGTTGCAATGATCATGGCACCTAACCTGTTCCTAGTCCAGAATCGTAAAATTTGGAACGCTCATAATAAGTCCCGGGAGCAGGAAATAACAATGGCGGCAGGGACGTCAAATATAGTCAAGAAGCTAATACATTATCACCCGCTACTTTGGACGGTTAGTATTTTCATGGGCTTTCAACTAGTAATTGAAAGCCCATGGTATTTTTCAAGGGACATTACTGTTACTTTATTAATTTTATGGCTGTTTTAAAATGGCGATTTTCAGAAGTTCCACAATTCATGTTTTTCCCAATTTTCAGAAAAATCACTGGGAAGGATTTTTGTCCATTGCATCTGCACTATGCGCATTCAGTAATTCTGCTCCATGTTTTCATTTTGAACAGTTATCAAAATTTTTCTTCAGAAGATCATGTCAATTCTAATGCGGCTTAGGAGAGTTAGACAGGTTAACCTTGTTAGGAATGCTGTCACTGTAAATATGATTAATATAAAAGTTTAATTAATATGAGTCAAGTACGACATCAGTGCATGTCAGAGCAAGCTAAATAACATGTATTCTGTTTTAGGTGCCATCATTTATGTTAAGTCAAGTACGACACTAGTACATGTCAGAGCAAGCTAAATAACATGTATTCTGTTTTAGGTGCCATCATTTATGTTAAGTCAAGTACGACACCAGTACATGTCAGAGCAAGCTAAATAACATGTATTCTGTTTTAGGTGCCATCATTTATGTTAAGTCAAGTACGACACCAGTACATGTCAGAGCAAGCTAAATAACATGTATTCTGTTTTAGGTGCCATCATTTATGTTAAGTCAAGTACGACACCAGTACATGTCAGAGCAAGCTAAATAACATGTATTCTGTTTTAGGTGCCATCATTTATGTTAAGTCAAGTACGACACCAGTACATGTCAGAGCAAGCTAAATAACATGTATTCTGTTTTAGGTGCCATCATTTATGTTAAGTCAAGTACGACACCAGTACATGTCAGAGCAAGCTAAATAACATGTATTCTGTTTTAGGTGCCATCATTTATGTTAAGTCAAGTACGACACCAGTATATGTCAGAGCAAGCTAAATAACATGTATTCTGTTTTAGGTGCCATAATTTATGTTAAGTCCAGCACGACATCAGTACATGTCAGAGCAAGCTAAAGAACATGTATTCTGTTTAAGGTGCCATCATTTATGTTAAGTCAAGTACGACATCAGTACATGTCAGAGCAAGCTAAATAACATGTATTCTGTCTTAGGTGCCATCATTTATATTAAGTCAACTACGACATCAGTACATGTCAGAGCAAGCTAAATCACATGTATTCTGTTTTAGGTGCCATAATTTATGTTAAGTCCAGCACGACATCAGTACATGTCAGAGCAAGCTAAATAACATGTATTCTGTTTTAGGTGCCATCATTTATGTTAAGTCAAGTACGACACCAGTACATGTCAGAGCAAGCTAAAGAACATGTATTCTGTTTTAGGTGCCATCATTTATGTTCAGTCAAGTACGACATCAGTACATGTCAGAGCAAGCTAAATAACATGTATTCTGTTTTAGGTGCCATAATTTATGTTAAGTCCAGCACGACATCAGTACATGTCAGAGCAAGCTAAATAACATGTATTCTGTTTTAGGTGCCATCATTTATGTTAAGTCAAGTGCGACACCAGTACATGTCAGAGCAAGCAAAGGCTAACAGGGAGAAGTCAGTGAGTAGTTGTACTCCAATATGTGAGAGGAAGGTATATATCAAACGACGACGCATGCAAGACAATGTGAGTGTTGTAACACAAATAATTGTTGTATTTGTGCCTTCACCAACAGCTACTTTATTATACAGTTTTGATGCTGAGCTTTACGATCTCAAATGTAGCATTTATAGATGTATTGATGTGAAATGAATATATGTCTATTATCCATTATGATCCGTCATGATTTTTTGATTGCAATCTGATTAGAAATATGCTAGGTAGATTTACAGTGAAGTAAATAATTGCACATAGCGCTGTATATAATTGCACATATAATGTATTATTGCACACATAAACTGTAAATTTACACTTCTCTTTTAATATAGAACCTATGTATAATCCTTAATGGCACTATTAAATGTAAGTAAATTATTTATTTTCATCCTTTGTGTTGGACGAGTTCAAATCTGGTAAAATGAGAATGTGTTACAATACCTAAGCATGCGTCGATGTTGATTATACTGTACTTCTTTTTGCACCACTATTGTGTTCTGTGGTGTCATATATTTAGATACCATTTATATGACACTGCAGAACACATTATTTATACCATTCATTATGCAAAATTCATTTGTAAAGCTTAATTCTAGTAATAAACATCAATGATCATGAGAAAAATTACTTTGGTCTGATTCAGTTGAACTCACAATCCATCATATGTAGAGTTATCTTACGAAAATTGGAAAAATATTTTTTAGGGAATATCAATTGAAAACATGGTCACTGACCCTCTCTTACTGAGGTATAGATCTATAATTAAAGGAACACAATTAGTATAATGTAATTATTTCTTAAATCAGCACTGTACATACACAAAGAAAATTGATTTTGTTATTTACATTGAACTAAAATATATTTGGATGATATTATGATATTTTAGATAATGAAATTCCTTGGGAAGAAAGATAAGTCTGAGGCCTACAGGAAGCAGTCAAATGAGGTATTTTCACATTTTATGTTACTTTCTCCAGTTAAGAATGTACTTATAATAATCATAATTATTCACTAGCAATTTAATTTTTGTTTTTTTGTGTTAATTATTTTAAAAATATGCCATTATTTTGAAAATAAAACACAGGTAATCATATTTAGTGGAAATTGATCCTAATCAATATTGGAATATCCATATGATTTTATTCACTATTTATTTCAAAATCTAATGTTGACAAAATATAATTTAATGTCATTCAATATTCTATTCCCCAGGGGATATATATGCCAAGTTTTATTGCAATTGAATAAGATGCTGCCTCAGAATTTTCTCAATAATTAATGATACCCCTTTATATTGCTCTTGATCACATGTAATTTTAGGAGCCACTGGCAGATGGAGTGATTCGTGTGCAGGCCCCTGGTCTTACTAAATCCAGCACACTTATACAATTGGAACGGGACATGACATGTAATGATATCTTAACACGGTTTCGAAGAGTTTCTCAACCTAGTCTTAGTGCACCGTAAGTTGAGTTGATTTTCCCTCTACGTATTGTATTTTGTTTACAACAGCACTAATGAAGGCTAGCAACAATTCTTAGGTATACAGGGTGTGCTTTAATTGATGGAAATTATGTTGAGATCATTTGACATGTACATATTGTATGGTATGAAAGTTATTGTATTTTCAGCAGTGATGTCTCAAGCAGAGAAAATTTGGAAATTTTTCATGACACATGCAGTATACAGATCTTGACCATGACAAGCCAAAAATAATTATACATACATTTTTATCTTAAACTTTTTCACAAATAATCATTTTACCCTTATTTTAATTTTTGTGGATTGACCTCCAATTAGGGGTGAGACGAGTCGAAAAAATCCGATTCGAGTCGAATCCGATTCGAGTCAGAAAATGACGATTCGAGTTTCGAATCCGTTTCGAGTCAGATAAAGTGCGAACAACATCGCTTTTGACCGTTCATATTTTTAATGCGTCAATGGTGGAAAGCCGGAAATATAAACAAACACAATTCGTCGTAAGTTTATTCTGATTTTATTACATATATTCTTTCATTTATGTGTACATACAATATAATAATTTAATACAAGCATATCCAAGTCATTGAAACTTATATATTCAACGCAATATCGAGTAAAAACATGCATATTGACAGTATTTTTCAGAATTTTTTTATTTTTTCGAATTTTTTTCTCAACTCGAAAATGATTCGATTCATCAACTTCGACTTGATTCGACTCGACTCGAAGCCCCAAACCCGTGAGTCCTCGACTCATCGGGTTGTCGTCTCACCCCTACCTCCAATGATAAAGAAAATTGAATAAATAAAAAAATGTTCCAATTTTTATTGGCCCACCCTGTATACATGTATACTGTATACATGTAAATATGCCTGTATATTTTATAGTATTGCATAGTATATGTCAATGTATGTATGTAACCATGAAGGACTCAGGAAGTACTTCATTGAAGAATTCATGTGTTCTTTTATGTGCACTGAAACATTGTTGTACAAGCACAAACCACAACAGTCTATACAATTGGTGGACCAGACCACTCAGTCACATCCTGAATTAATTATAGTCTCTCATCTATTTCTGTTAATAGATGCTGGTTTGAACTGACAGTAATATAATACTGGTAAAAGGCTGGTTGTTTCATTATAAATGGGTGAAAAAACTCTGTCTTAAAGCTAAAGAAACTGGTCAACATAAATTCTCATGTTCTGAACTGATCTGTCTCGTTTTCTCATCTCAAAAACTGCACCACTCTCAACTCAGCTGCTGACTCGGAATGTCTGAAAATATATTATTTACCATTGAAGTTTCACATGAACAGCAAAAACATGGATTTGAGTTTATTTGTTTTTATTTCAGAAACATAGAGAACAGTCATACCCCCAAGCCCAACTTTAAGCCAGAATATCATGAGAGCTTACAACTTTATGAAGTGGGTGGAAATATAGGTGAGTTTTAGAAAATTGAATCTTTCAGGAGTCATGTGGTACTATACTCACCTTACTCTAGTATAAAAGCTATTTTTTATATTATCTAGCCAGGTGGCAAAATTTTGACACATTTAAGGCCATGTGACACCATATATTGACACCATATTATTTGGCATCATGTAAGCTATGTTAGTCTTGTTTTGGGTAAAATTCGGATCATATGACACCTGAATAAAATTCATGGGACACCTGTATACAGCTCAAAGGACATTTGGCTCTTTATAGGCCATGGCATATAACAATAAAGTCATTTAATTTCACCAAATGTGTCATGAGGCACCAAAAAGATAATTTGTCGGTCACACAGTATTTGAAATTACATGTATCCGTTATCTATCAAACCTTATGTGATGCCAATCTGACACTGGCTTATTTTCCCAACTTTGAAACTGAAATAAAAATTGAATATATTATTTATATTTTCAGGAGAGAGATGTCTTGATCTAAACACGAACATGCTGGCCTTGTATCGCATTAACCGCAATGCAGAGTGGATCGTCAAGATACGACAGGAAATTGCGTAAACATTCCAGACAGAGAGTTCATATATTTTACACATGGTGTTGTTTGTTCAATACGTACACACAGCTCTTTGGTTCAGTTGCACATGTCTTGATGTGTCAGGTCCAAATCTGTATAAAGTCAGTCACAGAGATTAGTATGTGTTCATGTATTTAAGCATTAGTGGATTGGCTCTATTGATTTAGTAAGAGGAAAATGTGAAAATGTCAAATACTGTACTGGATAATAGTATCTTTTAAGCAAGATGAATTCCTCTTTCAGACCAATTAAAAAGCAATTAAAACCCTATATTATTAGTACCCTGTACTCTGCAAGGAAAATCAGGAATCTTGGTCTATAACATTTTGTGAAATACCCCTGAGCATCTTATACTGATTTAGTATAAATTATATGTATCCTTTTTGTGCATATAGACTGATAACCTATTTTCTAAATTTTAAAGGTTCTGCCCTAACAAGACTTTTTCAACTTTTCCTCCTAAATCATATTATTTTATATTGTATAATGTATATTACTCTAGAGATTTCTTACATGTTATCTAATATGTATACATGTACTGTATGTAGCAGGTTACCTGCATCTGGAACATATAATGCACCATTTAATGATACCAGCTGTATACCCAACAGATTTTGGGTAGACGTTGATCAAAATATTTGTTTATCAAATCCCCACCCTAGGTTAATGAAATAATAGAGTGTCTTTGAAAGCTGCAAAAGGCAGGTAAAAAACAGGGAGCGTCATGTTTCTCTGTTGGTCAAAATGGGATTATGCAGACCTGAGTTGATATTCCTATCATGGTGAAATAATTGGCACGTTGTTAACACTAGCTGCCTCTATGAGGCTGGTGATTTTAGCACACCCTGATGAAGTAGAAATCTTTGAAAAAGTAAGCTGCGTTGGCCAAGTTTTCATTGCCTTCTGGTTTCTTATATCAAGATTCAAGGGCTCATATTATATTTTGTATATTATACCTACCATGACACCATACAAAGTATTGCAGAATATTATATAAATGGTATACAGTTTGAATGTCTCAAATTGAGATAAGATCTGGCCCATGCACAATGCCTACAAATAATCTATATATAAATACCTAGTACTCCTACTTATTTTGGTTTAATTTAGCAATGTGAAAAACTTGCCATATTTTATTGTTGATATAAATTAAAATGCCAAAATTCCAACGATTGTTTTTAGTTCTTATGTAGTGAAACAGTTGTTGAGGTGAAAATGCAAATTGATATTGTCAATATTATCAAAGATTTGATATTTGAACTCTGTCAAATTAAATCTTTGTCAATGCTTTAAAATTGCAAAAATGCCAAATGAAATAGTGCCAAATTAAGTAGAAGTACTAAGTATGGCTAAATTGGAAATCATTATCGTTATGATGTTATGAAATATTATTATATTTTGCTTACTACACAGGAAGTAGTTTTAGATCATTACAGAAGATATTGCATTTTGTGAATACTTTAAATGTTAGTTTTTGCTCTTAATGATGTTCACATAGTTAGGTTTACTGAAATGTACAAAACAAAACACAATTGTTTTATAACTTAAATGGTGCAATTGTTATTCAGTCATCTGGGTAAAATTACATGTTTTATGTGTCGTCATTAAATTATTGTACATATGTAAATGTTGATAGGAAAATTTATATTTGTATTTTTTGGTCGAGGTATTTAATTATAACAGAATAGATACAGGTATCTATAGATAGATACAGGAATAGAAATAGGTAGTCTTATTTAAAGTAGCATACCATTTAGATAATAATCATATGATAGAGACAGTGTGGGGGTGACAAGAAATGGGATATTTTAATCCTCTCTCCTGTCCCTTTATTTTCTTGTATAAGTAGTAGCACGAGAAAATTTCGGGTTAGTGTCAATTTTACTTGTGAACCCAATGGTGTCTGATTACCTTTTGTGGTTCAGAATGGTTTCTACTTCATATGAGAATCCATTTTCTGAGAACATACATGAACAGTGACCACTGACCACATACAAAGCTCTCTCTCTCTCTACCATCTGATAGATGGGGTGTATTGAGAGAAGGTACAGTAAAACCTGTGACCTGTGTATGTATAGTGAATATGCTGAGAAAAAGAGGATTGTAGGTGCTCTCTACATGTATAATTATTCATTATTAGACTTTTGATATTTCTAGGCTATAAATGGGGATAACTTTTAATGTTCATGTTTTGATTAATTTTTAGCTCAATAAATTCATAACTGAATACAAAAGAACATTATTTTCCAATTGTTGGAAATAAGAAGTAGATTATAAGTTAGGTCATAGCAGGAAGAGGTAATAATAAATCAGTCAGTCTTATAGTTTAAGCTGATAATGCTTATAATCAAAGAACTAGAGAACTAGAACAAGAAGCAATGTTTTACACCTGATTAAACAGGATATTAATTAATAAAGTTAATTACAGATTAGCAGGTAAATGTTAAACATTAAAGTGTGTTTAGTCTAGGGAGGTATTCACATGAGAAAGGTGTTCATTTACACAGACCCCCTCACTGGTGGGAGTAGTTAGGGCTTGTACTGTATCAGATCACGCTGTTTTATCTTGTTAAAGTACTTCACAATACACACTATCACTTACAGTATTGTTTGCTATCCATTTACCTTTGCTCTTCATTAAACAATTTATATGGTCATTCTGGTACCACAAAGGAATAATGCAATTGCTCTTATTATGATTCTTTGGTGTTCAATTAATTTGAGTGGAATATTTTGGTGATATGGAGCCATTTTAAATTGAGGAAGTAACAAACCTTTTAATATGATAAAAATAGCTTATCTTCTTCTTTATACTAGAGAAACTTGCATGAGGGAACATTGACATTTGTTTCTTATTACAGTAGTGCTTCATTATCAAAATACGATCAAAATAAGTGGAATCTAAAACTATAATTTTTGAGAGAGGAATATGGTTGATTTTTCCCTGATTATATGGTGTATTAACTTCTTGTATGTATGTGATCTAATTGTGTTATTGCTATTTCATTGATGAATAATATCATGATAACTCATAGGATATGCCTTAAACTTCAAATGTTTCTCATTATTACTCGATCATTCAAATGAAATGAATTTGGCGGAATATAGAAAATGTCCCCCCCCCTGAATTACCAGCAACTCTCATGTTTTGTATGGTAGATATACTTGCTATGTTACTTGCAGGCTAATGTATTCAGATATTAAGCTTATTAATTAGAAACTACCATATGATGTATCCAAGCTGTCTCCACATGATAAGAGAATTACTTAGAAGTGCTCAACTGAAGCACTCTATTCTGGTATTTATTGGAGTAAGGGGCGGACCCTAAGATCTTGTAGGCTTAATATTTTTACCTCGATCATCAGATGCTTTGAAAAAATGCTTTATGGATAGGTGAGTGTAGAAACCACACATCTTGTGCCTTATAGTGAACATTCCATTGACTTGATAATTATTATAATTGGCATTCCATGGCTAGCTCCAATAAGATCATGTATTTTTAATGAGGCATAGCATTCCTTTGTTGATGGCAATGCTTGTATCCACTTGCTCATGTACTGGTATAAATTATAGAGTACGCATTGTATTGGACTAAAGCTAGGCTTTTGTGCATTGATCAAAAATTAATTATCTTGTGATGGCAAATTATTGTTGATCTGAATCACATATTCCAACAAAACGTTGAAACATAAAAAAGTAGTCAAATATTGAAATCTTATTTTGATTAAGGTATTTTGTACACATTTGGATATTAATCAATCCAGGAATTGCTGAATAAGACAATGTTGCAATTGGTTTAATTTTTGTGGATACTTTAGATTTGTTATCAATCGCACCATCATGGTGCTTTTTGACTGTCAGTGAATATATACATGGTCACTGGATATATACTGTACATGGTCACTGGTCAGTATATGCCAGTATGCCTCCCACCTGGCATCTATGAGTATTACAACTGGTTTGTTCCCACTGTCTTGCCATGTTCATTATTGCCTCCTTGGCCGTGACTGTGTCCATGTTATGTCATTGTCTTCCTAATGGCTCTAACTTCCCATAAATCCTGGACAACTACTGACCATGATAAGTGTGGACTATATTTTCATCTACTCATTTACCAAATAAGTAAATAAATTATAAATAAATACAAGAGGTTGGTCATATTATAAATAATATATTATAATCAGACCAGGTTGTATTATAACCTGTAAGTGTGTTCAACAGATGTCAACAGGGTGGTTCCTAACAAGTGCTATTGCTTGAAATTCCAAATATTTTTTAGGGGAGAAACTGATTACCCAAAATCTTATTAACTGTCATTATAATAGTAACTTTACTATCCCTTCCCCAAAATATTACTAGAGAAAAATGCATTTGATATCAAAATAAATATATATTAGTCAATCCAGTTATTTTTCTCATTGAGATATATATACATGTACTTGTAATGGCATTCTTTCCCATTGGAATGTCTAATTTGTTAATTATATCACAGACAGAATGATTTCATTTACGTTCATACATAAAAACTAATAATTATACATTCCTGTATTTTTATATGATATTACAAAGAATCGATGTATAATTTCTGATTTAAAATATATAAATCACTTATGGTATATATTTCTGGATTTTTTACAAGATACATATATACAATCTAACAATACATATGCCAGATAGATATACAGTCTATTACACAATCCAATAAACACATGTATTACAACTGAATGGTGATAAGTCATTTCTTGACTCTTATCTCTATATTAGACTGTATACCTGTATGACGAGCATAAAGTTCTGCACATTTGAAAAAACCAAGGATCTATAGCCTCATAGGCAATGAAGATTCAAATAGCAGATTCAAATAGCAGATTCAAATAGCAGATTGGATGTTTCATTAATAAAGGCCATCATTTTTAGATTTAGTGAAAACTATCTAATAAGGTTTATATTAAAAATTGCATTGACTGGCTCATAGTACACCGACATATGCTCTCACTAGAATTATATTTGATCTAATATTACAAAGAAATGAAAAAGTGTATACAGGGTGGGCCAAAAAAGTGATTGCAAAAGCTCACACAATACCCATCTTCAAATAGTTTTTGACCCACCCTGTATTTAACTTCATATAGAAATACAAGAAAGCCAGGCCATTATTCATTCAAATGTGGCACTTCAAGGGGATGAAGTGAGCATGACCTGACTTCTAGAATTAAGCACACTTTTGAAGATATTCATGTACAATAAAACCTATCTAAGTGGAACACCTTTGGCACCTCTAAAAAGTGTTCCTCTAACAGAAGTGTTCCACTTCTAGAGGTGTTCCAGTTCCAGAGGTTCCACTGGAAATGGATAATATCTGTATCTAATATGTAGGTCTCTAATTATGGTACACACAGGAGTGTTCAGTTCAAACATTATTTCACCAATTCTTTTCTGAACATGCTTTAGTTCATACAATAACATACAGGGTGTCCATATAGTCCCTTATCACCCACCAGACTTTGTGTTGTAATTGTACAGAGACTTTATGGACACCCTGTATATTAATTTTGCTTATAAAATATTTTAACCATTCCATTTCCATTCATCTTTCTGTCATGTCATCTTGACTATATTTTATTATGTTACATGTAACAATTATCCCATTACAAGGGTCTCATAAGAAGGAACTAAGAGATCAATTTGCCTGTTCTTCAACCAAAATACCTCTGGAAGGATTTGATCAACACTTCCAATGGCACATTAAGTCTCTTGTTACTATTTTTGAGTTTTGCCACTTTATAAAAGAATGAAATTCTTGTATTATGTTGAAATATGAAAGGATTTGGATCAGAAATATTTGTGTGCAATCCCATTTCTGTCGGACTTCATTGAGATGAGATCACACATTCGATGGGATAGAGATGAGAAAGTTTGAATAAACTGTCATAAGCAATTTTCATGCCTATAATTTGTCCAACAGTTCTTTCCTTTTAGATAATCATCTAATATCTTAAACTCTATCCATTCTATTTCCTTTAACGACAATGAGAACTATACATGTTTTCAAACCTAGACTCCCATATTATTATATTGTACTGCATTTTATGTAATTGTTGATTAGATATACAATCACCATAATCAATCAATCAACTATTTAAAATATTGTATTTTAATAGAGTATAATCTGTTAATTGTATATTGTTAATTGTGCCTTATAGGGAGTATTACATCACACTATTTTATTGATGTTCGCATAATATGTGTATGAAGATGCAATATATTAATTAAATATGGTACTAATTTGTTATGTTATTACTTTTTGTATCCAACTATATGTAGAGAGGTTCATGTTACTAAGGACATAATTTTGGAAATTATATTTTGGGATCTAACCTTTTTTCTTAGACCATAATACCTCCCAGTTTTTTATGTCCTACCAAAGCCAGAATATTTTATTGCGATTACTTGAATTAAAATCACTTCATACTTTTTATCTTACTAGTGAAAAATATTAAAATTTGGGCAGAAATAGCCAAAGCTTATAATTTTGCCCTCACCAACAAATTTTTTACCATTAACAATCCATAGTACATGTAGTAAAGTAATGTGCATGAAGAGAATACAAAAAAAACAATAACATTAAAAGCTTTTTGAATAATTTAAAAATGTCTATCAACATTATCAAGCTATCAAGAGAGGTCAACAGTCACTTGGCCCTTAAGGAAGATCATTTTGTAGATAGAGCTACACCGTACTAAAAATAAATATAGTTTTCAAAGCCAATCAAATCAACAGTTATACATAGTAAAATCCATATATCGAAACCTTTCTAAACACTTTTCAGTTCTTTTTTATTTTCCTATTGACTCTCATGTTGAAAGTTGAAATGTGGACATAAATATGAAAAGTCCTTGCCGAACATTTTTGGTCGGTCCCTGGTTGTGTTCAGATTAGGAAGGTTCTACTGAATATACTGAACATATATATCGTATGTAAAGTTGTGAACACTATTTCCACACTTTTTTATCCAGCTTAGGAAGGTTCTCCTGTATAAATATTCTACCGTATATTCATATTGTGATGACCCGTGATCAAAGGTGGTATACCCTTGTTTTCTGATCACTGGTCATCGTGTTAAATCCTTCTTAATATCAATGTATTATATTTAATTATAGCAATGTTATTTCCATGTTTTAATATTTAAAGTTACATTTTCGTTTCACATTTTTTCCTTCATAAAGTTTTGCATTGTACTTTGTGACCCTTTGACCTGTTCATTCAGTGCAGTCTATATGCTGCTGCTATAGCAGAGCTTTAGTCTGAACCAAGTGAACTCTATTCAAACTTTTTGAATAGACAATTAGTTACAGTCTGGCTTTCTTAGATAATCCCTTAGCTGTAAGAATCATCCCTTTGTTCAGTGCTTGGTCCCAGGGCCAGGTACGGTGCAATAATATGGTAATTTGGCAACTTTTAGAATATAAACTGTCTGGTTCCTTTGGTCAAGAGGCACTTTTACACCAGACCTTGACAGGAACACTTGGTTTCTACACACTTTTAGACATAAGCTAAAACATGTTGGATATCATTGAACAAAGGGAACGACAGTATGGGTAAGCCACTTAATGTATTCTGGTGTGTCTTTGTAATATTGTATTTGTACTAGTATTTTTGAGTATTATTTTAATTACAATAGATTTATTAAACTTTAATCTATTTGTTTCTTAATTCATTTCATATTATACACTTTAGTGCCCTTTCATATAAATTGAACATTCACTTTAAGTTAACTATTTTAACTTCCACGCTACCATTGATTTAAATTACGCTTATTCAAATTTACTTTCCAAATTTCCACGCTACCATTCATTGTTATTTCATCTATTTCATTTGCCCCCATATTTACTTGTCACGCTACCAATTGTTAATTATTTATTTCCCCCATTAAGTGACGGCCCTGATTTTGTGATTAGTTAAACATATTCCCATGTGGTTATTGTTATTATTATTTAACTATTGCCCCGGGTCTTCACAAATGGTGCCAGGTGGTGGTATATAATACTTTGAAAGTGTTGACACATGCCTCAAATTTTATTTTTTTTATTTTAGTGTGATCTTTTAGCTTTATTTGTTTCTTTGTTTCTAACATTACCAATTTTCAGCACAAATACATGCCCAATTACAAAACAGTCACTATGAGTATTTCCTCTGCTGCCCAACAAGCCCAATTGCCCACGTCTAGGTCAGACTGTTCATTTGATGACCCTGAAATTGTCCCAGGTCATCGTGCCCTTGATGACCAGGACATGAAATTTGCCATGGCAGATACTTTACCCTTACCAGATACTTACAAGCATTCTGAGCGCAGAGCCCAGCGTTCGATGCCTGGTGTATCACCAAAGCCACCAAGATCTGCCTCACCTAGTGGCTATATAAATAAATTTAAAATTGAACCCGATCAAACGCTTTGGCAAAGTCCTTCAATGTTTTTCTCCCCTATTGATTCATGGAATAATCCATTTTCTACACCTGTTTGGGAGAATTCTACAGTGGGTGAGCCTTCCCAAGCTCCCCCAGTTTCTTTGTATTCAGGGGAGAAATACCCATGTGGTGAGCTCGCAAGAGCTCCCACTTTTCAAAAACATACAGGGAGGACAAATCCGTGGGGTGAGCCTTCCCAAGCTCCCCTAAGCCAAGGGCGTTTAAAGAGGGAATCATCGCAGGGTGAGCCTTCCCAAGCTCCCCTCGTTTCTGGGTATTCTGGGGAGAAATACCCCCGTGGTGAGCTCGAAAGAGCTCCCAGTTCTCAAACATACCCAGGGGAAGCCAATCCGTGGGGTGAGCCTTCCCAAGCTCCCCTAAGCAAAGGGCGTTTAAAGAGGGAATCATTGCAGGGTGAGCCTTCCCAAGCTCCCCTCGTTTCTAGGTATACTGGGGAGAAATACCCCCGTGGTGAGCTCGAAAGAGCTCCCAGTTCTCAAACATACCCAAGGGAAGCCAATTCATGGGGCGAGCCTTCTCAAGCTCCCCTAAGCCAAGGGCGTTTACAGAAGGAATCATCACAGGGTGAGCCTTCCCAAGCTCCCCTCGTTTCTAGGTATACTGGGGAGAAATACCCCCGTGGTGAGCTCGAAAGAGCTCCCAGCTCTAACACATACCCAGGGGAAGCCAATTCATGGGGTGAGCCTTCTCAAGCTCCCCTAAGCCAAGGGCATTTACAGAGGGAATCATCGCAGGGTGAGCCTTCCCAAGCTCCCCTCGTTTCTAGGTATTCTGGGGAGAAATACCCCCGTGGTGAGCTCGAAAGAGCTTCCAGTTCACAAACATACCCAAGGGAAGCCAATTCATGGGGTGAGCCTTCTCAAGCTCCCCTAATCCAAGTTCGTTTAAAGAGGGAATCATCGCAGGGTGAGCCTTCCCAAGCTCCCCTCGTTTCTAGGTATTCTGGGGAGAAATACCCCCGTGGTGAGCTCGAAAGAGCTCCCAGTTCTCAAACATACCCAGGGGAAGCCAATTCACGGGGTGAGCCTTCTCAAGCTCCCCTAGGCCAAGGGCGTTTAAAGAGGGAATCATTGCAGGGTGAGCCTTCCCAAGCTCCCCTCGTTTCTAGGTATACTGGTGAGAAATACCCCCGTGGTGAGCTCGAAAGAGCTCCCAGTTCTAAAACATACCCAGGGGAAGCCAATTCATGGGGTGAGCCTTCTCAAGCTCCCCTAAGCCAAGGGCGTTTACAGAGGGAATCATCGGAGGGTGAGCCTTCCCAAGCTCGCCTCGTTTCTAGATATACTGGGGAGAAATACCCCCGTGGTGAGCTCGAAAGAGCTCCCACTTCTCAAACATACCCAGAGAAAGCCAATTCATCGGGTGAGCCTTCTCAAGCTCCCCTAAGCCAAGAGCATTTTAAGGGGGAATTTTCGCAGGGTGAGCCTATCCAAGCTCCCCTGGGCTCGATGCATCCTGGAAAGAAGCACCCAAGTGGTAAGCCCGCAAGAACTCTCACTTTTCAAAAACACCCAGGGGGGACAAATCTGTGGGATGAGCCTTCCCGAGCTTCCCCAAGCCCATTGCCTCATGGGGAAATATACTCAAGGAGGGAGTTCAATGGAGCTCCCCTGCATCTAAGGCACACGGGGAGGGAATATGCAAGGGGCGAGCTCTCACGAGTTCCCCTTAGTCCATTGCATCATGGTGATTATTATCTCAGGGGTGAGCTCTCTGAAGCTCCCCTAAGCCCAAGGCACTCTTTTTGGGGAAAAATCCAGAGTGAGCTCTCCAGAGCTCCCCTCAGCCCAATGCACACTGGGAGGGAATATGCAAGGGGTGAGTTCTCTGGAGCTCCCCTATGTTCAAGATATACTGGGAGGGAATCCGATACCATGTCATGGGTATCTGATCAACAGTCCAGATCCAGTATAACTCCCAGATCTAAGGGGCATCTTAAGTCTAGACCTATGCCCTTCAATCACCATTCCCCCATTTCTCCGCACACAAAGAGGCAGGAATCCCATAACCTAGTGCCTTCCCAGTCAATTTCAATGGGGTATGAAACAGCCCATTCTGACCCATTTGAACAGATGTCTTATGCACCCAGGGATCCCTTGAGTAAGGTCGATTCACTACTGCAGACGAAGAAATACAAGAAACGTTCCACTGACCTTCCCAAATGGTGTGATAATAGTTCTTCAGGAGGGAGTGAGTCAAAAATCCAAAGTCCGAAACCAATCTACAATAAGAAACGGGAGATGAGGGCCCCCAAATTCGATGGAAAATGTAGTTTGACAGCATTTTTGATCCAATTCCGTTTAGTCTCCAAAAATAATGGTTGGGATAGTGATGAGGCTGCGATCTATTTGGTCAGAAGTCTTGAGGGCGAGGCAGCCAATGTTCTTGATGATATAGAAGAAGGGGTTGATCCTGACCTTGACTCTATCATCAATGCCCTGCAGATGAACTATGAGCCTCCTCAACAAAGTGACAATGCCCGAGCCATTTTGAAAAATAGACTCCGAGGCCCTGATGAACCCCTTGAGAAGTTAGCCCATGAGGTTAGAAAACTTGCCCGCAACGCATATGGTAGCCTGGGTATGCCTAAGTCTGGTATTGAGAACCAAGCAATGCAGTCATTTATTGACGCCTTAAATGATGTGGATCTTGAGGCAAAACTTTCATTCGCCAAGCCCACTTCTCTTAACCAGGCCCTTACCATGGCCCTACAATACGAATCCTTTTTCAAAGGTCGCAAGAAACGTTTGCGAGCAACTCATGATCCTGAGCTTCGAGCAACTGAGGCCCATGTCCAAAGCCCTTCATCTGAATCCCCAATGAGTTTGATTTCCCAGTTTTCTAAGATGATGGAAAAACAAATGGAGGCTCTTCACCAATCCATTGCCCAGGCCCTGAAGGAGAAGGTTGACCGACGGCCCATGTCCAAGCCCACACGTGCCCAGTATTGTAAACTATGTGATACTCGGGAGCACAGCATATTTGATTGTCTTCACAGACATCCAAATTCCAAGGTCACTGGAGCCCGAGTTTGCTTCAAATGTGGTGTTGATAGCCATGTGGTGTCTGACTGCCCTGCCCTTAAGGCCAATTTCCCAACTTATTCGGGAAACTAGAATGTGCTGAGTCGGTGGGCCTCGATTCAGCATCCAAGCCACAAAGGCCCACCAGTTTTAAAATCCAAAGTGGCTACAATTGCCCCCAGCCAGTGACGTTATATAAAAGTATACCCATTGCATCTGGGGAGCCGATCCATGACCTTTTGCCCCCTGTCCGAGAGGATTTGTCAAAGAAACAGTGTGAAGTTGATTCTGTTCCCCCATGTCAAGACCCTTGTAAAACCCTTGAGGCTGATGTTCCCCTGACTGATAGCAGCGATGATTTTGTTGATATAATGGTCGCCAAACACTTGAATGAGTTGCAGAAAGCAACTCCGTTGACTCTTGACCAGGTTGATCCTGTTATTTCCCCTGAACTGCTATTTAGGGACCCTGTTGTCCCCAGTCATGTATCTTGTCCTGTAAAGGAGGACCTTGACCCGATTTGCCTCAGTGTTATTGCTGAAGGGAGTGCTTTGCTTCCTGAACATGGGGAAGTTGACTGTTTGTCATTTGAAAATGCTACTAATTCAAACTGTTTCCCTGGCCATGAACTTGACACCGGAGATGCCCAACCCATCGAGGAGCCTCCAGCTCCCCCTATTGTCCTTGTTCCCAAGTTCTGACTGCCATAATTCTGACCCCTAGGTTGCACTTGGACATATACTCGCTCTCAGCAGCCCAACTGATGAACTCGAGGAACCCAAGGAAAGCCCTGTTATAAATCATCTCAGCATTGACATTGATGTGACAATGACCCAATCTGTTTGAATTGTTAGTCCTGGAACCGATTAATCTGATGATTGTCCCGATATGCCTTGGTCTACAGGCACTTCTGAACCTTTTGAAATGAACATGACCCAACTGTGAAAATGGATAGCTGGTTTGGTATTTGGCCCAGTTGTGTGCCCAAAACTGCCAATATTGATATCAAAAAAGCTTTAGTCCCAAGTCGTTTGCCCATCAATTTGAGGAACCTGACCCTGATTTGCGCCAACATTGTTCTGGGAGAAATTTAAATGAATTTGCCCCCTGACCCTTGGAAAGTTGAAAGACTGCTCGCTACCTGGTTACTGAATTGATTCCTGAGGTGGATCAAATTGTTGGTGGATGGAACGTTTTCCCAACTGGGAATGAGTGACACCATGGACAAGAACCCGTCCATGACAAACTCTATTGAATTTACCCCTAATTTCATAGAGATTGCTTTGTGTCACTCATCATGCCCATCCAGTAGTAGAATCCTGTGAACCTTGTCTCCGTGTGAACCGTGTGAACCGAGAAGGACATGACTACCTCTGCTGTGATGAAGAAGTTTGTCCGACCAACAAATCCAACAAATCCTGAAGATGGCTAGAGGAATCAACAGTGGATGAAACTTTGGACACTTGGTGGTACCAGATTATATATGCCTGGAACAACTCCATGACAAATCTAGCTTAAGATGAACAACTGAAAGATGGAATACTCCATGTTACAATTAAATGGAGAACCATGAACATTTAGTATCTTCTTGGATATCTACCCTGTGGACTTTACATAACGTGAACATTTTGTTATCTAAGTTAACAGCTCATAGACTTATGAACTATAGTTTGTTTTTATTGAGGTTCGGGTCGAACCTGTTTTTAAAGGGGGAGTGATGTGATGACCCGTGATCAAAGGTGGTATACCCTTGTTTTCTGATCACTGGTCATCGTGTTAAATCCTTCTTAATATCAATGTATTATATTTAATTATAGCAATGTTATTTCCATGTTTTAATATTTAAAGTTACATTTTCGTTTCACATTTTTTCCTTCATAAAGTTTTGCATTGTACTTTGTGACCCTTTGACCTGTTCATTCAGTGCAGTCTATATGCTGCTGCTATAGCAGAGCTTTAGTCTGAACCAAGTGAACTCTATTCAAACTTTTTGAATAGACAATTAGTTACAGTCTGGCTTTCTTAGATAATCCCTTAGCTGTAAGAATCATCCCTTTGTTCAGTGCTTGGTCCCAGGGCCAGGTACGGTGCAATAATATGGTAATTTGGCAACTTTTAGAATATAAACTGTCTGGTTCCTTTGGTCAAGAGGCACTTTTACACCAGACCTTGACAGGAACACTTGGTTTCTACACACTTTTAGACATAAGCTAAAACATGTTGGATATCATTGAACAAAGGGAACGACAGTATGGGTAAGCCACTTAATGTATTCTGGTGTGTCTTTGTAATATTGTATTTGTACTAGTATTTTTGAGTATTATTTTAATTACAATAGATTTATTAAACTTTAATCTATTTGTTTCTTAATTCATTTCATATTATACACTTTAGTGCCCTTTCATATAAATTGAACATTCACTTTAATTTAACTATTTTAACTTCCACGCTACCATTGATTTAAATTACGCTTATTCAAATTTACTTTCCAAATTTCCACGCTACCATTCATTGTTATTTCATCTATTTCATTTGCCCCCATATTTACTTGTCACGCTACCAATTGTTAATTATTTATTTCCCCCATTAAGTGACGGCCCTGATTTTGTGATTAGTTAAACATATTCCCATGTGGTTATTGTTATTATTATTTAACTATTGCCCCGGGTCTTCACAATATGGTCATCAGTATGTGAAGTTGTGAACTAGGGTTTTAGACAACCTTCAGCCAGTCATTTTTTAAATTCTCACTGTTAGACCTGAGTTCCAATCTGTCATATCTTACATCATCTGCATGGTTCCTGAAAAAACAAAATATTAAATATACATACATGTATGCCAGCTACTCATTTATTCTATCAATCAAGATATATTTATCATACAACTGACTTTTCTGAGATCAGGAGAGAATGCACTCCAGTATGTGATGTTCTAGTATCGCTCATGAAAGTTAGGATCTGTTGACAATTATTGCACAATTTCTGTTGATGGGTGCTTTGAGATTTTGTGGAAAGTTTATTTATTAAGTTATTAAATATATTATTACAAAAACGTCAATAAGAACATTAGCGCAGTGTACCAAAACTGTTTTGGTTTATTAAATCTGGGTCCTTAAATTGACTACATTTTGTAATCCTATCAGTAGAACCCCTCCATTCTGATAATATCAGAACACAAAATGTAACCAACTAATCAGAGCTGGTTGAAAAACAATGATCAAGATGATGATGTAGAACATCCTCCAGCACAGGGCTACTGAACTCATTCCTCCCAAGAGAGAGAAAGAAGATAATCTGGAGCCCTGCAATTGGAGAATGGATGATGAGTAACAGAATGAACAACTCCTAGTTTGGGTAAAAAGGTAATAGGGTTCCCTCTGAGATTAATTGTACACCCCCTCATTAGCATCCTTGTAAGTGAGCAATTTTACATGGGCCTTATCAAGGGAAGTTGAATAATTATTAACTAAGTGAACATTTACCTATAATTTTCATCAGGGGCTGTATGTGCTATCTATATCTAATTTAATTCAACGATACTAACACATGCACCGCTTGTTTACTGTTTGATTCCCAATGAAAAAATATGAATCTCAGTTTAAAAATCATTTCATTACATGAACTATAATGCCATCTTAAATGACTGAAACCCTAAAATGTAGGTTACATAACTTTAATCACTGATCTGACATTCTCATAGATTTATTTCTTGGCAAAGTTCTCCAAAATTGTTGACGTTTTTTGCAAAGGACATTTCACATTTTTGCCAGGTACATGTACATATTGCTAGAGGGCATAACCCGGGGCACTGCATATTTTCCCGTCTACTAATTTCTAACATTAATTGGGAGAAATTCAAGTTTGAAGGAGTGAAATCAAATATATCTCAATTCTTCACTTTTTGATTGGAATATAAGTAACAAAAGGTAAGAATCTTAATTATACTAATTACCAGATGCTGAATTATTTTTGGATGTAAATAATCGATTCATATTTATATACATGTGGGTAATATTCAACTGATTAATTATTCTCATATTTATGTTAATATTGAATTGTTTTTGATATTTTTTGCAAATATTCAGGCTTGTGATACAGTACCATCATTTCATAATAACAAAATGGATTATATTATATAATAGAAGAAGGAGTTATATTTGTGTATTTTATTGGTTAGGTCTATGCCACACCTTAATTGTTTTCCCTTAAACAAATTGCTTCAAGATGGTAAATGCACGCTATAAAATAGCAATTTGTGAAATTTGGCTAACTTAAACCATAATACATTGTATACAGTAATCTAGAAAACCAGCAAAAAATGAAATCCATTTTTTAATTCAATTTTAATGTATTTTTTGTACAGAGACTGTTCTTCAGTACATCTCAAAACAGTATAGAAATGATTAAAATAACCGAAATATGTTCGAGATATAAAGACCCATCATAAAGCTTATATCAACATTACTTTTACTATAAACCTCTGGCATTATTGACTGTGTTTGGTTTTTATGTATTTGTGGACACACTTTAGATCCTTAGGAATTTGAAAAACAAGTATAAGAAAACATGTTTTAAGGACAAATGTTGCAAATAAAAAGGTGAAATCTTAAAAAGAATGCAAACCCCTATAATTCATGAAAATGACACAAATAAAACATGTACATGAGTGAATTAAGTAGTATTATCATTCTTTTTAATATATATACTAGTATATGTAGTATTTATATATGTATAATGTATTTGCTAACATAATTTATATTCAGACCTAACATATAAAATCAAACTTATTTGGAAATATACATATATTTCAAACTTCTAAGTAAAAGAGTATATCACAAAGAGTATATTCTGATTAGACAAAGCTATTACAAAGTAAAATCTGTTCATATGTGAACTTCCAATTGAACTTTGATATGCCATTATTTATTCATGACCTGTTGGTATTTGTTTCTCATTTTATAGCATCACTTAACTGCTAAACATTCATCAGTTCATAAATTATCAAATACATAAGACCAGTAAACATAGTTTATAGTCATGGGCCGAGAGGAGATTGACCTAACCAAATTCCTAAAATGGTCATAAATGTAATAAATGAAAACTGAATCAAGTTGTATTTTTTCCCATCACCAACAGGCCCGTAGCCAGGATTTGCCAAGGGGGGTTCAGTTTTCAAAAATTTCCAGGGGGGTTCACATTTGACAATTTTGGCCTAAATATGGCTAAAATCACTTGGGAAGTGCTCATGGTGAAAAACTGCATGATTTTGAAAGAATTTTTGGCCAGGGGGAGGGGCGTTCGCCCAAACCCTGCGAACCCCCCCCCCCCCTGGCTACGGGCCTGACCAATATACCATATATTATACTGGGGTTGAATTTCCATTCTGAAACATGCATTCTGTTTGGTAGATGTCTAGCTTTTCATTTATCTATTTCTGAGTCACATACTTCAAACATGATGTCTCACAAAAGTATTCTTGAACAAATGCATTTGCGCCTGAATTTTGTGTAGGCAAACAACTTTATTTGTATAACAAATGACATGACAAATATTCATGTGTTGACATCATCTTCTTTTTATGTTGCGTGGTTAGCTGTATCAGGAGAGGATAGTCACATTCAATCTATATAGCTGGAGAGATGGTACCAGAAAATATAGTCAGAAATTCATGACACTATATTGTCTCCCCATAATAATAAGTAGCACAAGATGGTAGTCAGAACTTCATTACACTTCAAAATTGTATATTGTCTGCCAATAATAATAAGTCATAAGTAAAAAAGCTATGGAGGTTAGCATTTGAGATCATTGGGATCTTATCAGCAGGATACTCTCATCTCTTTCAAATATAATTTGCTTAGTTGCTAGAAAATAGCTATTTTTATAGGAAATCCAAACATACATTAGTTGTGGGCTACTCACCATCTTGTAATTAAGGATAAGAATGTATATAAGTGATGAAATGATCCACCCACTTACATGACTCAGGCCAGGTAGAAATAAAAGGTCATCCGAAAAATTGAAAAGTATGTGGAAATCTTGACAGCAAGCTTCCGCTATATATTACCTTACAAACATTTTGTATATGCATGCTGATGCATTTACCTGGTATGTACATCATATGGAACTGAATATGGTGGCATTTGTGCATTTAGATACATTGGACAACATGATCTCACAATTTTTTTTGTGGCATTTGTGCATTTAGATACATTGGACAACATGATCTCACAAATGATACAAAAAATACATACTTTTAGCCTGTAGGTTTATTTTAACATTTTCTAATTTCAATTCAATTATTCAATAATTAAGTCAATTAAGACTTCATTTTGAAAATATGTTTAAAGACATGTAAAAGGAAATTGAGAGGGCTTTATGTTAAACAAAATATAAAAATAGAGACTGTTAAATAAAGTATAAAAACAGAGACATATTTTTATAATCATGAAGCATTCACAGTGTCTGTACGTAAACGAATCATGTAGTATGTGTCTGAGGCCACAGTGATTACAGACCTCGAAAAAAATAAAATTAATGGAAGCTAAAAAACCTGTTTGCAAAGCATAAAACATCACTATGTAAGCCGAAATGAACAACAAAAAAAAGTCAAACAAGTTTATGCTATCTTTTATTCATCATCCCTCTAGTCAATGTAAAAAAGGAATTTACAATTTTGGCCAGTGGGAATAAAATGAATGCAACCTAATAATATGACATGTGAATGTTTGCAATCTTACAACTTTCAATCAAATTATCCTTCTGTTACAACTACAGATCCAGAGTATTTTTGTTCAAACAAAAATGATGTTAAAGCAACATTAAATAAAGCCTAGAACTAATGCACAAGTGACTGAACTAACTCACTTTAAGATGTACCTCACTTTATTATAGCGCATGCTCTTTTTAAAATAAACATATCTAAGAAAAGCCAATTTATCAATTTTGTTTACTTGGTTTCAACATAAAGGACCACACTTTATTAAACGCAGGTAGGGCTAGGCAAAATAATAAAATATAAAGCATATCCTTCAACATTTTTTTCAAACAACAAACAACCCCAAATTATAATTGTAATACAGGGTAATACCATTTATCATATTGACCTTCTTAAAAAGGCTCACATCTTTCCAAAAAAATAACACCATCTTGTTTCTTTAAATTAAAATTAGCGCATCAATCCTCGTATACGTTCCAATTGACATTTCATACCCATTATTAAAGGGGGTGTTTTTACAGTAATTTATTTGCTGATTGTGCATCATCATGTGACTCTGCTAAAGAAAAGAATATAGAACATATAGAGTGCATGTATTTTAAAATAGATTAACAATTACTTATTTACATAAGAAATCAATCAATTTGCTGCTCAGCTGAATAAGAAAAAGTCTAAGAGTGCAAACAGTCAAAGAAACAAAACCCCAATATCCTAAACCATGACCTAGCAAGCAAAGAACCAATAGAATATCTGATGTCCTAACATCCCTCTCTATATCATTCAGGAAACATTATCACAATATAAATTGAATAAAAATCAATCTGAAGTTAAAATAATCAAATATTATACTTCATTAATCATCATTAGATTGTATTCTTTGCTTATGTCAATGCTACTTCATTACAGAAAGATGGCTGGCCAGTGGTTCATGATTCGCAACAAGATGAATGGCCTTGTCTTGGACATTGAGAGCAACAATACAGAACCAGGTGCTTCTATCGTCATGTGGACACCAAACTGCAGTGATAACCAGCTTTGGACCGTTGAAAATAACCACATCATCAGCAAGCTGAGTGGAATGGCCATAGACATTGAAGGAGGCAACCCCACTCAAGGGACGAGGATTGTCACATGGCATCAGGAAGACAAGGAATGGCAAAAATGGAGCTTCGAGGGAAGTGGAGCACTCGTTAGTCAGTTAGGTGGCGGAACACTTTGCCTTGATGTAATTGACCAGCAAATGGAACCAGGATGCAAAGTGGGTATCTGGAACCACAATGGTGGAGAGAACCAACAGTGGGAATTAGTCCTTGCCCCAGGATGCTTTTAATCTCCATGGTGATCGAACTATACAAGTATAACCATCATGTAACATTGAACAATACCACAGCAGCTATACTAATAAACTTTATTACCAAATGGCCTAACATTTCATGTAATACCAGTGAAGATTTAAGGAATTACGTTTCAATGTATTGTTAATGACAATGATTAAAATTACAACCTATGGGATCTGAGTGTTTAAAATGGTCAGGAGTTCATACGATTTTGTTAAACTGACTTGTTAACACACTTTTGATAAAATACAATAGATATTAACATCGCCATCTTTCTTAGAAGCAGCAAACCTATTTTCATAAACTGTTCTTTGACTATTTGATTTAATAAAAATCATGGCATGTTTAATAAGTGTGTTTAATATGTTTTCAAGGGAAAGTAGTTTATTGCAACATATTTCACTTAAATATAATTTTCGAAAGCAGAAAATGGGAGATGATTGCACCTGTTGTTTTGACTAGAATATCTCTAAATTTTATCCATTTTACATTCTGAAGCTATATCCAGCTTTTTTAATTTTACCTTTACTATCTGAAATTCAACTGTATAGCAAATATATAGATATATTTCTTTTCTAAATGAAACCAATCAAGTATTTTGAAGACATGACTCAAGCATGATATCAAGCTGAAGGAGGTCAAATTTCATAATGTCACCGCCTGCCATTTGCTACAGACTCCAAATGCCAAACTCTGAACACCAACTGCCGCTGAAAAAAAGTTGGAGACTATAACAATATAAGTACCACCATAAGTGGTGATAGAATTATTTAAACCAGCCTGGATCATCTATTTAGATCATCTACATTTCTTTATACTGTATAGGGTTATAGGGATTGAAACCAGACAAACTTTCCCCCAATGACTATTATCTTTAGGACTTTGTAGAATATATCAATAGGAATTAACAATCACAAAAAAGATAGCTAAATTATTCAAAACAATTTCAACGTAAAAATATATCATCAAAAATAACTAGATGTATAAGATTGCAAGCAATCTTACGGAGGCCCCGTAGGCTTTTTTGAACATTTAAAGGTCAAATCTTAAAAACAAGGTCATATATGAACTCCAGGCATCTTGTAGATGATTTTTAAAAAAAAGTTTGGTCAATTTGAAGCAATGTGAAATTTGACCTTGAAAAATTTCAACATTAGACCTTTTTCAGTTTTTGAGGTCCAATATCTCAAAACTGGTGCAGAATTTTAATAGAAAATCAATTCTTATTATGTGTAAAACCTTTAGAGGAATATAATTATATCCTGACTTTAATTCAAAAATATTGATTTGTAGTCACAAACTTTGAGAAACTTAGAAAACACAGTTTGTGATCTTGTTTGATGACCTTGACCTTTGACCTTGAAAATTTTACTTTTTTAGACCTCAGTATATCTTTTCTGATTGAATAAACCTAAATTTGAATCCAGAAAATCAATTTGAAAAATCAACTTTTTTGACCTTTCGAAGGTCACTGAAGGTCAACTAAAGGTCATAGGTCAAAACTAAGGTCAGATTTGAGTTCCTGAGATCTTGTAGATGCTTTTTAAAAAAAAGTTTGGTCAATTTAGAGCAAGTTGAAATCTGACCTTGAAAAATTTCGAAATTTGACCTTTTCCAGTTTTTGAGTTCTAATATCTCAAAACTGGAGCAAAGTTTTGATATATAGTCAATTGCTAATATGTGTAGAACCTTTAGAGGAATATATATTCTGACTTTCAGTAAAAAAAATGATTTGTAGTCTCCAATTTTGAGAAACTTAGAAAACACAGTTTGTGATTTCGTTTGATGACCTTGACCTTTGACCTTGCAAATTTTACTTTTTTAGACCTCAGAAGGTCTTTTGTGAATAAATGTACCTAAATTTGGATCCAGAAAATCGATCTGAAAAATCAACTTTTTTGACCTTTCGGAGGTCACTGAAGGTCAACCAAAGGTCAAAGGTCAAAAGTAAGGTCAGATTTGGAATTCTGAGAACTTGTAGATGAGTTTTAAAAAAAAATTTGGTCAATTTGAAGCAAGTTGAAAAAAGACCTTTTTTGACCTTTTTTTGACCTTCAATATCTCAAAATCTAGGCAAAATTTCTCTAGACGGCAAAAGGCTAAGACTAATAGAATACTAATATCTATCTGTATGCAAAAATTCAGCCAAAAATATTGAAGTGTAGTGTCAGGATTTGAGAAACTTGAAAAAAACTTAGATTTGACCTAGATTTTGACCTTTGACCTTGGCCTAGATAAAAATTCCTTTCCCGCCAAGTTCAGCCCAGGTCCCTAGTAGGTGCATATAGTAGATAGTTGAAAGGTAGTTGGAAGTAGGAGAAAAAGGTTTAGGAAGAATAAATAACTAGAGATCTAACGATCTAAGATTGCAAGCAATCTTACGGAGGCCCTATATTCGTTTCTGAACATTCAAAGGCCAGCCAAAGGTCAAATCTCTAATACAAGGTCATATATGAACTCCAGACAACTTGTAGATGATTTTTAAAAAAGGTTTGGTCGAATTAATGCAAGTTGAAATTTGACCTTGAAAAATTCCGAAATTTGACCTTTTTTCAGTTTTTGAGCTATAATATCTCAAAACTGGAGCCAAATTTTGATAGATAATCAATTGCTAATATGTGTAGAACCTTTAGAAGGGGAATATATATTCGACTTTCATTTAAAAATATTGATTTGTAGTCTCCAATTTTGAGAAACTTAGAAAACACAGTTTGTGATTTCGTTTGATGACCTTGACCTTTGACCTTGCAAATTTTACTTTTTTAGACCTCAGAAGGTCTTTTGTGAATAAATATACCTAAATTTGAATCCAGAAAATCGATTTGAAAAATCAACTTTTTTGACCTTTCGGAGGTCACTGAAGGTCAACCAAAGGTCAAAGGCCAAAGTAAGGTTAGATTTGGAATCCTGAGAACTTGTAGATGAGTTTTAAAAAAAAGTTTGGTCAATTTGAAGCAATGTGAAATTTGACCTTGAAAAATTTCAACATTAGACCTTTTTCAGTTTTTGAGGTCCAAAATCTCAAAACTGGTGCAGAATTTTGATAGATAATCAATTGTTAATATGTGTAAAACCTTTAGAGGAATATATATGCTGACTTTAATTCAAAAATATTGATTTGTAGTCACAAACTTTGAGAAACTTAGAAAACACAGTTTGTGATCTTGTTTGATGACCTTGACCTTTGACCTTGAAAATTTTACTTTTTTAGACCTCAGTATATCTTTTCTGATTGAATAAACCTAAATTTAAATCCAGAAAATAAATTTGAAAAATCAATTTTTTGACCTTTCGAAGGTCACTGAAGGTCAACTAAAGGTCATAGGTCAAAACTAAGGTCAGATTTGAGTTCCTGAGATCTTGTAGATGCTTTTTAAAAAAAAGTTTGGTCAATTTAGAGCAAGTTGAAATTTGACCTTGAAAAATTTCGAAATTTGACCTTTTTTCAGTTTTTGAGTTCTAATATCTCAAAACTGGAGCAAAATTTTAATAAATAGTCAATTGCTAATATGTGTAGAACCTTTAGAGGAATATATATCCTGACTTTCATGAAAAAATATTGATTTGTAGTCTCCAATTTTGAGAAACTTAGAAAACACAGTTTGTGATTTCGTTTGATGACCTTGACCTTTGACCTTGCAAATTTTACTTTTTTAGACCTCAGAAGGTCTTTTGTGAATAAATATACCTAAATTTGAATCCAGAAAATTGATTTGAAAAATCAACTTTTTGGACCTTTCGGAGGTCACTGAAGGTCAACCAAAGGTCAAAGGTCAAAAGTAAGGTCAGATTTGGAATCCTGAGAACTTGTAGGTGAGTTTTAAAAAAAAAATTGGTCAATTTGAAGCAAGTTGAAAAAAGACCTTTTTTGACCTTTTTTTGACCTTCAATATCTCAAAATCTAGGCAAAATTTCTCTAGACGGCAAAAGGCTAAGACTAATAGAATACTAATATCTATCTGTATGCAAAAATTCAACCAAAAATATTGAAGTGTAGTGTCAGGATTTGAGAAACTTGAAAAAAACTTAGATTTGACCTAGATTTTGACCTTTGACTTTGACCTAGATAAAAATTCCTTTCCTGCCAAGTTCAGCCCAGGTCCCTAGTAGGACTATGTAGCACCTAGTTGAAAGGTAGATGGAAGTAGGAGAAAAAGAGGGGGGAAGAATAAATAATAATAATAAAGAATAACTAGACTTTTGAAGATTGCAAGCAATCTCACGGAGGCCCTCTTAGGCATTTTTGACAATTTGAAGGTCAACTAAAGGACAAATATCAAATCTGAGGTCAGATGTGAACTCTTGAAAACTTGTAGATGATTTTCAAAAAAAGATTTTGTCAATTTGAAGCGAGTTTAAATTTGACCTTGAAAGATTTCGAAATTGACCTTTTTTCAACTTTTGAACTCTTATATCTCAAACTGGGACAAAATTCAATTAGATAGTCAATTGCTTATATGTGTACAACCCTTAGAGGAATGTGTTTATTTCGACTCAGGATTAAAAATATTGGTTTGTAGTCGAACTTTGCGAAACTTAGATAGCACAGTTTGTGACCTAATTTCATGATCTTGACCTTTGACTTTGAAAAGTTTTACTTTTTCAGACCTCAGTAGGACTTTTGTAATTAAGCTGACCTAAATTTGAATCCAAAGACTCAATTTAAAAAATCAACTTTTCTTACCTTTCGAAGGTCATTGAAGGTCAATTAAAGTTCAAAGGTCAAATCTGAGGTCAGATTTGGACTCCTGGGAACTTGTAGATGAGTTATAAAAAAAATTTGGTCAGATTGAAGCAAGTTGAAAAATGACCTTTTTTGACCGTTTTTTTTATGTCAAATATCTCAAAAACGGTAAAAATTTAATGCTGACATATAGTGAAGAATTTATAGAGAATACCAAAATGTAGTTTCAGTTTAATTCATCGCAAGAAATAACGAAGTATAAGGACAAAGTTGAGAAACTTGAAAAAAATTTCGATTTGACCTAGATCTTGACCTTTGACCTAATTTGATAACCGTGACCCTTGACCTTGAAAATTTTACTATTCTAGAGCTCAGTAGTTTTTTTTTGATTAGGCCAACCCTAAATTTGAGTCCAAAAACTCAATTTGAAAAATCAACTTTTCTGACATTTCAAAGGTCACTGAAGGTCAACTAAAGGTCAAATGTCAAATCTGAGGTTAAAGATGAACTCCTGAGAAGTTGAAGATGATTTTTTAAAAAAAGTTGGATGAATTTGAAGGAAGTTAAAATTTGACCTTATAAACTTTGAAAAAATGACCTTTTTCAGTTTTTGAGCTCTTATATCTCAAAAGTGGGACAAAATTTTAATAAATAGTCAATGACTAATATGTGTAGAACCAATAGAGAAAAGTATATCTTGACTTTCAATTAAAAATATTGATTTGAAGTCTTGAAATATGAGAAACTTAGATAGCACAGTTTGTGACCTAATTTGATGACCTTGACCTTTGACCTTGAAATTTTTACTTTTTGAGACCTCAGTAGGCTTTTTGTAATTAGACTGACCTAAATTTGAATCCAAAGACTCAATTTGAAAAATCAACTTTTCTGACCTTTCGAAGGTCACTGAAGGTCAACTAAAGGTCATAGGTCAAAACTAAGGTCAGATTTGAGTTCCTGAGAACTTGTAGAAGCTTTTTAAAAAAAGGTTTGGTCAATTTAGAGCAAGTTGAAATTTGACCCTCAAAAATTTCGAAATTTGACCTTTTTTCAGTTTTTGAGTTCTAATATCTCAAAACTGGAGCAAAATTTTAATAAATAGTCAATTGCTAATATGTGTAGAGCCTTTAGAGGAATATATATTCTGACTTTCAGTAAAAAAAATTGATTTGTAGTCTCCAATTTTGAGAAACTTAGAAAACACAGTTTGTGATTTCGTTTGATGATCTTGACCTTTGACCTTGCAAATTTTACTTTTTTAGACCTCAAAAGGTCTTTTGTGAATAGATATACCTAAATTTGAATCCAGAAAATCGATTTGAAAAATCAACTTTTTTGACCTTTCGGAGGTCACTGAAGGTCAACCGAAGGTCAAGGGTCAAATCTGAGGTCAGATTTGGACTCCTGGGAACTTGTAGATGATTTTTAAAAAAAAATTTGGTCAGATTGAAGCAAGTTGAAAAATGACCTTTTTTGACCGTTTTTTGACGTCAAATATCTCAAAAACGGTAAAGATTTAATGCTGACATATAGTGAACAATTTGTAGAGAATACTTAAATGTAGTTTCAGTTTAATTCATCGCAAGAAATAATGAAGTATAATGACAAACTTGAGAAACTTGAAAAAAAACTTAGATTTGACCTAGATTTTGACCTTTGACCTTGACCTAGATAAAAAATATTTTCCCCCCTATTCCAGACAAGGTTCCTAGTAGGATCATATAGTAGGTAGTTGAAAGGTAGTTTGAAGTAGGAGAAAAATGCTTTGGAAGAATAATAAATAAAGAATAAAGAATAAAGAATAATAAGAATAAAGAAAAGCTACAAAAGCTATAGGAGGCCCTTTCAGGAGGGCCTCCTAATAATAATAAAGAATAATATCTACAAAATTAATAGGAGGCCCCCCGTTGGGGCCTCCTAATAATAAGAATATCTATAAAATTAATAGGAGGCCCCCCGTTGGGGCCTCCTAATAAATAATTCAAGAAAGAATGATGAGAAAACTTAGCATGAACAAAAATATGACATTTTTACTATTTTTTCAACTATGCCACACTTTTAGCGAGTTCCCTTCCAGGTTTGGTTTATGCATCATTGATGAATAATTATCAATATGGTCATGAAATGAAGCTACTGTGATTTTTTTTAATCAATAGGTTTATTTCATAAATACAAACGAATATACAATGAATAGACAGGGTTGTGGCAAATCGCCTTCTGGCATTTCATGTCCCCATATCAAAAAGAAAAGGGATGGGGTTGCTGCTGCTAATCATAGGGTGGGGCTGGGTAAAAGAAGGGTCTGAGGTATATTTGCAAGTCAAACATTGTCTATGAAAAATATTGAAGTGAGTTGAAATAAAAGTTCTTATTGAAATGAAGTCAAGTTTGAATCACCAAAAAGGAATATGTTGATCTTGTTCTGCTGAGTTTTGTATGTTGATATGTCTAAACCTTTAAGTTCTACTTCATGGATAAATCTTTCACTATTTTGTTTTCTTAAGGGACAGTTGAAAAAGATGTGTTTAAAAGTTTCTGAGAAGCCACCAGTACAATTTTGAGAATCTACATTGGTCCAGTTATTGGCATTTAATTGTGAGTTCAATATTAGGTCAACCCTAGCTCTGTTTAGATATATTTCCTGTTTTGAGATAAGCTATGCTATAGTAAGTGGTTGAAACTGTGCCTGGAAACATTTTACCTTTTAATTTATTTTTAAAGGAGGATAAGGAAGTTAAGGACTTAAGATCTGGCGGGACATTGTTCCATGTTTGCATCATTTTGAAAATTGGTGATCTGTTTGGAAAATTCACAGGTATTAGAGTGTCTCAATGTTCTGACAATTTGATTTTTGAATGGAGTAAATATATCAGCTATATATTGGGGAACTAGACCTTTGCAAACTTTGAACATAATAATTTTGAAATGAAATAATCTGCGTTCTGATAAGGGTGACCAATTCAAAATCTTAAATACTTTGGAACTATTGGAACCTCCCGGTACAATCATTCCTGGTTGATATTGTAGGCTGTTTAGCTTATTGAGGTCAATCTGGGAAGCACAATCATAGAGAGTATCACAGTAGTCAAATAGAGATTGTATTTAGGAATTATATAAACAAAATGTTTTGATTTTAGTTTCCCTTTGAGAGTGTTTTCATTGGATTTAATGCTGTTTGAATTTTGGCAATAGAGTAAGTTATGTGTGCATCTCCATTTAACTTGTGGTCAAATAAGAAGCCTACGTGTTTATGTGTATTAACTTTTAGAATATTTTGATTGTTTAGAATAACACTTTGATAGTTTTCCCCCCTGTTTTTCCCTGATACTTTTTTTCCGGTTTGAAATCAAGTTTCCAAATAGCAGCCCACTCTTCTACTTTTACAAAGTCACTTTGAAGTTGTCTATGTGAGGTCAAATCAGTTGGAGTAGAGGGTACAAAGATTGACGTATCGTCTGCATAAATAAAACACTCTGATGTTAAGTTATCTGGGAGGTCGTTGATATAAACTGAGACTAACATAAAACATTAAAGGTCCAAGAATACTTCCTTGAGGGACACTACAATTAATGTGGTGGAGATGAAGTTGAGATGAAGTTGAGATGAATTCAGGAGATGAGGTATGAGATGAGGTATGAGCAAAGTAGTGAAAGTAGACAACCCGAAAAACAAAACAAAAAAGCTACTGTTATGACCTTCAATAGCTACTCGCTACTACAGTCTCAGCTATAGTGGCTAGCCTTTATGGGTAGAGCATCTGACTCGAGAGTGGAAGGTCCTGGGTTCGAGTCCCATGTGGGGCATTGAATTTTTCGAGGCACACTCTTTTTGGAGTCTAGAATCTGGCTCAGTACACTACAGCTTCCTAACGGAAGTGCCAAAGGGTCGTTACACTGCATTATTAATGAAGATACATTATTATGCAAAGTATTCCCTATTAAACATAATCATATTTCAGTTGCATGTATTTTATTTAAATGGACCTTAATTAACTTCACCTGCCCATGGAACAGACCTATTATAGCTAGGGAAGTGATTACATGGTTTTTGTGACATGGAATGTCTTTTTACCATAAAATACTTCAATAAGATGCTCACAGGCTTTCTATTTCAGTCTAAGTGACACACACATTTTGAAATATGCAAGTGCATACCTTTTTGACATATTTTCTGGTCAATCACTTCTGTTGTTTATCTAGCTGCTTTGTGTCATCACTAACAACAAGTGAATGAACTGCTAAATAAAGCTCAATCAATAGAACATGCATTATACATGCAATTGTCCCAAAAAACAATAAATATCACTGGGACAACTAAACATGATAGATAACAGCAGTGCAAAGGCATAGCAACTTCCATTGAACAGCCGTAGCCACTAGCGTCATTTGAAAGTCTAACATGTTTCTAAAGATTCACACATAAAATTTCAACAAAATGGCTCCACTACTTTTCCAGTTAAAGCAACAGCCTAAAATAGCACATATGAAAATAGCCGTTATTTTCCCAAATGTCACTCTGTAGCCAAAATTGTCAAAGGAAAGTGTAACAATTGTTTTTTCTAGTATGAAATTTCATCGAAATCACTCAATTACTTTTCCAGTTACAGCAAAAAAACTGAAATAACACCCATAAAAATGACTGACTTTTTTCAAAATGGCAGCTCACAAGCCAAACTGTCATAATAAAATGTGATATGCTTCTATGTAGTCGCATTAAATATTTCAACAAAATCACGCCCCCCCCCCCATTCTTTCAAGTTTTAGTGCTAAAGGTAAAATGACACATGTAAAAGTGTCATAACTGACCAAACTGTCACAAGACAGTGTACCAACAAATAGGAACAAAATTGCTCTACTACTTTTCCCATTATAGCAAAAATTGTAAAACAGCATTTTAATTCAGTAACTGCCAGTACGGCAGAATGGACAGACATATGGACAGGCTTGTTCTCTATATCCTCACAGACTTTGTTCATTCGGATAAAAATGCAGAGTTTGAAAACAACACAACAGTTTGAGATATAGGAGAGTAACGGAAATACAAGAATACTACAAGGCAAGACATACTACAGTACAAAACAAAATACTGGTATACAATAAGTCGTCAATTTAGGAAAGGATTGTTATATAGCCTGAGGGTATAACAATGGCACTGGATACTGAGACTTTCTTACTAGTTACAGCTATTTTAGTAGCATCAGGATTGGTGCAATCAACAACTGCAAATGGAGGTAAATTTAGGGATTAATTTGATTCAAGGGAAAAACATGCTTGTTTATGATATATAATTAATATACAGGTTTAGTCAGACATTTTCTTAACCAAAAATAATTGGTTGCATTCCATTTAGCTGAGGGTCTTCAACAATATTGATCAAATTCTATATAGTTGCAGTTTTTGCATTACTGTTCAACATATCACATATTTTATCTGTTTCAGAGTGTGTTACACCCACAGAATTCTTCGAATGGTCGAACAACATTCTTCCAGACTATTATGATGAGGTTGCATCTCACATTATGGAGAAGCCTACAATATCCTTTACCACAAATGACACATATGGACCTGGGGCTCGGATAAAATTCAACCAATTTGATGTTATCTTAGGAAATGTGGATGACCCTTCAATTGAATATGATGGTGTTTTGTTGACATCTTATGGAGACTACAGCTTAGCGGGTTCATTTTTGGGAGTCTTCTTAACAACAGTAGAATGTGACTATTTAAACTTTACAATGCAATTCAGTGATCCTCCAGAGCAAATAACTTATATTAATAATCCAGATTTACACGGGCCTATTACTCTTGCAGCACCTGATTTCAATCGTTCCAGAATTTCTCTCAATATGACAGAAACATTAACACTATTTGAATCTGAAAACCAAGATAAACCACACATTATACTCCCCAACAACTGTGCTGATTACAAGCGCTACTGTTTTCAAATTATGGGTATCGGGTGGATTACACCATTAACTTGTTTCCCATTTGATGAGAGCCTGCCATATTGCAAAGTGATAGGTAATATTGCTTGATTAGTTTCACAAACTAAACTTTATGTGTCTATGAATGATAATAATTTTGTTTTACTTTGATAGAGTTAGCTACATATATAAACCAGTTGATGGTGAGTGGATTATGAGTTCATTTCAGTTAAGTGTCTAACAAAAGATAAAGATAAAAAAAGATAAAAAAAAATATAAAGATGAGTTCAGGGTTATCTACAATTTGTTTTACTCACATGTACATCTTTATTGCAGTCATCTTTGCCATTTTTTGTAAAAAAAACAAGTGTTTTGATTTTCCATAGACATGCATACACATAATCTGAATGCATACATGTACTTTACCTTTTCCATGAAAAACCTTAAAATGATCCAAATATAGCCTTGCCCAAGTCGGTCTCTTTTACTTATCTTGATTTCTATCATGGTAATAATTCAAAATAAGATAAGTAAAAAATACCGCCTTGGGCAAGGCTAATCCAAATATTGAGGAAAAATAAAAATGACTTAATTCTCTTACCACACCAAGGTCATTCAAAACATATATTTGTACTACTTATTTTTGTTCCATAACTTCCAGCTCCAGTTCAAATAACTGACATGCATCATTATCGCTTTGTTCCAAACAACAAGATACTGGATCGGCCCTCTATTGAACATGTTAATGGTGCACCAGACACAAACAGTTTCTTGCTAAAACCTCAAGAATGTGAAACTGGCATCATGAAGACATTCAACGATGTCTTCGTTGTGGACATTGATTCAAATCAAACATCCGGAAACATAAAAGTCAAGTAAGTATCAAATTATGGAACAGATAAATCCAAAACAGCCTGGCTTATTCAGTTCTTGAATCATGAATGAAGAATGAGACTTTTGAGTTTATCAATTCATTAACATTTAAGTCAATGAGAAAGCCAACAACAGAGATGAGATGGCTGTCAACATCCTCTGCACATGACAATTTCCTACTCACACTCTGATAATTATTCAACCTGTTAAAGCTTCAAAGCACTTGATCAAAGACACTTTTCTGTATGTACATATTGGTGTGGCCCTGAGTTGCTCTTAAACGTGAATTTAGTATACTGTTTACTGATCAGTCCTAGTAAGAGGGAAATGAGTTCAGGGTACATTTGGTATATTTACACCAATTTTAATCCTTTTTCAGGGTGGATGGAGTGAACATGCAATGTGAAGAATGGGCCAGAGAATCGTTCCGTTCATTAGTTGTGAAGATACACACCAACAATGCTCAGGTCCCAAGGCACAGCTATCTAGGAGGTTTCAGGTTGTGTGATGCTGAATTCTCTAATGCAACCGAAACAAAATGTGAATTTTCTTGCCCGTGTGAAGGAAATATATGCAATCCTGTATTTGTGGATTTCCTCTCTATGGCAATCCCCTCCGTTTCAAGTATATGTGAGGTAACAGTTATAGGCAATTAACATACAATTCTCAGTTCTACTTGTAACTGTAATTTTGTACATGTCCCGGGTACATGTCAAGTTTCAAAAGTACCAAAACGTATAAAAGAATGTAACTTGCAGAACATAGAGAACCCTGCAGAGGACATGAATGTGATGTAAATAACACAATCAAAAACAATAACAAAGATAGACTTGTACCAAGACAAAGACATTACCACCTAACTTTATTAAGAAGAGATGAATACATGGCCATTTTAATTTAATAACTACTGTATTTATCCAGATATAGACCTGGTAGAGGGTTGGGTAACTTACATATGATATGATTGATCTTCTTATTATCAAGACTACTTTATTATCCATCATGGCTGCGGCCTAGTTATTAAAAGAGATATAGGCATGACTGACTGAACTTATTCTCCAGTACACAGGTAAGACTGGCCAAAGGATACCATAATTCAAGTCATAATGGTAACATATATATATTATAGACAAAGTGAATTTAGAAATGTTTTGAACCCTTCTCATATGAGCCACCATGTATATAGACATAGTGAATTTAGAAATATTTTGAACCCTTCTCATATGAGCCACCCTGTATATAGACTTAGTGAATTTAGAAATGTTTTGAACCCTTCTCATATGAGCCACCCTGTATATAGACTTAGTGAATTTAGAAATGTTTTGAACCCTTCTCATATGAGCAACCCTGTATATAGACTTAGCGAATTTAGAAATGTTTTGAACCTTTCTCATATGAGCCACCCTGTATATAGACTTAGCGAATTTAGAAATGTTTTGAACCCTTCTCATATGAGCCACCCTGTATATAGACTTAGTGAATTTAGAAATGTTTTGAACCCTTCTCATATGAGCAACCCTGTTTATAGACAAAGTGAATTTAGAAATGTTTTGAACCCTTCTCATATGAGCCACCCTGTATAGACATAGTGAATTTAGAAATATTTTGAACCCTTCTCATATGAGCCACCCTGTATATAGATTTAGTGAATTTAGAAATGTTTTGAACCCTTCTCATATGAGCAACCCTGTTTATAGACAAAGTGAATTTAGAAATGTTTTGAACCCTTCTCATATGAGCCACCCTGTATATAGACATAGTGAATTTAGAAATATTTTGAACCCTTCTCATATGAGCCACCCTGTATATAGACATAGTGAATTTAGAAATATTTTGAACCCTTCTCATATGAGCCACCCTGTATATAGACTTAGTGAATTTAGAAATGTTTTGAACCCTTCTCATATGAGCCACCCTGTATATAGACATAGTGAATTTAGAAATATTTTGAACCCTTCTCATATGAGCCACCCTGTATATAGACTTAGTGAATTTAGAAATGTTTTGAACCCTTCTCATATGAGCAACCCTGTATATAGACTTAGCGAATTTAGAAATGTTTTGAACCCTTCTCATATGAGCCACCCTGTATATAGATTTAGTGAATTTAGAAATGTTTTGAACCCTTCTCATATGAGCCACCCTGTATATAGACTTCGTGAATTTAGAAATGTTTTGAACCCTTCTCATATGAGCCACCCTGTATATAGACTTAGTGAATTTAGAAATGTTTTGAACCCTTCTCATATGAGCCACCCTGTATATAGATTTAGTGAATTTAGAAATGTTTTGAACCCTTCTCATATGAGCCACCCTGTATATAGACTTCGTGAATTTAGAAATGTTTTGAAACCTTCTCATGTGAGCAACCCTGTATATAGACTTAGTGAATTTAGAAATGTTTTGAACCCTTCTCATATGAGCCACCCTGTATATAGACTTAGTGAATTTAGAAATGTTTTGAACCCTTCTCATATGAGCCACCCTGTATATAGACTTAGTGAATTTAGAAATGTTTTGAACCCTTCTCATATGAGCCACCCTGTATATAGACTTAGTGAATTTAGAAATGTTTTGAAACCTTCTCATGTGAGCAACCCTGTATATAGACTTAGTGAATTTAGAAATGTTTTGAACCCTTCTCATATGAGCCACCCTGTATATAGACTTAGTGAATTTAGAAATGTTTTGAACCCTTCTCATATGAGCCACCCTGTATATAGACTTGGTGAATTTAGAAATGTTTTGAACCCTTCTCATATGAGCCACCCTGTATATAGACTTAGTGAATTTAGAAATGTTTTGAACCCTTCTCATATGAGCCACCCTGTATATAGACTTAGTGAATTTAGAAATGTTTTGAAACCTTCTCATGTGACCAACCCTGTATATAGACATAGTCAAGTGGAAATACTTACAACAATATCATTCAGGGCCATGGGGTGTCTGAATATTTGCAATAGGATCATACTTCAAATCCCGTAGGCACTGCATTGGCCGGAACAGTCGCTCATGAGGTGGGAAATTATCCCAGGATATCCACTCCCATCCTGAAAAAACAAGATAACTTTGCCACATTGTCAAATAAAAGTTTAAACTGAACCATCTTCGCACGCTCAGTCTTCACTGCATTCATCGACCGACTGGGAGCCGGGTGAACGAAGATGGCTAAGAACTGTGTTGAACTGTGGTTTCATTCCTTAAAGTATGCACTTAACATCAACAATCAGATTCATTGCATATTAATTGTTCTGACTAATGTTATCATGTTATGATACTTCATATCAATAGTAGTAATAACACCTGACAAAAATTACACAAAATTTGTTGTTCAAATTAAAAATGTATGATTATTATAAATTGATTGTCTTAAAAATAAAATAAAATGTGTATTTTAAGTTTTATCTATTTTTTTTTTGGGGGGGGGGTTATTTTGGGTGGTTAGTGTACAGTTCATACATACCAACCTTCACATTTTTCTGGCTCCAAATTTTCTGGTTCCTTCCTGAAGCTTTCATCCAACTCCCCTTGTATATACAATGTCACATAATGGTAGTTTTTCTCCAATTCAGTTGCATTAACAACCTAGAATGAATGGTAATACACTCTTAAAGTATATATCTGGTAGATTTCCATAAGCCTACAGTATATGTGTACATATTTACCTCTTGTGCTGCATTAGTACTGCTTTTAGATTTCTGGATTTTATTACCCCCACCCTATCTTTTGAAGTTTAACTGATGTTAATGATATTACTAAATACAACCCCAAATTTTTATTTACAATAAAACCTTTAGCTTATTAACATGTAAGTGACATCAACATATTTTACTAAAATTTAGAAATAAATGGGTCATTCCATCATTTAGTGATTTACCTGAACAAATCTTGGATTAGATAATTTTATGTTGCACTCTTCTACAAGTTCCCTTTGTGCACATTCTACCCAATCTTCACTGAAATATGGAGAACATGTGTATGCAGTTCTAAAAGTAGTCTGTAACAACTAACAAAGGTCTCATAGCTTTTCTATAAGGGATGGGACAGTTACCCTAACTGTAGATCCCGTTCCGCAGTATTTGGGTATGGTATAGCAGAACCATGAACACAAGGAAGCACTTTCGGAACAGGACACAGGTCACATTTAATAGGGGTTAACGATAATAAACTAGGGATGAAAATGAATCTGCAGACTGTGTATGATATTATTTTTCAGTTGGGCTATTTTCTAAAAACCCCATTTGGCGATCATTTGCCAAAGGAACATTATTTGTATGAGAATTAGTATACTGTTAGACTACCACTTTTGAAGATAAACAACAGTTCAGTATGTTAAGCATACCTGTATTCTAGATGTCCTCCTGGTGGAGCATACAATCCCAAGCCCATTTTGTTTTTCCTCACCCCCATTAGTACACACCCTGGGTGATGTATGGGGTCAGTCACTATCGCCCCTACCCCCACACCTGGACGGTGAGAGTTACTGTCATTGTGATTGTTAATACCTGAGGTAATATTTTCTGGAGAAATGTTGCATGATTTCTTTGACTTCAGATATCTGTTAATATCTTTGAACATTGCTCTATATAAAGTTGCTTCTGAAGAGCGATCCTTATTTATATTAGCATCAACACTATTTGTTTCTCCTTCATTCTGAGTTTTCACTTTCTTGGGAGAAGGTTCACCAGATGAGATAATATCTGAATCCTCTCCACACTCAGCATTTGTTTTTCCAGGCTCCATTTTTAGTTCCAAAAATTCATCCATGGGAATGTCAAAAGGATTGAAGCCTAGTTTTAGAAGTTGGTTAATGGGCTCAAATAACTTATCAGGTTTTGGTAAGTCACTCCATGCTGTCCACATCCAGCCTTATAAAATAAAATAAAACCAGTGATTTAAAGAGGTAAAGCATATTAATTAAAAAATATCAGGGCTAACATCCAGCCTTATAAAATAAAAACCAATGATTTAAAGTGGTACAGAAACAGCACCTTAATTGAAAAACATCAGGGCTAACATTCATTTTATGACAAGTTATTTAACATTTATGCTTAAACCCCACCTCCTTTGTTTTTGAACCTTTGTTCACATTTACTCAGAACATTTTTAACACCAACATGGTATTGAGTTGTTTTCTATCATGAAATTCGACATCCTCCCATAATAAATGGAAAACATGTCACAGACCCCAGACACAAATATGGTACAAAATATCTGTATATACCTGTACATTTATCTGGTTCTAAGTTCATTGGTTCACCCACTGTGTAGCCTACTACTGTGATTTCTATGTAATGTGACTTTGAAGCTTGGTCTACTACATTGGATACTGTTGCTATTGCAGCTGATACTAGAGAAAGACCAGTTTCCTCAAGTGTTTCTCTGCAAGCACACTCTAACCATTCCTCACTAAAAAATACATTTTCTTGCATTGAAATGACTTCATAAAGTGCTTATACACATACAGATTAAAGAAATCAATGAAATTACATTTACTTCTGTTTTGAGATGACATCTAATTGCAGCTAAATTGAAATTCTTGTCATAATGTGAATGCATACATACATTCATATGCCTTTTCTGAATCTTAAAAGACTTGCTTAAAGTGTGAAAATTCATACTGTTAGTCAGTTAAGTTAGTCAGAAAAATATTTTTGCAATTAATAAACAGTCTGATAGAAATTAATACAGACTGAATATATTCCAAAATTATTGGTACATATCTCTGGGAAGCATTTCACCCTTAAAACATACCCTGCACAATACAACTTTGAAAATGCTCTGTATGAATGAATGTTCCTTGGTGTTATGTCCCTTGAATGGTGAGGGAGGGGGCATTAGACACAGTTTCTTTCACATTGGATTATGGTTTTGGATAGTTGGGGTTTGTTTTCCTTATGACTGATGTATACTTGCTGGGTTCTGTAACAATTTTTGTTCCTTTCCCTTCGGCACTTGTGCGTACATATCTATCCAATTTTTAAAAGAAATCTTCTTAAAAAAGACTGTTTTTACCAATGTTTTCCCAACAGTTTTAAATCCCTAAAAAGTTATTTTCTTGTTTTCAATATTTATTGAGTATAAGATGGTTGGTGATTTTGCAACATGCCATAGTTGATCACTTAGTAAAATGATCTACTTAAAGAATCAAACATTTGTTTTACTTACCCAAATTCTAAATGGCCACCTGGTAGTCCATATTTTGTTGTCCCAAACACATCACCTTTCCTTTGCCCTAACAGGATGCACCCTGGATGTTTCTCACTCAACACATATATACCTGAAATGACAATATTGTATCATAATGATCTACCAAATCATTTTTAATAGCTTATCTTCTGAACAAAACATCACTTAATTGAAGCATTTAGAGAATTTCCAAAGTTGATACTTTATTTTTACATTCATATATTCATTTTTCCATAATGCCTAAGGAAAATTGAATACAACCTGGCATCGTCATGTATGTATAGAACTCTATCTTGGACCCCTATTTTCAAACAATACGTATGCTATAAAACTTGACAGAGACAAACTTACCAATTCCAACTTTAGGACGGCTAAGCTTCTCCATGTCCACACTGGAATAGAAAGGGGGTATTTACAATTAGAGAGGTTAAGCAACAAATTACAATTTAAACCGCAAACGGGAATGCTCGCACAGGTTTTTACAGGATGTGACATATCATATTCTACTTGTTTCCTGGTTCATAGAAATGTAGAATTGCAAAGTCTAAGTAGGTGGTTCTATAAAGAGCCACAATCACAAAAAGCGCAGAAATAAATTGCATACAAAAAAATTGGGAGTACAGTTATTTATTTCAATATGCAGTATATAGTAAACCTAACGCCTCTGGTAATTTTGGGGAAAATAGCTTCCTGGTACATATAGGTGATACTTGTTTTTTATCATTTTTTCATTTTTGTTTCCTCCCCAACTCATTTCTTGATGATTGAATGTAAGTATAGTCTAAAGCAACATAAGATCTATTATAGAACAGCCTTTGATCGCCAACAATAAGCCACAAGAGAATTGTAATGGCTGAAACTGAAATACTGAATTCAGATGCTTACTTTATGTATCCAAATGCTTCCTACAACTCCATCCTCCATTTGCAAAAGTCTCTTTACCCTTGAGTGGATATTTTCTAGCGAGAAATCAAAATGGCGGTATTGTCGTTAATTCACTACACAGAGACAAACTTACCAATTTTAGGATGGCTAAGCTCCTCCATGTCTACACTAGAAAAGGAAGGGCACATTTACTTTTAGAGAGGTAGCATCCGGTGAATTTTGAATAAACTTAAAAAATGGCTGAACTTCCAGCATATCTCATTCGAAAATCACCATAGATTTCAAATGCTATACTTCGCAATTTCTGTCAAAATGGCCATTTTGATTTTGAAGTTTAACGCGAATTGCGAATATGTGATTGTCACATATTTTGTCTTGTTTTAGCTCTTCCCCCTCTCCCCCCTTGACTGAATCTTTGAAGGTGACTGAAGCGAGCCCGCTTGGAATTGGAGGTATTCAAAATGTGGATATAAGCAATAAAATTTGAACCAAGGTGTCCAAAAGTTGGACCATAGTGTTCTAATTTGGACCAAGGTGTTCACAATTTGAAGGAAGGTGTTCAACATTTGTAAATCACTCATTTTAGGTGTACCCAGGTTGACAGGCCTGATGTAGGGAACAATTGGAGATATAGAATAAGCAGCTGAATTCAGTATTTCAGTTTCAGCCATCACAATTCTCAAGCGGCTTATTGTTGGTGATCAAAGAAACAGTCCTTTAGTCCAGCCTTTGGAAAAGGTAAGTTTTATCTATATTGTAAAAATTATGACTAGGTGTCATGCAGGAAGCTATCAAGAAATGAGTTGTGGAAAAAACAAAAATAAAAATATATGTCACACCAGAGAATCCAAACCCTATATCTTGCGATCTTGGTACTCTAATACTGCCTATGAATTCGAAGAAACCCTTGATTGCCATCTATATGCACAGATAAGTAGAATTCCCATTCCATTTCTTAATGTCTATTGTGCATGCACCTCGTGATGTGATTGGTTCACTCACAAAATTAAGGCAGAACATACCGCCTGCTAATTTTGCAATCCAGACTTGAGTCAACGTTTCTTTCGAAACTTACTGACATATAATTTTACCAGGATTGGAAACAAGTAGGCAGCGCTTTGGCAGAAGGTCACGTGATCCCCTCTTCATGAAGAGGCATTATTGGTTAACTCTTGGAAAACTTGTGCTTGTGATTGATCACGTGATCATATCGTGCTATTTGATTGGTCATCGTATGGACTGATGTACATAATTCTGAAAACGTCATCCATTGACAAAACTCTGACTGGATCTTACCAGTCAAAAAGAAACAGTCAAATGAGGCTAATAGATACAATTACAGTTATAATTTCGAGTGATAGGATACTATAAGACTCTTGTATACATGTAGCTTTGCAAGTTCAAGTCACCAAGATGAGCTAATTAGGCGAGAATTGGTAAATAAAACAGGGTAACTTTTTTTAGAATTCCTGTTTCCAATCCTTGTAAAATTGTACATCCTCCGATCACAGGGCTTCAAAATCCAGAATATATTCTTTCTTTTTACCCCCTGCGATAAGCAGTTAGCATTTTCCCGATTAAGAACTCGCAATCTGATTGGCTGTCGCAACATTGCGACAGAAATCATGTATAAGGCATTGCGCATAATTAGATCATGTGATTCAGTTTAATCGGGCGCTCCCAAATTGGTTATTGCAGGGGTAAGAAGGAGGTACGGATTCTGGATACCTGCTTAGGAGGATGAAAATTGTATGGCAGTAAGTTTTGAAAGAAACGTTGACTCAAGTCTGTGTTTGCAATGGTGTTAGATTTACAGCATTATCTCGCTAGAATAACATGACATCCACATTTGGAAAATCGTAACTTAGATTGAATGGTTTTATCCCGAAATTACTTTCCATGATCTATTGATCCTTGCATGCTGTTTTGGTCATAGGCCAAGGGAAAAGTAATAGTAAGCTGTATAAGAAGAGACAGGTCCACAAGTAAGATTGAAATTTTTTCAATTTTTTTTAGTCTTGGCACTAGTTCTCCTTACTGGTATCAAATTGTATTACCAAATCTCTCCAAAATCTTCTTCAAAGTGTTTTTCAAACTTATATCATTGTTTTTTTCAAATCTTTATCTAAAAACTGCATATAATACTGCATATAAAACAACAACTATGGATATCTGCAATTGCCTGGCAAGCTGAAACTGATTGTCACTGCTGGAGGTCAGGGAGGTCAGCATTGACCAATCAGATCACTTGTTTACTAATGAACTTGCCAAGCAATTGCAGGTTTTCAGAAATTCTCTCTTTTAGACAGCATTATTCACTCTATATCATCTGACTGAGTTTCAATCTTAGGTAAGAGCTACAAACTATCAATTTTCTATCAACTCCCCATGGCTTTTTGGAAATAATACACTAAATATTGTTGAAATCTCCATCTTAACAAGTGGTCTAAGTCAGAGTTGTTCACCTGTCTCTTCTATATAGCCTACGGCTTACTATTACTTTACCCTTGGCCTATGGTTTTGGTGCAATATCTGTTGGTATTACAGTAGTCATATAAATCTGACCCTCGTATGATGTTATTTGTTGTTATTTTTTCTGATTTGGATATTTATTTTTTCTTATTTTCTTGCATACGAGGGTCATACACACTAGCGCTTATATATTGCGGGAATTGCTTTCCTGGCATGTCTACCCAACCAAATTCACACAAATGATAAATTAATTTCTTTGCTTCAACTATAAAGTATTTAATCTTACCTAAGGCACGTAAAACGCTTGGTAATTGAAGAAATATAAGCACGCTGCTAAATTTTAAAATTTTCTCATTTTGCCTACCAAGGTCACTTCCGGGTTAATCTGATAGTCTAGATATAAAACTATATCAAACGAAATCATAAGTTTTTGTTACACGCAGATTCAGTTGAAAGGGAAGCAGTGTTGTTAAGGTTCAGCTGGAAAGTAACATTTTGGTAAAAAATTGCTATACCTGCACATGTTATTTTCTGGTACAAAATTAAGTATGAAGGCATGTGTGTATTTCCTTGCTTTTTTCAGGAAAGTATCATTACACTGTCTACTTTTAGTAAACCTGGAAACAGGTCAATGGTAGCACCTGTGTTGTCCGGAAACTTTGAAAGAAAATTTGGAAAAAAAGAAAGTGTGAAATATCAGAATTTCCTGGAGTTCCCATTGAACTCCTACTAGATATTCTTAAAGAAGACAATGTAATGATACTTTCCTGAATAAAGCAAGGAAATTGACACATGCCTTCATACTTTATTTTGTACCAGAAAATAACATGTGCTGGTATAGCAATTTTTTACCAAAATGTTACTTTCCAGCTGTACCTTAAGAAGGGAAGTTATTTGGAAAAGTTATTGTGTCAAAATGAGAAAAGTAATAAGTAGCAGAGAACGGCTTTGGAATCGATCTCTGTGTAATAAATAATTATGATTCCGTTTCGATACATGTTATACATTTAGACTACCGGAAACAACATTCAGCAACATGGCGGGCGATAATGAAAATATAATTCAGTTGATTATATTTCGTCAATTATCAAGCGTTTTACATGTCTAAGGTAAGATTTAACACTTTGATGTTGGAGCTAAATAATTACGAAATAATTTGTGTGACTTTCAAGGAGGATTGGCTCCCAGAGTGCACCACCGATATTCTGTCCCATATATGGGATTATGGGTATGTCGTAATACAAAATTCGACGCCATTTTGTTCACTTCAACATTTAAATCGTGAATTTTGGTCTTATTTCCAAACGAAAAATTCCAAAACTCACAAGAAATGATCGAGATATTGGTTCAAATCTTTTGAACTGTTTATTTTGAATTTATAGTCGGTTTTAATTTCAGAAAATAACGACATTTCGACGTTTTCATTGTTGGAAAATATCGAGTTTCGATCCTGGGAGCCAATCCTCCTTGTGTGACTTTGGTTAGCATGGTAACTATGGTTACCAAGACAGGCCAGAAAAGCGTTTACCGCAATTTGTTCCATATAATATCTACGACCGTGTATGCAAAGAAAATGATAAAAAATAAATATCCAAATAAGAACAAGGAATATCGAAGAACAGCATACAACGGTCGGATTTATATGACTAGTATTACAGTGGGCGATAATATGTGATTAACACATGTGTCTGCTGAATACAGATACATACGAATAGTGTTTTGATAAAAAATACTCAGGGACAAGCAAGTATTATATACAATTTATAAAACATGACATTGTGTCAAATATTAAACACTGTATTAGTGTATTTAGTGATTTACCTTTCATTCAGCTTTTGTTTTTAAAATTTGAAAGTAGGGAGTCGGGGCAATCTGCGCGAGGTTCGGTTTTTACTTGGTTCGGTTTTTCTTTAAGGGAAGTACGTCACTCCCATGATTCAAAGTGCTTTGCTGTCATCGGTTCGGTTTAAGTTTGTACAACAAACGTCTACAAATCCGGGGCAGGTTGATAATTTGTCATTACATTTGTTTTTGGTGTATTTTTGACACGAAACAAAAAGATCCCCGCAAATATGGTGTATTATGGGTAAGGACTGCTGTGAAATAATGAACGTAAGTGACATCTATCTGAAATTAAATGTTCTTATTAAGTTACTCATTGCGCATGCGTCATAATAATTTGAACCAATTAAATTGCTGGCTTTAATACGCATGCGCCAAAAACCGAATCAAAAAATGGAATCTCGCGCAGATTGCCTCCAAGGAGGATTGGCTCCCAGAATGCAACACCGATATTCTGCAAAACAATCACCTAGCGATAGCTTTGTTGGAGAGTATCGGGTCATTCTCCATGCAGTCGTACAAATTATAAAGACACGAATAGCAAATGACGCATGCGTGGAGATTAAAGAATATCGAGTTGGAACCCTGGCTTCCAATCCTCCTTGGATTGCCTCTAGTGAAAGTAGGTCAGATTTGGTAGCTACATTAGGATGGAATTATTTGAATCTCCTTTCTTGTAATATTGCAGGTTTGTTTGAAACTATTGCTGATATTTCTATAATATTATCATATATGTATATCTTAATGTGAGTTATTTTTAAGTGATCAAAGGTGTAAGACTAAACCTAAAATGAGCGTAGCTTTTATCAAAATATGAAATTAAATCGTGAATACCCTAATACCGTCTCTGTTCCGGTAAAATATTTGTTTTTACTTGCCTGCAAAACCTGAAAACAGTTCAAATAGTGAAGGTATTCTTGCCCAGATTCATTCAGCAACTTTATTACAGTGAAGAGACACTCTGCAACGTTTTGATCTACCCATTTACCAGGTAAGACTAGGACTACACTAGACTTCTCAAGTTGGATTACATCTAGAGTCCATTTCACTGCTTCATTTCGTCAGTAGAACGGCAAAAATAAGAAATTGGGAGACCATTGTGCAATAATATATGGAAAAGTATATTCATAATGTACATGGATGGCATTTGTATATCTTGGATTGCTTCTAGTTTGGCTTATAGAGTGTGTTGCCTCTTATATTTGGATGTTTCTCTGCCATGTTATTTTTCAATAAGATTAACATGGCTGAAATTCTTCAAATTACAAGACGGCATAGGCTTATTGCACAAAAAACTAAAAAATCTGAAATATACAAATGTCATTCATGTACATTATGAATATAATTTTCCATATATCATTGCACAATGGTCTCCCAATTTCTTATTTTTGCCGTTCTACTGACGAAATGAAGCAGTGAAATGGACTTTAGCCTATTTTTCGAATTCATGGGAAGTCACCCCTCTCCTCTTACAAGCTGTAGTAATTCATGTAAGTTTATACACAGAAGTTACCCCTCTCTTATATTCTCTACAGTGAATATAGAATATAAAGAGGGGGGAACTTACGTTATGCTAGAACTAGAAACTTGGAAAGTTAAAGTGCAAAGTAGAATTTTGACTGAAATCAAGTTGTTTACAATAGCAACGCCCACCTTTCAACTTCAAGTAAACTGGAAGACTTTAATAAACCTCAACCATTAAAAGTTGTCACAATGAGCTAAATTCTAAGTTTTATGTCTCAAACTCTCCCAAACAATTTTTGGTTTTAGAGACCCAATAACAGTTTCCGCGCTTTTTCCTAACTTGCAATGTGCCCCCACCCCTTGTTAGCCTCTGGATCCGCCAGTGGTATTCACATACATGTGGTCGTATCAAAGCCTGATGTAAAAAGACTCGAGGTGGAGTGATTTCTCACATTGTTCTTTCATTATCGGTCATTCTTTCAATGCCGTCTCTGTATTCTAGCCTTACATCAGATGTGCAGCTACTTATCACCTAGAGCAGACATTTTTAAAGCACATATAGCGTTCCCAATGTGGTCGTCTCTCGCGAGGGGCAGCTTATTGTCACGATCGTGTGTTTTCAGATGCTTAACAGAATGGAATGGTCTTAATGCCGACACTAGAAATTCTCAATCATTGACCTCCTTTAAAAGGCTTTTGAAATTGACGCATGGCAACTCATTGATTACAACCATGGATATGGAAATTAAAAGGAGTCAAGAGATACCATTAAACAGAATCAGATGTGATTTATTCCTTCGCTCCCAGTTTCATGCTCACAACTTTACTACTGTGGATTCGCCTGTTTGTTTATGTGGCGTTGAATCTGAAACGTTGAGACATTTTTTCTTCAGATGTAACCTTACAAAGCCAACCATGAAAACTTTTTCGGTGAAGTCCAGCATAATTTCCCAGAAATTAATTTTAAAGTTATGCCCCAACTTGAAATAATACATACCCTGCTCTATGGTTGCGACATGTTGAGCAAAGCAAAAAACATAGAATTGATAAAACTATTCGCATCTCACCTCGAAACCATTAGTAATCAAAGATAGAATACTATACGGCCTATTGAACAGCCCCTTTTTAGTCACACACATACACATGAAGTGTTTTTATTTTGTATCTTTGATCTATTTATATTATTTATATCATATGTCATTTCAATATATATAAACCCTTATAAAAAATTCAACCTTGAAAGTCCGAATTTAAACCGTTGCACAATCATTGTACAATCATTGATCCGATCATTTATGCAACCATGCCAACCGTTACGATGCAACCATTACAATTTTGGTTGTAAACTCATTGAAATGTTTCAATCATATGTAACCATTGTAAACGCTTGACAATTTTGGTTGCATTTCTTGCAACCATTTCAATCGAATGCAACCCTTTAAAACTATGGCAATTTTATCTCAATACAACATAAAATAATTATCTTGCTCTTTAAAAAATATATTTCAAATGTGTGTATTTCATGCATACTACATGTCAGAATTTAAATGGTTTGATCAAAAAGATATTTAAAGTATTGAAATAGTTAAGTAAACTTGTCTTGTGAATGAAAATATATTGAACCAATTTTCATCTTACTTTGAAGGATGGTGATTGTCTAACTCACATGTATATTATCTAGATAACAAAAATGCTTAGGCATAGCAAATCCCCCTCGCTGTCATGACTATCATTTTTACAAAATCACTTCACTACTTTTTAAGTTATTGCAAAATCATTTGAAAATATTTTGATTGGGTCAAGTCTTGGATTTTACACTTCACCTTGCAATCATCGCAATTATAAAGGAAGGAAGATGTGTCTGGAAGGAAGAAATCCTTCAATGGGAAAATTATCTGTTTTGATTTGATATTTTTGATTTGATAGAGAAAATGCAATCAGACATTGCAGGATGTGCTTTAAATAATTAAGTCAATAAGCATAACTTAAAAAACTCTGATTACAGTTAGACTCAGTCTATCTAGTTTGATTAGAGTCTGCTTTGAAGGATGTGTCTAAAGAAACTTTATTAATCCATTCATCCATAAACAAAACAAAAATAATTCGGCAAGGCAAAACAAACCTTATTATATCAGTTTGATAAGAATCTGCTATAAAGGAAGCACCCTATGTAATTAAAATTATTCCATACACAGAACTTGATAAATAATTTGCCAAAGAAAATTTCCCATATTTTCCTCCAGATTTTTCCAAGTTTAGAGTTTTGAAAAATAAGCCCTGTTTTTGGTTTATATTTTTTTATCATCAACACATATTATTTAAACTGAAAACACTTTTCAGTACAAATGCTCTGCCCTAGTGAATAAAGTAAAACCATGGACTTTCAATCTATTGAATGCCTATGGTAAAACAAACTAAATAAAAATGAAATAAAAAATTCTGAAAATATTATTTGCAGTTTCATATACTTGCTATTTGAGATTTCTCAGCACTTATTGAAGTAATTGAATAAAGAAATAAACCCTCAAAAATCTGAAAACACTTTTTAAATTTTAACTCCCCCCCCCTCTGCATGAAATAGATAATTAAAATAAATATATAGTATAACACAAGATGAAAATAGATATAACAGAAACTAGGACTATGAACCCTTTTTCTGGTCAAGCATTTTAATTAGCCGTTCAACTGTTTTAATTAGCTGTTCAACCGTTTTAATTAGCTGTTCAACCGTTTTAATTGGCTGTTCAAGCATCTTGATTTTCTTAAACCCATGAGAATATCAATATGTAGTAGGTATTGATGTGTTGAGCATTGTTATAAAAGATATTTGCCAAGAAAGAACATGGTAATTAAATCTGTTGTGAATAATGTGTTTCACACATAATATACAGTCAATATCAAAATAGTCCTCTTGTTTGTATTTTTTAAATTTTAGTGAGTCATACTCTTGATATTTGGTGTTAACTACACATGGATACATTTGAAGACCCATTTTGCTGGGGGGGGGGCTGACTACTGGCCTGTTCATTGTATACTTTTGTGGGGGTCCTGAGCTAAACCCTCCGATATCAATATGTTCCCAAACCAATCTATTTGTATATCATGGGTATAGCAATAATCCATCTACCTTGACAAAATGTTACTGAAATTATTAATTCAGATGTTTTCCATTGAAACTGTGAAAATTAAGTCTTTGGTGCCTGAATGCATTATTACTATAAAAACATTTTCACTAAATAAAGCAATCAACTTGTGATTACATGTCTGTTTTATTTTGTACATCATATCCTGCCTCTTTTGATCATACATGTATATCAGTCTAATCATGAACAAAAACAATGGTGTCTCATCTTGTGATTTTGTTAAGTTTAAAGGAAATCTTCAGATTTTCCTTGGTCAATTTCTTAACTAAATTGGAATTTTGCTCAATTCTTTTCATAATTAACATTAAAGATACATTATTTTGGCAATATCAGATAACAGGAAATAAACACTAGATATGGTACTTTTAATTGTGTGAATAATGTAAATGACAGAGAACATAAATTATCATATGCCATTGAGTGGAAAACTAGTCTGGTATCGCATTCCTAAATCCGTACTGGAGAAAGAAACATATGAACAGTAATTTAGTAATTTACTATAATAAACATGCATGTATGCTTGCAGAGAAAATATCCTAATATACTGTTGTTGAATAGAGGTAGATTCAAATCCTTACTTAAAGATAATTTTAATTCAAGTAAAATGATTACTTTTTTTGAAACGATACCAATTCAGGATGGTTGCAGGGCTTGAACTATGTAATCACTGAACAAAACGTATTGCAACCATTTACATTTCAATGTAAAATGGTTGCAGTTTACAATGGTTGCAAATTACAATGATTGTATAGAAATGGTTGCGCAGTCATTGAAAAAGAGTTGACTTTGTTTGGTTGAACGCAATGGTTGCACAATGATTGCTTATCACCGTACAATGGTTTTTCCTTTGATCTTAGTAGTTGAAACAATCAGTATTCAATGATTGATGGAAACGGTTTAAATTCAGACTTTCAAGGTTGAATTTTTTATAAGGGAAGACATGGCTAGTAATGCCAGTATGGCACAGCCATTGAAATAAATTTATAAATAAAAAAAAAACTGTCTATGTAAAGTTGAGTTTAAAATAGGTAATCTTATTCAAATTGTATTTTTCACTAACTGTCCAGGACTGATCTTGTAGACAATGCCACCAAAACGTAAAGCTGGAGGGACCAAGGCAAAAGCTGGAGGAAAGAAGGTCAAAGTTGATACCAAAGCAGGAGGAGAGCCCACTGTACGTGATGCAATAGCTGCGCTGAAAAAAGCTGGCTCTGGAAAGAAGGTGTTTGCTGTTGACAAATTGTGTCCCATATCAGCAAATTCTGATGTAAGTACCATATATGTGATATGCACTTTTCACCAACTACATAACCAACTACATATATTGTGTGGATTTTAGATATTTTTGGTCAGTTGATTCTGAGGCTTAAAGTACAGTACAATGCACATTTAATCAAAAATAAATGTTTGAGGGCAATTTTGATAAAACATTTCCTATTCCCTAATTATTCAATGCTGTTTTCATTGTTGTCATTAGGTCCATGAGGATTATGACTGTATGTTAAACCAAACTAACATTGGACACAACAACAACAAGTACTACATCATCCAGGTCCTGATACATAGATTCAATGGACAGTTCTATGCATGGAACAGATGGGGACGTGTGGTATGTATCCCCATATGACTGATAGAGCTCGTCTCTGTCTATATTTTTATTTTACCATTTTTGTCACATTTCAAAATGTACTATATTGCCCTCTTCTGATACTGATGTGTGAGTGGGCGTGTGGGCGGGCACCACATAAATCAGTTAATCTTGTCATCAAAATTCCAGGAAAACCACTTATCCGTTCAACTTGATATTTTCATAGATGCAAGAGCAGACTTGTGCCAAAATCTGATTATGCTTTGAGTGCTAGCTAAATTACATCAGCTATTTTGTATTTTTAATTTGCTTAAAATTGACCAATTTTTTAAAGATCACAGGGCTACAAGTTCTCAGGAGTTTAAATATGACCTTTAGTTTACCTTCAGTGACCTTTGAACGGTTGTGCTGACTAGATTATATACTGACCATTTTGCTATTCAAAGAGCGATATTTATCACTGATGTTTGAATATTTTAGGATATTTTATTTCATGAAAATTAAATTTTTTACATAAATGTGTTTGATCTGCTTTAAGATGATGTTGGGAGTTGCACTTTTTTGATTTTTAAATGTTTTTTAAATCAGTGTACATCTTATTCACCGGTATTTCTAGATTTAAAATCAGCATATTATTTTATTTTCTTACAGGGTGAAAATGGTGCAAATGCACTAAAAGGTCCAATGTCTGAAGAGGATGCAATCAAGGAATTCTGCAAAAAGTTTTCAGATAAAACTAAGAATAAATGGGATAATAGGAAGAAATTTACCCCTGCAGCAGGCAAATACACTCTTATTGAGGTTGAAGGCACTGATGAAACAGACATGGCTGAAACTAGTGCTAAGGTAATAAGAGTTTTTTCTTTTTATCCTTTGATTATTGTACATGTACTTATAGGATATCCTATGATTTTGAGGAATATCATTTTTATCTACGAGGCGATATTGATATCTGCACGAGAGAGCGAAGCGAACGAGTGCATATATCAATATCACCGAGTAGATTAAAATGATATTCTGAAAAAAATCATAGGATATTCTTATTATCCTACACTTACAAGGAGTGTACTGAATGTATAATATCAATGTTAAATGAATTTCATGCCAAATAGAGTCAATTTGGCGGGAAATCAATAAGCGGAGTATATCGTCACAATATCCTCTGCATATTGGGTTTTCCTGGAGTATATCGTCACGATATCCTCCGCCCGGAGTATATCGTTACGATATCCTCCGGATATTCATTTTGCCAATAAATATCAAATTTATTTTTTCATGTTATTATACATTTAGTACACTAAGTGTAGGATAATATGTATTACACATGACAATCAAATAAAAGCTTAGCCATATTTGAGCTGTACTTTGTATCTAACAAATACAAATGGATTTGCCAATATTGAAACAATATTAACTGTACATGTTAGAAATAATCAAAAAACTGGTATGGATAAACATGACTTATTATTCATATTATCAGCCACTCATGGATAAAAAGAATACATTCCTCAAACTCCAAGCCTAAACGTATGTGGTAATTTATAACAATTACTTCAAAAAGCTTAGAGATTGTTCCAAAGATGGGAGAAAAAATGAAGGAAATGGGTACTACCTTCACAAGTACAGTAGTGTATGACTGTATGTCATAAAACATTGCCATCTAAATGAGAAACAGTCTGTAAATAGATAATATTAACACTGCATAGAGATTATTGGTTTGTTATAGTATTGGTTTTTACATACACAGTAAAACCTGTGAAAATGAAAGCCTTTGCTTCCTCAAAATCCTTTGCTACCTCAAAATCCTTTGCTACCTCAAAATAGTATTTCACTTGGGAGATTTTCCATATTATGGGGATTATACATTTAGTAAATGAAAAATGGGAGTGTTTCACTTAAAGAGGTGTTTTATTGAATTTCTTTCAGCTTGCAGCCCTTGATGAGGTTGATTCAAGTGTGAAAGTTGCACCTTGCACCCTAGAGAAACCAACCCAGAATCTGCTGAGCCTGATCTTTGACCAGGACATGTTCAATGAAGCAATGAAGAGTTATGATATAGGTAAATACAGAAATATCTCATATAAATACTCATCACATCACTAAAACCTCATGTCTTTGAAATTTTGTTTTCTTCTGATTTTAGAAAATGAATATTCCCATTTTGGATAGGATTCTCTCTTTCATTTCTCTTGATCATTTCTTCATAATCTCCAAAGCTTCAATTTTCTTCTGAATTTTTGAATTTTTTCCAAATTCTCCCGTTTTCTGTTAAAAATGTGTTTTTTTTTCAAAAAATAAAGGTGATCACCGAATGATCTGAATTTTGGTCGCTATGCCTGGTTAAACTGGTTGGACATACTAAACTCCAACATATATCTGAAGTTCTAACATTTTTCAGATGTTAAGAAAATGCCATTGGGAAAGCTTAGCAAAGTTCAGATTGCCAAAGGATTCGAATGCTTGGAAGAAATCCAAAAGGCAATCGAGAAAAAGAAATCTGTGCACTCTGAATTGGTTGCCTTGACATCAAAGTTCTATACATTGATACCTCACGACTTTGGTCGCCAGAGACCCCCTATAATCACCACAATGGAAGTAGTGCGTGCCAAGATGGACATGTTATTGGTAAGACCTTAATATTTCATTAGTGAGCTTCCAAACCTCATTGGACAGTATCAGGAAACATTGACAGCCATTAGCCTGTCTTTCATTATGGCAAAGGGAATTACAATAGTTTCAATCAAAGATGTCTTTTATGAATGTCACAGTCATTTGAAAGTTCCAACCACTTAGTATAGAGTACAGTGACATGAATTGCATGAAAAATCTGTACAATTGTGGCTAATTGTTTTTGTTTATTTATAAATCATTTTATTTTAAATTCATTTATCATTTTGTACAAATTCATACAACAATGAAAGCTCAACAAACTTAGCCAATCAACATTTGTCTTGAACTTCAAAGTACTGTAACTATACCAAGCATACTATTCAATACAAAGTTAGAATTATTCATAACTGTTCAAATATAAACAAAAGAGAAAAACACTATCAAGGCTGATTAGATCAGGGTATTCACAATAAATGTGCGGTAGTTGGGTCAGTTCTAGTATGGTGTGAGATATGTCTGTCTGTTAGTCAATCTTGGTCGCTTTTAAGAATTTTAAAGTTGCTTTCAATAGAAGTAAATTATATTCATAAATAGGTTCTGTGTTACCATGGAATAGTATCTTTACCTATGAATATTTCTAAAAGACTAGCAATTGGATTATATCATTAACATATTGAGGGCTAATTGTTGTGATAATGTTTATTCCAGGTACTCGCTGACATAGAGCTTGCACAAGCCATGCAGAAGGACAAGAAGAAAGCCCCTAAGAAAAAGGTAGGAGGGAAGTAAATTGACAATAATTTTAACATCTTCAACTTGTAAATACTTATTCAGAAACAATCAGTCTACATTTTAAAGGTAGACTGGGCATATAAAATAGTGTAACTTATTTTGTGAAAATACATCTTTGATTAATTTTATCAATCAAATGGATATGAATGCTCTAACAGTCATCCTGATATTTTGTATGCTTATATTTTCTATAAATAAAAAAGAACTTGTAAATTGTATTTGTTCTAGGCTGAAAGTACCAAGCCACATCCTTTAGATGAGAAGTATGAGATGCTCAACACAAACCTGACACTACTTAACAAAAAGTCTGAGGAATTTAAGGTAAATACGTAACTCACTTTGCCAGTGCTATGACATATTTTTTCATCAAAATCCAGGGGGAGTAAACCCAGGGTTCAAAGAAGACATATGTCTTATATGTAAATCTGTATTGAGAAGACATATCGTCCTGATTAGTCAAATCGACAGACAAACAATGGAGGTTTCAATATTTTCGAAACTCGCTTCTTATAATATTATGTTAATTTCTGGCATTTTGATTAATATCATAGCTTGTTATTTTGGATCAAGATAAAGAAAGGTGTAATGGATATGCTTACATCGATGAAAACATCACAATGACATGTTATTTTTGAAAACAAACTGTTGAGAAGTTGCGCAATTGAAGGTGGTACGCAAAAGACATAGTTTTATCTGTTAACTCTTAAGCTCTGGGGCTTTTCCCCTCTTATTAAATCATTACATTTGACAAGGTAAGGTGATTGTATAGTTCATGTCCTGTTCCCATTTAAAGATGGCATCGCCTTAAGTCTTTTTTGAATGTAACTAATACTTTGATTAGTTTATACTTATTTTTAATCTTAGATCATTGAGACCTACTTGGAGAATACTAAAGGCTACTACAACAATTTAAAGCTTCAGAATGTATGGACAGTCGACAGGGCAGGAGAGGTAATGGGCTGTCTAAAAAAGCTAGTTTCAACTTGCTTTAAATTGACCAATTTTTGTTTTTCAAAATCATCTACAAGTTCTCAAAAGTTCAAATCTGACTATAGATTTGACATTCAACTTTTTCAAGTTCAAAAAAGATTTGACCTTCAATGAACTTTTCAAGGTCAAAAAGGTCTTTTTTCAACTTAGTTCAAATTGACTAATTTTTTTTCAAAGTCATCTACAAGTTCTCAGAAAGTCAAATCTGACTTAATATTGACCCCTGTTACACAGGCCAGTTGAAATGCTTCGTTACGAAGCAATTTGACAAAAAGCTTCGTAACGAAGCAATTTTGGGCCAGTGTAACACCTCCGCCTTCGTTAGAAAAGCTTAGTTGATAACGAAGCAATTGAGTAGAAAATTCAACGAAGGTTAGGTCCCAACGAAGCTTTTTTGGCCTGTGTAACAGGTAGCTTCGTTAGAAATTGCTTAGTTGGCGGTTTGCGCATGCGCGTAACAAAGAGCACATTCATCATTTTGTATTAAATGAGAGGAATTGCGAGGAAAGAACATGTTTTTAAGTACGTATCATTATAATGCCACGTTTTGATTAAAATAATTACCTATTTGCGTCACTGATTGACGCTAACTCTAACCCTAAACGCCACGTACAAATGTGATTTACCGTCCTTCGTAGCATTTCATTCGATTCCCTGCCTTTCCTCGCATTGATATGACAAAAAGTATTAAATCTAAAAAACTCAGGTTCACCGTATATATGTATACGGTAGCTTTGAAACGTTTATCTGATCTATTTGAGAATAAACCTAGAATATTTAAATGTCCCTCTTTCGGAAAACTCCGTCTCAAGTGTGGAAGGGTAAACTTTTGAAATTACATAAGATATGCTTACTAAATAGAAAGTTGTGGCATACATGTTTAATATTAATTTTTTCTTGCGCCTTGAATAATTATACCTTGAATGTAATTCTAAAGGTGTTAATACCATGATACTGATACAATTGCTTCCCGGTGAATCACATCCTAAGGTGAATTTAGCCGATTTGATTGATTCGAAAATGTCTCTCTTCAGAAATCGTATTCAACTGGCTATCGCCCCATTGCAATACTTGTACTAGTCGTTCCATTATTCTATTCTTCGACGATTTTAAATTGTAATTGAATTTAAACTTCACGTTTAAATATATTGAATTAATTACGTTTCAAAACTTCCGTATACAAATACGGTAAAACCACCTGCGGACAAGGAACGGTGGCCAAAATTGTTTCGTGTCGACAGATATTTGCCACAGAGAGGCTGCATGTTTTAGGCCAGCCCCAAACACTATTGATGTGTCGTAAGACGATGCTTACAACTGATATCCAAGTTTCTTCCTATTTGCGCCATTTTCGAATTCAACGGACGGCTGATGGATTAACATACTAATTTATGTCAAACTCACTCAAATATGCATGGGATATTGGCGAAACGGGTAATATTCATATTAAGATGAATTGGTCATGAAATAGTAGTTAAACCACCAGCCGAACACCAAGATATTTTAGTAATGGCTACACTATTTGAAATATACTGAGAAGTCCATTTGGAAATTGAACGTTTTTATACGATATTACATACTAGTCCTCTGTATAAACCCCAAATCCAATTCCTCCTAGTAATTAACATAGGCCTATTTTTATTCCATATGTTTTCCAAAGGAAATGATTGAAAATGAAAACAATACTTGTAATCGTATTGACAGGTGAAATATATAAAAATCGAAATGATAGGAAAAATGTATGGACATGTGTACGGAATGATCACATTCATCTGGTTTTATTTTCCCGAGAATTTTGATCTAGTCTTTTTCTGTGCTGAATTGTTAAAATAAAGATTAAAAATCATATTTTTGAGTTTCATCAATTGTTTATATCAAAAGAATAAAGATATTAATCATAATAAGTGGGTGGGGCAGATGAGTATTGCGCACGCGCAACGAAGCATTTTAAGTGCAGTGTAACACCAAATAATTGCTTCGTTAGGGTTGGATAAAGCCAGTGTGGACACAATTTTGTCGCTAACCTTCGTTACAAAAATGCTTCGTTAGACTCAACCAAGCAGTGTAACAGGTACCATTGTGAGCAACTAGGTGGTGACATTTTTGTTTTTTAATTATCAGACCAAGTAATAGGTGTCAAAAGCTGGCTACTTAGATATATATCACTAAGTTTGCACAATGCTATCTGCTATCTAAAAGATGGCTATGTGCAAATATAATACTATAAGTAATATGATATTTTTCCACGAATGGTTGATATGATATGATATGTGCAGGAGCAGCTCACCGAGAGAGTTCAGATATCTATATCCATGAGCAGATAAAAGTCATATCATTAGTAAATCATAGGATGTTTTCTTTATTCCATAGTTACAGGGTGCTTGTCATGTTCTTCACATAATTATAGTCTTTAATGTATATTTTCTCCACTCAACTGTCAGCCTAGTTTTGAGTCAAGTAGCAAAACTCCATAGTATATGGTGACATATACATGTACTATGGTAATAGATGGTTTAGTGAAAATTTGCCAAAAATATCATATTTTTCCACTAGCTACATAAATACTGTTTTTAGTTTGACAAAATACCCTATGAATACTGTTAATCACAGTAACCATGGAATGATATATGGTATAATTTCATGGAATATAGATTCCAATACTAATAGAACTACATGATCTTTTGAAGTTTTTCTTGGGTCTATTAAAATAAATATTTCCTTCAAACAGGGTGACAGATTCTCAGTTCATGATAAGATTGGGAATCGCAAATTGCTGTGGCACGGCACAAATGTTGCAGTTGTGGCTGCCATTATGAAGAGCGGATTACGCATCATGCCTCACAGTGGAGGACGTGTCGGCTCTGGAATCTACTTTGCTTCAGAAAATGGAAAATCTGCTGGTTATGGTAGGTTGGATATATTGAGGTTATCCTATTTGAGGTTCAGGATATTGGGATTATCCCAAGGCCAACAAATATACTATAAAGCTAAAATGTAATCCGAACATTATATATGCCGAATGAAGACTTCAAAGTAGAATTCATTTTTTAGTTTGCCTAATTCACAACACTGTAAAGGTAGTATTTACCAACACTGGACTGTAGTGATCTGCGGTATTGCACTCTTAGGCTTAATGTTGGCACTAAAATTCCAATACCGAAGACCAGAATATATAATACTAAAGGGATAAATGTTTCTGATTATGTTTTTTGGAATTATGACCTTGAGTTGAGGCTCTGGCATTTCAAAAAAGCAAAGAGATTAGCGGCCAGGGAAAATTAATAAAACTCAATAGAACTGATATTCAAAGTCAACTAATTTTAGTGAAAAGTTCTTACTCGAGTGAGCTATTATCGGCCATAACATTCAACAGTCCTCATTTTAATTGATCCGAGATTGCAAATAAACTACTCAATTCGGCATCGGCATATAAATTCCACGGATTATGTTTTAGCTATACAGTATCTGCCCACTTAGCCGTGATGTAGAGCTGTTCTGTCTGCTGATAAAAATACAACTCTTTACAAACCTGCTTTATGTACATCAAACACATCCAAGTATGGGACATATAAAATTGTGTAGAATTCAATAATTGACATATCCAGAGATTAACTGTTAAAATTATATCCGGACACTATAAACCGAGGCCTTGTGTAATTCAAATTGATAATTCAAAAACCTTATGTTGTTGAATAATTCCAGTGAGCCCTGCAAAGAGGACAGGCATCATGTTCCTGAATGAAGTAGTCCTAGGCAAGGAACATCATATCACAAAGGACCAATGGACACTGAAATCTGCACCTAAAGGTCATGATAGCGTCATAGCTAAAGGCTGGACAGAACCCGGTGAGTAAATGACACTACTTGTAATAGCATTCCTAGTACAGCTTTGACCCCTTTGTGAGTATGGCTGTGTTCTGCTGAAATAACAATCATTCCCAGGGATCCCACTCTCATTAGAACATGAGAGGAGGCATGATTGCACTGAATTAATTGCTTGGAAATTGCCAAAGAATTGTTTTAGTTTCTGTACAAACTTAAAATGTTAGTTCTTTTGGCACTTTGGACACCTAAATTGCACTTTGGACACCTAATTGCTTGAACAAATTGTTTGGAGATTGCCGAAGAAGTAAAATCTTTTCATATTGGTCCTATGGTAGTGGCCATTAGATACTTAAGTTTGTTTTATTGGACCGTTTTATTTAAGTTTCTGTGATTTGCAAAGTTAAAAGGTTAGTAATTTTGGCATTTGGTATATGATAACTTTTCAAATTCATACTAAGTTGAGGAAAATAGTTTCAATCAATGTAGGTGCCCACAAAATTACCATTGAATTGAGCCGGGTTTAAGAGTTTGGTCAAAGGTTAACCAGCAAAATTTGTTATAAGTATATGTATGTGATTTCTTTTCAACCATTGAGGTTTTTTTGTCAGAATAGTATCTCTAGTCTTTGAAAATACAACTTCTTTGCATATTTATACAGTTTGATATCAAGATTATTAAGTTCTTTAATCCTTTTAAGTTGCGAAGATGAAATAACATTCTTTGCCCCATTTGCATAAGTTGTCAGATTTTGGGAAAAATCTTTTGTAAAATTCACTCCAAATGTAAATTCAAAGAGATGTTGATTCAATTCTTGGTACTCTGTTAATCCAAAATATGCCATATTCCTCAAATTATTTTTTGCACTTTCAAGCATGATTCTATCTCTCTCTGGTTTTGGTATTGTGCTAGTATTATAGCAGTCAACCAATGATAGATTGGCTAGCATTCTAGTCTGTCTGTTTATAGCAAGGCTGTGTGGACAATTTATGAAGTCATCAAGTTTGACATGCCTCCAGTGGGTTTCATAGCAGGCAGGTAATTCTTTAATTATCTGACCATTGCATTGAATTTTATTTCTGGACCAACGAGCCCCACGTTGCACAGCCATCCATTCACTCACGTATCTCTGAATAGGCTCTCTGAGTATTGTGATGTATAGATAACTAACAAAAGAAGAAAGCACAAATATATTTCAAATTAGAGTCAGAGGTTTTCTGTTTCTATCATGTAGTCAGCTGCAAAATTTATTTACAAGTATAAGATACCAATCATTACCATTTTAATGCCACCAATATATAGTGGTGTTCAATTGTTATAGCCACTATTTATGCGACAGTTGTTTGACATTGGCATCAATGTTTGGCTTCTGTATTGATTGTTTCAAACTGTGATAGTTTAAGAAAAGAAGGTTGCAACAAAGTCTATTGATGGTTGATCATTTTAGCCTAAAACCATTTTGCAGAAATTCAGAATCAGAATGACAGACATTGCCTTTTTAAAGACTAGGTTCAATATACAGAATTACCTCCTATTCCTGTGTAGTCCTTCAGATCTATCAAAATATCTATCGATACATCCATTTAGTTCTGTCCAATCAGCATGTACACGACAAGACCATTTCAAAGAAAACTGGCCACTTACTATCCATACATGCCCATTTTTGTTGAGACACTCACAGCGCCGTTCCTCTGGTTGGCACACGCAGCTAGGTGACACATTTAGTGTTTTCACCAGTCTTGACTCAAAATTTGTCCCTCCTGTTTTCTGGATATGAAGTATGATGAATATCTCATCTTTGTTTGGATCAAATTTGAGTTTTCTGTAAATTAATGCATTTAATTTTGATCAATATAAGGATCAAATTTCACCTATCCAGTCATAATTGCAGGCACAAAGTTGATATACAGTTCATATTCAGAATCCCATGAAACCCATGACAACTGTATAAATCAAAAGTGTAAAATTTATTAAAGGGTTGTAATTTTTACACATTTTATATCTGAGACCCAAACATTTTCTATTTTATTCTAAAAATGTCTGGCTAAAACATCAATCTTGAGCTATCAAAATCAGAACTGTTTATTGTTATATGGGAATGTAGATTCCTAACCTTTCAAACTTGTATAGATATTAGATCAGAGCAAAAAGTTCACCTTTATATTCAAAATTCAATTCAAATTCAATGCAAAATAAAACCTTTACAATAAAAGCTACTTCACATTTTAAGCTCAAGAGATAATGAACCTGGATGGCAATTCATATTTTGTGTTTGATTTATTTGAATTTTAGTTTTTCATTGCCTAGTTGTAGTGTTTCTCTGCATACAGGGCTGTAGACATCATCCACTGTTACATGTAAATCTTTCTTCCCTTGTCTTGGAAGGAACAAAGTGGATGATCTGTAGATTCCTGCATTCAGCAGATGGTTTAACCGATTGCTTTTGAAAGTCAATACTACAAAGCATAGTTTATTGATCGTCTATCGGATTTTGTTTTAGAAATAAAATGATTGAAACTGCATTTTGGAGGCCCCTTATTTAAATATGTATGTTTGATAAGCGATGTCCTCTTTTGATATTCTCTGCAAAAAAGTTTCACTTTAGTTCATTGTCAATTACACATTTTGATCTTCTCTTTTTAAATCACATGTTAAATTACCCACTCTCCACCCATCTTACTTTCCATTCATCTGTCTTTTTCATGTGTAAAATTGACTTGAACCATCCTTGGTCCAAGGGTATTTCACTTCTTTCCATTTTAAGTATAAATGAAATCCTTTGAAGAAGGATGACTTGAACTTGACAAGCCAAATGTCAGATTTCAGTACCTGTATCAAGGGAGAACATCTGATTTCAGAGAAGATTTTTTGTATTGTGTTAAGATATAAACTTATCAAGGAGAAAAAGTGTTAGGAATCATGATCATAATTATTCTGTTGGCATATAAGACAAAAACAGCTGTAATGTCTGTATAGAAACTTCTTTGGCACTAAGAGCTGACAATTAATTGCTAATGGTTCTTCAGCTTGCAAGGTTGACAAATAATACATGCCTGTAGCCAGGATTTGCCACTTTATCACTTTTTAAAAAAATTGGTCCAAAAAATGGCCAAAATCACTTGGAAAGTACTCAGTATGTTGAAAAACTGCATGATTTTTAAATAATTTTTGGTTGGGGGTTGGGGGTTGGCTGTTATATTAACTAAAAAGGCAGAGTGTAAAAGCAGGTACCTAAAATGTTTATCAGTTTGTGTATTGTGAATTTCTGTCACTACATGTTCAATGGCTTCAATGATAGAACTTCTTTATAAAAATGATTCAATAATGATGAATTTATAAAAGTAAAAGTATAGAAAGCATTTTCCACTTTCAAAAGTGTTACCTGTATAAGTAATGTGAATTTCCTTCTTTATATGATTCTATTTCCTTGTGGGCTGGTTGAGGTTCATCATAAAAGTGGTTTTGAGGTTGAATTTTGGTAATTCCATATATAAGGAATTCTGCCAATATAATAATTATGAAAATAGTTATCTCTAAACGTCTTTCAGAGAGCTGACTCAGTATGCCTTTTCCATTTTTGTAACTCATCATGTTGATCTTGCTCCTGTTGACTGTGTTCTGATAATAGCCAGTGTCTATGATGTCGAGTTTCTGATTTATATATGTAATTAAACCTCTATTGTTATCCCAGTGTATGAACTCTTTGAGAATATAGCATAGTCCTCTGTCCATCAGTCAGTCTTTTTGTCAGTAAGTTTTTTTTATTTGAAAATACACATTTCACATCAAACCATAGTCATTGTTTTTTGCAAAATATACTTTGGAGTAGCAGATTAAATCATCTTTCTAATTCATGCTGTAGAAATCCAAAATGTTTGAATTAGCAGGAATTTTAAGATATCTTAAATATATTCCTTTTTATGTTCCAATTGAAGGTATTTAAGGCTAAGGAAATTATTATTATGGTGACATCTTTCAGATTAAGGATATATTTTGTTTGATGGGATTTGCTACTCATTGGAGCTGCCATTTTTTCTGAATCAATAAAATTCAGAATCAAAGTCCATGTAATATTGAATATGATCAGCATTTACATGACCTCCAACTTAGTTGTTATGGTATTTTATGAGAGCTAGAACATGTACAGTACAGCTGAACCTGTGTAAGTGGAACACCCTTAGGAGCCCAAAAAATGGAGTCAATGGGCTGCAGTTCCACTTGTGAGGTGTTCCACTTACTACAGAGGTATTCTACTCAGCAGTTTCGCTCAATCACATGAAATGTAAATACAGGTTGACTCAAGTAAATCCAACCCTCCAATTTTGCATTCACCTTTTAATTATGATAGAATCATCACTTTGTAAATTATGTATTTCTTACTGAAATAGTAAAGATGAACCAATCTTATGTTCACCGACATCTTTAAAATCATATTTGAAATGCTATTTTCTTGAATTCCAGATCCCAAAAAAGATACAAGTCTCACAATTGATGGGAAGAATATTATTGTTCCACAGGGTAAACCAATCAAGCAGAGCAAGTATGATAGCAAGAGCAGCTTCAGCCAAAGTGAATATTTGATCTATAAGGAATCTCAATGCAGAATCAGATACATGCTTGCTTTGACATTTTGAAGCACCCAGACCTATTAACAACCAAACTGGGTTTCTTAACCACAACCACCATGTTATTTTTTGAGCACTGAATTTTTAAGATTTTTTCAGTGATGTTTTTCGTGAAAAAAAATTGGTGTTTCATTATTTGTTGATTAACATTATGTTTATTAATATATCAATTATTAGAAATGAACAGATGCTCTTTGAGGACAATATGTATGCAATAAATGTAAACAGAATAACAGTTATGCAAGAGTAGGGATAAAACACTGACGTTTCATACATAGCTTTATGTAGTTAACATTTTAATAAGTTGTATAGTCACAATAGAATCTGTGATATGAGTAGTGGTAGGAAACGTGTGATTTACTTTTACTTGAATCTGCTATCTTGTATTTTAGTTTAATCATTTTAGATCAGTCAGAAAGTCACATGTTATTCCTCTGATTTATTGGTTTGGGAATTGCCAAACCTTCTTTGTTGATTTATACAAATTGCTAAATTCGTTCTCACATAGTTGATATGGGAATGTGAAAATCACTTAAAGGCCCACTTCTCCTATTTTCAATGTTTTGGGCAAAATAAAGACTTTTATTTAAATTCTATAGAATGTCCAATGTATTGATAAAAACCTTATCTTTCATTTGACACCAACAACAGCTCAAATGGACCATATCAAAGCTTACAATAAATAATCAAAAAATATTTTCGATCTGTCAAGCTTTATATATCAAGTTTTTATCAATATCATTAAAAGATGGCGAAGTTGTTTGTATTACATGATACATTCGCCATCTTTTAAATCAAAAGTAATTAAAAACATGCACTTTGTTTAGCATGTGCATGCATGTCTACTGATCTCTGAACTTCAAATGCTTTTTTCCATGTGAGTTAATTTTTTTCTCGGTTCAATATTAAAGCAAATCAAACTTTGTTTCATATTTGAGCGAGTGTGTGAGTAATATGTTTCAATGAATTTTTTTTTCTTTTTTCTAAATTAAGTATAGTGGGCCTTTAATAAAGTTAATGTGGACATGCACATTGACAAGAAATAATCTGTATTGACCAGGTAGATTATTTAAAATTATTTTTCTGAATTTACAAATGAACAAATATGTAGGGTACTGGGGGAAAATATCAGCCAATAATAGTCAAATAGAACGCTTGGTAAGTCGTTAAATTATAGATGAAATCCATTTATGATGAAAATCATGTGAAAGCTGTGAATGCCATTGTGCCAAAAATATACATTCCATCAAAATATATGAATCATTTCTTCAGATGTGCCAATCTGTTTTTAAATATATATTTATTATTGATAGTGGAAATTTCAAGCAGCCTGAATGGCTTATAACAGGGTGTCTAAGAAGTAAAGTAACAAATGCTCTGACTTTAAGAGATTTACTTGTTTTGAGATACAGATTGTAGAATGACATTATAAAACTACTAGATAGTATATTCTCACAGGCTGGTATTGAAAAAATTGTCCGCTGTGACGGAGCGTGCTATTTTGCATAGAAACACTAGGAAATCCACACAATTTATTTTTTTACTCATATGTTTTGCTATATCAAAGAAAATTACTGACTCCATGCAATGAATATATCATTTGCGGGTAACTTTAACTTCTGTTTGAAGTCCAACAACGCTAAGAGTAAAAGCTATTGAAAACGGCGTCGGAGTATCATACTCCAAAATGTACCAATTCTTTTATTTCTTTTTAATGATACAATATAGCGACACAATAATATTTACATATGTTTTCAGCATAACTCTGAAGGTATTAATGAGATCTTTATGTATTGGGTATTTTTAATTTTTTCAATAAAAAATAATGTTTAAATTTTTTGTCCGCTGTGACGGAGCAGTTTCAAATCTGAAATACGTTAAGAATTTAGATTTATGATATATCTCTTTATAACTACACGTTAGAGGAGGGAGCGTATCAAATCTCTTTCTTAAAGTATTCTGAAAAATAAAACGGAATAAAAGTACACAATTCAAATTCTGAGATGTATATACGACCACTCTTTAAGCTTCTTTTCTTAGTTTGTACTGTAATCCAAGTTATGCATGGTAACTCATGAAAATGATATAGTCAACTTTATTTCAGTATAGGGTATTTGCATTTCGTTGTGCCTACTGTGGATCCATCACCTGACATGATCATTTTTTATGGTAACTTATATACAGTAATATTATGTGGTAAAAGGTTATACATCTGTCGGAATGCAGGATGTCTGTGCGCTATTTCGAATAAATTCCTATTATTCCTATTTATGTTACGCGGTAAACACGATACAAAAATATGCCATATTCCGCAACGAATATGCCATATTCACTTGCGGTGTATGACAGATTCACCTGTGGTATATGGTATACACACTAACCAATGAGAACTAGATACGGAAGTATGCAATTGTCAATTGCATCGATTGAACGAACAAGTAAAACTTTATAAATTATTAAAATGATTACTGAATCAACAGTACAGTTTATCGAATACATCAACGTATGCAGAAGTATCACTCACCAATCTCACGTAATAAACTTACCCAATCAATCCAGGATTACATTCAGAGTCGATTGTCGCAACCAATCAAACCAAGTCTTTCTGTATCACGTTTTTCACCTGCGGAATATGTCATATTCAACTGCTGTATATGGCATATTCCACAAGTGAGTATGACATATTCTGAAGGTGAGTATCGGGTATTCACTGAATTCAATGCATCACATATTCACTGCGGAATATCGCATACTCACCTGCGGAATATGCCATATACCGCAGGTGAGTATGGCATATTCACCCGTATCACAAATACCGCGCAACCATGAATGTATGCCATATTCCGCGTAACAATTTACACTACACGTGACATTCTAAGACGTCTTGGCGAAAACGTATTAGAAATATTATGTTGAGTTTACACCATGTTGATTCATGTTGATTTCAGTACAAACCTCCGAAAAATGCTAAGAGTTTTTATATCTCAGATTTACATTACCCCAGATCTCCCAGAGGCTACTTGTCAAAATTTAGGAAAGTGATTTGTGACGTTCTCTCTTCTTATGGTACTTTTAAAAGGTATAATTTGAATCTTAAATTCTTAACGTAGTTCACAGTTAAAACTGCTCCGTCAAAGCGGACAAAAAATGTAAACATTATTTTTTATAAAAAATATTAAAAATACCCAATACATCAAGATATCATTAATACCTTCAGAGTTATCCTTAAAACATATGTAAATATTATTGTGTCGCTATATTGTACCATTAAAAAGAAATAAAAGAAATGGTACATTTTGGAGCATGATACCCCGGCGCCGTTTTCAATAGCTCTTACTCTTAGCGTTGTTGGACTTCAAACAAAAGTTAAAGTTACCCGCAAATGATATACCCATTGCACTGAGTAAGAAACTTTCTTTGGTATAGCGAAACATATGAGTAAAAAAATAAATTGTGTTGGTTTCTTAGTGTTTCTATGCAAAATAGCACGCTCCATCACAGCGGACAAATTTTTCGATACCAGCCTGTGATTCTGCTGCAATTATCATGACATATAGTATTGATGTATTGATAATATAGTGTTCAATTTTAGTTGTTTATATAGATGTACTGATAATTCCCTCAGAATAAATGCCCATAAGCCATTGTAAAGTAGGAGCTTTTGCTTTTACAATGATTTTACCCTTGGCGCATAATGACATTTGTGGTATATACCTAATATGTATAGACCCTTGGCGCATAATGACATTTGTGGTTTATACCTAATATGAATGGTACCCTTGGCGCATAACCTGTAAAGCATTGTAATACTTTATTAAGAGTTTAATCAACCTTGTCATTGTGTTATGTAATATATGTTAATGCTGTTAAACCTGAAATAAATGTTTCAGTTGATATTAAAGTTGATACCTGGACCTTAGAATCACACATTTCCAATATGAAGTTAATTGCAAATATGTGTAATACCTTCATAGAAATGTAAATCCCGGAGTTAAGTCAAAATGTTATATTCATAGTGCCAAACTTTGGAAAAAAACATTTGTGACCTACTTTGATGACTTTCATATACCCCAGTGGGTCTTTTGTGATATATTTGACCTAAATTTGAATAAAAAATAATTGGAAAATAACCATTTTTACGTTTCAAAGGTAATTTATGGTCACAGCAAAGGTCAAATCTTTAATTAAAGGTCACATATATGAACTCCTGGCAATATTTAATAGATTTGTTCACTTTGACGCAAGTTGAAATTTGACTTTGAATTTAGAGACTTTTTTCTGTTTTTGAGATCTAATATTCCAAAACCTTTGCACTCTATCTATTGGTAACATGTGTATAGCCTTTAGAGACTTCTTACATATTGTTTGTTTTAACCTACATTTCTAATTTAGAAAATGTATTTGATGATTTAAAGATGTCATTGTAGATATCCAATGTTCACTGTATTTGATATGATCAAGTGATGAGAATCTTAGTTCACTGTTCCAGTTAGGGCACGATTTACAATTTTAAAAAGTGTTCTTAGGATTCATCTAACATCATCCAGAAGCGATAAATTCACGATTTTCACCATCTATGTTTTGTTCAATGATGCAAAAACGCCAATTTATGTTTTTTTAACCTTTTCCACTTTTCGTTTATGTTTCTTTATATTTTACTTTTAAGTTCGCCTAGTTCAACGAAGTTTCAAAATTTGGGACAACGCCATTTAGGAAGTGATTATCTGAATTTTCACAATCATACAAAATCGATATCGATTGATATGTGATTAAATCCCTAGCATGAACATGTATGTTTCTAATGTTATTCAACAATAAATATGCGTTTTTGTTTCGGCATATTGGTGTTACACGAATATTTAGAAGATTTTGTAAAATTATAGATCGCACCGTAACCCTAACTGCCCGTATACGAATATTGAGAAACTCGTCTTATATATGAGTTTAATTGGGAAAACAAAATAGCTTTCAAAAATCTATCACCGGAAGGCTGGCCATCTTGATGCATAACACCGTATTTTTGCATCACGATGCCCCCTAGCCTTGCCCAAGTCGGTCTCTTTTACTATCTTGATTTCTACATGGGCTCTACATCTGATAGAGCCCATGATTTCTATTATGACCGCGGTAATAATTCAAGATCAGATAAGTAAAAATA